AGACTAACATCGCATTTGAAATTATCGCCTTGTACACACCATCTCATCCTTCTGTCCGTTCCAAAGTACTCATCTCGGGAGAAAGAATACAAAACACCCTCTTCAAAGATAATTCTAATGACCAATCCGTATCCCACATGGTTCAATTCTTTCTCATAGCTCGCGCTCTCACCTTTTTTGTTTCCTCGTCTGTTACTCTACGGCCGTCCGTTCGCCCGACCGTCCATCGTCCATTGCTCACACACCCGGGACAGCTTTTCATAATCATTTTTCCTGCCCTCTTTTTTTTCTCGCTTTTCGTCAATTGATAGACTGCTACTGCTGTTGCCTTGGTGGCTGTGAGAGTTTACTTGGTGAGCACAAGCAAAAAAAAAAAGGAAGGGTTTTCCAAACGGTAAAAATTGAGTAAGCAACTCTTGCAGCAGCAAGGCAAAAAAATGTCAGGGAAGAGAGGGACAAGAAAGCAAAAAAGACAGGGATATGTGGGACCGTAGACATGGGGAAGTAGAGGAAGGTAAAATAAGAGGGAGGGGCATACATGGTAAGGTATCGAAGTTTGGGATGAGAAAAAAAAGGGGACCATAGATGGGACAGACAGGCGGACAGACAGGGATCCCACAAAGGTTGAACTATTTGGGTCTGGGCCCTTGAAGATAATCTTCCTAGCTTCAAACCTTCAAAATGGCGAAATTGCTTCGAGGGGGGAATCTTTACCAATTCCAGTGTCGAAAACGGAGAGAAAGGGAAAGAACATATCAATTTTTAGGAACTCGCAATTGCTTTTGCAAGATACGAAATACGCCAACCCACCAGTGAAGATGAGAGCAAGATGAGAAGGTAAACAAAAAGAACGCAGCGCCTGGTGTGCAGGTGTGTCTGCGTCCCGTCAAGAGAAGTATTTTCACTTTGGTGATGAAATGTTACACAACGGCATGTATGAGCAAAAACTTTGGGAGTAGGGGATGAAGAGGGGAAAGAAAACGAAGGCAAACCTTGGCTACGCACAAAAAAGAGACAAACAACAAAAAAAAAACATAAACAAAGCGTGCATGTTTCCAATCGAGGGATGCCTTTCTCTACGTTGAGTGTCCATCGACAGATCTTCAATCCTCCTCAGCCCTCATGTCGCCTTCCTCTCTCTTCGCAGCAAAAACAGCATTGTCATCAAGTAACCGCATCTTCGAACTTGCTTCTCACTTTTACGAATTCAAAGAGTCTGTCGAGAGGCATTGAGATGAACCCCAGAAACTTGGGAACATAGAGGTGACGAAGGAGAAGATCCCGCCTGTGAGACAAGATCATCGTTTCCAGATCTCCAACTCTCACACTCCGCTCTTCGCGTTTCCGTTGTTCTTCCTTCTTCGCCATTTCCTGTTATTCCTCCTCCCTGTTGTTGCTGACATGGATAAGGTTGGCACCACACCAAAAGCACACAACATAAATTTCCTTACTCTCCTTTTGTCCTTTCTTTTCCTTGCAGTTTGGGTCGAAGAGCACCTCTTTTGCACAAAGCAAAGAAGCAAAGAGCCAAGGATGGCTGGAAGTGCGTTCTTTTTGTGTCGGCTGAGGAGGGCAACGGCACGTTCAACAAAAGGGAACATAGAGTCGGGGAAGAATCATCAGTGTCATGCAAGTAAACAATAGGAGATAGGCCACTTCCTTTTGTTTTCGACTGCGTATAGGAATGCGCCAGCAAGAGTAAACAGTCGCGGTATCCGATATGCGATGACTGATCACGAAACTGGAATCTTAATTTTCGAGGCGCTTTGATCGTGTAGGCAGGTGCTGTAGACGAGGCGGGCAAATTCAGCGGGAATGAATGAAGAGAATGAAAGACGTAGCTAGATAGGCTGGTTGGTAGGACGAGGAAGAGTGGAGTGCGTGACGAAACTAGATAGAATAGAAAAGAAAAGAGAAAGGGGTATTGATTTGCTCCGATCGATCATAGATTTGCGATGAATTCAAAGTAATTTCCTTCCCGATCCTTTTTTCTTTCTACATTACTCGGTCTCCCCCTTGGCTGTGCATATTGCCAAGAGATACTCTGATTTCACCTCGCGTTATGTTATTTTTTCCGTCTCCACCCTCTCCTCACTTCTCAACCAACCAACCATCCAACCATTTCAAAACCAACCAACCAACCTCACGCAAACTAACGAACCAACCAGCAATTGCGGTTTGTCACAAGTCGCCCATAGAGAAAAAAGAGACAGAGGGAGGGGGTACTTCCAGGCAGGTACCCTGCTTCAGCCATGAATGTCATGAGGTCAACTGTTTGTTCTCTGGGCTTAATACATACATAACATACTCTACTATCGTAAATACTAGTCGATTGGCTCTAAGCTAGAGCTTGCATGTCCATTCATTGGCCCATATTCCCCAATGACGAAGAAGCAGCAACGATGCACCAATGTCTCTTCTTTGCAGGAACAGCAGCATGAATGTCAATTTAGAGATGAATTGAAAAATGCTCAGTTTTTTTCGATTTTCTCCATGCCATGCATTGTTGCATGCTCATCATCATGAGCAAACATGGTTGTTCGAGATGCATTTATGTTCTCTAAATTGTTCATCTCCCCTTTCATCCGCTCATGGTTGTTTGTTGTTTTTTGTTTGTGTGGTTGTGATATCTACCTGGGCGATTTTGTTTTGATAGGTAATTAGCATGCAAAATAATAGAGCCAACAGCAAGTGCTACTTTTTCACGGGGTAGGGTAAAGGAACTACGCGCGCAGACCGCCTGTTTTTCCGTAGTCATGAACACGGACAGCACAACAGTAAACAACAGCATATTCATGCAGAACATGCAAGACAAAAAAAGCAAGCAGCGAAGAGGCGACAAACACGAGTGATGGACTATTGACCCATGCTAAATCCATGTCCCTCTTTCACCCATCTCCTTGCCATTCGTGAACCAAAACAACAAAAACCAACAATGTCAACGATCGACCATATCGCATCGCAATTGTTCATTGCATCGCGTAGCCATAGCTCATTACCTGAGGATGACCCGATTAAGTGTTTGTTTGGTGTTTCACAACTGGCCCCTTCGCCTCATTGTAATTGACATATTTGTGAATGGCTGTTGCCTTGTGGCGGCTGGTTCTGTGGTTTTGTGCCGGATGTTACACTTTTGTGCGTGCACCTTATCTGCATGACAGCCCTAGCTTCCAGCCCACACCGTTTACTCATGTTCTTGTATATGAGGTCAACTTCTATCTCAACGACAGCCCTTTCGTTTACGCCCATGCCTTCTCGTTGATGTGCGTCACATATGCCTTCACACACAAACGTGCTGAACAGGTAATGTTAACACAAACACACACATATTAACTATCCTCGTGGCTGTGCACGGATTTAGGATAGGGGGGAGAGAACACGCGGCTGTTACCACTATTCGTCATGTCTTATCACTTGAAGGTCTTCGCCCTGATCTGATGGGTGGTTACCGCATTTGATATGTTTTCAGTTAAACCACGCAATTTTTTACCGGAGTTGCTGGGGTTCACAGGGGGACGAATCACAGCAAAAGAAAAACAGAAAACAAATGGTAGACTACACTGTTTGTATTGTAGCATGATCTAGGCGCTATTATCTGGCTTATTTCTCTCACATACGCACACACAATCCCTCCATCTCCACTTGTGAAAGAAATGCATCCCTTAGAACAATGGGTTTCTGTTACTGCCGACGATATCCCTGACTCCCTCGCTACCTTTCATCCCTGAAAAAAATGAACTAGGACGGAGCTCGTTGGCACTCCTGTATTCGCGCAATCCCCTTTATCCACCACCACCCGAGCTATTCCTGGCAAAGCCTGGCTTTGTTTTCGTTTTACACTTTGTCCACGTTTTCTTTAGTTTAGCCAACAAACTCCACCAACCACTCATTTCAATTGTCCCTTATCCCCATCTCTTTCTTTTCTGCCCTTCTTTCGCTTTAGTTTATTTTTTTGCCTCCGATATAAGGTGCATGGCTTTCTCCGCATGCTTTTTTTTTTGCCTTCTTTTTCTCAATCTTGTGCATCCCTGCATGCCTATCTCGCCTGTTGCCTTTCCCCCTCCCCTTTCTCTAACCTTTCTCTCTCTGTCTGTGCTTCTCTGTTGTCGTTTGTTGATATGTCCATCTCCTTGAGACTTTTATTTCTTTTCTGGCGTCGTCGCACAAAAGGTGGGGGGGAGGGGGAACAGGGAGACAAAGTGCGAAGTGGACCACACAATGTGGATATGTACATGCATGAAAAGATTGATTTTGTGTAAGTGTGACTACCTGACTGGATACATACACCCACACCCCTTCTCTTCTCTTTTTTCTTTCCGAGTCGGGATCACTCCTTATTTTGTTTTCCTTGCGTCTTCTCATGTAGAATAAAGACGAAAAGATATTGTACTACCATGCCTACACGTACCATTCACATCGCATGGTTCCTTTCCCTTTTTCTGCCTTCGCTTTCCTTCAAGAGAAAAGGCGAACAGGTACTGATGGTGAAGAAAAGGCTAGCTGCCTTTACTATGAGTTACCAACTTCATTATCCTTAACAGCCCTGGCCAACCAAGGACCAGCTTATTGGTCAGCAATCATCTTTCAAACACACGTACTATGATACAATCTGGTTGTGAACGGGATCTCGCTGCACAATGGAGTCAGTCTTTCAGCCCAAAGCACGGCGATTTTTTGCACATTGTTCGATGAGCAAAACTGGATTAAGAGTTGGAGCCCATCGGGATCGGATAGATGGATGCGCCCCGACCTGGCTCCCGAAGGAATTTTTTTTTCCATTAAAGCAAAAAACACGGAGCAAGATATAAAAGCCAGGGCTCATTGTTCTTTTTTTCCCCACTTCTCTTCGTGTTCGCCTCTATTGTTGTGCTTCCTTTTATTCCTCATCTCACTCTCATCTTCGACTCCACTCTCCACCCGCGAAGAACCGTTTTTGTACCTTAATCTCATCTTCGTTGCACACTCTTCCCCCTCCTCACCTACAAAAAGCACGTCCAAAGATGCTTCTGGTCTCTACCGTAGCACTCGCTACCTCCCTCCTCCTCACCTCCCAAAACCTCGCCCACGCCCAAGACGTAGGTTGCTCAGCAATCTACAACGACTTTGCCCTCTCTTCAAACCCTTCCTCCTCCTCCTCCTCCTCCTCCTACCGAAAATGTTACACTGACCTGGCTTACAACACCGCCCTCGTCCTCCAGGGCGCCAACCCCAACTTCTCCGATATCCTCTCCCAGATCTGTTCCCGTCCGGCTTGTTCTCATTCTACACTCGTCTCTGCAAATTCGCAGTATTTGGCGGCCTGTGCGAGCTCTATTGATGTGGAGAACGCTAATGGGAATATGTTGCAGATAGGCAAGATTGCGTTGGAGTTGTACTTTGCGGAGCCAATTCGGGCGATCTATTGTACACTCGACCCGAATGCCCGCCCGCCACCAGCACCCCCAAAACCCCCCGGCGAGCCTGCAACAATCCCCTCCCCTCCACCGCCTTCCTACTGTCTAGAACAACCCGTTGTCGGTAGTTCAAACTCGAAATTCGCGACAAACTTAGCCATCTACCTCACATCGGGCACCATCCGCGCGGCGCAGGCGCCCTTCTTCGAGACCCTCGACCAAACCGACACCTGTTCCCCCTGTTCCCAACGCATCATTAGTGCTTCAATCTCCTACCTCTCCGAGAACCTCATGCCCCGAATCGGACCCTTCTATACGCCTGAGTTTGTACAGTACTGGACAAAGCTCGTGGTTGCCTACAACGCCCTCTGCAAGACATCGTTGGTTCAGAGATGGCCAGAGGGGACCTTGAATGTGACGGCGGCCATCGCCCTTGCGGTCGCTCCTCCCGTGATTTCTTCCTCGCAGTCTGCTCCCGAACCAGCGTCGCGTGCTAGCACTGTCGGTTCCTCTACCTCAAATCGTTCTTCTCACGGGAGCTCTGCCGCCTCGACATACTCTGTCTCACAAGGATGTATGGTTGTGAGTGTGGTTGTCACGGTCGGTGCCTCTGTTGCAAGTAGCCTCCTCCCATGGCTGTAAAAAACCTGCACGTGCGCCCCATCTCTCTTTTTTTTCACAGCTACACATGCACATACAACAGCTACTTGCATTTTGTGTTTCTGATTGGACCGGCAAACAAGTAAACACAGCAACAGACAACACGGACAGCCAATACCCAGGGATACATAGAAATAACGGAGTTCCGGCACGGACACACGGATACACGGACGGACCGTGCATTTCCTTATTATTTATTTCGACACACACATACCTCTTCCTTTCTTCTTACTTCTCTGCATGCTGCGCTTTTGCTTTGTTTGTTTGTCTTGTCACGATCGAGAAACATACCGCTACCATTTTTTTACTGCCATCTTACACACTCATACAGAACAAAAATAATAAACATGCATAAACACCATACATAACATACCTCTTCACACGACTCCATGTCGTATGTAATGGACGCAACTACTGCGCGCAAAAAAAAAGGAAAGACAAAAAGTACATAGTAGGGGATATGGAGATGCATCTCGTTATGCGTTGGATGATTGGGAGTTTCAACCTTCGCCACACGTTCCTCCATCTCTCTTCTCTCGTTCTCTCACTTTCTCTAGTTCCTTCTCTATTTCTCTCTCCCCTTCAACCACCTGTTATTGCTTTTCTCGCTCAGGGATACATTGAAAGGGGGTGAGCCGAGTGTATGTGCATAATGCAGCAAATTGAGAGTTCAAGGAGGTTCAATTTTTTTTTCTTTCGCTATGCAATGCAGCATTTCTCGTCCTGTTAATTAATTCTCCATCACACAACAACCCCCTTAACGCTTTAGACCCATCTTAAGACCACGGTCCTTTCTCGTTATCGTACTCGCGACCACATCCAACGACCTCACACCACCGAACTACCAACCACCCACCCGCCAGTACAATAGTACTTGCAAGGGGCATGCTAGGTAGTTGTCTTTTTGAAAATAATTTATTCACAAGTGGGGAGGGAGAGGGAGGGAGGCTCAAGAACGTTTTTGGGATGATGGCTTTTTTTTTTCTACAACAAAACGAAAAGGGACAGAAGCAAAAGAAATGAATGGGGTGTGGAGCGATGATGACCCTCTTAATCGTTCTTCTTGGAAGACGATGGGGCGAACGTCGTAGTGGTGGTGGTGGTGGTGGTGGAAGGGGTATCTCTATGGGATTCATTTCCCGCATGGATCCTGCTGGTATTTTCAAAATCAACACTCTTCATATTCATATCGTCCTGAACGGCAGCCTGGCCACGGACATCAGCCTCCAGACTGGCCATCAGGTCCTTATCTTCCATATCCCATCCCTGTCCTTCCTCCTCCTCATCCCGGATCGACAACTGTTGGATCGTCTTGCTGCTGCTGCTCACATCCTCATCCGCCTGCTGCTTCTCCGTAGTAATTTTCTCGACACCCTTGGCAACCTTACGACTGCTCGATCGACGCACAAGACTACCAGACCGGTTCAATCCACCCTCACTCCCACTCCCACTTTGCCCCTTCTCAAGCAACCTCCGCTCCTTTTCTTGCTTGAGTTTCAGTCTCTCCTTCCGTCGCTGCTCTTTGGCCTGTTGTAGCTGGATCAGTTGCTGTTGCTGTTCTGCCGTCAGGGGTTCCTCGTCTTCCTCGTCCAGTAACCGCAATCGCTGGTGGTGGTAATAAATGTCGTCGTGGCTTGGCAATGGCAATACGTCCGCTGCTGTCTGTGCCAATCCCGACATCATATCCATCGTCCTTTGCCTTGAATGTTGGAATCTTTTTTTTTGTAGGTTGTAAACAAAAAAAAATTAATCAGGTTAAGTGTCCATTGCACAATGATTTTCAACCCCATGATGACAGGTAAACAAATGGGACAAAAAGAGACAGAAAGTTTACCTGTCGGATTCGGTGACATCGGTGACGACGGTACGGATTCCACCAAGAAGAGACCCAAATCCTTTGAAGAGGGCCCGACCAGTGTTGACAAGGACCTCTTCAGCCTCGGGTGGAATAAAGAGTCCACTTGACTCCCGCTTCAACTTCCTGGCATCCCGCTGCTGCTGGTCCCGTTGGTTGTACTCTGGGTGACCAGTGCTGCTACTGAAGCTGCTCTGGCTCGAATGACCCGCCTCAAACGCCAGGGGCGCATCGCCTGCATTTGATTGGGAGGAGGAGCAGGTCGAGAGGGACGAGAATGAGGCCCGATCGCCCCGCTTTGCCAACAGCGCAGAGCTCAAATTTGTGCCACCCAGTCCGTTGGGTGACACAGGACTGTTGAGACCGTTGAGGGAGGAGAGGTAGGTGGGCAGAGGGCTGGTGGGTCGGCTATGTCCAGATGGTGATGTGAATCCTGCTCCAGACGTCGAAGACTCTCCTCCTCGACCCGCCACACTGCTCGTACTGCTGCGACCGCTGACTAGTCCATTGGTGGCCGACTGTGATGACAGCTGTGGCGACTGAATCGGTTGCTGTTGCTGGTGTTGTTGGCTGTGGAGGGTGTTGATATGATGCAAGCTAATCCCACCGCTGACGCCGCTAATACCACTGACACTCCCAACAACCGATCCCCAGATACCAGCCCCCGTAGTCGAAAGACGATGCGAAACCGATTGGGAGGAATGGCCATAATGGTTCTTCTCCTGTTCCTGAATCGAGGCGCTAGCTTCGGCTTGCTGTCTTGTCCGCTCCTCCATCATCATCTGAGACCACCGTTCCTTGAGCTGTGTCAACTCTGTTAGGTTGGTCTCAAGGTCCTCGCGTAATAGGGCGATCCTGGCCTCCTTTTGTGCAATGACCGAGAGAAGACTGTCGCTGGTCGGTTGAGGGGGGAATTCGCTGTCGGTCGGTGAGGCGACCATGGCCAGGTTGCTGCTGAGAGTTTGAATATTCCTGTTCTCGATCAATGCGAACGACTATTTGGATTTCAATTGGTTCACATGGACGGAAATCGAAGGTTGAACGGGAAGGGAAGAAAAAATAGAGCGCATATGAGTTTTGGGAGCCAAAAAAAAAGTTCAACAGCACAACAACAATCGAGATAACGCAAACCAAACATGGTATTTAGAGCATGTGGGACGAAAAGGACAAAAACGAAAAACGAGAAGAATGACCACAGGATGGTAGGCCTTATTCTTCCCGTTCAGACTGGAGAAGGCCAAGAAAAAAAAAACGTACCCGACTCTGTCGCTTTTGCCGAATGGAGGCACTCTTCTCGCGTTCACGGTCGCTGCCGCTCATACCCATAGTACCAGATCCAAAAGACGAGATGGAAGTGGGGGTTCCAGGGATCTGCTCCTCTCCAGCTTCGGACAGCTCTTCGCCCATATCGTCCTGCCGCTGCTGTTGCTGATGTAGCCGAAGTTGGAAGTCCTGGGAGGTACTTTGACGATGGAGCATGACATGCTTCTGGGGACGGTGGGTTGATGAAGGTGAAGGAGGCACACAATCTTGTTGCTGCTGTTGCTGTTGCTGTTGCTGTTGCTGCAGCTGTTGTTGCTGTTTACTGCCAGTCTTCTTGGACAAGGATGAGTTGCGACTGAGACTGAGACTGAGTGAGAGGGAGGAAGGACGGACGAGTCCGCCGTTGCTGGCAGGGCCGGTAGGTGGCGACGAGAAGCCGGCCAAAGCAGCAGCAGTCGAATCGATCCTCCTGCTGTTGCCGTTGCTGGTGTTGCTGGTGGTGCTGTTGGTCCGTTGAAGACTCGGTGCACGACTGAGAGAAGTGCGTTTCGAGGAAGGGGTTGCTGGTGGCGAGACAGGCGAAGTTGCCAAGTCGGAAGTGTTGTTGTTGGTGTTGGTGTTGGTGTTGTCGTTGATGTCGCCCAGATCGATAAGTTGCTGCGGTGTGCTAGTATTGTCAGGGTCCATGTCTAGTATGGCAGAGGACGACGATTCTGTTGCTGCAGGAGACGCCAAGGCTGACGAGGAAGACGGAGAAGAGGAAGGGGTTGTGGGGATCGGGAAGGGGATAGTCTTGCGATGTTCAGTCGCGTAGGAATGGCTCTTGGTGCCAATGGTATAGGCTGGTCGGGCAGAGAAGGTCTCGGGTAAGGTGGAAGAGGGTAACAGGGGAGGTGTAGCTGCTTGTTCGTTGAGAGAGAAAGAGTGGTGGCGAGAGGAAGGAGAGTCTGGCTCGGGCGAGAGTGGCTCTGAGTGGTATCGCAGGGCCGTCTTGTTTGTGTCGGTTAAGCTGACTTCTTCCTGCCACATGGTCTACTTTCGGTCTCGATTCGATGATGAGCTGGTGTTGCTTGCTTGCTTGAAGATGATGACCTCCTTTAGTTGTTAGTGGTTGTTATAAGGGAAAGGAGCAAGGACAAAGTCGAAAAAGCGATTGATTGAGAAGAGTGAAGGGATGGTGGCAAACAGGAATGGGGGAGGGGGAGAAGAAGAAGGAAAGGACTGATGACAAAAGGGAAGAAGAGAGGGGAAGGGAAGAAGGGAAGGGGAAGGAAAGCGGAAGGGGTGTATGTCTGGACACAGACGAGGGGATAGAACGGGGCGGAAGAAGACCAGCAGGAAAAGTGCTCACACTTCTTGTCACTGTCCTCCTCTTCTCACTCTTTCCTCATCCACATGGGAGGTTGATGGATGCAATGTGTAAACAAACACATTATTTTGTCCTCCCATGGCATTGGACACACTGGCATCTAATATACGACTTGCACTGTACACGTATTTATTCCATTCCATACCCTTCCCTTCCCCTATCAATTGCCTCTCCTTTCCTTAACTGCTTCTACTCTCCCTTACCAATTTTTGTTCGTTCCTTCCTACGGCGACCGTTTTATATCTTTGATCAGTGAGTGAGACAGGCAAAGATATCGGGGATGATGCCTGGGATCATATCATCAGTGATGGTGGATGGGTGATCAACCCTCCGTTTGACCATCAAATTTTGTTAAGGGTGAACGGCAAGGTGAGCATTGGATCTGCACCTATCTCTCCTCTATCTTTGACACACACCCATTTACACACAACCACTCCATATTACAACGAGACACCCCTTGCATACACACAAACACACGAAACAACGACAACAATAACAACGGAATCTGTGGCAAGACACGCAAGAAGAAGAAGCAGTAATGATCACAAACGAAGAAGATTATATCTCTCTCTCTTTCTCTCTTTCTCTCTTTCTCTTGTCGGCAGGGTGAATAAGCGAGCAAGGTCCCTTTTTTTGAAGTACAGTACCTGACTCTTCGCCCACTTTTTCTCACTCTCTCTCTCTGTCTCAGTGTACGTAGGTATCTCTCTCCACATCCACGATGTGGCTTTCAGTACGTTGTGTATATGCTCACCTCAATGCTCAGGTCAGCTCACATATACATACGCATCATGGGTTGGCCAGGGTCACCCTCTGACCTGACCAGGGGACTTTGAATTGTGTCCATCGCAGTACAGTACGGCCATGGTTCAAATAAGCGAAAAGGTAAAAAAAAAAAAAAGTAATTTGAGCATTGGAAAAAAGGAATAAAAAAAATAAAAAAAAGCGCTAAAAGTTATCTTCTGCTCTTATATTTCCCTTCTTCCTCTTTTGCTTCTTTGCCCTTTTGTTTCTTATCCAATGGTTCTTCTTCCTTGGATGGTCGCTTGATTGTCTGGGCACTTTTTTTTGTATTCCTCATTCCTGGATGCATATCTTATATTATCCAAGGAATAGCAACGTCCAATGGTATCTTCAATCAAAGGTGTTGATGGCGAGAACAAGTACTTGCTTGTTCGTGGGAAGAACATAGACGGAGCAATGTCCGTGAACTGTCATAACCATGGACATACACGCCATGTCAGTTAAAAACACCTCACAACCAGCTCATTGTCTTCAATGGCCATTCGCGGCATTCCATGGGCATTCAAGAAGCGGACGAATTATAATGAAAAAAATATATTAAGATGAGATACTTTAATGGGAAGGAAAAAGCAAGAAACGAGTAACGATATGGTAGAAAGAAACAAATGGAAGAGAATGCTAAGCGAAAAAGATATGTACAATGTGGGCGTGAAAGGAAAAATATCGTAATTATTTTTTATCGGGGGGCGAGGGGAGGGAGCATGGGAAGGCCTTCGATAGGGTGTGCATGAGGGTGTGCGTTAGAAAAAGGGTGCGAGTGACCGTGAGGGTGTTGTGAGTGAGAGGAAGGTTGATGAGGATGAGGTTGATGAGGGTGAGGGTGGGAATGGGATTGAGGGTGATGGTGAGAATATCCTTGTGTTCCATAGGAGTGTTGACCTTGACCAGCTTGACTTTGAGGAGGATAATGCATACCACTTCCACCAGGACTATTGCCCTTGGAAAAGTGAGAGTCGTGGGCCATGACAGGGGCTGGCAGACTCATAGGAGTGGGCAAAGGGAGGGATGACGATCCCACTCCCTGGGGTGCTTGGATTGGAGAACCCATTGGACTTGAGGGGTTGGTGACCGTCCCAATCGAGGGCAACTGCAAACCATTACCCCCTTGCTGTTGCTGCTGCAAGGAAGAGGGGTGGTGGTGGTGATGATGATGGTGATGATGGTGGTGCTGTTGCAAAGTCGACGAGGAAGACGATGCTCCTGGGAAAGGCGATGCATAGGGCGAGGTGGCAGCGGAAGATGTGGCCGAGGAGGGCGTCGAGGAAATCGACGAGTGGCTCGAGTGCGTCGTCTGACCGGAATACTTCCGTCTAATTTCGGATCCAGGTCCCGAAGACGTCGCACCACCACCGCCAAACATTGCCACCCCAGATCCACTCACAACCCCAGTCATGGAGTTCAATGAGGACGTTGATGCTGAAGATGTGGCTGCTCCTCCACTGTTGTTCTTCTGGTGACTATGGCGGGACGAAGACGATGCAGAGGACGTCGATCCACGGCCATTCGAGCCACCAGCAGCTGCGGCGGCAGCGGCCGCGGCCGCAGCGGCAGCGGCAGCAGATACGGCAGCAGAATGTTGATGGCTGGCAGGGACAGTAGGAAGGGCATTGGCAAGAGCATTCGAGTTGGCCGACATGGGTGCCAGAGGAGGCGACGAGCAAGGACTTGAGAGGGGCGAGGGGCCAACCCTGATAGCATCCGAGTGAGTGTGGTGGGGCTTAAGCCCGTTAGGGCTAGGGTGCTGCATGAGACGAGGGCGAGGGCTTGACGAAGGGGACACCTTGGAGGGAGCCTTGGAGAGGATGGGATGGAGGTGGCCACTGGTTGACATGGAGCGCTTGACACTGTGACCAATCATCTCGCGCGAAGAAGCAGAAAACATCTCAGGATGGCTAAAGGAATGGTTAGGAGGACTATTGGCTGCTGACCCAGGTGCAGATCCGGAAGTCTGTGCCGAAGCTGAGCTCCCAAACTGTGGGCCACTCAATCCTGGAATGGTGCCTTGTCCTGGGCCAGGGATGATTGGAGGAGTGGAGATGTTCATTCCAGTTGAATTGCTTCTTGTCATGGTGTGCTGGAGGGGGTCACCAGCGGGCACAGATGAAGAAGGAAGATGGGAGCTGGTAGGACCTCCAGGGCCAGGAACAGGGGCCTGTCCTGGTACGTGTGCTTGCTGCGGGGGATTGGGATGTCCTTGGCGGCGCATCTGAGATCCTTGGTAGAAGAAGCGGAGGGCGGCATTCTCAGATCGGAGTGAGTGGTTCTCTGTGTGCAACGACTATTTGGTCGATCCAAGAAACGAGATATGGATAGAAGGAACGTCGATGGTTAGACAAGGCATACAAGACACAAACAAGGACCCAAAAGAGCATTTAAACATTGACACACAAAAAAGATATGATGTAGCTATGCCACAGCACAACGCGCACAAAAAATAAAAAAAGAGAGGGTTGGACAAACCGAAAAAAATAATTATCCACATGCACGCGCACAAAAAAAATAATGCTTAAAACCAAAAGAATACAAGAAACAAGAATCCGGGATGGAGAGCCGTAATTTTCGTTTGTTCTTTTTCATTCCTTCGGAAAACGTACCCGAAGATGGTCCAATGCAAGTCGAAGAATCGTTCCCTTGTTCAGTTTGGCAGTCGACGAGCAATTGGGGAGGATTTCGGCAATCTGAAGAATCGTCGAGTTCAGTGTATCCCGACGGCGACGCTCGACATGGTTGTGGTTCTCTCGTCGACGACGGATCATTTCGAGCGCCGTCCGGCTGTCAAGACTGTTGCGGTTCATGATGTTGACACCGTTGATCTTGTAAGCTGACTGACGAGTTTTGCCGGGCGTCCCTGAAGAATTGGGCGCAGAGGTCATGGTTGAGTCCTTGGAGCTCATGTCCGAAGAACGATTGATATTCAGGGGCTGAGGACTGGTGGGTCTGGAAGGCAAGAGAGGACGGAGGGCAGGACGCGGCTTGATGGCAGCAAGTGGCGTTGAGGCTGTTGTCGAGGAAGGTGCAGCCTTGGTGTGAGTTGAAGGGGAGGAGGCAGGGGTTGCTGTGGAGGATGAATTGGAAGAGGCAGCGGCCGAAGATGCAGGGGTGGGATTAGCAGTAGAGAGTACTGAAGAAGAAGGAGAAGAAGAAGAAAGGGCAAGAGAAGAATGAAGGGCTTGAGAGAGCTGGCGATGATCTGGGTGTTGTTGGCGATATTGCTGATTGGAGAGTGCTGTCGATGGCAAGGGATGGTGAGGTGGTACAAAGGAAGGAGGGCGCAATTGAGGGTTTGTATGGGGATGAGAATGAGGGTGAGGATGTGTTGAAGAAGGATAAGGATGAGAGTTGGAAAGTGAGCGCTGGCCAAAGAGTGAAGAAGGAGTAGAAGAAGAAGAGGGAAAAGGAGAAGAAGAAACAGAAGAAGAGGGCTCGGCCATGTCCTGATCGGCGTTGTTGGTATGGTGGCGGTGGTGGTGAAACTGGTCGACCATCTTGACAGGAGCGCTGTCCATATCGACGTCCTCGGTCTCGTCACAGGAGTTGTAGGCGGAATTGTATGCCGAATTGTAGGCGGTATGGTAATTGCTCTGATATCCTGCGGGATCGTCGTCTTCGTCGTCGTCGAGGTCGTCTTCGTCGTCGTCATCTTCGTCCTCCATCAATTGGTGGTGGCCGCGATAGGAGGGATGCTGCTGTTGTTGCTGTTGTTGGTGGTATTGGTCGGAGAGATGCGACTGCGGATGGAGATGATAAGGGAATGACTCTGAGGAAGGTTCCGACTTGACAGCCATCTCACGATGTTGTTGTTGATTCGGGGTTGGCATATTGATGTGGTCGTTGCTGTTGTTATTTGTTGAAGAGGCGATGGAGGAGGGCATGGCAGGTGCTGCTGCAGAAGGGGGAGTGGAGGAGGAGAATTGGGCGGAGAGTTGTTTTTTCTGACGTACTGCCAAGATTGGAGGTGAGGAGGAAGGGTGGAGCACGGTGCTTGGCATTCAATTGAGTTGTCTCTGCCTGTGTGCTATGTGTGGGCGCTTTCTTGTCTGTCTTGGACTAGGTTTAAAAAGCGCACATGCAACCCAGATGTGGAAAGCAGAGAACAGGAACAAAAAAGAACAAGAACAGGAGAAAAAAAAAAGGAGAGCACGAGCTATGATCAAGGATATGACTCTTGCACGCAGCAATTGGCGAATAAACAAACAAAAAAAAGAAAGGATGAAGAGATGCGGATGTGGACCGAGAAGGGCAAAGAAGGCGCACAGGGAGAAGTGGGTAGGGAGAAGAGGGTTTTGCTTCCCTTTTGTGGAATGGATTGGAGAATAGAGGGGAATTAAGGTAGTAGGAAATAAAGAAAATGAAGAAAAATATGTGCTATTGAATAATAATACAATTGGTAGAGGGGCAAGGCAAGGGATCCGAGTGGGTAGGGCGAGAAAGATTGATTGGAAAAAAAAGGTTGAAGTTGAAATAGGATGTTGAAAGTGAAGGAGAAAAAAAAAGTGAGCCGCTGCTGCTGCTGTGTGTGGGATGGGACAGGTAGGAAAGTGATGCTGGATGTAGAATATGATAATGTATGCTTGGGATGGTATCACAGACACATACAAATGTAAAAAAAATTGGGTGCTGGTGCGTTATTTAACTCCCCCACGTTCTTTGTCAACAGGAAGAAGAAGAACAAGGGCCCTTGCCTGTTTGCATGTGTTTGTTCACAAAACAAAGCAAAGTAGCCAAACAAGAAAGAAAGAATAAAGAGAGCTAACTGAAGTAAAAAAAAAACCAGAGAGCTTTGTTTGTGTAGTTTGTTGTTGTGTTGACTGAGGTTCTTTTTGATTGTGTCGTTTTAGAGTGGTTTGTTGTAGGCGTAGTAGGTGCGTAGGTTGCGTAGGAAGTGCTTGCTTTGGTGTAGGTATTGTTGTTGCTGTGATGATACGAAGGCAGTGAATACTGTATGGAGTAAAAGGAGAAAAGGTAGTGGGTATTGTGTGAAAAGTGAATGTGTGTGAATGAGTGGAATGAGGGAGTGAATGCAATAGTTGAAGGCAATGAGGGTAGGAAGAAGGGGCTGAGATAACGGTTGAGAGGGAAAAGGCAAAAGCAAAGAAAAAACGGCAAAAAGGGAGAGGGAGAGAAGGAGAGGAGAGGAAGAGAGAGAAAAAAAGAGAAGAGAAGAAGGGAAGTGAAAAAAAAGAAGAGTGGATTGATCAGTATCAGAATGCTGTCAGAGGGGAAGAATGACGACTGAACTGTGTCTGAAAAGAAGAAAAAAAAACAAAGAGGGACAGAGCGTGAGAGAGTAAACTGCCAACAGGGCCTCTGACTCCTCTTTCTCTTTTGCCCTTTTACTCCACACACCACACACTCTTCAACTTTGATTTCAGAGGTCGAATAAAATCATTTCCTAACGCAGAGCAGGAATAGAATATGAACAAGCAAAGCAAAAGCACGATATCGATCATTCCTCATGGCTCATTCATTGCTGATCGTTCTCATCATTCATTACTGATCTCATCATTCATTACTGATCACCTCTTTCATTGTTGATCATTCCTCTACGGCTATCTATCTCCATTCGCATCAGCAAACAACCAAACCCTTTTTGCAAGGTGGAAGAACCCCACCCCAGCCATGGATAGCTACACACCTTAAGAGTATAAACAGCGACGAAGTGAGGCAATATTATTAGTATTTTTTATTCTCCTTTCTTCTTTTCGAAGGCAAGCTGCCATTCAATTTTGCAGCAACATGCCTCTCGTCCATTTTATCGGTGGTTCGTTCACCAGCACCTGTCTCCCCATCCTATGATTGGCTGGAGACAACACTGAAGAAAGTAAATAAAAAAAGATGTCAAAAAAGATGTGGAAGGGGACCCTACAGGTCAGTTCCACTTCCTCACTTCCTGAATCAATCAAATACTCACCCCTACAGTACCTCACATATACAGCACCCGCAGCACGGCTAGCCCATAAGAGAGTTAGTAATAGACAGACACTGCATCCACGATCCATGACCTCACTCACCTACTGTACTTTTTCCACTTTGCACGTTTCTTACATGTGCTCTCATCTCATTATGTTTTGCATTGTTGGTGTCGGTCCTCCATCTTCTCCTTTTTTAGTTCTCCCTCCTTTTGCCCTTTTTCTCTCTCGCACTCTGTCTCTCAATTACATCTCGTTCTCATAGACTAGACTTGGTGTCGATCGTGTTACCCACGGAGGATTTCTAATAAGGAACGGACTACATTGGTGCTTTATTACCATAAATGATATGCCTCTTCTCTTCCTATTAATGAGCTACATGCGGGCATGCTCTTCAGTCGAAGGCTTGGTTTGCGATTACAACGGCCAGCCTATCCTGGCAGCTGGAAGTGGTTCATCATATTCAAGCGGAGTCGTCTTTTTCTCCAATGCTGACACTTGCTTGGCTTGTTCGCTGGTTGGTTGGGGAAGGAAAGAGAAGAACAAAGAAAAAAAGAAAGGGGTGCATGGAAATGATGACAAGAGCAAAGACAAGGTGCTTTTAGGCAAAAAAGCAAGGGCAGATGCGCAAAAATAAACAAAACAAAATAAAAACAAACGGCCAAGCAGGGGGGACTTCATGAGAAAGTAACGAGAGCAAATCAACAATCAACAACGTAAACAAACAAAACAACAAAGAAGCAGAGGCATAACGACAATGAATGGGGATGACGAGTGACGGGTCCAGGTACAAAGACAGGTACAGGAACTGTGCCAGGGCACAACAGCTAACCTGAAGTTAAGAAGGGGCCAAAAGGAGTGGGTAAATGTTTGACTGAATGAGCATATGACAATTCATTCAAAGAGAGAGGGACACGGTCCAAAATTTTGTTTTTTCTTTTGTGCGACATTCCCATCGAGCTGCAACCTTGTAGAGTCGTAACCGCCTGTTTATTACCTTCAGGGCACGGCTCATCTAGACAAAACAACCCAAGGAAAACAAAAGCAAAAACAAGACGATGGAGACGAAGAAGAGGCGATAATTCATCATTTCTTGGAGATGGAGCTCATTTCTTGTTCCATGACTCAACAACTTCGCCCACGAATAGCAAAGAGTAAACAGAGAAGACGCAAAAAGAAGGTGGGCGCACGTTTGTTTCGATCGAACGACGGATGATGAACAATGAACGACCGTGGCAGCAAAACCAGAGACAAAAGGTCTGTTGACTAGCAAATCGATTGACTGAGACTCCCAAGCGAAATACCCCATAGGATCTCGACAGCACCACCCTGATTCACATCATACCATTCCTCCTTTTCTCATCATCTCTTGACTCCATGACTCCCTGACTCCTCATCCTCCTCGTCTTTTTCTTGTCTCGGCTATCCCGGGAAGCGGGCTCCATCCAAGCTTAAAGACACCAATAATATCAAAACTGCACTTTTTCCTATCCAATTGGATGAGCTGCAAGCAGACAAGATTGAAGTGGAGCTTTCTTTTTCTCTCTTTTTTTTCACATCAAGCCCCGCAAGAAAATAATCGCCGCAAGACATGATTTCATTCTTGTCCATCGCCAGTCTATTTCAACCAGCCAGCCAGCCAGCCAGCCAGCAACAAGTCTTCTCGTGGTGCACATGCCCCTGGTCTCTCGTCCTCTTTCGGTCCTCGTTCATGTTTCTCCCTCCCTCGTCCTTTTGTGTCCTTCCTTCCTGCCTGCTCTGACCTTCGTCTCACCTCTGCCTCTCAGTCTCGTCATTCCATCTTTTTTCTCATTGAGCGGAGCTGAAGAGAAGGAAGGAGTTACAAAACATTTTTTCTTTCCACTTTGGCTGACCTTTTTGCCCTTTTTTCTTGTGATCAAATCAAATAAACCCCCTGCCCCACCCCACCTTTCAACTCCTTCCCAAAAAAAGAATGCGCCGCCTACAGAACTCTACTTGCCTGTCTGTTTTTTTTACCACGCTAACAGTAACCAAGAGCAGTGGAGGAGGACCGTGGTAATAATAGCTCTTTTTCATTACAATGTATCAATGTATCTCAATAATGCAATTGCAGACCCCTGTTCAATTGAATCAAGTTCGTCGGGGAAAGGGTTCGCATAGCTGAAAAAAGCATCGCCAAGGGGTTTGGTTCGCTGCCGTTCGTTCTTTCGTTCGCCGCAGACAGTTCTTGCCTAGGTACTCTAACTCTTTCATGCTATCGCATCTTCCCCATCTGTGCTCTCTGCCTGGCAAGTTCCACGATCCCTTCTACTCATCATTCAGCCTATCCCCTGCCTTCTCCTCTCCCTTAGCTAAAGATAATATTGCCGCTCATCCAATGGTTTGATCGAGGGGTCGTTTAGACCTGGGAAATGCATTCAGCATTCAGCTTCAGCTCTTGTCTCAGCTCAGCTACCTACTCAGCTTCCCTCTTCTTTTTTTTTTCTCCTTCAGCCTATCCCACTTAAGGACGTGGACGAATGGAAGGCATCTAGGCAATGACGGGAGGATATTCAATAGAATGAAGTGGATGGATGAAGGATGGGTAAATCGGATCGATTGGCGGACTAGGAGGGCATCCCGCTCGACCGCGGCTGGCTGGCGGTGATTGTTTTTATTTTTTGTTTTGGTTGATTGTCTAGGGGAAGTACATGTACGTGTATATAGGAGAAGATGTGGGGGGATTAGAGGAAGAAGGAGGGTGCGCGACCATGGGAAAAAATAGAGGGTGTTGAGCACGTTCAATCGTTCGTGTTTTGCGAATTTCTGGATATAATTTCGTTGGAGAGATGGATATCTCTAGATTGGTATAGATCTCCTTTGCTCCATGTCCATTTGAGCAAAATGGCGTCCAGTATTTAGTGTTTCCATCTTTTTCCTCAAACGACTTGTTTTTTTCACTTCTGATGTACGTAGACAGGATAGTGAACGACGACAAAAAAAAGGGGGAACTAGAAAAGACAGATGGAAATGAAACGAAATCAGGAGCAATCGAAGCACGAAGCAGTGCTAAAACAGACTTCATGGAAGGAATCGCCCACACTTTCCAGCCAAAACAAATCGATCTTCTCAGAGGACAGAAAACCAACTAAAAACCCCCAACTATTCATCCTGTCTACCATTTGTAGCTCAAGCAGAAAAAGAAAAGGGAAGAATGTTTCATACCAGAGAAGAACGGCCGTTTAGAAGAAGAACGATTCTTGCTCTCTTGAACCATCGCCAAACTATAATCGGATCTCCAACCTCCATGAAGCCCTTTGGCCCTTTAGATCATCATTTCCTAGGATTCAGTCAATAAGAGGACGAGTGGCACCATTGTCAACGTCTATTTGCACGATCATCCCCGGCTCACTCTTTTCGCCCTTTTTTTTTCTTTTTTTACTTTCTACCCCACTTTTCCGCCTCTCCTCCAGATTCTGCCCTTTTTTGGTTTTCTTGTTTCTCCAACGGTCTGTCCAGACTCGACGGTGCACCAGGACTCGGATCTATGTCCTGCACGGTTCTCTTTTTGGTCTCGCTTTGTCTCCCATGTATTCCAAGGTACCCAGACTCCCTTCCTTCTCACTCACCCAACCACACCCCTACAAACCACAAACAAGGAACAAAGAACTCCTGGGAACGACCGGCAGGAACCAAGCATAACCAAAAGGAGGGACGTGCTAAAACAAACAAAAACGCAGAGGTATCATGAAGGAAGTACAGGGGTCAACCAATCACTCCTCTGCTCGAATTGGGTTAGATGTGCGCGTGGGTACTGTTGCACGAGAATAGTGCTCAAACACCAACCCCCTTGCCTTCTTTCTCTTCTTTCCCTGGCAAGATCTTTGCCGTTTGTCTGGTGGCCTCATTCACACCAACACTGCACGTCATTTTTTCTCTTCGTTGGTCTGGATCATTATGTGCATGTTTGTTTATTTCCTGTTTGTTGTTTACGCGATTACTGTTAATATTGAGAGGGGTCACGTCATTAGCGTATCTTTTGTATGAGTCTATGTGTTCTATTTTTTTCTACAAAAAAATATGCTATGGTTCTTTCTAAATTGTGTTGGGTACATGTTCTCCCTCTCTAAGAAGATCCAGTAAATCCAAGAGAGTTCTTGACATAATTGGCAACCATGGTGACAGGGTTCTTGGGCGAGACAAAGAGGGCGGTGCATTCGACGAGTGTGTTTCCGTCAAGGTCGTGGATACTGGCATTGGTGTATCCCTTGCGACCTTCGCCACGTTCGAACTCGGCCTTGATCATGACGAATTGGTCGGCCTTGACAGGCTTGCGGTAGTTTAGGTTCAGGTTTGCTGTGAATCCGATGTGGTATGGCAGATTTGGCAATGCCTATTATGTTGTATTGGTCATAGGAAAGGAGGTGAGTGTGTCAATTGCGGTTGCATGTAGAGATAGTCCCTGGATCAAGCATAACATAGCTCCATGTGTTCCTGTGTCAAAGTAATTAAGGTGCTAGGGAAAAACTTACAACCATGCCGGTAGCTTCGTCTATAGGACCATAAGAAATGCGATAAAAAGAAGTGTTAGAAAATGAGGAAGTAAAAAAAAACCTTATCCATGTGCTCATTCCAATCCTTCACGTCAGGCAGATCGGATAAAACAAAAGGTGCCGCAACTTACCCAGGAGAGTAGCCAAGAGTCCTCCATGGATGATCCCGTCATGTCCACAAAGACTGCGTCCCAGATGCAGGAACAAGACAATCGCCTTTTGATCCTTGCGCTCAAACTTGATAGGGTGTACACTCAACATATTATCTCCTCTCAAAGTGCCCGCCGTCAGATGGTGGGGGGTCGTGTTCTTGGTCAGGTACCAGTACGGGTTCGCCTCCTTCCACTCGCCAGTCTTGGCTTTGTCCTTGTACTCGGCCACCAGATTCAGCTCGGCCATCTCCTTCTCCAACAAGACCGATCGCTTGATCTCCTTGAGCTTCTCCGGAGTTGGCTTAGTAACATAGGCGTCATCGGGTTCTTCCTCGGTCAGGATCGTGGGCGTCATTTTTCCAATGGGCATGCCGCTCAGACCCTCCATGCTGGCGGTGTTGTATTTGGAGTAGGCGAGTGCTCCGGCGGCGGCAGAGGCCGTCATGAGGGTCAACTTTTGAATCCAGCCGCTGCTTCCGCTTCCGTTGGCGTTACCTGCTGCAGAGGTGTGTTTAGGGACATCGATGGGTGAGGCGGTAGAGTTGCTGGAGGAGTTGCTGCCGGTGGCGTAGAAGCTGCATTGTTGTTTTGAGCGAGTAATGGTTGCGCTGCGGACAGGGACTTTTGTGGCCAAGGTCCGGGAGAGTCTGACACTTCCTCGGTTGAACATTGTTGTTGTCTGTTGTTATGTGGTTGTTGGGTTGAAGAGGGAATGGGTTCCGGAGGCTGTGTTGGTGTGAATGTCAACCGAGGGGAAGTGAACAAGAGTAATAGGAGGAGAGAAAAGAGTGGAGTGGGGAGTGAGTGAGAGTGGGGAGTGTATGCGGTGTGTAATGAATGAAAAGAATGATGTCACCACAAAAGCAATCAGTCCTTTCAAAGTAAAACCCAGCCAAGGGACGGATGAATATGCTGCCGGATCGAGAGGGAGAGGAATTTTTCTTTGCTGGGCTAATCATCATGTTCACTTCACTACTCTTCTGTTCACTGAGTCTCAGTTCAGGTACGGAGAGATTGCTGCTAAGCCACTCCGACCCTCCTGTCAGTGACTGTGATGCTTGTTTTTGCCACGAACCACTTACTCCAGCTGGGAAGGAAAGGAGGGAAAAGAGATCAGCTTGTCCGACTGACTCAATTCTGTCTCCACTTCGGGAAGTCGATTCACTTTTCTCTCACGCTCTTCTTTTTCTCCCCTTCTCCCCTTCTCCACTCTCCACCCTAATCACCAACCCAACAAACACAATGCTCCGCTCACTCTTGCGCGTCTCCTCAGCTTCTGTCCCCCGGGCCTTCCCCTCCACCCTCATCGCCCGCCATGCTAGCACAACCCCTGCCGTCAAGCCCAACATCAAGATGCTGGCCGAGATTCGCAAGACCATCGAAGGTATCTCGATGATGAAGGCTAAGGAGGCCCTTGTCAAGACCAACAACGATTTCGAAAAGGCCCTCGAGTGGGTTCGCGAGGACGAGGCCAAGGCCGGTATCAAGAAGGCCGAGAAGTTGAAGGATCGTCAGGCGTTGGAGGGACTTATTGGTGTTGTTGTTGGGGAGGTTGGTGAGCATGGTAACCGTGGTGCTATTGTTGAGGTAAGCTTATGAAGGGATGGTTCAGGGACAGGTGTTTGTTTTCAATATTTCAGGAAGAGTTATCACTTTTTGTCCAATTGCATCCAAGGATTTGACTGCAATGGCTTTTCTATTCAACTGCATCCATATCCAAGAATGTAGCAACAATGCTTGTTTCTTGCGGATGTCAAGGACCCAACGCTACCATTCTTCAATTGAAAAGTGACAAAGAAGGTGTCCTTTGCAAAACGCATATACTGACTTTCCTTGATTACTATTCAAAATAATAGTTGAACTGCGAGACGGACTTTGTGTCGAGGAACGACTTGTTCAAGGGCCTCGTGAGCCAGATCGCATCAACCGCACTCTTGGTCGTCGATGGACCCTCAACCCCCGCCGAAGGCCAGAAGGGTCTCGTTCAGGATGTCGCCATCGCCGACTTGTTGCAGGCCCCCATCCTCCCCGACCCAACCCTCGCCGCTGCTGGATCCACCCCTCCTGCACACGAATTCACCACCGTTCAGGAGTCGATCACAAAGGTGATCGCTAAATTGGGCGAAAATATCTCCCTCCGTCGCTGCTCGGTCGTTCATTTGCCCGAGAACCAGCGTGGGATGGTCTTGACTGGAGGCGCGACTCATGGAGGCGACAAGCACCCCTATGCTGGAAAGATGGGCGCTCTCTCGGTCATGACCTTGGTCTCCAAGCAGGGAGGATCCAAGAAGGTCACCCCCTCGGAAGCCGTCACCACCTTGTCCAGACAATTGACCCGCCACTTGATCGCCTCGCCATCCATCACCATCCACCAGGAGGACTGCAAGATCCCTCTGGAGGTCTCGAACGGTGGACATGCACCCCCCGAGGAGGTTGATGCCTGGTTGGACGAGCGTGTATTGATGCGTCAGCCTTTTATTTTCGGTGGTGGAAAGGTTGAGCAGGTGGTCGCCAAGGTTGCCAAGGAGGAGGGACTCCGTATCAAGGTTGTTGATGCTATTCGGTGGGAGCGCGGTGAAGGTATGGTCAAGGCAGAGACTGTTGACTTTGCCGAGGAGGTCCGTCGTCAGATCGAGAACAAGTAGAGACGTTATTAGAGTCAGGAGCAATAGGCACCATCGCCACCCATTGTACATTTAGATTATTATTATTATTGCCATTTCCCCAATAGATCCCCTTTTCTTTCTTTCAACACATGATTGATGTTTTTTGATACACGCTGTCTTTTTATTTTTGAATGGTCCAGGATGTTCCCCTCTCGATCCTAAAAGAAAGTTTGTTTGATTAGTTTTTGCCGCGGGTATATACTTCCTTCACGCGGCTCGCACTTTCTTTACTCTCTCTTCTTTCCGCCATTGCCCACATACACAAACACGTCCACCATCTCCCATTCAGGAATAAATCTTAATGCTGCGGCTGAGCAAAAGTAGAAAAGAGGATGTAATGCGATTCTATCGTCACTGAAGAATATTATGTTCATGCATGTGCCATGTACGGGAACAGTTCTATTGCTATCAAAAAGGAGGATTCAGCATCCGTGAAGGAGTTTTCACGGTACAAAAGAAGAACGAAACAAAACGTTCAGTCTCGACCAGGTATCGAGCAATCTTTTTACTTTTACTATAGTTACTTCAGGCGTTTTTTTTCATTCTCGAGACAAAAAGAAAGGAAGCCTTACAAGCGGCACCGCGTATCGCTCATACTTGATTGTGCTAGAAAAGAAGAGACAAGAATAAGAACAAAGACATGATGTAGTAACAAGTCACTAAATCGCTTGATGGACACTCAGCAGGGCGAGAGTCGAGAGACTACAGGAAGCGATATTGGGTATGTTGAAAAAACGATGAAATGAAAGAGGATAGACATCCAAGTACGTCAAAAAAAGGTTCTTGAAAAAGAAAGGCCCTAAAGTACCCTCTTCGCGCTCCTACTAAACCATTTTCGTGTTCACTCAAGCTCAAGAGGTGGAATGAGAAAGGGAGGGAGTAGTTGCAGCCAATGTTGAACGGACAAATGGAAGAGATCCAAGGATACTGTAATTCACAGAATACATCCAAAGAAGAAATGTGCCGATAAGAGAGAGATCATCACAGCCGACATACAGTGCCATTGTGATCATGAAGTCAGCGCTGAAATGGTTCAAGTTACATACATGACGACTCACGAACCTTTCCTTATAGGCCAATACACGAAGGATGGCGGTTACGAATACGTTCGTGGGGATGATGCTTTGGACGAGTATTGTGAGTATCTATCCAATGCTAAAAAGGACTGGCTTATATGGTTCCATAATGGTGGCAAGTACGATACACATACTCTACTTGCTCCCATTACGAGATATTGTAACGAGAACTGTATGATTCAATCGTACTTTGTAATCTAAATGTAGGCCAAATGCTTTTTAACAAATGGCTTTACAGTTACGATTCGTGATTCGTACGATGGCTTGAAGCACTCCTCCAGCGAGAGATGTGTATCTCGCACAGGTGCAAGATCTTGGATCATCCTCGACTCGCGCTTTGAATCGCTTATCATCATTATTTCAAGAAAGTAGACATCGTTCTTTGGCCGCTGGGTACCATGTGGGCATGTATATGAAAAACAAACTCTGTCAAATATCCATTTTTTGTGAAAACCACATCGACCGACATCATAAAACGCGTGTTGTAAAATGCCCTTGACAGATCGCTGGAAACAGGGTAGACATATAAAGCAAAGCAAAGATCGTGAACAAGGAAAAGAGTAAGAAAAAAAATGTTCAAGACGGTGTTCACTATGTGATAACCACTCTTTTCCGTCCTCCAACATATCGAAGCCAGTCGAAGCCAAAGTAAAGGAAAACGACACACAAGAACCATATCGGTCTTACTATTCTTTACATTGTGTTTAAGTAACAAAAGCCCTTGATCCTCCTTCAAATGGCTCCGAAGAGAAAAGACACGAAACGCGTTCAAAGCAGGCGCCAATTATTGCTCAGAGCTAGCATTAGTGAAAGAAAAGAGAGTTCAGGTGTGATATCAAGCAAGGATTGTCGAATAAGAATGTTCACTTTCATTAATTCTCTCTATCGGACCTAGGGGTTTAGTAAACAAAATGCTGTCAGGAAAATCAACAACGATGACAAAAAACGAGGAAATGAAAAGCCGTTACCTATCGGCCTTCAAGTACCCTCCTACTCTTTGTACATGGACCCCCTGGTTGTTTGTTCTTAGCAACCCACTTACCCATCGAGCAGTCAAGGCGTGTTACAAATGAAGATGGGAGAAGATAGAAACAAAGCAGATGTATAAAAGATTGAAGGCTAAGGCAAAAAAAAAAAAAAAGGAAAGAGGAATAACGTTTGTATGTCCATGTGTTAATAGTCCGAGGCACAGATGTTTACCAGCTGTTGGAACAGGAGAACAAGATTGATGATCGTAGGAGAGAGAGAGAGGACTGCTTGTGTTATTTGCGTGTGGGCATGGGAAGGTTCATGTCCTGTATCCATGGGATGCATCTGTTCTTTGCTCTCGATGTGTATCGGTGTGAATGTTGACTAAGAAAAAGAAGCCAAAGGTACCTGAGTGAGAAGGACATCGTCTGATTCGCTCGCATCTATCACATGCCATTCTGAAAGATCTACTGCGTTCAATTAGACGGGGTCAAGATAGTAAAAACAAAGATAAATGAATGTCAACCCGTTGTAAAATGTGCGATAAGATTTTCTTCTCGGTGTTTTTGTTACGCATCTCTTCCTTCTTGCCCCGCTTGTCCTTGTCCAACCTTGATGTCACCCCTCAAAAGGGAATTGAGTCCGGGGCAGACGCGCTCCTTTCTTTTTCTACTCCACTCTTTGCGCTCCCCGGAGTTTTTTTTCTTCTTCTTTTCTTTCCTTTTTTCACTGCTCTTCATCCATCTCTCCACTCCCACTCTCACCCTCACTCCTTTCCTTTCTTTCCTCCCCTCTTCTCTCTCTCTCTCTCTCCGCTCTCATCCATCTCATCTCGCCGACTCACCTTCACTCACCGGACAATCAGGATCAGGATCAACCCACCACAACTGCCTCCTCATAACCATGTCGTCCCTGTCACAACTCGGCAGATCTGCGCGTGCAATCAACGCCACCCTCCCAAGGGTATCCGTCGCTAGAGTCGCCACCAACATCGCTCCCAGACGCACCCTCCTCACCCTTGCCACCGCTGCTCGTCGCCAGGGAGCCGTCCTCGCTCAAAGGACTTCTGCTTTCAACAAGACCTCCTCCCAGACTGCTCTCCGCGCTTTTTCGACTTCCTTGCCTAGTCTGGATGATACCGAGGAAGAGTCCGAGGACCCCACCAAAGCTGAGCGCTATGCTGACGAGACCGACGTTGTCATCGTCGGTGGTGGTCCCGCTGGTCTCAGTGCTGCTATCAAGTTGAAGCAGCTCGCCAACGCCGATGGACGTGAGCTCCGCGTTGTCCTTGTTGAGAAGGCAGGCGAGATCGGTATGTTTTCTTATTTTATCATAGTGTCGCAGTGGTTTATATAGGATCATTCACTAATCATACTCTACCTTTCCGACTCTTCTGGTTTCATAGGTGCTCACACTTTGTCCGGTGCCGTCTTGGAACCCCGTGCCTTGAATGAGTTGATTCCCGACTGGAAGGAGAGGGGCGTAAGTGAGAATGATATAATGTTATTGTCGTCAGATCATCCTTTTGTCATCGTCTCTTCCGTCACCCTTTTACAAAAGGCCATTCTCAGACTGGAGCACTGTTGGAACAAGCAAAGAAAGGATGCTAACATAGACTTGACTTCTCACCTACCGTTCTTTTTATAGGCCCCCCTGAACCAGCCTGCCTTGGAGGACCAAATGAAGTTCTTCACCAAGAACTATGCCATCCCCTTGCCTCACCCTCCCCAGATGACCAACACCGGCAACTACATTGTCTCACTCAGCAACTATGTCAAGTGGCTCGGTGAGCAGGCCGAAGAGGCTGGTGTCGAGGTCTTCCCCGGATTCGCTGCCAGTGAGGTATTGTCTCCCCCTCCCCTACAACATACACAACACACGCCGTATTATTGCGCATTACATTACGCAGAGCAGTTTATCAGAAAATGGGATATTGGGGATTGATCCGATTCAGGACTTCTTATTTATTTTTTCCCACGCCTGTGTCAGAATTGCCTGGACTCATACCCCGAACCGAAATAATATGCCCGTCGTCCTCTTTACTCACACACACTTGCTCTGCTTTGTTTTTACTTTATCCGATTCATAACATATATAGATTCTTTACAACGAGGACGGAAGTGTCAAGGGAATCGCAACCAACGATGTCGGACTGGACAAGAACTTCCAGCCCAAAGAAGAGTTCGAGCGCGGCATGGAGTTCCACGCCAAGGTCACCCTCTTTGCCGAAGGATGCCACGGTTCGTTGACCAAGAAGCTCTTCCGCCAGTTCAACCTTCGTGAGGAGTGCGATCCCCAGACTTATGGTATCGGAATCAAGGAAGTCTGGAAGATTGACCCCAAAAAGTCCAAGCCTGGAACTGTTGTCCACGCCATGGGCTGGCCCATCGACAACGCCACTTACGGAGGAGCGTTTATTTACCACATGGGCGAGGACATGCTCAGCTTGGGTCTCGTCGTCGGTCTCGATTATGAGAACCCTTACCTCCACCCCTACAAGGAGTTCCAGCGCTGGAAGCACCATCCCTACGTCAAGGATCTTTTGGAAGGAGGCGAGTGCCTGTCCTATGGTGCCCGTGCCATTAACGAGGGAGGTCTTCAGTCAATTCCCAAGTTGTACTTCCCCGGAGGCGCCTTGATTGGGTGCACCGCTGGATTCTTGAACTTGATCAAGATTAAGGGCACCCACACTGCCATGAAGTCTGGAATGCTCGCTGCCGAGTCTACCTACGCTGCCATCACCTCGGACAAATACGAGGAGGGTAAGCCCATTGTTTTGGAGGACTTTGAGCAAAAGGTCAAGGACAGCTGGATCTGGAAGGAGTTGAAGGAGATCCGTAATTGCAGACCCAGTTTCCACACCCCTCTCGGCAACCTCGGAGGAGTTATCTATTCTGGTATCGACACCATTCTCCTCAAGGGCAGGACCCCCTGGACCTTCCACAACACCACACCCGACCACGAGCGTCTCCGTGTTGCCACCAACGCCCAGAAGATCGACTACCCCAAACCCGATGGCGTTATTTCCTTTGATCTGTTGACCTCTGTCTCGAGGACAGGCACCAACCACGCCGAGAACCAACCTGTCCATTTGCGCCTCAAGGACAAGGATGTGCCAGTCGAGCGCAACTTGAAGATCTATGATGGTCCTGAGGGTCGTTTCTGCCCTGCTGGTGTGTACGAGTTTGTTGAGGATGAGTCTGGCCCCGCTGGCGCCAAGCGTCTCCAGATCAACTCTCAGAACTGCATTCACTGCAAGACTTGTGATATCAAGGATCCTAGCCAGAACATTGACTGGACCGTGCCAGAGGGTGGCGGTGGACCTCAATACTCGTACACATAAGCAGTTTTTTCTTTTCTTTCGTTCGTTTTTCCTCTTTAGATGTTTTCCCTTTTTTTTTTTTGTTCTTCTCCCCTCCATTGTGCCTTGCCCTTTACTCCAATGCGCTATTATGCCCACTCCCAACTTGTCATTCTAATAAACCCTTCTTGTATCTTTCACATTGCGGGTGCCCAAGACTCAAGTGAGTTTGGCGAGCGTCACGTGTAGTGTTTTGGTGGCGCCTGTAATTCAAAACACAAAGAGCGCGCGTTTTTCTTTTTGTTTTTGCTCTCCTCACTCACACTTTCCTCACATCCTCTCGGCATGGCGAACCCATCAACACAGGCTCCAAGCAACGCTACAACAACAAACATCATCTTCTCACACGACTTCACTCAGTCAACCTACACCCTCCTTGAGATCCCAAAGTCCCTCGAAAACTACATCAACACACAGGACAACAATGCCACCTTGAGGTATTGCATTCGGGCCATACTGATAAGCAGGTTGACAGGTCAAGGGATGACAGAACAAAGCTAACCATGTAATCGTTTTTATTAATATGATAGCTTTCATGTGCGAGGGCTGGAGAAGGATACGGCGGTGCTGTGCACGCCAACACAGACGTTCAGCTTGCAACGCGCTCACACTTCCAACATGCTGGTCCCTATCGCACCTCTTGTTGATTCAAAGCGGAAAGATCACGACACAGATATGGATATGGATACGGATGCGGGATTCGGGAGCGGCTTGCAAGCGGATCCATTTTACATTAATGATCCCGCGCTGGAGGAATCGCCGTTTGGAAGACAGGTCGTGCTGGATATTTTGGATAGTGTCCTGGACCTGATCCCGACATCGCCACGACTTGAACGTCTGGGTGAGATCCTAGCGAAATCTCAGTTTGAAGGCTGGGCATATGAATCTGACTTCCAGGTACACATACGTTTGTTATCTTGTGCTCTGTCAGGATGTATGGTTCACAACAGGACTCTAACCTGAGAACCCTCGAATCGAATCCTAGGATCATTTGTACACATGGGAGAACCTGCAGTCGGTTATTCAGGCTAGCGACAAAGAGATTATGGACTGGCTCAAGGAACACCATGCGTGCTTGATCAATGGACACTGGCGGTTGTTCAAGCGGCGGTTCATGTTTGACATTCTTCGGGAGATCTTCTCGACCGCGAACGCTCTCGGGATCGAGGCTAGTTCTGTGGACGCGGAGAGTATATGCACAGAGATCGAGAATGACACACCAGAGTCGGAATCGGGAATCGCGTCGTGGATGGTCAAGCATTGTATAGCCAGCTTCTCGGAGGATGCTGCGCCGTCGGACATGACCAAAGCTGGTGAGTGCACTGCATGCTCGATTTGATCCGCATAAAAGTATATTTTGCTTAGGCTATATATTAATATTTGACATCAATTATACTTCTAGACCACTACTGTTTGTCGGAAAGGAAGGTGTCGACATTCATGGGAGTCCATCTCCTCTCTTCTACAGAAAGGGTATGTTTCAAGGGCAATTGGGTTCCGAATCGGGGTCGTCGCCTAGATAGTGTAGCGAAATCTAAACCTTTGGCTACTTGTATCTACTCGCATTAGGGTCATCGCTGGAGGTTGCAAGATTTCATGATCAAATGGAACGAGCTGTTGCAGGAACATTTTAAGGCAGATCTCAAATACCTCGCTGTAAGTCAGCGTTCGCGGACGCTTCACAATGTATGGAACCAGTTCAAGGATATCTGGCGTAAATTGTCTAACGCTTTTTTCTCATTATCTATAATTAGGGCGAGTACATCGTGGAATGTGACAAGGGGATGGATAAGACCCAACAACAGTACATTCGCTACTTCCCGAAATCCCAATTACCCTTGGATGCTGTAGCTCGCTTCACAGCGCTGTTCGAGGTCAAGCCCAAGTGGGAGGGTCCCGAGATCCGGCCGTTCTTGCGGGATTTGGTTTTGGACGAAAAGAAGCTGGATATCCTGTTGCTCAAGCATGCCAGAAGTGTCAAGCAGCCTGGTGGAGGAATCATTTACAACAGCCGCGTCATCAAATAAAGCGGTTCTGCTTTGCTTTTGAATGTTTAGTGCGTTCGATTGGGATTCTGAGCGACGAGGCGGATGTTTGAGATATTTTAGTAATTGTAGGATCGGGAGTTCCAGATATTTTCCTTGTGTTCATGTTTCAACGACAACTTTTCAATAGTTTGTCGCTGCGACGATGGGAATGCAGGTGGCTGACCTTTCAAGATATGTCTGGTGTGTTCAAGTCATCGGTACTCGGGGATACAGCAGAATGAAGAAGCACGATAGTCTGGTGACACAGAGCAGATGCACTCTTTTTTTCATTGTAACAGTACTTGTCCATGAACAAAAGGTATCGTTCATCACGGGTTCTCGGGACCTCTTCGTCAGTTCGGGCCTTGAGTTTGTTAATGGTGCTGAAGGCTTGTCCGATCGACGGGTCATTTAGTAAATAACGGGCTTTTGTGCCCTCTTTCCACTCATTCTCAATGGCATCAACTCCCTTGCGGTACAGATCAATGTCCCTCTTGCTCTTGGCTTTGAGAGACTTGGCAGCGTCCTCGTGAGAGTACAAAGTCAAAGACTCTCGGATGTCACGTTCGGCCTTCAAGGACCCAGCTTCCGACGTCAGCACCAAGTCTCGGGGCCAATGGAGAGTAGCTATCTTGCCATGCTTGTTTTTATAGTACATTATGGTATCATAACGATTGTCTTGTGTTTTGCAACATGCTACTTCAGGGATATTTACCGACATGGCCATTTGGCTGGCGTTTGGCCTCCAACGCGACTTTCACTATTTTGTTTTATCAAGATGTGTTGTTGAATTGCTCGTACTTTCCATGCTGACGAACCGCAGTCCTCTCTAAGGCACTGCCCGTGTTGGCTTTGGATGTGGATACGCTGTAGGATTAGCTTGGATGTTTTGTATTCTTGTTTGGTCAATTGGTAGAAGACCACGACGGGTGATAGGCTGGGTGACCTCCAGTGCTCCAAAAGGAAAGAAAAATTAAGGGGCCCTACTTACCTGGCTATTTACACTCACGTTTTCAGGCACATTCGCTATTCTCAACGACACACAACAATCGTCATGTCCAGTTCAACACCATCCATGTCCTGCTCAGCACCTCTGGAGACCATCTCAACAGACGCTTTTGACCGACAGGATGCTCTATCGCGGTGCCTCGACTTTTTTAAGGTCGCTCCAAAGCCAGAACAGCTTGAGGTGGTCGCTACTTTGGCACGATGCCAGGACTGCATTCTCATTGCAGGTTGCGACTGGGGCAAAACGCCTGTCTACTTTCTCCCACTGATACTCTGGCCTGACCGTGTCATTTTTGTCATATCTCCGCTGAAAGCCCTGGCAGAACAGCAGCACCAAAAACTACACGCACTCGGTATTCGCAGCGTCGCCATCCTGGGGGAGACTGCCATTACACCCGATATGTTCAAGAGTCTGAGCGACGGAGTGTATAGAGCTGTTTTCATCTCTCCTGAGCATGCCCTCAGTAACGATCGCATAAAAAACCTCTGGAGACAGCCTGGTTGGAGGAAGCGACTCTTTGCCGTAGTGGTGGATGAGGCGCATTGCATCAATTCCATGGGCGACCGCTTTCGTCAAGAGTACGGCAGTATTGGAGACTTGCGTTGTATGGTTCTCCACGATACACCTTTTCTGGCAACATCTGCAACACTCCCACCTCGAGTCCTAGAGAATATCAAAGAAAATCTCCACTTTCGGCCGGATACCTACACCATCAACGTTGGCAACGATCGACCTAATATCAAGTTCATCGTCACAGAATCTCAACATCCTATGGATTCTTTCCGGGACCTCAAGTTTCTCAAGGATTTCAGGAAGACGATCGTTTATTTCAACACTTGCTTGGATGCGGAAAGCGCTCGCAGGTATCTTGTGCGAGAGTTGGGTCTTGACTCAAGCAGGATTGCGGTGTATCACGCTATCAAGTTGGATGATTTCAAGTCAGTGATCCTCGAGAGATTCAGGAACGACAAGGTCCTTCTATTACTTGCCACGGAGGCTGCTGTTGGAATGGTCGGTGACATCAACAACATTGTCCGTGTGGTTCAGTACAGAAGACCCCCAAGTATCGTTTCCTTGATCCAGCGTCTTGGCCGAGCGTCGCGCGACACGACTTTACAATGTACAGGCCTTACTATTGTTCCACAATTTCCATCTCGGGGGCCAGCCAAGGATGCAGCCGACAAGGACCTCCTCGCGTTTCTTTACACCAAGACCTGTCGCCGTAAGGTCCTGGACGGCGTATTTGGCAATAAACATCACGAAGATGGCAATGCCAATTGTTGCGATAACTGCCATCCAGTGGAGATCGTCCGCACGGGCCCGGAAGAATATGAGGATGCGGAGGCCAAGGTTGTTGGCAAACGAGGTCCTCCTAGCACGGAAGAAGATAAGGCTTTTGCCAGACGGGCAATCGAAGAGTGGAGGACAGCTACGTGGAAGCGCGACTTTTCCTCCAGAGGTTTTTTTTATCCTACTCCACAGTACATAATGTCGGATCAAGTTGTGAAGACACTTGCAGATGGGCATGCCAAAGTTGTCGCGGCCGACTCCATCGAATCCTTTCTTAATTGGGGCCTTCTGGATCTCAAATACTCACAGGAGTTAACCGACATTCTCATGGACATTAATAAGAACATCACAGCTAGACAAGGAGAGAAGGTACATGAATCATCTGGATCTATATTGTCGTTTGTGCAATACAAATCAGCACCTGAACTGACTTGCGATCTTTTTCTCAGCGATCATCTTCAAACCTTACAGGCGATACTCCCAGTCTCTTGACAAACCCATCTCTGATACCTCCATCTGTGATGCCTCCACGCCCAAAGAAGCCTCGTCCACAGCAAGGCACATACTCTTTCATTAGCAGAACACCTCCTCCGCCTTTAGCACTTTCAGCGCCTGAACAAGCGCGGTCTCCGTCTCAACAGCCATCTACAGACCTGACAGGAAGTCTTCCTCGTTTCTCAACACCCTCGGCCTCGACACATCCGCATACGACGCCTACACCTACGACGCTTACGCCTACACCTACGACAATTACGCCTACACCTACGACAATTACGCCCCCGCCTCACCAAAAGGTACCTCGCCAAAAGGTACCTCGCCAACAAAGAAACAGCTTGATTTTTGTTGACCGGAACAATTGGACGGCGGCGAGATACCTTAGTAAACAAGGGTCATCGTCAAAATGATATTGTGACGCGCTTGATAGTGACACAAAATACCTCGGTTGACAATAAACCTATTCGCCTGCATTCTTCCGTTGTTCATTACATCTGACTTGCATCTTCTCCAGTTCACATACACTGTCACTCCTTGCCAACTCGTAGCCCAGTCTTCGGCAGAAACCACAGCTGTATAATCAAATGTGTTCACTTTTTGTTATCAACGGAAATATGATTTTAATTAATATGGTTTTCATCATCATGATCACCTTCTAATATCTAGTCTCTCAGTATCAATAGGGTTACTCTCTTGAATTTTATCATCAAGATCGTCTCCAAGTCCCTGGCCGTCATAAGTATGCTTTTCGATGAAGGTTTGAATACGCTTCTCGTCCTGCAGAGCGTTTGGCGCCAGTGAGAAGAAGATCCTTCGCGGCTGTAACTCTTTTGTTTTTTCCGAACATAAGGCGTAGAGTGGTGACTGAGAGTTCCGTTTTTCTCTAAATATCTTCAGTATGTCGTGGATATCCGTTTCTGCGCTTGTTGCTGGGTGCATGGAATTGCTTACTTTACAAGAATTCATGTGGTCCCTCGAGTTCTGCAACCCCGTTCGCCGTCCTTGACGTTGACTGAGACGGGCCACCCTTCTCGACGATATTCTCCCCGCAATCCCCAGAGAACTGCCGCCACGTCGTAGTCGTCCACCAACAATTATCGCCGAAAGGTTGCAGGATAATGAGGGCAGCCCTGGTCAAGGGGGGGGGGGGGGGGGAATATCGCCACTCTCTCTTCTTTTTTTTCGTGGTGAGGTTCCTGCGGAGCTGGCAGGTGACGGTGGGGCCGTGCTGGCTTGATCATTCTGGTCTGTCGCTTCGCCAGGAACTGCCTCCACCGTGCCCCTGTTGCTGTTGGCGATTGCGTTGAAACTGCCGACATCACTCCTGCGGGTCACGAATGAGTTCAGCGGCTCCTCGGCGCCCTGGGTCTCTAATTATCCAAAGAGAAATGGCGAGAAATAGGGTAGCTATCAGTGCCTGAGTTCATGAAAACATTCCATGTTGCATACTCAATCCGAAACTGTACATACTGGCCTTGAATGGTGCTGATGACGATGAAGATGATGATGATGACACCGCCGATGGTGCGGTGGGTCAAATATTGTAACGTCGTCTTTCGCCAATTCGGAGGGTGAGGGAGGACCTATGTTCGAAAATAAAAGTCGAGGCACATTTAGTTAAGGGAAACCAAAGCAACCATATGAGCGTTCGTCACATGGGCGCGATGAAATACTTACGGTGGAGCGCCTCTAGCTCGAGAGTCATGGTGGCGGAATCGATATGGTGTTGCTAGAGGTTTTCCTTCCGGATGGCCAGTGCCCGCTTACGCATCGTTGGTAGAGCAGAGTAGGGCCGAGACTGTTGAGAAGCAAGATGTCAGTAGGCGCGTCCAAGGCTTGTGTGAGAAGTGGAAAGGCATAGTGCATTAGCGTAGGTTTTCGTTTAGACTTTTATGTATATAGATATTGTACGCGTTTGCTTGGTGCCGATAAGCCCGGGCGATAAGATATTTCTGTCATCTAGTTCTTTGTTTTTGTTGATGAAGAGCATGCATTTTCAGCGTCACAAATGTGGGTGATGCTTATTCGTGTCGAAAACGCGCTTTGGATGAACGTAGTAGAAATGATGACGGATGTGGGAATACCGAATCAAAGGCGACCTTTGGCACACGGTCTTTGTGGTCCTCGTTTCTCTAATTTTCCCGCGTGAATTCGTGGGCGTTTGAACATACGAACACACAGGCCGATGGTGTCTCGATCCATGTATTTTGGTAAAGAGGATGTTGGAGGATGGGCGACGAAGTGATCGACATCCTTCTCTCAGTGCCAAAATTCATCTTTGGCCTTCTTTCAACCAACAAATAGTAACAACGTGCTCACGGATTCGAGATGTTTAGAAGAAACCAGGCTCTACATTCTTTCCCTCACTCTGGTCGATCGGATAGCTGCTACTGCTATTGAGTTAACCATACCACTTCCCGGTCGATTCAGTCAGCTATTTTTTTCACTTCAGGTCGGTGGTGATTCAATCTAAAAAAAAATGTCAACACAAGAGGAACCCATCGGCGTACCTCCGCTCGCATCCTCTTTGGAGAATAGATGAAAGCGTCGCGAGATACAAGAATTGTGATGAAAGCCCCACGCTTACGGTATGCAAAGATGAGTACCCTCTTCTTGAATGAGTGCAGGGAGTTTCTGTGGGCCATTTCTACACAAAAATCATGACGGTTGCCACTTGACATCGTCTCGTCGTGTTTTTTCTTACCTGAGCCCCACTGGCAACTCGTGCCGTCGTGTTTTCGAACATCTTTTGTAAACTGATAACAGGTGTAGCCCAGTGTCCTTTGCCAATCATTTCAAGCTGCCAATAGTCTGTTGCTGCCATGCTGAGGATCTGACTGTGAATCGGTGGACGATTTCATTCACTGTGCCCAAAACTGACGTGCTCGTGTAATGGCAGATCGATGAAGAGGTACGATGATCTGGCGATGTAGTCCCTGAAGCATCATTTAATTGTACAGATCTACTGCCGGGCTCGTTGTATCCCTATTTTCTCTCATCGTATCCTTATTTACTCTCATCGATTAGGCTTGGCTTTCGGTTTCTATTTTATTGTACCTTAATACCCTTTCGACATTTGAGGCGCTCAAGGTCAGCGCGATATCTCAGTTCATGGTTCCGAGTCGGGCAATTGGTCGTTGGTTGACCAGTGCGTTTTTGATTTGCTTTGGTACACGGGGACAATTCCCTCAGCGGTCGAGGTGAGCCTTGGCGACAGTCTGTCCTCTGCAATACGGCGAAATCAGATGTCCTGCAATTCGAGAAGCTTGAACGCCAACAGCTGTATCTTAATGTCAATGCTCCTACGAAGGCGTCTTATGTTGGGTTTGGAGGTGAATATGCTACGGGATTTCCGTGTTTTTCTTCTATCTCTATACTTTTTTTTTTTTTTTTGCCTGTGATCTCATTTTGATGGGTGCATTAAAATCACAGAAAGCTCGCCCTGGGATTTCGCATGCGTTTTGACGTAGTCGGTCGAGAGGTCGAAGGCGGCTACTCTTCTTTATTTTTCTTGTGAATAAATATCCCCCTTATTTTTGATCTCATGGGTTGTAAACGATGCACGAGTCGAAAGCGTTGTGCTTTAGATGAATGATAAAGATTCATTCACCGGTATAAGGACTTCAGGTCGAAGAACCTTTGTGCACGCAACCTTCAGCCCTTGCCTTTTCACCTCTCATGTTTGTGGCGCTTGGATGTACAGGTCTTCAGGCGGATGGCGTTTCTCAGAGATGGCGTTATTTTCTACATTATCACAATTTCAACTTGAGGGTGATGCTCTTGAGCTTTCGTAGGACATTGTGCGCTTGACAACAAACAAGACATTGACGTATTGCAACCTAATCCAAGTAGAGGATTCTCCGTTGCAAAACTCGCGGCTCTGGGTAACAAACCCTGCGTTCAAGGTATTCGGATGTGGGCTTCCCTTCTGTGCTCTCTTTCTTCTTTGTTATATCTCTTTGACACGCCGATGCCTTAAACTCTTCCTTAGTGTCTTCATGTGCTATTGACTTCTTTCAACATGCAAACAAAACATAAAGAAACGCACAATCTGAGTCTCTCTCTGGTTCCTATGTACAACCTTCTTGTCTCTTTTTGTGTGACCTTCGTGCAATAATTCCATTGCAACACACATGAATAGTCTATGATCATACGTGCCTTGACTTTTAAAGACTGTTTCTTGTAGACTTGTCGTCTTTTACTGCTTCAACATGTTCATCAAGGATGTGGTGGACCAACCTTTCGCACGTCTTTCTTTGGTCGAACAAACAAAACAATATTGAATAGAGGCTCTATTTTTATTTCAGGGGCCATTGGCTTGCACTACCACGGGACCACACGCTGCGATGTCGTTCCTGATCTCTTTTTTTTTTCATGTGGAAGTCCGAACTCCTTCATTTACATCATTCACACTCAAATGATGTGGGAAGGTTTTGCCAGTCCCTCCGCATGTCCAATTCTCTTCAACGGATACACTCATTGTTGCACGCTCTCGTGCTTTTAATATAGCGCGCTGCTTTTCGAGAATACGAGGTGCTTTAACCCCTGCTCACCCGACCTTTTTTTATTCTATGTGTGTGCGTTTGATTTTACTCCACATCTGAGCCTGCGATGGCAGCGTATCGTAGAGCAATGTTGTGCTCGTTTTTCATTGGTTATGGGACTCTTTCGTATTTCTTTTTTGTGGAAAGTGGGGCGATAATCGATAGTCCTGTGCGGGTTTTTGTGGTCCTCCCTTTTATTTATTTTTATTTTTTTTTCTTCTGGCCCTTCAACGCTTCAAGTCAATCTCCCGAGCTGCATCTAGACGATTTGGCTTTGCGTTTGTATTAAACTTTTTTTTTTTTAGGAATTTTCGTCGTTCTCTTTTCAAGCAAAAAAATAATTCAAACTCTCAACAAACGGGGAAACGCCGTTTGGTTGACAGGGAGAGTTTTCTGTCTCCGAGGATTCAAGATGGGTGTTTTCAACTGGAGCACCTCTTTATGTGATTATTACACAATATTGTCCACTTCCTCGCCGATAGTGGTTCATGAATGCCGTTTTTCTATGTTTTCTGTAAGCTTTATTTTTTTATTATACAATAGGTAAGTAGTGTTTGTACAAGGGGGATATATTTTATGCAAGTGGTGGTTGTCGAAATGGGGGGTGGGTGGGCGGTAGAAGTTGTTGTACAATGTCGAGTGGAGGAAAAAACGTAAGAAAAAATTGTGGAAAAAAAAGATGGGCAAAGGTAAAAAGGATCACGCGTCGAAAGGGGGAAAAAAAACGCGTGATGCGTGGCAAAACTGGCACGATCACTAGCTGATCATTTTGGCTCGTCTCATGGCTACATCCTCCCTGCAAAAACTGGTCGAAAGAGGACACTTGCAAAACATCTGTAGCGTCCAGGACCATCACCATCATCTCCTCCCTCCTCCATCTACTGCTGTTGACCCTGAGAATGAGGAGGAGCGATTGAGGTCAAAGATGACGATCCCGAAGAAGACCCTGCAAGAAGTCCACTCGCAGACTGGGACGCCTGGCTGCTAATACGCCGTTCTTTCCCACACCAACATGGTCCCAACTCGCGCGCGTCAAATTCCCGTGGGTCCAACGTACAAGGGCAGATCTCACCCCTGCGTTTGCCCTCGATCTGTCGGATCCACCAGCCCTTGCCGTCTGCGGGAATGTCCGTCTTGGAGGAGAGCGAGTTGTCGGTACTGGAGGTTCCCAAGCGGGTTAAGCGGTTGTAGCTGTTGTTGACCTCGCTATCGTCATCATCCGAGCTGTCGTCGCTGTCGTGGTGGCTATCAGGCGTAGTGTCGTGATTAATGATGGTGATGGTAATACTGGTATTGCTGTTCCGGCCTTGACGATGCGGGGTTCGAGACCGACCACGTTCCCCTTCCTCTGTGTGAGCATCACCCTCGCCAATGACATGCATCGCCTTGTTCTTGCCAGCACTGATATTGTTGGAGGAGGGGAATTCCTGAAAAGTTGAAGAGTTGTTAGGTGATGACGATGACCAGGACCGCATGTTCCGGAACATGGCACCCAATCCACCAGACGACGAGCGATGCGAGCTGTTGTCGAGTTGGAAGGGGTGAGTTTGGTGTGAGTGGAATCCAGAGGCTGGTTCGATGTTTCCGGTGCCGTTCTTGTTGGGGTCCTCCAGTTGGTACTGTTGTTGTTTGGCGAGTGAGCGGTGGAGTCCCGATTTGCTGAACGGTCGATCCAAATCATGCCCGTGTCCTCCACCAGCAGCGGCAGCAGCAAGAGGCGCCATCTTGACAGACCCATGCTCCTCGTCTGCAGCATAATGTCGTCGAAGCGCTTTGGCATACAAGACCACCATCAAGATCCATGCAATATGCACAATAATCCATCCACCAGGGCCAGCAGTATAGATCACCCCAACCATAACCCCCGTCATGTGGCAGTCCATTCCTCGTCCTGATTTGCCTCCCTGCTCTCCACCAGCAACAGCAACCGTCCCGTTAGTTCCTAGTCCAATAACAACCGGCGAAAGCGTCGCAGGTCTATCGCTTCCTTTCGCAACCGCAGGCCCATCGACACAGTTGGTGGTAAACTTGGCCTTATTCCTGGCAATTATGACTCCAAAATAGATCCCTTCAACAATGGTCGTGGCAATCAGGATCCAATAGAGGGCAATCAGGACCTGGAGTCGACGGTTGGCGTTTGCGAACCGGTTGAGTCCCAGACCGATGCCGAGGCCGATGAGTGCATAGAGGGAGTAGATCACGCTGTAAAAGACTTTTGCCTGGACTGGAGTGTTTATTCTGATGACTCCTCCAAGGTTGGCGATGTTTAGTCCTAGCACCAGTGCTACCGATGGGACCTATTTTGTAGGAAGAGAGTGAGTCAACGGTGAATATGTGTGATTTGTGTGGGTGTGGCGAGGGAAGCATGGCAAAGTGAGAGAGAGGGGTACGTACGACGAGGCAGAGGGCGAGGATCCAGACTCCAGAGGCGACAGGACAGCAGCAGCAGTAGACCGCAGGGTTAGCAGACCGCGACCCCTTTGTCCTAGACTTGATTTTTGTTGGTGGTGGTGGGAGTGACGAGGGAGATGGTGGTGCTGTTGCATCCGAAGGCATTTTGTTTTTATCTGTGTGATGGATAAGGATAATTTTGTGTGCGTGAGTGAAGGTTGGGGGGAGAAGAGTCCTTATATGGGGATGGGGACGGAGAAGGGGAGTTGGCTGTTTCTGCGGGTGAAGTTGGTGGTATAATTATCCAGTCAATCAGACAACACGTTTGGTTTGAAGCGAGAGAAAGAGAGAGAGATAACGGCTGTTTCAACGAGCCAAGACAATTCAAGGGATGGAACAATAGGAGAACGAGGTGAAAATCAAGTGAAATGAGAGACGAAGGGAGAGGGAGTTGAAGGCGGAGGTGGAGGTAGAGGAAGAGCAATTCTTGGGCGAAGGCACATACACAGACTGAAGACTTAAAGGAGGGAGGTAGAGTGGATGACAAAAGAAAGGGAAGGTAAGGGAGAAGACAGAGAAGGTAAGGGAAATGAAGAAAAGGAGAAGTAAAGAACGGGCAACGAAGAAAAAGCCTTGCGTGTGAAATGTTTGTTCTTTGAGAGAGATGCGAGGCGCGAACTGTAAAGTGAATCGAAGAAAAGAGAGAGAGAAAGGAAGGAAGGAAAGGGCTGATCTTGTTTGCGATGTTAAAAGCAGCGGAGAGCACGAAAAGTAGAAAGACGTGCGCCGTACTTTAATGACAATAAACGCGGTTAAAGTAGACGGCAACCGCGATGGAGGAGGGAGGGATGAGGTGGAGGGTCGTGTGGGTGTAGAAAAGGGTTATACCTATGTGAGCAGGGGCTAAATACCCTCATGTTAAGTCAACGCCATGTAAAAAAACATAATATTGGTTATCCAGGAAGGTACACCCGTCTCCCAACCCAGTAGTCGACAGAATCCTAATAACCATAAATATCGAACTCTTCTTTTTTTTCGCTGTCGTTTCAATGAGCGTTCTTCACTGTATGCCGGCAAGAAGGCGAGCCATGTGTAAAAAAATAAGAAAAGACAAGAATACTACGGTGAAAAAAAAAGAGCTCACTCTTCTTCTGCAACAGGGGTGGATTGCTTGTGGCAAGACAAGAGGACCGACCCAGATTTGAACCAGGCTGTTGGAGGGCAGGGGAAAAAAGTTTGGGCTGTAGGGGCTAATCTCTTGGCAAACCGTCAAGGAGATGGATGCCAAGAGAATCGTCGACTACATTGACTATGGTATCGACGTCGTCATCGTTACCGTCATCGTCGTCGTCGTGTTACAAAGGCGTAGGCTTGTAGGCGTTGTCGTGTGCGAGTTATTACCTTGAGTTGTCTGTTGAGTAAGAAAGAGAATAAGGTGAACAAAGGGGCGGACCAATTGTTGTGTGTGTTTGTGTGTGTGTGAATTCAGATAAAGGTGTGCCTGAGCTAAGGGACTTTTTGGGGGCACAGGATTGGCTGGGGTGAGTCGAAAGAGAGAGAGTGAAGGGAAGAGAAAAAAAGAAAATTGGCGCTAGAAGCAACGTACTTGCAGGCAATTGAATGTTGGGGGGTGTATGTTACCAAGGCGATGGAAGTGGAGAAAGAAAGAGCAAAGTGGAGAAGAAGGAGAAGGAGAAAAGAGACGTCGAGGGGAAAAAAAAAGAAGGGAGGGCTGATGTTCCTGAGAGGGAAGGGTGGTCGGGGTTGAAGAAAACAGTATAAAATGGTGTCTTAGAAAACGAAGTAAAAGTGTGAAGAGAAGGAAGAAGAGAGAAAGAAAAGAGAGACAAAGAAGAAGTCGGCTAGGAGATCGACGCCGAGTTTTGTCTCTTTTCAATTGTTTGCTGCACATCAATCATCCGACCGTCGCAGGAAGGGAAAACAACACGCAAAGCATTTCAACGCTCAATGGGGCAAACCACCGTTTCTCGGTCATCCTCCTTTTCTTCAAGCCAACCATGACTTCCTCTTAACAAAGGGCTATGTTAACAACAAGGAAAGAAAGACCCTCAAATCCATACATCCACTTCTCCCATCGTGGCATGTTCCGCTTCTTTTTTTTCATGATTCAGTATCACTCAGCCTACCTGCATAACCACCTCTTTCTGCTCCCTGCTTCTCTGGTGGAGAAAGATGTCGGACATGCGAGGCGTATAGATTGACGCCCTCAGCCCGCGTGAATTTCTGATAGGTCGAAAAGAATAGACATCAACAAAACCTTCTTTGGGATAAGAAATTGAGAACAGGTGCTGCCTCTTCATTCGTCCAAATCAAAACAAGTCCGAAGTGAATGAGGGCAATGTAAGGACCGGGAGAGCAAAGAGGGTGTAGTCAACCACCATGTCACACACACACACACACACACACACACACATACAAAGGTGCGATGGGATGGAAGTGGTGGATCTGATCTCCTCTGCCCTGTTAACCTTTTTCTTAACCGGTGATTTGTATAACTTTGCGCCCGGAATGCTAATTTTCAACAAACAAACAGCAAACGTGGTACGGCATAGATGTGGTGCCATTTTTTAATACCTTTCACATCATTGTTAGCAACTGTCGTTGTGTCCTTTTCTTCTTGTCATCAGACAAACGGTTAAAATTTTCCATCTCGACCACCATCACTATCTAACTGGACCCCCCCCCCCCCCCCCCCAACAACAACAACAAAGACAAGGCCTTTCTATCCAAAAATCTTCAAACACCATCCAGCGATAAAAGAAGATCAAAATAAAGTCCAACAGACTGCGTCCAGACCCTTCTCTGCAGCACCCCGCCATTTATTTTTATGAAGTCAACAGTGCATAACAAAAGCAGGGAGAAGAGGAATGGAAGGGGAAGGAATAGGCGGTGCTGAGAGAGGTGATGCATGTGCTCAGCTCATTTCCTTCGCCCTCCCACTCTTTTTACAGCTCCCTTTCCCCTATTTTGTTTCCGCGCGAGATATCGATCTGGAATCAGACCCTCATGCCCTACTACTACTACATGGTGAGAGTACATGGACGTTTATTGTGGTCGCTAATGTTCCCTCAGCCCAGCCGAGCCCAGTTTCAAGGAGTATATCATGATATCATGGTCACTACAGGATATGGAGCTGTGGATCGAAGAATCGAGATTTTTCCACCGTGTTCCTCTCCTCATCTCAACAATTGGGTATCAAAATAACGACGCAAAGACGTGCTTTGTTTGTTTGATTGCTTTACAAAAAAAAACACCTTTTCCTACGATCAAAAATAAGAATCTACGACTTGGCTTTAAACATAAACACCCCATCCCTCACAACAACACCCCCAGCAAGTCCATACTTGCCCTTCAACCCTTCAACCCACCCCTCTTTCACCCCCACAACACCTTCAAACTCCTTCCTCTCCCCTTCCTCAACCATACCAACCCCCTGCGCTACCACCGAGACCGGTAACGAGTAATACGCCTTATGCATCGTCGCCACACTCAGACTCCGCGCGGTACCGAGAGAGTCACCCATCGAGTGCCGGATCATCAGTCGTTGTGCCCAAGTGATGGGGAGGCCACCTGCAAGTGTACGATCGGTGCCCAGGAGGCGCTCGCGGCCGATCCAGTTGCCTTGGCGGAGGTACGTCCAGTACTCTAACGCAAGTCTCAGATCTGGCTCCAGCCCAGCCAACCTGTCAATGTCGCTCCGTTGAGGGTGCAGTGGGAAGAGGTACAAGAACGAAGCGACGAGTTCATCAGTCCCAGTCCTGGGATGATTCACCGCCTGGAAGAGCGGGTTCTCCGTCAAGGCCACTGTACCAAGATTGTGGCGAGGGGGCTTTGCGATATGGTGGAGGATGTAGAGGCCCAGGAAGGTCTGTCGCCGCGCAGGTATCTGTCCAAATGATGTGAGTAAATCGTTGTTGTCGTTGTCGTTGTTCCGCAGAGAGGAAGGGGGTGGTGGTAAGAGTGTGTAAACGACGGGGTGCAACTCTTGGACGAGATGGTGGAGGGCTTTTGTCAACTCGGGTATATTTCCTGCGTAGAGACTGTTTAACACCGACCCTTCGTACACTATCAAACGTAAGAGAGGAGAGAGAAAGGGGTGGGTGAGGAAACACATCAAAAATTGTTCGCACTGCGCTGAAATGACCTTTGACAAGGAGATAATAAAGTACCGTCGACAGAGAAGAGATCGCGCGCTTCGGTGGCAAAGAGACCCTCGCGCAGTTTACGGAAGGACTCGAGGATAGTGTCCATTTCCTCAGATTGACGACTCCGTGGTGGGATCGGCTTCATCTTGTTCGTCCCATACTTGTCCTCATACCTTGCGATCTATCACCCACATCAAGTCAATAGCAGTTATCTTGTTAGTGCTACTTGTTCATTGCTGTCACCGCGATGCCAAAAAAAAAAAAAAAAAAAAAAAAAAAACGTCCGGCAATCAAGTAACCAAAGTGGTTGTCTTTACCATTGCTTTAATCTCTGCAAAGACGCGCTCTTGCACACTACGGTTTTTAATACTATGGCTTGATCTATTGTAGCAAATTTGAAGTGTTGGACCGAGTTTGTCAACAAAAAAAGGAAGAATAAGAACAAAAGGGTGTCTCTATGTTACAAGTGTGATATGAATAAAGAACCACTACAATGACAATACAAGATTGAAAGGACGGGAAAACGAGGGCAGACTTGGTCGTCGAGAGCAAAAGGAGTCCCGAAAGATCTTGTATACAGGTTGAATAGGAGTACGAGCAATTACCCTGTGGAATCGTCGTCACCGCGGCTCACAAGTGTCAGAGCTTCGACTCCAGAGGTCAACGTCTTTTCGCCGAGTGCCTTTCGACGAGCCATCGTATCAGCCGCTGACAGTTCCCCTCCTGCATGTGTTGTTGATTTCATAGCAGGAGAGCTGGGTGTGTCATTCGTAGAGGTGGCGGTAGTCTTGGGCTTGGCACCGTAGGTCGATTGCTCCCACCATGGCTTCTCCTCCTTGGGCTCTGGTGCTGGTGCTGATGTCGGTTTGGCCGATGACTTTGCTACAGGTGTCGTAGGGGTTACTGCCTTGGTAGATCCCTTTGGCGCTTCTACTGGCTTGGGCGATTCCTTTGGCGCTGCTACTGGCTTGGGTGCCTCCTTGGGTGCTGCTGCTGGTTCCTCCTTCTTCTTGGCTCCATAAGTCGACTGCTCCCACCAAGGAACCTCAGATCCGCCATCCTTATCATCGTTTCCAGGCTGATCTTTTGATCGACGCTTCTGCTCCTTGCCCTTTGCACCTCGAGCACCCCTTGCTGATGTCTTTTCCACGGGTGGCGAAGGCGAGACTGGGAAGTTGTCGGACTGGCCACGCGACTGTGTCCTCGAGTGCTTTGCACGTCCATCGTTGTTGCTGTTATGTTGGCGGTTGTTGTTGGACGGCGAGGGTCGTTCGGGATAGGGCAAGTCGGGATCCTGGAGGGTGGCTTTTCCCCATCGGTCACTGGACCCATTGGAGGCATTGGAGCCATGATTTCTCGAGTTGTTGTTGGCGGACAGCTTCTCCCGTTCGTGGTACATTGTTCCTGCGTTCTTTCTCAGATCCGAGGTCCAAAGCGGTTCACTCTGCTGGATATTGCTATTGTTGTTATTGTTATTGCTGTTGTTGTTGTTGCTGTTGTTGTTGTTGTTGTTGTTGTTGTTGTTGTTGTTGTTGTTGTTGTTGTTGTTGTTGTTGTTGTTGTTGTTGTTGTTGCTGTCGTTGTTGTTGCGACCCTCTCTTCTGAGATCCGAGGTCCAAAGCGCTTCACTTTGCTGAATGCTGCCACTGTTGTTGTTGCCATTGTTATTGTTGCGCCCTTCGCGTCGCAGGAAATAAACTGTATCGTCCTTCTCCTTGGGAGAGTGTGAGTGCGAGGCTACATGCGCAGGAGCAGGTGGCGGCAGGGTAGGGTATGGCTTATCCTCATGCGGGGTCTTTTCCCAGCGCCCTCCTCCATCCGAAGGAGGCATATCCCTAGATCGGCGTTTGGACTGCTGCTCGTTCGCACGAATGACTTGATCCATATGCGTCCTCGACTGGTGTTGACGCGCTGGACTGAACGAGCGTCCTACTTGGCGGTTGTTGTGGTGAGCACTGCTGGGGGAGAGGGAGCGTCCTTGATCCGTATAGGGCGACTGCGTTTTCTGCTGGCTCTGAGGGTTGTTGCTGTTGCTGTTTGTCTGAATGGGTCGATCCCGGAGGCGGTCTGTAGAAATTCCAGGAAGAGGAGACCGAGAGCGGTAAGAAGGCGACCGACTACGATCCATATGTGGGCGATCCGGTGTAACAGATGGTTTTGGAGGCAAGGGTATGACTTGTCTTGCGGGCCGTTGCTGCTGTCCCGATCCTCGGTCGTCGTTGTTTCGAGGTGATCCAAAAGAAGACCCGCGACCATCTCCTCCAAAGTCTCTATCCCCTCGACGTGGAGGAAGACCTGCCTTGCTGGTATATCGGTCCTTGCTGTCTCTGTCCCTGTCAATAGGAGTCGGCCCTCTCGGAGAAGAAAACGACGAATGGTGATGAGGGTCGGGTGAGTCCCGATAGGAGGGAGGATAATCTCTACCACGACTGTTGCTGCTGCGGCTACTCATAGTCTGGAGCGACGAATCGTTCTGAGATCGCCTGTCCAGCGAGCGGTTCGATCCGTCATTGAACCCAGCCGTGTACCGTGGCGAAGACGAGTCCCGCTCCCGCTCCCGTTGTCCTGATGAAGAAGAATACGATGACAAAGTCGCGGTTGGAGGAGAAGCTGGTTTTGACGCGCCATAATTTCTGTCAGCTTGGATCTTTGCCAACTCGGGAGCTAGCTCGTCGTCGTCCGAGAAGACAGGGGCTCCAAAGTCGATCTCGTCGTCGGTATCGTCGGCCCAATCGATTGCCGGGGCAGGGCTTGGGGCAGACTCGGCCATCGTCGAGGAAGGGGTATCGTATTTACTGGTCAATTGGGTATCGTTTTCGTTTGCTTGTTGGTTGTTGGTTGAAAGTAAATGGCTGGGAGCAAGAAAACGCGTTGTGTGTGGGTTGTTGTTGGTGAAACAAGAAAGTAAAGAAAGAAATGCGAGGAATGCGCTGGGTTCTCGCCGGATGTGAAAAGAGGAAGGACAGTCGAGAAAAGGAAGAGTAAAGCAGGGTGAGGGGAGGGAATAAGGAGAGACGAGGAGGTGAAGAAGCGAGGAAAAAGGAGGAAGGAAAAAGGAAAAGAAGAGAATATCACTGTTGGAGGGTGTATGGGTGTGTGTGGCAAGACAATTGAAGCGGCAGAGAGAGTGAGGAAAAAAAGGCTGACTGATTGACTGACCCATCGAAGCGGTGGCTTGTTGCTCGTTCATTGTACCCTTGTGTCACGTGTAAGCAGTACACAAAGTCCTCCGGCATGCACAGCCATCCACTTGCACTTTCTTAGCTCATGCCCGTTCTCGTATCAAGGTCACCGGACAAAAGGATACATTGGACAGGGAGTGAGAGGAGGACCATCACGGCAACTCGACAGGTGTCAAAGAGAAAGCGAGCAAATAGTACTCAAAAGTAATAGGGACCGTCCAATTTAAAACAGTGTACGTTAAAAGATAAATGAGCGCCCGTGTAATTTGTCCCTGTGCCTTTATTTTAGTTTTTAGTTTTTTCATCTTGCTTGAATGAGCTCTCATTCCGTTGGCATTTTGGCATGATCATGGCATGGTCTCAACGGTTTGTTGTTGCATTCATCAGGGTTGATGCGTCCACTCATTTGGAGAAAAAGAGAGAGAAGGAATAGAAGAGAAGAGAAAAAGAGGAAGAGTGAAATTCCCTTTCGAACTGATCACTCACAGACCACTGATCGGATGTGAGGTGATACAATTCAAAGACATAAATCAAGACTGATGGCGTGCACTCATCGGTTGATAGGAGATTTTTACACTAATGAACAAGTGTGAGACAACAACATTCATAGTCGTTTGAATATCATCCAGGGTGGGGTGCGACTCTTAGTAGGGGTTACTTTAATGGTGGATGAAGATGGACATCATCATCCCCTGCTCCCTCTCACTCTATCCCGTGTGTACATCCTTGGAGAAACATTTTGATTCCTTTGAGTGAACAAAATCATTGTCAAGGAGACAAGGATAGGACATAGGAATAATTATGAATGGGCTTATCCAATTAACAGCAACAACACAAATGAGAGCAATTGAACCCTCTCTCTTCTCTTTCTCTCAATCTCACACACGTTGTCAGTTTGTCCGCTATCAAAGGAAAAACAACACGAACGACTAGCGTCATCTTCCGCTTGTTTTATCCGCTTTTCTCATCGATTTGCCCGACACTTCATCCTTTCTTCTCTCTTTTCTCTTCTTTCTTCTTCCATTCTTCTCCCCTCTTCCACTAACCCCCTCCTCTCCTCTCAGTCTCACCCCTCGACTCTCTTCTCATCGTAACATCATTCTGCTCCTCTCTCCCTTCTGGATCGCCCATATCCTCTGCTGTCCCTCCACTCCTTTTGGTGACCCTTCTTCATTTTAGTGTGTCGCCTTCCGAACCTGCTTGGTTTCTTCGTTCTTTCTCTCTTTCTTTCTTTCTTTCTTTCTTTCTTTCTTTCTTTCTTTCTTCTACTCAACACAGCCATCTGTATCGACATCAATGTCGATTTGAAGCTATTCCTCCTTGCCGGCTATTGTTTCCTTCACCTTTCCCTTCTCTTCTCTTTCTCCTCCTCCTCCTCCTTCTCCTATCCCCCCCTTTCAATCCCTTTCACTTCCTTCCATCCTCCGCCTGATCCAATTGAAAGCGTAGAAGCGAAAGAATTGTCTTATCTCCCTGTATTATTTTTAATTCTGCGATTGCAGACACACTTCACACTCCTTTCTTTTTTTTTTTATATTTCACTTCTTTGCATTCAACCCTTACATCATCATCAACCACACCCTCTCCACTCCTCCTACTCTCTCACGCTCTTTCTCACTGGCAACACACAACTCACAACTACAACACTAGAAAAGAAGAAGAAGAAGAATGTCCCAGCGGTCATTCTCATTGTCCAACGGCAATGGCTCCTCCCCGCTGTCGGAGAATGCCACCATCCACGGCAGGCACAGTCCAAAGTCATCCCTCCTCAATCGCAGCAATACCGCCTCCAGGCCAACTTCTCCCTCCAACGGAGCAGGAGCCACCATCCTCACAATGTCGCAACAACACTCGCCAGACTCGGGATACGATCATCATAACCCCAGCACAGGTCTGCTCGTTGGACAAGGCGGCGCTTCAGGGTCAGGGACGCCCAACTCCAAACTCAACCACGAGTCCTCCTCGTCCTACTTTCCACCCATGTCATCCGACTACTCTGTCGGAGGCGCTGGCAACAATGGATTCTCGAAGCGGTCAAGGTTCGGTGGCTACAGTGGCGGTGGCAGTGGACTGGGATTGTATCCACCGATGGCGATGAGGCGGTGGAGGTGGTGGAACTACCTTGCTGCCTTGATTCTGACCTTTGCGGTTGTCGAGGCCTTTGTGCTATTGATCGGGTCCTCTATCCTCTACACAATGCCAGACCAGATCCAAATCGGTAAGCGTACTTTTTTTTTTTTTTTTTTATTGCTGAAAGATAATCTTGAGTTCTATTGCATAGAAGGGCTAGCTATAATTATCTTTCTTTGGAGAGAGAGAAGTGTTCGGGGTACCTGGCAGAACTTTCGTGGGCGTATAGCCTTATTTGGAAGCAAGGACGCCCTGGGCTGGACTAGACTGGATTCATGGCACAAAGGACTCATCGACATCAATAATAAACAGGGACACAAGGAACAGACAAGGAGGATTCAAGGGAACCAGGAGAGAGTAAGGTGGTTAAAGACTCAACAGCAGCAAAGGAGACAATTACACCAAAAGAACACAGAAAAAATTGGACTAATTCATGGTAACCCGACTGTCCGGCATCAGGATAAGAATTCGACAGACAACCAGGAGTGAGTCCAAAGGGGCAGACAGAAAGGAAAAAATGTGTGTGTATACGCAAAAGAGAGAAGAGGGGGAAAGGGATTTAGGCCGTGGTTCTCCCCTGTTTCATGCGCCTGCCTGTTTGGTGTTCGCATGCATCTCACATGTGTACAACAACTACCCAAAAAAAACACTCCCTTCTCTTCACCGTCTTTCCCTTCATCTTTCAGCGCACGGCCATTACCCCGTTTCGCTTTTTTGTTCTGTGTGTGTGTGTGGTGTGTGTGTGTGTGTGTGTGTGTGTGTGTGTGTGTGTGTGTGTGCAGCGTGTTGTCCAGTTCTTGGATCATAAAGAGAAAAGAGAGCCGCCAACCTTCTTCAACTAGTACACACGATGCGACTGACATGCCAACCAACGTACTTATCATCAATCTCCCTTTTTCTATCAACTAGATTCCCGCGACTTCCGCAAGGTCGAATACCAAGGTCTAGCCCTCGACCCAACAGCCGCCTACAAGAAGCAGATCCAGGTCTACCATGTCACCAAGGAGTTTGGTGCAGCATCGATGGGAGGACTGGGCATGGTCGTCACCGCCCTTGCAGCAGCCCAACAAAAGTCACGCACCCAAAAGGTCAACATCGTCATGCCCTACTACTCCATGCTCGACAAGATCCCAGGAATCGGCATCAAACTCTTTACTCCTCTCCCCCTCGAAATCAAAGACAATCGCGGACGGACCCAGAACCTGGTCTTCACAGTCCACAAGTTCAAGTTTGCGGTCCCCCAAAAGCCTAGTGACTTTGAGACGGACAAGCGGGCGATTAACGCTGTCACTGTCTGGCTGATCGGTCCTGGTGACGCCTATCCCTTCGACCGGGCCTTCCAGAGCAAGAATGTCCAAGAGATATACTCGACACCCAGCGGACTCCCTGGCGAATGGAAGGATCTCTACTTCTCCAAGGCCGTCGCAGCTTTCATCCAGCACCAGAACAAGAACGACGACATTTCTCTCTTCGCCACCGCCGTCAATCGTATGATTGACGTTGTCCATGTCCACGGCGCCACCAACGCTCTGGTCCTCCACTACCTCCAACAGTCGATCGACAAGGGCGCTATGGGCGAAGAGCCTCCAGCACTGATCTACACTCTCCACGACTACCTCGACGAACTCCAGTACTCGAACGAGATTGTAAATGTTCAAAAGTTCATGGACCGACGCGTGCACTCGGAGGACGACGAGGAGGATATGTTTTTGCAGATGGATGGGATCTCGCCCTACTGCCATGGACATCGCATGTTTACCTCCGCCATGGGAATCGACCTCGCCGACGCGGTTACGTTTGTCTCAAAGTCGATGGCCAAGGACATTGTTGAGGGCCGTCTGGACTTTTATCTCAAGGAGTTGGTTCTAGGTAGTGTGCTTAACCAGGCCGAGAAGAACTTGTTTATCGGAATCACCAACGGCGTCGACTTTGGAAAACTCAACCCCTGGACCATGGCCGCCCTCCGTGAACACGACTTGTCCTTCCCTTCGAACGAGTTTGTGGGCCAGGATACACAGGATATCCTTGCCCTCCAGAGTGCTCCTGCCGCTGCTGGTGACGATGAGCAAGACACCGATGCCCCTGCGGCGGCTGTAGGATCGACGCACCTCACCATCCGCTCAGCCAAGGAAGCTGCTAAGCACTTTTTGTATACCAAGGGACTGTTGACCGAGCAGGACTTAACCCGCCCTCTAGTACTCTTTATCGGTCGCTTCCAGTACAACAAGGGCCTCGAGTTCTTCACCACCGCCAGTACTGCCGTTAAAGAGAACGGTGGTCGTCTCATCATCATGGGCCAACCCAACAACTTTCCCCTCCGGTCCGTCACTAACCTTGAGCGTCTCTTCAAGGGCACCGTCACCGTCATCGCCGACGCCAAGACCCAGGACGAATGGGGCGTCTACTACCGCGCCGCTGCCGATTTTCTTCTGGTCCCTTCCCTGACCGAGAGTTTCGGCCTCATCGCCGCCGAAGGTCTTCTCTTTGGCTCCACCGTCATCTCCTCGGGTGTCGGTGGACTGTCCGAGTTCCTGGTGGACCGCCCCAACGCCGACGACGAACGCCAACAACTCGAAAAGGCCGAAGCCGAGAAGGAGCGTCAGTTCATGCCATTGGACCAACGACAACAACTCGCAGAGGCACCCCGGGAGGAGCGGTACAACTCTTACCTCTTCGATCCCTTCGCCAAGGATTCTCACTCCCAACTGACAAAAGCCATTGGCGACGCAATCACGGAATGGAAGAGGCTGCAACGGAGACCGGAGGAGCATGAAGAGTTCTTGATCCGGTTGGTGAATAGCGCCAAGGCAATGGGGTGGGATCGCCCTGGTGGGCCTGTGGACCAGTACCGTGCTCTTTATGAGATCGCGTTGAACGCGATTGGATTGAACAGCCAGTCTCTGTAAAAAAAACGATAGTAGCACAACCAACCTCACCATGACATAGATAGCAAAAGTTTTCTATTTATTATTTTTCTTCGTTTCTCTTCTTACTTGCATTCTCTACATAAACGCATGACACTTTCAACTACCTCTAATGGATACTCAATGATATGTACCGCTTTCTGTTATTTTTATTTTTATTTGAACAGCTTGCTGAAAACACTCTTCTTGCTCTGCACCATTTCCTAAATACTGTTCCTCTCCTTGCTCTGCTGCAACGTTTCCAACTTTTCTCGACGCCTTATCGTAAACCTTGCTCAGCAGCCCTCTTATACCACCCCTCAGCCAGAACTCGATCCTAAGGAATACCATGGCCATCGTGGTACAGTTTACCGATCCCGTACTGTACCCGTGCGTCCCCGCCTGACTGGCTGCTTTGACGCACCACTCCATGCCTCGAGAATACCTCTGGGTCACCATAGCCCTCTCGATGGTAATAAATCCAAGAGTGTACTGAGTATCAACGGGTCCTTGGTCGGCCGCTTTCTGGACCCACTCCTCGGCTCGAGAATGGTCCTGCGAAATAACCAAGCGGCCGGCCCTGTACAAGTGGCCGAGCATAGCCTCTGCATCCGTCGGACATGGGTTAGACGATCCAATGAGATAAGGAAGCTCTGTTTTAAAATGCGCAATTTTTTGCGCTCGCGACAAAGTTCAGCACATAAAGAACGACCACAGTGCGTATACACATTGCGCGTGTAGGTTCTAGACCTGGCACGCTCAAAGCTTCAGTCTTGAAACGTATCCCCTCGATGGAAAGATTTATGTCGACAGAACCATCCGGGATACCAAGCAAAGGAGATAATTCAAACAGATCAACGTTGTGAGAAAAAAAAAAAAAAAAAAGAAAAAAGCAAAGCAAAGCAAATGCAGACCTGCTATAATAGTGGAGACATTGCAAACAGGGGAAGGAAATTTCTCATATGCAGTTACACTATTATTGTTTTTACATGGGGACGGGGAATCCTCTAGCATTTGAGTCAGGTTTCTCTGGGTTCCTGAGCAAGCACTGAGATTGTGAATGAGCCACAAATATTTATAAACTTCTTGCTACCTTCTTCATTTGTGATACACTCTTGAGAATTGCTGGCAATTTGGTAAACCCTCATGGTTCCAATGTCTTTACAACCCCAATATGTAACGACGTCAATGTCATCATAGCACCGACAGGTGTATACTGGCTCGGCTACGCTGAGAAATAGTAGCCTATAGTATAGAGCAAATGCACTGTCAGCTATACCGAAGACTGCCACTGCAGAACTAATGTAGCAAAAAATTCAGTCATGTAGACTTACAAGAATCTGGTCAAGAATAGGCAGGCGCGTGTGTGTATGGTATGCAAGCCTTTAGAGAGCGTTCCTTCGACAGTTCTTGAATAGGGCTTTAGTTCTTGTCAGGGTTCGTGTGGTTGCTCTTGCAATGGTGCCTGCGATGGTTCTTGTAGAGGTTGTTACGAGCGTTGTATATGTGGTGGTGGGTCTACAGTCTTGGGTAGGATCAAATGTGTGTTGGTTTAAGACTTTAGGTTGATGCCTACCTCTCTTTATATAGGAAGAGGATCAAGAAACGCAAGCCGTTGTCATTTGGACATACAAAGCGAGAAAAAACGAGGCATTATTTACAACGGGCCAAGAATGATAAAAATCGAAAGGCGAGAAACAAATTAGGCGGAATCCATTCCTATCTTTGGGCCAGGATTGAGATGGATCAAGGACATTGAGAAAGGAGGAACGCCAAAACGATGAAATCGAGGGAGAACATAATCAAGGGAGGACAAAAATCAAGGGATGATGGGACGAAAAACAAGGTATGCACGCATACAACATCAAGGCAAAAAAAACAACAACATCAAGGAACAGCACCAATGGACAACGTCAAAAAAATAGCGTCAAGGAAGGGAGAAAGAAAGGAGTGCTGGCAAGACTTGGTTAGAGAAGAAAATTCTTTGACAGGACACGTATCAAACCTTCTTCGGTCTCCGAAACACGGAAGATGATCTAGTAGAGCAATAACTGGCTTGCGGCAGCCAAGTGTTCGTAGCGACGTTGCTTTTTGTTCCTCGAGATCAGCTCCTCCTATCAAACTGAGGCAGAATTCAGTAAGCGTTGGATTGTTCACCCATAGGGAACTTGAGCTGGGTTTAGACCGCCGTGAGACAAGTTAGTTTTGCCCTAATTATGAAATGCTTCTTTTTGCAATGTTAATGAACTTAGCACGAGAGGAACCATTTGGATAATTGGTATTTGGGCCTACCTAGGCAGGCAATGGCCCAAAGCTATCATCCGTTGGGTTACGGCTGAACGCCTCTAAGTCAGAATCCGTGCTAGAACGCGACAATCGCTATTTTCTCTGATTCTTAGTTGAAAACGAATAGATTGTCGGTTCCTGAATCATACTACTGAAATATATATCCGCCTTTCTGTCCCATTCGTTCCCGCTGTGGCCTTGACCCACTCGACTGTTGTTGACCCCGTGCGTTCGCTGCATATTCGAGCGATCACGGCCCACTCTGCAGCGGAATCGCACCTCAGTTTATCTCTCATCGACGCTCGTTTCCGATTGACAACGACCTCTCTGAGCTGTTTCACTACCGTTTGGTTGTCGAGTCGGATGCAGAGGTCCTGGTCCTGTGGTGTTGCGATGATTCCTGCGATCAATCCTATCAGTTCCGGTTTCGCCGATGATGCGAATCCCCCGGTGGTTCCCTTCACCACCGTACGATACCATCACACTGATGAGTGAAACTCTTATGGTTGCCATATGACGTTACATGTGACAATCACGCAAAAAATGTAATGCAAGTTTGCACTACAGGGGGATATAAAAAGAGCAGGCGAGGGCACATCTGAATAACCTCTTCTTTCTTTCCCGTCACTCACTCCATACGCCACCATCCACCCACACACACAAAGACTGCCTGATGATTCGAAGGTACAAAGAATAAGACATCAGTACATAAATTCAATGAGCAACTGCCACGTCTGCCTTGGTTTCAGAAGAGAAGGAAATGCTTATGCTAGTTTTTTTTCCTATTTTTCATGCGTCGATTTTTAGCCATGGGTGTCACTAATCTCCCAAAGACAACATGGTCGATGTTAACATTTCATCGACCAGTACAACAATGTGCCTTGCAGCCACTGCCTATGATATTGTTAATCTCTCGCCACCATCACAAACAAAAAAAAAATACAAACCAGCAACTTGATAAACCGATGTAGAGGGTGCCCAAGGGACAAGACGAGCCCCCTGTCACCCATATATCATACCATCTTCTTACTCTCAAGACAACTGCCGACATGCCTGGATAAATATAAAAATAGGTTAGTTTTTGAAGAGATATCGCCACAAGGCGTTGAGCAAACTGACAGGAGATTATACCCTTACCGTGAATGGAGAGAGAAGCGGAGGATTCTCCAATCCGTACTTGTCCAGTTCAGACAAGATGCTTTGTTTATTTTGAGCTTTTTTCTTATCTGGAATGCCACCTCTTGCCTCAAAGCTCCCGCACGTTTGCACTCAAAATTGCCAACCTCCATCGAGTCAACGCGCAAATAATCAATCGCACGTCCGAGGCATGGTTCCTGTTTTGAATACATCAGCCAACTTGGGCTTGGACAAAGCGGAAGTAGAACATTCTTGATCACCACTATAGACTCAACAAACACAATTGTAATGAGCGGAGCCTTTCTTGCACCATGAAGAAACACAGTGACAGTACCCAATGACTTACAGATGCATTGAAAGACGAGTATCCAAAAGCAAGCCTTCTCGGAGGACTAACGACCTAATGGCAACACAATCGGCCTCTGAAGGCTCTTTAGATCCATGTGGTAGTCGGATAATATTTCGAATACTGTACATACGCTTTGCGAATTGGAGTTAGAGCCCCATCTTCATTCTTCCCTTTAGCATAGAAGTATAAGAACAAAGTTGATCGACGCGTCTATGACCTTGAACGGATCCGTTTTCTGGAGCCTAAACAACGTGCCATGGTGTTGCAGATTATAAGGCAATGGTATACGACAGGACCGCGGTAGAAAGAAAGGAGAGATAAAGCAATGGACGAGTGGTTAACGTCTGCGTGGTTACTGTAAGGCTGCAGTGAACAAAGAACAACAAATATCATGAAAAGATGCAAGAAATAGCACTGCCGAAAGCAGACGCCAAGCGGTCCTACCCGCCAGCGCGAAGAGGAAGAGAAGCACAACCAACCCATCCTCCTCTAGCTCCCATCGCGAGTGATGAGAGCACCACTTCCGAACAGAAACCGGACAGGGACAGGTCCGACCCTAATGCGCCACATTACCCTCCACCCGTCACACAGTCGCCATGAAGGCGAGGTGTACCAAGCATACTACCAGTCCCTTCGACCGCAATAAATTGCTTCTCGACACCTGGAAAGCTCGGAGTGCCCGACCCTCTCCATTCAGACCCGCAAGAAAAGCAAACGCAGATAAGAGAGAGTATTGTCCATGGACAAGTATCGAACGGGCGTTAATGAGTTCGACTCGGATCGACGTGGGTGAGACAGGCATACAAGACTGCCGAGAAGCATGCGAATCGCATGTGTGTTCTTCCCATACCAGCCTCGCTCAGGGGTGCCAATACTGAGCTTGCACCTTGGTAGTGAATGACATCGAGAGCGGATTGATGATTGAAATATGAATGGAAACAGGACAATGGGCGCGAGAATTACGTCAGCGAAGCTGCCAGGAAACAGGCAGAAAGGTAGAAGGATGTAAGGAGCAGGATGTGCTTAGGCTAGTTGATTTATTGCAAGATGGGGTTAATAAAGAAGGAAGACTGAAGGTCTATTTTTACTAGGAACGAGGGACGATTTAACTAGTTACTGGAGAAAGGTAGGTTGAGACTATTAGGCGTGCTAAACCCGTGTAACGAATATGCGTGCTAGACCCGTGTGGCAAAGGAAAGGGTGGCGTCACCGAACTACACTGACGCTCGTTCGAGATCTCTTGGGTTGTGGCAGAAGCTTGTAAATCGCCTTCAAACTCGACCCATGTATTTGCTTATACATAAAAGGGTCTTGGTCCTACTCTCTCTTGTTCGATTGACTTAACTGTGCTCCCTCACCCTGCCTTTCCGCTTCTCACACACGCCTTGGACACGCGTACTGTCATCTTGCTTCTCGTAAGGAAAACCTCAAGCAATACCATATCGATTCCGCCGCGATCCACCGTAAGTATTTCATCCCGCCCATGTGACGAACGCTAATGATGATTGATTTGCTTCCCTCAACTAAATGTGCCTCGATGTGTATTTTCGAACATAGGTCCTCCCTCACCCTCCGAATTGGCAAAAAGACGACGTTACAACACCCAACCCACCGCATCATTGGCGGTGTCGTCAGCACCATCTTCATCGTCATCAACAGCATCCAAGGCCAGTATGTACAGTTCCGGATTGAGTATGCAACATGGAATGTTGTCATGAACGCAGGCACTGACAGCTACCTTATATTTCGCCATTTCACTTTGGATAATTAGAGGCTCAGAACGCCGACGAACCGTCAAACTCATTCGTCACCAGCAGGAGCGACGCCGGCCTCAGCTCAATCGCCAAACAGCAACAGCAGCACGGTGAAGACAGTGTGTCTCACGCGGAAGCGACTCAACCCGTTCTTGAACGCCTTTGTAACACCTCCCGAACAGCACCCACCATTGGCTATTAATGGAACGCGTAACTAGCTATATTTTTTTTATCACGAACACGATTTCGGATGAGTTGTTGAGAAATCTCGTCGGCACATCCGTTGAGTTCGACGGTAAACAACCAACCATTGTATACCTCAATGGCACAATCGGAGAGTATGACGAGTACATCGCATCCAGAGACTATACAAGGGAAGCGTATTTTGTATATGATAGTGGAAATTTATTCCGCTGCATATTTTCCAACAAATATGTCGAAATGCCAGTTGATAGACCCATATTCATGTGTGATTTAGATGCAATTGCGTACATCATGTTCACGGTTGGTGTATCTTCTTCAACAATTGGACAATACTACCGTGAATACACACTTGACGGACGATTTTATGCACTCCAAGATTTAGAGGAGATTAGAGACGAGTTGCCATGAATGGATACTATGTAATTTTTAAAAGGTTCCATTGAATCCGTCTTTCTTGCAATTGGAACCATAATATATTTCATCGATGACATGTTACATCAAGGAATATTACGCTCGTGGGCATGATGCGAAAGGTGAGTGTGATATGAACAGCTGGGGGAGGAAAATGATGATAAAGAAGCTGGGGGTCTTTATTGAGCCCTATGAGAATATATAATATGGACTGATGACTACTACCCTTAATAGAGAATGAGGAGTGAGGACAGACACTGAGATGCAACAGTGGGTAACAATTTTCGCCAGGTGACAATAATATTAGGCTTGAAAAAGATAGCCCACATGACTGCAATGTAATTAAGGTAATGCTGAAGAATGGTAAGAAATGGAGGCATGTAGCGCATATAGACCGAACCAACTAGTGCAGAGTGATGGGATGGGAGTAGTGTCAATAGCGATGAGGAAAGGAAACAGTGGTAAGAGCGGAAGATTGATGAGAGAAAACAGTGATGAAAGATGAAGAGGTGTGTTTAGCTCTAGGGAGATGAATATAAGGAAACCCCAATAAGAAGAAATAAGCGCGCGCGTTTCACGTATTCATTCTGACTCCTACGTAGTTCAAAGTTAAAGTCGAGGAGTTTTTTTCTTCTAACAATTCATTTAGTTAAATAATAGTGGTATAAATGCTCAATCTTTCTATGAATGCTGCTCACTCTTCCTCATCGTCCTGTTCCTCTTTATCGTCCTGTTCCTATTCCTGCTCATCCTCCTGTTTCTTCCCTTTGCCTTTGGTCACCTTCTCCCTCCCTTGCCCTTCGCGTGCATGCTATTGACGCTTACAATATTCCACACATGGAAAAAAATTGTACCTGTTCTTGCGGTTATGAATAGGCAGAGTAGCATCGATATTCACGAAGGCGGCACTTAGGGCTTCCTCCTTGGTCATTGATTTGTTCTTCCTATTCGTCTCCATCAAATACAAGACCTGCTCTTGTATGCTCCTTTTGTTGTTCAGGTTCTTGGATGTGGCGCCTGAGGGTGTTGTTGGTAGTCCCCGGGCTTTCCTTTCTACAAGCAATTTGTCGTACCGCTCAAGCTCCTCAAATACAGCCTTTGTGTTGGCGGGGTGATTGTTCCTGACAAACCAGTCCTTGACTGGCGTGGCGGCGCTGCTGCTTGGATACTCGTTAATGCTGCTTGATCTCCTGAGTCATTTGGCCCTGTACTGCTGCATTTCTCTATGTCGCTCTGAAGGACGCGGGCAAAGATTCTACCGGCCTGGATCTCCTATTTGTATGTATTGGTGTTGGTGGCGCTTGAGTAGTTGACAAAGCTGATGGAATAGCTTGAGGTTAGTGATTGCCGGGTTTGGAGGGTAGTGGCCGCTGTAAACCAGAATGTACGGTCGACTGCCGATGTTGCTGATGCTGGAAAGGTGACTGGCCCCGGCATCCCGTGACCGAAGAAAAGTTGAATTCCAGCGAAATAAGGCTGGAGCCCAACAGGCAGCGGTATGTCGAGCGCTTTCTGTATCTCCTTGTACATCTTCCCGATCCTGTCCAACCCATCGTTCACCTAGTTGTTTTGGTCGTGCTGGGCTATGAAACATTCTTCAAAGGCATCCAGTCTCACATGGATCTCGGCCAGTGCTCGCTTGATATCTGCAACTCCATTTGCTTGCGCCGAGTTCCAGGTTTGGAGTGCTAGCATCAGGTTGGGCGGAAGATCGGTGGGCACGTCTACCCCATGCCGCTTTAGAGACATCGCAACGTTCTCGTTGAAGGCATCAAATATCGGACTCTCGAACACCTCAGGACACTTCCCCAGCAGCGGCGATAGGGCTACATCAGGGTATCGATAGAGATATTCGGCAGCGTTTTGCAACAGCACTCGGCGTAATCGGAGCATCAGTTGCAGCGCGTGCTTCTTGTTAGAATGTTGCGCCAGAGCGGTCGCATTGTTCATCTTCAATAGGTTGGGGTTAGGTTTAAACGCGTATGGCTCGACGTCGTCCAAGTTATCGCTGTTGTTCGGGTCGAATTCCAGCATTTCCAAATCGCACTCTTTTCTCCACAGTTCATTCTCATGGGACCGGGGGCCCCAATTGCCTCTTCGATAAACAGAAATATGAGACGCTGTAATACAAGGGATGGAGCGACCTCATTCCGCCGAAGATGAAAGGGCTTGACGGAAAACCCTGCCATGGCCAAGGCAAAGGTGATGGGTTGCTTGTTCAAGTACACCTGGTGCATCTTGCCGGTCCCTTGCACCCAACGCCCGCCAGTCTGAATGTCTTCATCCGCAAAATAAGGTCAAGACAATAATAACTTATATAAGACCAATGGTTTGCGTTTATCCGATCCCATTGCGCTATAGCAAAGTAAAATGGATACTCTTGCGTCTCTCTTTTGTTTCCTCCCACTCACACGGTCTTTCGATAGAGTCCGATTTGGCATAACCTTGAGGTACAATCCCGTTTCATCGCAGGTATACGCATCGGACGGATCGTAGGCTGTGGGTTGGCCTGCGATTGCTTCAAAGACCGGTCTATGAAACTCCACGTCCACGTCTCCCAATTGCCCGCGACCGGTTTTCAGAGTGAGCTGGTAGATATTCTTGAAGTCCCCAAGCCATCCTTTAGGAAATCCGAAGCCCTGTGGAAGTGTGTTGTCGCTTTGCCTCAAGACGTAGATAGAAGTAATAAGCCAGCTCCTTGGTCCGACTATCGTTAACGGGCACACTTTTATCATAGCGTTAATTATAGTCGTAGCTATTACAATGGGATGGATAATACTGTGAAAATGCAGTTTGTACATACCCAAGGATCGATCATCCATGATAGCCTTATATACGTCTCTCTCGACATTCTCCAGCTTGCGCGGGAACATGCTGAACAGGGTCATTCGTCCGGGAGTGTTGCCTTTGTAAGAGACAATGTTCTCTCTCTCTCTCATGATCTTGGCTGCGATGAACTTTGGATATTTAACGCCAATATGACTGGCGAAGGTGCTGACTGTGAGGGCCAGGAGAAGCTTCTTGAACTCCTCATATGTTGAGATAAACCGAAGTTTGTTGTCTAGGGCGTGCGAGTTTCGAGATTGAGTCACTTAGAAGCGTTGCTGGTTGAGGTTGGAGGTTCCAAGCGTTTGCTGCCACCGATGGGAAGGGCAGCAGGGACACACAACCTAGGAGGGAGCGTCGCGAAAGGGAGTTGTAGAAGAGGGTGCAGATGTGAAGGCGGGAGATGAAGTGAATGCTTCGGAGAATGAGATCTGAGCAAATAGAGGCAAGACTCGGTCTGTGTTTCGTATGTATATATTTCTATGTTGCACGGCCTAGACCGCCATTTTGAATTTTCTATCTTTACACGGCTTACAGTCGAAAATAGTTTTTGGGCCCCCCGGGAGCAGGAAAATGGATGCCATAATTCTCTTGTTGGCTGAAAGAAACTATGTGATCTTTCCTAATATGGATCGAAATTAACTCTCGCAAGACTTTACTGGACTACTATGAAATGACACTCAAAGCTGTTTCTTCCTCACCATTTTCCTACTCTTACTACCTCAGCAAACCGACTATCCTCATCAACATTCGTTTCTTCCGACCCCAAAAGCACAAGCCCTAACACCATGGGGCTCTTCGACTGGTACCCTTTCATTCGCAAGAAGGGCTACAACCCTACTGTTCTATACCAATCAGTCCTAGCCTCCCTGACAACAGGCACACGTCGCTTTGATGTGATGGCCAACTGCTTTCCCGTCATCCAACAAGCCTACTCGAACCAGAACTTGCCTCCGGATGATGCGCACAGGATTTTGGAAAACGACATTAAACGATTTGGCGACCCACTCAACATGCGTTTATACATTGACGGCGATCAGGCAGAGGAAAAAATGGATACAGCCAAGGCACGAGACGCAAAGCGACACAAGGCTCTGAACCGGACGGAAAAGAGCATCAAGGTTTTCGAGGAGAGACTGAACAGCAATTTGAGGGTCAGGAAACGACACTTCACTGACGTCAAGGCTGGACTCAAGTCGTCTTTTCACTGGTCGTTGAGGAGTCGCCAGGAGTTTGCCAACTACATGCGGCACCGCGGTTGGACTGTTATCGTTTGCAGGACGGAGGCTGATCTTGCTATTGCTATGGATGCTCAGGGCATTGACGTCATTATCTCGAAGGACAGTGATATGACGGCGTATCAATCAGTCACGACCCTCTGGCGTCCAGTCTCCAATAACCTTATCCTCGTTTACAAGATTCCCGATGTCCTCGCAACTCTTGGTATCTCTCGGACGCAGCTGACGGCGCTCGCGGTAGTATCTCGAAATGACTATCACAAGAACATCTACTCGCTTGGGCCAGCAACCAACTTCAGCATTATCAAATCGATTGGATCAAGACCAGGTAATATCGCGTTGAAATTGAGTGGCGACTTCATTTTTTTGGCATTCTCAGCCAAATATTTTACAAAGCTGGTTCTCATTCTGATTACTTTTTTTTTTTAAAAAATAGACGCCCGAGAGATTGTCGCTGCCTACCTTACTCACGGCCAAGTCGTGGTGAAAAACACGAAAGAGGAGACATTCGAGAACTCGATCCGGGTGTTCATTATTTTACAGCAAGAGCCAATCCAGCCTTTAGTCCAAGAGTCGCAAGCCCTGCAGCTCTTCCGTGTATTGCAGCACAGGTTCAACGAACTTTACATCAAGCACCAATCCACAAAAAATATTCGAGCGGCAGGAGTCAAAGAGAGGTAATTGTACAACGTATTTTTTGAGGATTTTTGTACTTTGCGGAGAGTTATTTATGAACTACAGTTCTCATCATATGCTTTTGTTGGTATGTAATAAATAGGCCCAAGGATGACATTGTACGGCTACCCTCGCCAAAGACCTTCAACCGGTACCGGACGGTCGAGTCACCCGCTGCTATCTCTAAGACAAAGACCGTCACTACACCACAACCTGCGCGTGGTCCTTCACAACAAATCTCTTCTGATTCCAGTCCATCTCAACAGTCTACTTCTGTGATGTCTGCCCCAGATGCTGACGGCCATCCACCCTTATCAAGGACACGGATCCCGCGGAACCGAGGACGATTCTCGTTCAAGGAGAGAACCCGCAAGGTTGTCCATGCTCCACCTCCCAAGGCTAAGCAATTCAAACTGAAGTTTTACCAAGAACGACCGGAGACTGTCAACCCCACCCCAGCCAAAAAGACGACGTCAAAGGCCAACAAACCACCACAACCCAACATGAAACCGATCGCCGACAAGGACAAGAGTGGATTATTGCGATCTCTTTCTTGGCACCATCCTACCGCATGGCTGGAAATTGGCACCTTGGAGGCGAATTTTGGACGTGTATCAGGAGATGGAGCAACACTCGGAAACCCGGAAATCCCACTGAATCTTAACATTGTGCAGCAGGAAGTGGTGGATTGCCTACAGGAGGCTGTCCAATCAGCAGCAACTGTCAAACGGAATGCCCAGAGGCTGATCGGAGAGTTTGTTGAGACATTGGCTGTCAGGATGCACGCCGCAGAGGAGACGAAGAGGGCAGAGTTGCAGAAGCTCTCCCCGCCAATGACCATGACCAACGTCGAGCGTCGCAAAGCCAAGCGCGATGCTGTCACAAAGGACGAGCGAGAAATCCTTGCCCATCTATGTGTGCGTATCAAACCCAATGCTGCCGACAAGGAGCAACAGGATGTTGAGCAGAAGGAGGAGGACAACACCGACCTGGACGACAAGGGCAATCTCGAGCAACAATTTCTGCGGCCTTTCCTGGCATATCTCTATTCCGGGAACTACCCGAGTAAAACAAGAGTGGGTGTCGTTGTGAACAAGCTCATTGACTGGTTGACAGATCACGGGTTCCATCACCCTATTCGGGCTAGGAGAGACCTCAACGAGACTATGCCGTTCACCCCTTCCATGCTTGTTCGCTCTGTCTCAGTACAACTCGCAGTCGAATTACAGCGGATCTATGGACATGGCCCCCATGACCTTCACAAGCAGGTATGAATCAAAGCATCAGTACCTACTTATTATGTATTTCAATTTAAATCACAAAGTTAACATTCTCACTCTTGTTTTTCATTTTTAGGCCACAGCTATGGTGGCGAAACATTTATTGCCACCAGAGGCCGACATTGGTATACAGGACGACATCTCCGCTGTTGAGAACTTTCTTCAACTAAATCGAATCACTGGCAACAGGCGTCGGATCATCCCTCTCACCTCGTTCGAGTTACCATTCGTGTCGTTCACTGAGCCTGAGCTTGCTTCGTTTTTCTGGAAGAGAGAATCGCTCAAGACGCGACTTACGGATCTGGTTGCAGAGGATGGATCTCCTGCCAATACCTTATTCGATATCACGAGCTGGATCGCTGGCAAGGGTCCCGGGATCATTATCAAGCAGTTCATTGCTGATGTCGCGCCTCAGGTTAAAACGAGCCGTCAGCGGAGGAAGGCCGGTCATCGCGGGGCTGTCAAGCTTCTCACCTTAGAACAGATCAAGTCGCATTTGACAGCTGTTCAGGACAAGTGGGTCGATCCGATCAATTACGCCACAAAAGGATACATCCTGCGTGGCTCCATTCGCACGGACGGATTCCGGCTTCAACTTCCGGCCTACAAGCTCCGTGAGTTGCATTCAGTACGGTACCGTCGGTTGGAACCTACCAAGCTGCCACCCAAGCTGACGTCTACGGTTGGAGGCACAGACTACTATCTCCAAGAAATCCGACGTGTGATAACCTGCAAGGAGGATATCGAGAAGCTTTGGCCAGGTGTCCCTGTCGAAAGGATCAAGACTTTGACATTGGACGGTGGACAAGTATGCGTTATTGGTGCCTTCGCGGATCTTGCAGAGGACGTGTTGAGCCAGTCTAAGGGCAAAGATAATGCGAACGAGTCATCTATGGAAGACGTCACCACCACCACCGTCGCCACTACCACCGCCACCGACAATCAGCAATCGATTAATGCAACTACCTCCGTATCGACCAAAGTCCCCATCCCGTTGCCACAGTCACAAGGGTTACCTACCTTCTCGTCCAGGACAACATTTCTGAACCTGGCTGTCAAACAGAAAGCCGTTTACCAACCTACGTTCAGATTCCGGCGCTGGCTTGAGGACACAAAGCAAGAGCAGGTCTCTGTGGATGGACAGCAGGTATCGATATCCGACATCGAGTCTCGACTTCCGCCCCTCAAAGGCCAAGGCTCGAGCGTGATCAACTATGTACAGGAGCTGAAGCGGGTGGAGGAGTGTCTCCAGAAGTTTTATGCTGGCTCGGGAAATCTGTACAAGCGGCAGAAGTGGGACATGGAGAGGGCCCGCGATTATGAGTACCAGCTTATCGCAAATCGGCTCCTTGGGATCGTGGGAGGAAGTCTTGGCGAGCGATATGACCCATCAAATCCAGTTCTCATTGGCGTCGGTCTTGGGAACTTCTCTATCACAAGCGGACTGTCAGCCCTCAACTCGACCTTTCTCAGCTACTTCATTCAAAAGGTAACCATTGCCTTGAAAGTGTCCATTAGCGGAGAGTACCCCTTTATGGGTCTCCGTGTGTTAAAAAAACTAATACGTATGCTCCTTTGATTTTTTTTTCTGGAATTAGGCCCGCTCTCTCGGTTACATTATCGTCGGTCTGAACGAGTACTACACGAGTAAGAAGTGCCCTCACTGCGGCCACTTTATCGCCCAGGTCACTCTCCGCCGCTTCTACTGCCCCGAGTGCCAAGTATATCATCATCGCGACGTTATGGCAGCCGAGAATATGGCGAACATTGTGCGTGGATATCTGGAAAAGCAAGAGCGGCCTGAGTATCTACACCCCGTAGCTGCTGACGGCTCTCTCCCATGGATGGCAAAAGCCGGCGCTGGACCCGCTACAAGTTCCACCGCCGCCTCCTCCAGCAGCAACACCACCACCGCCATCAATCGACCAAAGGGATCGCGCAAGAGGGCAACTTCGACCTCCAGCTCAAGTCGGGGTCGTCGTGGGAAGGTGGCTCAAGAGGATAAATAGAGCAGCTATACATAGTTTGTGTGACGGTTCGCCCACACACATTAATGCAGATAGGAGGGTGTGGTGCACATATGCGTCTTCGGTGACGTAATTTAGGCGCCCATTCTCCTCTAGTCATGCACCCATTGTTCAATTACGACGAGTAACATTTCACTTCCAAGCTGATTCACAACTATCAACCAAGGTACTGCCCCCAATATGGCGAGTGTGATGTCGCGTAGAGATTATGAGGATTTTTGCCTATTGATCTCTGCATATCCTGATGTGCCATTGGGCTGCAGGAGAAGACATCTTGATGCGTACTGTCATTGGATAGGCGCATCCCACTCGCCTCATTTGATACATAGCAACATGCACTTTACTTTTTCCCCTCTCTAGCATCGAGGCAGTGGTTGTTTTAAAGAAAGAAAGAAGGCTTAGTAGGGGTGCGACGAGAACCTTGCCAGTTGCTCTGATCCCTACACTCCTGATGTGCCATTGGGTTGCAGGAGATGCCACCTTAACGTATACTGTCATTGGGCGGGTGCGTTACCGGTTTTGTATCCGGATATGTACTGTCATTGGGCGGGCATATCCATGCTTTCTTTGTTATGACTAATGATGTAATAGAACCTAAACAACTTTGTAATTTATTCTCTTTTAATGTTTGCCATGCCTTTGCGTGTCCCTGAGTCTGCACTCCGATGGGCCTTCGGCCTATATTGGACGCCGACACTCCAAATCCTTTGATTCGCGAGAAATCATCAGAGCTGGAAGTTTTTTTTTACGATGAACCTCCAGTCCGATGGCTACCTGAAGTCTATGCTGAGCTTCATGGCGGGGACACTAAGGGCTTTGTCGATGGCGTAAGACATATGTCCACCTGGGGACGCTTCCCACTGCGATCGTCGACACGCACTCTGCTAGAGCACTGTGAGTCGGACTATGGCAAAAAGCAGCTTGCCCTTCTGGTTTCATTCTTTACCTTCCAAGTTGTGTCTGACTACCTAGCAATCAATGCTGGCTCATGCTCGGCGGACCAACTGAAAGATGACCTGTACCCATCAGGCGCGAGGAAAGACAGCGGAAATCCAGGCAGTCATACAACCGCCGACATTGACTACGAAGACCAAGAGACACCACCTCCAAAGAAAGCTCGCGTCGGGCAGGTCACCACGCATCGGTCACATTTATCTCCCACTACTGAAGATGGCTACAACACGACTGGTATGTTTATAATTGTTTTGTTGTAATTTTCTGGATCGAAATTTGTAAACATTTTCCTGATGTACTGAATATTATGTGAATACCTAGGTTCTCCACTGGCACCCCGTGCACGATCCTTGAAACCTATCAGCCCCGCAGCACTTCTTGCTGGAGGATCAGCTCCAGCATCGCCAGATTAGTCGACGCTCGCACCGCCCTCGCCTCCGGATTTTAACAAGGTTATGGAGCAGGAGGCTCAGTCCTTTTTAACTCCGCTGGGTCCTTGCAAGACATTCTCCTCAGCAATCTTCGTGACGGCTACACCTTACCTCCGTGGGCTAAGGACCGTCCCTTGCACACATTCAAGTTACAGCTACTGGATGATTGGGGCCCTCGATTGACAGGTCTATATGAAGCAGCCAAGACTAAACCTGTCCTTGATCATACTCATGTTGATGAAATTGCGTACGTCCCACACACTATTCTTGACTTTTGCATATTATTTTTATCGTTATTTTCTCTCTTCTCATGCATTTTCTTAACTTTGTAATAGCTTGCTATCTGGCATACTCCACCTCAACAAGAACCACGTTGGGTTCACTGGCCAGGAGGTAAAAAAGATCTCCAGAGAAGTTCTCCAAAAATTTTACAGTCGAGAGAAAGAGGACGAGGATATTCAGCGGTCTCAGGATGCTGCTCTCCTCTGGACAAGCTGGGTTCAGGTTAGTTACAGTTGGGTTCAGTCGAATTATTATAACTCTTGGCCTCAAGGAAGTACCTTAACCTCAGCTCCATGTGTGGGTTTGTACGTTTAGAAATGGAAGTCGCTTCTTCTGAACGAGAAGGTTGCGGCACAGAGAGATGATCGGGATCCAGCCAAGGTGGTTAACACAGAACCAGTTGTGGAGGCGATACTGTCGTCCTATGCTGATTGCAGGAGCAAAAACATCACGTCAATCTTTTTCATTGCCTTGCACGTGTTTCGTGAATACAACAACTGGGCTGCTATGGTTTCTGAGTCGGATTGTTTGATGGCAGTTGTTGGTCCGATCTTGAAAGAGATCATGTCTCTCCAACACAAAATCAAGTTTACATGGTAACATTCATTATAGTTGCAGCATGATATACTATTTACTTTACTCACTTCCCTAACTGGGTTGTATTGGTGTATTCATTAGTGCCAACGCTTGTACATCCGTCGGAAAGACCAGAAAGGCCACGCTCAAACAAGATGGTCAGTCCCGCCAACCCGATGTCATAGGGCAGACGGAGGACAAAGATGGAAGTGTTTTATGGTGAGCTCAAAGGACTTCATCCAAAAATAGAGGCTGTCAATACGGATATCCTCCGCCTTGCAATCTTTTCCAAGGATTCTCTGGACGTGTTACACAACACCTTGGAGCAAGGCCCGCCACTGCTGACCTTCCAGACTGTTGGTCTCGATGTTACCTTCTTCTTGGGAACCAAGATCAACAACACTATTGTTCACATTCAGCTATCGACTGTCAAGCTACCATCACGTTTGACTGAGCTGGATCTGGACCACGATTTCTTTTTTCACCTATTCCAAGTCCAGACCTTGATCAATATCACAAACGATCGCCTTGAGAACAAGAGGGATGAGCCACTACAAGAGATCTTTTTCCCGACCCTTGGGACTCCAGAGCGTAATGCAGCTTTGAAGAGTCCGCTTAAGAGAGCTACCGCATGACGGAGTGGGATGCGAGCTAGCCCATAAATAAAGTAACAAATATGATGACCTCGATATAGTGAAGCAAGGATCTTTAATCGGTCCGCATTGGTTCAACGAATGACACTGCTTACAACCCTTGATGGCGCATGAGCTCTCCGCAGTCGTTGTTGGACATGGCTGCAACAGATTAGGTATAGCTACTCTATTTATCCTCTCGAGCTGCCTTCCCACGGCGACCCTGACTTCAGCTGGAGGTCGGCGCTGGCCTTGCGCGATCCCTTTGGTCGGTTAATGGCGGTGGCGGAACTTGTAGCAGGTCCAGCGCCGGCTTTCGCCATCCATGAGAGAGCCGTCAGTGGCTACGGGGTGTAGATACTCAGGCCAATCTTGTTTTTCCAGATAACCTCGCACAATGTTCGCCATATTCTCGGCTGCCATAACGTCGCGACGATAGTACTGTACACATGGTACTCAGGGCAGTAGAATTGGCGGAAAGTGACCTGGGCGACAAAGAGCCCACAGCGAGGACACTTTTTGCTGGTATAATATTCGTACAAGCCAACAACCATATACCTCAAGGACCGCCCCTAATAAAAAATAAAGTGATGTTTGAGATGTTAGTGTATGGGTTACAATGTTAAAAGTGTCCATATCGACAATGGCCATAACACAATTCTTACCAGTTTGATGAAATAGGAATCCAGGGACGAGAGTCCACTCCTAGTCGAGGATTTGGCCAGGCTCACTCCCATCAATACGTAGAGGTGATGGTGGTGTTATCCAGAATAGCCAATGTATCATCCTGCCCTTTAAAGGTCCTCGCTTCCAGAAAAACGCTGCAAGCTCGCGCTCTGAGAATGATACATTGGGTCGTGATGGGGACCATTCGACGGCTGTTTCCTGTGAGCTTGTTCAGGTGGAGGAAGTTTTCGACTGCGGAAACATGTTCTCGAATCTGAACGTCGACGTCGCGTCGCACTGTTTGGTCTGAACGAGAGAAAGTGTCTCTGGCACGTGGGTCCTGGATGGAGTTTGAACGAGGATGTGAATGTGATGGAAAAGGACGGAAGAAGAAACCGATGTCTCTCACCTGAACCATGGCGCAGACAAAGTAAAGTGGCGTGTGATTTTCAAGTACGAGTTGATAACGGGTAGGTTTATTTTGTACAAGATGTGTTCCTCCATCCGAAAATGACTCTTCTCTCACCACCCTTCAGAGTCGACGCAAGGCCCGCTTCTTGTCCACATGAAGCTCCGGCCGAACATGGTTCAGGCTGCTCAGGTTATGAGGAGCCGCCTGACATGAGGGCCGAAGCATTGACGCCGCTGCCGCTGCTGTCGTTAATATAGAGGTTGTCGTGGTCGAGTGTTGAGTGAGCGAAAGGCTGCTGCTACATGAACCCGCAAGTACCGATTGAAGATGATGCTGGCCGACAGTCGAAGAAGAAGTTCCCGCTGTGACGGTGGTGGACCTGGAAGTAACTACAGCCACAGATGTCATGACCGACGTTGCAGTTGTGGTAGGTGTACTTCCGAGGAGGGTATTATGCGCCATTTTTGGAGAAAGCATATGGTAGGTATTGCTGCTGTTGCAAAGCTCATCCTTTGGGAGCTGCTGTTCTTGTTGCTGTTGGCTATTGTATTGGTCACTGACAGAGGCTGACTGTTTCTGCAACATGTTGAGGCCTTGGCTCCGATGTGCCAATGGTGCTCCCTGCAATGTTTGCCGTGCAAGAAGGTTCAGCTGGGTTTTGGCTTGCGCACTGGCAATCGTTGTCGATGTAGAATTCCGCTGTGCAGTCAGGACGGTCCGTGATTGCTGTTGTTGAGCTGCGGATGGTCGTCCATGGCTGTTGGTTGTGCTCGTACTTGAGCAAAAGGGTGAGGAGGATGGACATGTTGCAGTTGACAATGATGACGAGGCTGGTTCCTGCTCTACCCGGTTCTCCGCAGATCCTAGTTTCCGTTTCGTAGGGATTGTAGTCGCTGTCGTAGATAAGCTGGGTTCCGCCAATGAAGAAGACGATGACGATGAGGCGGAGGAAGCAGCGGTCGAGGCTTGATCCTCGCCTTGAGGCGCACGTTCAGGTTTTGCCTTAGGTGTATCCTTCATCGCTAACGCCGCCATCATCGCCTCCTTTGCTTCACCATCAGTCTCTCCTGTGACACTAGCTGATGATAAAGTATCACTGTCCTTTGAACCCTCCTGCGCGTCCGCTCCTGGCGGTTTGGGTGGTGGGAATGCATCCTTTCCAGCCGACTGAGCATGGATTACCGTCATCAAAACGGCATGTCGTGCGTAATCGTCGTACCGCTCCAAGAGCAACCGTCCTGCCTCCTCGTTCAACGCCGATTCTGGGTTCGGATAGATCAGCAGGCACTTCACCACCTATCGTTGCAAATAAAAAGAAATAAGTAATTAGATAAATTGAATAACGCATCTTCCTGTCGTTTTCATGGTAATGACATTATGTTCAAGGTTAATAGCAAACAAGGTTGTGAGGATATGAAATAATTACCAAAAGGATATGCTTGAGTCCGAGAGTCTTCTTCCAGTCTTTCTTGAGTGTACTGACACACACCTCGCCTTGTTTGGACACGTTGGGGTGAAATATTTTTGTCACAAAGAAGCCTAATTACATCGTGTTCGGGTTGATATCAACGTTAGACCTCGAGAACATCCTTAAAAACCACAAAACGCGGACAACCGAAAAAAAAGGAGGGCAGTTACATTTGGGCGGTGAATTCGGAAAGTCGGCATTCAGCTGGACCCGTAGCCGGAAGTAACCCCCTGCATACGGGGTCCCCTCTATTCACAAACAAACAACATGCGTACAGTTAACAAACAGCACTTCTCCAATGCACTTGACTGGTAACATTGTTGTTAGTATGAGTCTAACCTGGTCCCTGAATCCAGGCCTGGATGTCACTCATGTCCTCGCCGAGGATCATCCGAATCCCCTCTGGAGGGTCATTGACCATCGCATACACCTCGCGGGCGATCTTGCGGAGTGCTGCTGGCGGAGGGATATCCATGGTGGAGAGCAAAGGGTGCACCGGATGAGTTGCAAAGGTGGCTGTGAGGGTGTTCAAGTGCGAGTTGCGAAAGAAAGGAAAGGTTCTTTGCCGCTCAAAAACCATGGGCGAAGTACAGCTAGAGCTTCCTGGAGGGCAGGAAAATATTATACCACGACGTCACCTTTATTTTTGGATATACGCTTATTGAGGCGAAGTATAGTTTCTGGTTTCATTGAGGATCGCGTGTACCGCTAAAAAAAGGATGAAGGGAAATACAGAGCCATTTATTGACCAGGTTCCTGAGTTGACGTACCAAAGTCTTGGAGGAGGCAACTGCAAGGCCGTAGGTCATCCACGCTGCATGTCTTTGACTTTTTGTTCATCAGCTCGATAATCATGCGCCTATTGTTGCAGAGCTAAATCCTTGGTGTCAGGGTCGTTGGATCAACGTGAGAAAAGCCATAGTGGAAAAATATGAAGTAACTACACTCACCGTCGCAGCCCTTAAACACTCGAACCCCTACATAACCGAACACCCTCGTCCCACCAATTGTTATTCCCTCTTCTCAATTCTACACATCCCCCCCCCCAACCCCCAACCCCCATCTCATCCATCACTAACCAGCATGGGACTGAAGGGGTTCTACCCTTGGCTCCGCAAGAAGAGAGATTACCATCCCACGCTTCGTCACCCCATGCACCACCACCTACCTGACGGCGCCACTATTCGCGTAGATGTACTGTCCTTCTTCAATAATATTCGCGGGATCTACACGAGGCATGCAGACAACAAGACAAGGGCGCATGCTATCCTCTTTGAGCATCTTAAGAAATATGGGAACCCCTCGCGCATGGTGTTCTATGTCGACGGCGCCCCTGCTCTCGAGAAGAAGGAGACTCACCACGAGCGAAACGAGAAGCGAGTCAAGGCCCTCAAGACCGCCAAGGTCGCCGTCGAGACGCTCAGCAACCGCGTCAGTCAAGGCAAGCCGCCCACCAAGCAGATGTTCAAGAATGTCGAAAAGAGTCTCCGTGGAGGATTCAAGTGGTCCCTCCGAGATCGGGAGGACTTCATCAATTTTCTGCAAGGTCAACAGCTTGACGCGCGCCTGTGCAGAACCGAGGCCGACATTGACATCGCTGCAGAGTGCCAACCCAAGGACGTTGTTCTATCTCAAGACTCGGACTTCTTCGCTTACGATTCGGTCACGACGTTCTGGCGTCCTGTGGGCAAGCGGTACGAGGTCAAGGTCCTCGAATACAACATGGAGGCGGTGCTGGCCCAGATAAAACTGTCGACCACCAAGCTCACTGCCCTGGCATGCGTCTCGAGTAATGACCAGAACAAGAATATCCCGTCGATGGGAATTGCCACCAACTACAGCATTATTAAGGATCTACCCGATGCAGGTAAGAGCAAATGTCTTGCCAGCATGCCCATATCGCCTCTATTCCTTGTGGACATGGCCAGACTCATCATGACTCCTTTTTTTGAACCCCTTCTCTGTTAGACGTGCCGTCCCTGGTGAAGGAGTATCTCGAGAGTCCACGCGTGGTCTGCAGCTATCAAGAAGGCATCGACTTCACGGCCTCTATTCTCGTGTTCACTACAATGACTCAGGAGATTGCTGTTCCAGCGGGCGTATCCTCTGTTTCGTTGCCGTCATCACAGCCAGCGACGCCTTTGACGACCTCCCCTGCATCTTCCCTGTCCTACGAGCTGCTCTGTCAGCAGTACAAGTCGGTCAAGGACCAGCATGCCAGAGCCAAAGAACAGAAGAGCCAAGGGAATTTGGGCATCAAGAGGTAACAGATTAGGTGATATGTGATTCTCTCACATGACCCCTGATCTGACTTTCCCATCACTTGCAAAAAGTCTAACATGTTGTTTGCCTATTATCACACTCTACGACATGCTCTAGCGACGCCAAACCCAATCGGCAGGGCAAGCACAAGGAGTTTAGAAGGCACCGTGTGATCGACCGGCCAGCTCACCAGCCTGGAGTCTCGCGACAGGTGCACCGGCCGCGGCATTCGTACAAGACACGCCCAGAGCCGCAGCAGCACGAGCAACCATCGATCTGCAAGCAATACCAGCGAAAGCCCTACACGGCGGAGCATGAGGCACGGTACCGGCAGTCGATAGCTGAGGCCAAGGGAAAGAAGGCGAAGAAGAAGCAGCAACGAGAGGCTCAACGACTCAAGAAGGAGAAGGAACTAGCCAAGAAGCCACCGCTCAAGATCGACGAGATGGACAAGATGCACCTGATCAATGCCATGGTGTGGGAGCATCCCCTTGTCTCCCTTCCCGTCGGCACAGTCAGCGCTAACAGCAAGCGGGCAGCGGCAGCAGCCACCACCAACGCCAGTCAGCTCCTCTCATCTGAGCAGCAACAGCAACATCAGCAGCAAGAGGTCTTTGCATGCATCCTGGAGGTTGTCGGGCAAGCTCGTATGACGAAGAGACACGCACAGGAGTTTCTGGGAGCATTCATCGAGACTGTCTTTGAGCGTGGTCTGACCGAAGACGACCGAACCATCCTGTCCTTTTTGTGTCCCGCCGTCGAGTCCAAGATCCGTGTGATGCCCCAACCCAACCAGGGCTCTCAGGCAACCAGCAGCAGTCCTGCTGGCACTCCCACTGGCACTCCCGCTGAGGATGAAGACGAGGGAGACGCGGAAGTCGATGGCAACGAAGACATGGAGGATAATGGGGACGAAGATGCCGAGCCATCCGCAATGGACAACCCTTTGTCGCCTTCTACCAGATCCTGCTGGCACACATCTACTCCCGCAAGATCAAGTCCAAGACGGTTGCTGAGCGGCAAGTCGGTCAACTGCTTGCACGTGCCACCTCCCTGGACATCACATTGCCCCCTGTTCCTCAACGTACCGTCTCCTACCCAACCACCGGGTTGCTCGAGTCGACCACCACACAACTTTACCGCTCAATCAAGATGATGTATCGCAACGGCTCGGTCGCCCTTGAGAAGAAGGTAATGTGAAGTTGTCAATCCAAGCTTTGTCACGGACGAAATGCGAAGAGAGCAGCACTCATCAAAACTTGTTTCGAACCAATGTCTATTTTTCCCCTTTACAATAGATCAACTCACAAGCGGATGGCCAACCTGGCACGGTACTTCCCAAGATCGACTCCAAGCTGCCTGCCATCGAGAATTACCTGCTTCTGAACAAGGCCAGTGGCGGATCGAGACGTATTGCACCCCTCTCACCCCTGGCAGCTCGCTACGTTGGCTTCTCTGAGCGGAATTTACTCCCGCTGTTCTGGCACTGGCCAACCCTCAAGGACAAGATCCGGCGTATGATGGTCGAGGATCGCTACTTTCAGGATCCAGCCATAGTTCCCTCGCAGGCTGACGCTATGGAGTGGCTAGCCAGGACGACGCCTGGCCGCCTTGTCACCACTTTCCTGACGGATGTCGGTCTCCCGCCAGACAAGCACGACAAGGGCTACCGCAAGGTGACAAGAGTCATGGATATGGACGGCAAGGAAGGGCTCCGGGAACACCTCGGATGTCTGCGGGCCGAGACGTTTGACCCCAAGGAGTGGCACAGCAAGGGTTATGTTCTCAAGGGCTCGATCCGGACCAATGGCCATTTGCTACAGCTGCTGGCATTCAAACTGAAGGAGCTCCAGTCTGTCCGGTACCGCCGTGTTCCCGAGGACAGGTTGCCCAACCCGCTCGTCACCACCATTGGCGGCACCAACAGATACCTGACCGAGGCCCGCAATGTCCTCTCCACAACTGCAGATGTGGAGAGCCTGTTGGCTGCTGATCCGAGTCAGGTCGCGGTACTGTCGCTCGATTTGGGTACCTCCTGCATCGTCGGCGCCACCGTCTCCCTACCACTTGGCCAGACTCCTGCCACATTGAAGCGACCCCTCGGCAAGGAGGGCGACCAGAAGAAGAAGAAGAAGAAGAAGAAGAAGAAGAAGAAGACAAGGCGTGCCAAGCGGAAGCCCGGTGATCGGAAGCGGCAGAGGAAGAGGCAGAAGGCGCGCAAGTTGACCAAGCAGCCTCAGACGACTCGATACTTTGATCTGGTGGTCAAGCGCAACGCCGTGTCGCGGCCAACGGACAGCTTTTCCAACTGGCTTGAGGACCGGAAGGTGAACACCACCGGAGCATCTACCGGCAGGACCATCCAGGATCTCGAGTCTGCCCTGCCACCGCTCAAGGGAGAAGGCGCCTCGTTTTGCGAGTACGTTGCAGCGCGTCGGGGTTTTGAGGGCGACATGAACGACTTTTACAACAACACCAACTACTGGAAGCACCAATGGGATGCCAACGTTTGTCGGAAGGAGGAGTTCTGCAAGGTCGCCGAGGGCTTGCTAAACATGATAGGTGGATCTGTCGGACGGTCAAGGATGCCGCACCAACTTGTTGTGATCGCGATCGGTCTAGCCAAGTTTACTGCTGTGAATGGCCCGCCATCACTCGACGGCACGTTTCAGACATTTTTCGTCAATCTGGTAGGGCACATCTTTGCCACGACTATTCTGTAGGATCATTTCTTTACAGCGACATGCTAAAAAGGCCTCTATTTTTGTCTTGACTTAGGCTCGTTCGTTGGGCTACCTGGTCATCGGGATCAACGAGTATTACTCGTCCAAAAGATGCCCAGACTGCCATGACTTTGTTTGCGCGACGTCGGAATGGCGGACCCTGTACTGCAAGACCTGCAAGCGCTTCCGACAGCGCGATGTGATGGCGTCAGAGAACATGAACAATGCCATCAAGGACCACCTAATCCACCAGCAGCGGCCGCTTTACCTCCAACCTCGGCGTCAAGACGGATCTTACCCATGGATGGATGTCACTGCTGGTGGCGGTAGTGGTGATGGTGGAGGAGAAGCAGGCGGACCATCAGCTGAGGCCATGGACAGCAGTGGAAACGGAGCAGGCGGTAGTGGTGGCGGAAGAGCAGCAACAGCCAGAAGGAGACGTGCCGCTTCGATCGTCTCGGTCGAGGCCCCCAACACCGACGTCAATCCCACGGCTAATGCACCCAATTCTTCATCCAGCCACACCAAGAAAAAAGCAAAGATGTGAGCCCAGGAGTTTCACTAAGTATGATGCACTGTAGCATCCATAATTAGATATACATGCTTGCCAGCATGTTCCATAGTGTCGGGTTACGTGAGCTCGGTTACTTCATTGTAGGCCGAGGGGGCAACGATTACTCACTTCGGTGACGTAATTTATGCGCCTATTGTTCCGTAGCCTTATTTTATTTTATTTTTATGTCGCGACGCGTTTAATACGGTTCAAGATATTATGTTATTCGTAGATTGTGAATGTCCAGATAGCCTATATATCGTCTTCAGAGTCGTCGGCCCACTCCATGTCAAGGTCTTCACTCTCTTCCTTCATTTTGGTTAGCCCAGTGACATTCTCAAGGTGCGTTGCATCCTGGAAGACCTTGAACAAGAACCCGAACCCCTCCTCCTCATACGCAGCAAGGATAGGATCCGAACAGGCGGTGCATCGATCGTAGGCTTGACCAGAGATCAACATGTTCTTGAAGCGAGACAAGAATCCACGGATCTGGTGAGGCAAGAGTCCCAACGCGGAACCTTGCTGCGCAAAAGTATCCTGTTCAGCCTCTGCGTCAGCCTTGTCAGCCGGGGCGCGGACGCCCTCAGGGTGGTGAAGGAGCGACACCATCATCTCCACGGCCATGGCACTTGCAATAGCTGACAAACCAGGTCTCGTCACCGTGCACTGCTGATCCAAAGTTCGGTCGGAAAGAGAGTCGGTGGGGGCAACAATGTCGTTACAGAAGTAGCATCCCAATGGCGTGGTTCCGTTGGGTGCATGGTGCTCCTGGTCCTGACCAACTCCGTGTCTCATGACCAGGAATGTGTCGAATCCGAGAGCTGCATTAATTACAACCTTTTTCATCCTGGCACCGAGCACAGTAGGAAGCCAGCGACTCTCGCGACTGTCCATAAGCAAGAAGATGGCGTCGTGCTGCTCAAACAACTCCTCCAACCTGGCAATATCCTTCTGTGCGTTCTCTACCAATTGTGGACTGATGGGGTGACCTGGCATAGGAATCGACATTGAATATCCATTCGCATTCTACTCAATGGCAATAAAGCGGAGAAAGGATGTTAGCAGCGGCTCACTCAAACTTGCCGCATTTCAAACACACGTCAAAGACTAACAGGAAACAACGTACCACGCCGGGGTAAACTTTGCGAAGACTGGCGGCTGCAGTCTCAGCTTTGGCTTTGCCACCCTCGAGACAGTCCTCGAATTCAAATAATGGTTGGCGGACAGGGTTCGAGAACGAGACTTTGGCATTGTCGACGAACGTGATGTTGCGGACACCCCAACCCAACAAGGATCGCGCCACATAACATCCTAATGTTCCTGCTCCCAACAATAAGCAGCGAGTATTCTGCACCTTCTCCAACTGCAAATCCGGTAACAGTCTCCAGCGCATCAGCTTCAAGTTTAAATCCACTGCAGTGTCAGCCAAGCGCGCTGGGTCCATCAAGGGGGCCAGGTCAGCGAGACGAGGCCCAAGTTTTCCCTGAGCGTTCTTCTCCCATCCCACCGCCTTTGGACACACTATTATTATCAAAACGTAGCGTTAGCATTTAGCCATGCGCCACATGCATCTTCATAAGACAGCGAAAGAAAAACAAAAAAGGAATTACCTGTCACAGGAACGTAGGACGGAAGCTGCGCGGTAAAGACTTTGCTGGCACTGATATCTTGCTTGCCGAGAACCTCACGGAAACATAACACGCGGACCTTGGTCACCTTCCAACGGTATTGCAGCAATGCCAACAGGTTGCGCAATGGCCACCCAGGGTTACTGTCCAACGACGAAGGATCCGCAAATCCGACAATCACCTGCGATTGTTGAATGAGATAACAATGGTTAATATGGTGGACTTGATAGAAGTCATTTACCACACTACTAGATTCAAGATCGACATGCGTACCTGGCTCTCGTCATAGCCTGCATAGAATTCGTCCCAGTCCTGGAGGCGCGCCACCGAAAAACCTTCCTGACCCTCCTTGACAAGGAAGAATCCTGACTGACCGGGTCCAAAATTCATTTTGTATTGATCGACCTGCTCTCGAAGCTGGTTGATGGCGGGTGGTGACCAAACTGCGCCAATCCCCTGGATAGCTTCTATGGACCATGCTGGGTCTGCCTGGAGAGCAGGGAAGGCGAACCAGTAAAAGAACTTGAACTTTTTCAAGTCGGCAAAGGTGACTAAGAGAAAGCGGTTGAGTGTTGATGGATCCAGGACCGCCTTTCCTGATGTAATATCATCCCAAATCTACACCATATGGAAGGTGTGTTAGGATGAGAGTGCCAATGAGAGAGAGAGATGTTGACATACGCTGACAAACCAAACAAACCACGTGTCAAACTGGCCATACCTGGTCGACGACCATCTTGAAAAGTGCGGGCCTGTCAATAGCTTTGAAATCTTCAACCGTGTTCGTGTTCTTTACGACACCTGGTGCGGGGAATGTAAACGCTGGCGTCCTATCAAACACAAGTCAAGAACAAGAATTGCCGGTCAATTGACGTTGGTTTATATCGAGGAGGAATTGCTTATTTTTTGTTTCTTTGGTAGACCAGTAGTGTACAAGGAGGTGTCGTCTCTTACTTGTTCAGGGGGTGTTGGTCAGAGCCATTTTCATCTGGGAAGGCCCCAGTTCCGAGACAGAGTCGAGCGGGGAGAGCGACGGAGGTGTCCTTGCCGGGGACACGGACCTGCTGACCTGTGGAGTAGTAGCCGAGGATAGGTTTGGGGGAGTCGTCGAGTTTGAAGATGTCCATCTTGCGCTGAGTGAGGACCTGCCAGAAGGGTGCCTCGACTGCCGAGGCCCAAGGATGAAACTGTAGCAGTGTCATTTTCTTGATAGCGCGTCCTGGAGTTGTAAGTCGCGTTGTTGTTGGTGTGTGTGTCTGAGTGCAGTCGGCAAGATAAGTCTGCTTACGTTGCTGGTTGTGAAAAAAGAAAAGTAGGAAAGCGGTGGCAAAAGAAGGAAGTGATGTGTTGGGTGAAAAGAGTGAATGAATAAGAAAACGAAAAGAAAGAGCACTGCGGCGACTTTAACGAAAAGTAAAAAAAAAGTACCGCGTGAGAAGTAAGAAAGGTGCGCGTGGATTCGACAGGTCCAGTTGAACAAGGCAACCTTGGCACGCACGACCCACACGCTGACCTTACTACTCTCTCTCTCTTTTGAGGTTCAGAGGTTCAAGTATGTGTCGACTTTGCGATTTGTGCAAGTTTCGGTGACGTATTTTTCCCGTTTTTTCCCCACCTCCCCCTCCACTCGCATCTCACAGACAAGACATTCCCAGGGAGCATACCGTACACTGTTGAAAGGCAGTGTGTGACCTTGACCCTATTTCATACATAAGAGATCTCTTGCTTTTAGGACTCCTATCTTCATTCCCTCTCCTTTCGTCAACCCTCGTTACACACATCGCCTTGACGACCTACATCCTTTGATACCAATAACAACACGGCGCACACACAACAAGACCGAATGCACCTGCCAGTCTGAAAAGGTACAGACAACGCAATGCGCCCTTTGTCTCCAGTCGGGAAAAAAATACTCAAAATACCTCCAGCGCCACGAAATAATAGCCTTTCGTGAATCAAGGGAAGAAAAGGCTAACTGACATTCTTCTCTTGCCTTGCACCTTCCACATGCAAATAGCTGCGAACAACTACATGAAACCAAAGAACAGGAACGGATCAAAAAAGTCCGCCGCACATGCCAACACCTCAAAACAACAACAACAGCTGCAGCAACAAAACACAGTGGAATCGCAACAAAAGGATCTACCCCGCCCGACTCCAGATCTCCCGTCAAAGCCAGAGACTCCCCAGGAGATAGCAGCTGCAACCCGACCGCGCCCAGAACCAACATCAACAACAATAACAAGGTCAACCGCCTCAGGACAGTTGTCTTCTGCCTCACCCTCACTGAAGGGAAAGCAACAACAGGACTCCCTTCAAGCAACTAAACTCTATGGCGAATCAAACCTTGCACGACCCACTACTTCAACTTCTAGTACCAGCAACTACCCCCAGCCCGAGAGGAGAATGGCGCCAGCGACATCTATGGAAACCGAATATATCGAGGCACTCTACGCAGAACACTCGCAGCCTTTGGCCATCAGTCTTAGTCAGACTCACGACAGCCTGTTCTCGCATTTGGCGCAACTCGGCGATCTCCCTCCCAACTCCTCATCCGAATCAGGCGATATTGACTTTGACGACATCGACAGCTATGACGAACAAGGAGTGGACGGCGACTGCGAAGACTTTGAGGACGATCTGGACGTGTACGAGCACGACGACTTCTTGTCGTCCCAGGAGGCCATTCTTCTAGAGCTACGACGCGAGCAGGTCGAATTCGAGGAGAATGTCCGGCAATTACAGCAGCAACTTCAACGCCAGGGATCGCTTCTTCCTTCGTCTTCCTCCTATGACGGCATCGACTACGAGCATGCCGACCAACCTGACACAAACTCTGGTGCGGTTGGTGAACAAATCAACACGATCGACACCTCAAACTCGCTCTCCAAGGCTCGGAAAGGACAAATTTGGACTGGACACGACTGTCGTCTTTGCGATGAACCTAGGTCGAACCTCTGTATCGGGAAGTATGGTTGGTACTGGCGGCCGATTATCATTGAGGCTCTTGCTACAGCAGCGGCAGCGATCGCCATTTTCAACTCTCGCCCAATGGACTCTACACAGGGATCAACGCTCCAACAACCCTACAGATTCAGTGAATTTCTTCCACGACCCAACAGCATACGAAGTCAGTCTCTTCAGGAGGCGCAGAGTCAGCTCTCCGACCCTGACAGGACGTACCCCGCGAGGATGCCTTTCTTCAACAGGTATGCCGTCTGGAGAATTATGTGGATCTATCTGTTTGGGCATGACCTCTTCTCCACTCTGCACGTCAATGCTGACCGGTCGCTTACTCGTTCGTTCCTGCTGTATAGTGTGAGCGCTGTATCAACGCCAAAAGGACAACATCCGACAGCACAGTCGGTTCCGATAAGTCACATGTACCGCGGGACAACTCCACCACCACCGGCCATGGTCTACCCATTACCGCCCAACTCTCCCTACAAATTCGGACGGAAATCGAGCGAATTTCTGGAACCCGTCGGAGAGACGCATGAGTTCCAGTCGGCAGAGGGCAACTCTCGTCAGGTCTTGCTGCATGTCTGGCCACCGGATGAGCTCGATACGAACCTATTGCAGAAACTAGAGGCTTGTTGTCGAGAGTTTCAGAATAAGGACGTGGTTCATGGACACAGCGGAGATGGCTTCTTGAACGGATGGCGGCCATCATGGAAAGACCCTCAACAAACGGGTGTCTTGCGGTTTGGCCATTGGCGTGTCAGGGCTCCTCCAGAACAAGGGGGACATCTCTACGTACGTTCCATTTCTTTATTTGTTTTCCTTGCTTTTTGTGAGCACCAGGTGTTTCATTGAGGAGAATGCGATGCAGGCAGAGAAACAGGTTGGCGTATGCTAACCTTGACAATTTACGTCTTGTTTACTGTGTTTTCTTCTTTAGCCTCCGTTCCAGACGCCGTTGACACTTGCTGCAGGAGGAGGATCGGTTCTAGGATCAACCGCCAATGTAATCGCCAACAATAACACCAACAACACGGCCAATCATCAACAAAATGTGAACGCTGCACCTATCAAGGATGCCTTTGCTCAGAACGGAAAAGGCGGCACTCAGGCGACATCCAATGGCCAGACCAACCAGACAAATGGAGCTTGTGCGGTTCATGACCCACCTCGACAGCGCGCAATCGAGAACCACCGTGACATCTGCCATGACCCTGACTGTCCGCATAGGGACGACAAGCAGCAGCAGCAGGATGACAATCGACCTCGTGACTTGCAGCTGGAATCGGCGACTCAGGGACGGCTTCTGCGACTTGTGCGGGCGATCCAGATGGTGGAGAAAGGGATTATTGCGCGGCATTTGAAGTTTCTGTTCCCGACGCTTTATGAAAAGTACCACGGACTCCAGTTTGGCACACCGCGACTGTTTGATGCCGTGGCGACGGTTGCGCTGGCGATGGACGTGTCTCCTCGGCTTCATCATGATAAGGCGCACACGAAGCACGGATTCTGCTGGATCGTTGCGTGTGGCGACTTTGTTGGAGGCGATCTATGCATCCCTGAGCTGGGCAAGCGTGTTGTGATGCGTCCTGGCACGGTGGTTGCGATCCGATCGACTGTGGTTGCGTATTATATCGAGAGGTACGCCAAAGACACCAGCATGTACGTCATGTACGCGTACACCAGCGACAACAACTGGCCTCCCGCCGCGTAAAGGATTCCATTTTCTCTTTTTTCTTATCAGCGTGTCATTAATTTCCGAGAATACGAACTACATTTATGCCTCCCTTGTTCCAGTGCGCTCTCTATGAAAAAAACAAGCGCGAGAGCCCGCTAGGCTTTGTGGTTCCCTCTCTCACTTCTGTAATTAGTTCTTTCAGGTCCAGTCAAAATCCTATTGAGTGTCGAGTTGCTTCTTGAATCTAGTGGCGTGGAATCTCCCTTTTTTTTTCTTTTTTCTTTTTTCTTTTTTTTTCTCCTTTTTTTTTTTTTTTTTCTTTTCTTTTATGCTCAACTTCAGCCGAGAATTAAAAACGATTGGCACGCATGGGACAAAAACATGGGATTCATCACGCCGTATAGTAGATAATGGACCAGAGTAGTTTCTTTTTGGTTTCTTTACGCCCAAAAAGAAGAGCGATGACCTACTTTTGTCCTGCTCATCTTGTGGAACCGAGATGAAATGGAATTGAGGGTTGGAAGAAAGAAATCTCTTTGGATAGCCAACCAGCATAGAGTGAGCCCATTTCTTTTTTCCTCTCAACACAATTGAGCTTTTTTGAATTATCTCTTCCCTTCCTTTCCCTTCGTCAACTTTTTTTTTTGGTTTGTCCATGTCTGAGGGCCATGATACTATTTTTTTTCTCTCGTCTGTTTATGTCTCGTTGGCTCTCAAGGCACTAAAGAAGAATTATGTTTAGCTAAATGCCTGCTCGCAACATGTTTTTGCTCGCAAAAAGGAAAACAAGAACACAAAAACGATGAGAACATAACGGAGGAAAAATAAAACTTAAAGGACATACTAATTGTCCGTTATCGCCTTCTTTCTCTGCTTCTTCTTCTTCCTTACACTTTTGGTTGTTAATTGTCGACATGTTTGTTGGATAGTTGGATTGAGTTCTCGAGAAATGAAAAAATAAGGTAGTCGAGAGGAAGTACAAAATACGGCTTTTCGCCCTTTTGGCGATTCATCAGGACAACAAAAACACATAGTAAAGCACACAGGAGTATACTGGGAGGGGGTGTGCAAACAGGGGTTTGTGTCAAAAAATAACGGAAAATTGGCGGGAACCTTGTTTTCTCTTCCCTTTTTTCCGTTCCCCTTACATGCGTGGCAAGGTTCGTTGCTATACAGTAATTGATTGCATTTCGAACATTGTAGACCTATGAGAGGTACAGTAACTAAGCAAATCTGTTTCTCATTAAACCAAACCATACCATGCCGTGTCTCTCGACTACACCTTTCTATTATACGCTCCATTGCATCTCGTTAGTTCTATTATCGCCCAGTCGCTAGGAACGACCAACGAAAAGAAATAAGTACCTTCTCGCCACTCGTCGCTTAGGTGTTTTTTGTTTGCGTGCATCTACAGTATCTCGCTTTCGAAATGTTGGCGTTTCTTTTGTTTACTATTGACTGAACTCACCCCCTTTTTTGATGCAGCACAATTAACTTTCGTTGGTTGCAGGCCTAGAAAAACGTGGTTTAATTATTGCGAAATGCGAAAAGTTAAGGCAAAGGAACAAGGTGCAGGTGGATGTCGTATTCTTGTTCGAGATGCTTGTGTTCATGCACGAAAGGAGATATAATAATCAACAACGAAGGGTGTCAGGAGAGAGAGAGAGAGGACGGGGAAATCATCTATGACGGGATGAGAGACGGCATCACATCTAGAAAAGGAAGGGAGGAAAGTAAAGTGACAAAGAGAACGCGGGGTGGGGGTTATGTATGAGTTGAGGCAACCACACGGGTACTGATGGCGATGGCCATTGTCCCCAAACAGGGTAACCACACACAGACACACACAGAGATGTACGCCTTTTTTTCTGGTTGAAGCTTGAGTGATAAGGTTGTTCCTTGAGAGACTAAGCTAATCGTAAGCGCTGCTTTTTTGTTTGTTTTTTTTTTTGTTTGAAGGAGGTGGTAGGTGGATAGTGATCCTTGGGCTATCGTCCGTGATGAAGGTCATTCGGAGATGCTCAATTGTTTTGATGGTCCGTCAAAACCAAACCGTACTAAAGCAAAGCAATGGTGGATCGATGGATGGGCATGAACAAGGCAGGGAAGGCGAGGGGTGATGACCAACAACAGACTGACACCATCTCGGACTTTGAGAGAAGAGATTAGAGATAGAGAAGAAGGGAAAGGCGGACGCAAAACTTGAACAGGGGTAATAGTGTATGTAAGGGAACGGCGTCGGAGGGGAAAAAAAGTAAGTGAGTGAGTGGGTGAGAGAGAGAGATAGAGCAGAAGGCATCTGGAGAACAGGCGGTGTCATCTGCTTTTCTTGTGAATGCTGTGGTGTATCCATGATCATGTACTCTTGGATGTGTTTAAGAGACAAGGAGTTAAAAGAAAAGAAAAAAAGAGGGCGCTCTATAGAGTCAGGAGGTCGATGATGATGATGACGATGATGAAGTTTGGATGTTACTAAAAACAAGACCATCTGCTGGCGAGGGAAAGAGGGATAGGTGAGAGGACGTAGGGTATGGACTTACGAGACATAGTGACATTATTGTTAATGTAAAGTGAGAGAGAAAACTGGGCTCACATTCGTTTTAACGGTTGTTTGTCTGTCTGATTTTTCTGTTACCATTTGTTGTTGCTGTTGTTGTTGTTGTTGTTGTTGTTGTTGCTGGCCGGTACCATGGTCGTTGTCGAGCAAGGCTATTGTCTTATTACTTTTCTTTGTCTTCACTCGTTCATTCATTCGTTCATTCGTTCGTTCGTTCGCTCGTTCTATGAGGCACCATACCTTACCTCCTATGTACTTTTGAGTTTAGGATAATATGGATTGATGAGGCAGGGTGTGTTGTACGTTAATGAAAATGATTGCCCTCTGTCCGTTTGGCCACCACTCCATCCCCACTCCAATGCAACAGCATCATCATCATCATCATCATCATCATCACAATGATCAACATATCATAAGCACAAGTAATGATTGCGAGACAATTCCAGGAACCATCAACGACTGGTTCCATCACTCGGTCTCTATCAGTCTCGCCCTTGTCTCGTCCTTCGTTCCTCGTTTCTGACTCCTCCTTGCCTTTGCTTAACCAATCTTTTTTATCGTATTTCACCTTAGAAGAACGAAGTATAAAAAACCCATTTAACATTCAGTGGCCGCCAGACGAATATACGGTTCTTCTTATTAGTATTCTTCATCTTATTATTGTTTCTCCATCTTCTTCGTTTCCTTCTTTGTCTGTCTTCATTCTCGGGCAATCTCACTTTCTGTTCGTCTAGCAATTGATCCCCTTTCCCCTGCGTGCGAACATCGTGTAATCAGACTAAATAACACAAGCAAGGCACAGAACCCCCTCTTGCTTTTTTTGCCGCTCAACTTTTTTTTTCTCTTGTCTCGTTCCCTCTTTCCCTCGTTTTCCTTCCTCCTCTTCCTCTTACTCTTCTTCTCTCTCTTTCAACCCTCCTTTTCCTCCTCTTCGCACGATCATCCCTTCCACTCTCTTCTCTTTTTCTTCACACCCTTCCATCTCCTTTACGTGACTCGCTCGTCATCATCTTCGTCTCCTCTTGCATCTTTCCTTCTCGACTCCTCTTCCCTTTCCCTCTGAATCATCATCATCCTCGATCATCCCCCCACACCCACTCTCACTTACTCTCATACTCTCGCTCTGTCATCATTCTCCCGAAGAACATCACCCCCCAACCCACCAAAAGACATCGTCTCTTCTGCCAAACTATTTTATGACCCTTCTCCCCCTCCTACTGTCCATTCCAGTCTTCTCCCTTCGTCCTTGACTTCTTCGTTTTCGACACCCTATTCATTGTTGTGCCTCGCCGTCTTTGTCACACATATATATTATAACGCCCTAAACAATATACCCGTTTTTGGTTGTCTGCACACGTTTTTGAACACTCTTTTCATACACTTCACGCACACACACATACACATACACATACACAGACACCTACACAGACACCAACCAGCCAACCAAAACCAACCAACACTCTTTTTTTAATAATCAAAAAAAAGGCAGAGTCAAGATGGGGTCAAACCAATCGTCCATGCGGATCCCAAAGAAGCAACAAAAAATGACACAGCAGGAACTGCAGCGTCAATACCAGCGGAACCTGAGCGAGGCCCAGCTGGCAGAGCACCAGCAAGCACGTATAGCCCTCGAGAACAGCGCCTCCTTCGCCCGCTCGCATCACCACTACCAGGATGTGAAACAAATACCCAGCGGTATCGTCAACGGACACGCTCCTTCCATCATCACCTCGCACGCTAACAACGACAGCTTCTACCACCAACGCGCAACCACCATCCACTCGACCATCGACACGAAAGCGACCCGACAGAACTACCGCTGGATCGACGGCAGGCGCCATCATAATACTGATGGCGCTGCTTATATCATGCCCAACGATATCGATGAGATGGACAGGTAATATGCGCCCTTCTTTTGGTGTCCTTCCTTTTTTTTTGGTCTTCCACTTTCGACTCTTTTGCTCTCGTTTCTTTTGAATGCACTATATGGCTATTTTTCTCTTTTTGCACTGGAACTCTTTTCTTCCTCTTCCTCGTCATCCTCCTTCCCCCGTCCCCCTCAATGATGCTCTCGATATTTCTTGGTGCCCTAGTGGGAAAAACACCATGAAAAAAAGCAATTGCATAATTCCTGTCACCTCCATCTGCCAAACCTCCTCTCTCCCCTTTTCCCTCCACAAAATTACATGCAACAGTAATCATACGAAAACGGTGGGGTTGAAATAGGTCTATTCATAACGAAGAAAGCCTAACAACGAACATCATCCCTTCCCTCTCTCCACACACACTAGACTCCACTTGCAACACTTTGTGATTCGACACGCCTTCAACGGAAACACGCGCGCAAAGTTCGACAACAAGATTCACAAAGATGTCCTTGACGTCGGATGTGGCCCCGGAACATGGATCTTAGGCAAGTGCTCTAGCATATCTTTCTATTTTCTTCTCTCTCATTCGCTCTCGTTTTGTGGGCTATTGTTGTTTTCAAGGCTCTGTACGACAATGACGAGAGAGACAGAGAGACACAAGATTGGATGGATGGGCCATAACAATACAACAAAAAGGACAAACAGTGAATGGCAAAACAACAAACAACAAACAACAACAAAAGCAAAAGGCAAAACGACAACAAAAGCGGCAAGGCAAAGCAAAGAACGACGGACATCCATAACATAGATCACTTGATACCAATGATGTTGGCCCAGCTAACCATGGACCATCTATTGCTTTATCCTTGTACCTATTGTTCAACACCTACAACAGAAATGTCGACAGAACACACAGAGACCAACTTTACAGGAATCGATATCTCTGCTGTCTGGCCCACCGAAATTCGTCCTCGCAACTGCCGCTTCCAGGTCGTCAATGCCCTCCAGGGTCTCCCCTTCGAGGACAACACCTTTGACTTTGTCCACCAGCGCTTCTTGATTATGGGATATCCCGCCAAGGACTGGCCCTTTGTCATCAAGGAACTCATTCGTGTCACCAAACCTGGCGGCATTATCGAACTCACAGAGATCCCCATCGTCTCGAATGCGAACGGACCCGAGCTGACAAAGTTGATGGAGGTGCTTGAACAGGGCTGCCTTGCTCGAGGACTCGATACCACTGCGGCCAAGAAGCTCGAGGGTATGATGCGCGAGGCGGGCATTCAAGAGGTCAAGGCCTGTCATGCGTCGATCCCAGTCGGTGCGTGGGGAGCCAAGGTCGGCCAGCTGATGCGCGAGAACTTTGCAGGAATTTGGTCAAGTCTGAAGGGCCTTATCAAGGAGCTGACGGGCATGAACGATACCCAGTACGAGGCCATGATCAAACGGATCTTTGTCGAGTACGAGCACTACAAGTGCTATGTCAACTGCTATTGTGCCTGGGGTGTCAAGCCCCACCCCGCTCTTCGCCCTGAGGAATCATCGTCGCCATCATATAGCATTCCACCAACGCCGTCTTCCTCTTCAACGACATCCCCGCCTTATCCCCAACATTCTCATCCTCAACACTGACACACGGGAACAGGATTGAAACCAGCCAAGTCAGCCAACCCATCAACGTCGAGTCGCGGTCCAACGAAAAATGTGCGACGCTTCATGAACGATCGAGTCGACGGTGGATGTTAAATGCGGGAAGACGGCGAGAGGGAAGGACGAGGGTGACTATCATGAAATGGTCTAGAGCAATGTACACTATCACAATAATATCATGCATTTTTAAAACAAAAAAAAAAACAACTACAGAGACATCATGCTACAATGCAATACTGTTACATTCGCCTTCCTCTTGTCAAGAAACAAATGATTATGTCAAATGAACACTCCCATATGAGTCTAACCTCCTACTACTGCCCGTTACTGTCTCGGGGTCAAATGTGGTTTACACACACAACTTTTAGCACAGGACGGAACAAAATACAAAATCACATACAGATAAAGCAAGCCAACGGGGCTGACAGCGTAAGTAACAGAAACAGAGCTTATATATTCTGGGTGAACTGGAATCTGACCGATTACATGAACCCCGTCCTGTTAGTGATATGAGCGCACACGGATCATGTCTCTGTGTCGGTTTTTACCCTTTCTTTCCTTCTTGTTTTTTTCTGTCGCTCGCTCACACCCTCCACTCCGTCATTGTGTTAGAGTAGCTAGGGCTTGTTGCTGAATGTGGCATTCGCATTCTCTTTGTTCCATTCGACATCTCATTCCTCTCTCTTTTTCTTTCTTTTTTATTTTTTTTACTCAACATTCAACACTCTCTAATTAACACCCTAAAACGTTTCTCTCGCCCTCTCTCCCCTCGCTTGCAGATTTTTTTGTTTCTCGTACCCTCTTAGAGAACACCTCTACTCTCTCTTTTTCTCCTTTTCCCGCCTTCCTTCCCTCAACCGCACGCATCTGCTCAAACTCCCTTCTTCACCCCGACTCCGTCTCCGTCAGTCTTCAAAAGCTGATTGGTTGCCACCAAAAAAAAAAAAAAAAAAAAAAAAAAAAAAAACGCGTCTCCCCCCCTCCAACCATCAGTAACCCGCCCAGTGCCAGTAATTTCGCGTTTCTTTTCTTTGTCCTTCAGACACCAAAATGCCACATTCCTCGGATCAGAACAATAGACTTCCTCGACGCTCCATCTTCCAGAGCCCTCGACACCCTGCCGCCCAGTTCTTGGCACGGACGGACTTACCAACAACGTCTACACTGACACCGCAACACTTCTCGGACGGCTCGCATAGTCTACGACGATCTTTGAATGTTGCCCAAAACCTGAGTCGACTGGCGGAGACTCAGCCCCCCATGGTCCCTCGGATGATGTCTTTGGGAAATAATAGCGGCAACAGCAACAGCGGGACTCGAGTCTTAACGTGGTCGCAGCAGCCGAGGATTGGGCATAGTCAGGCGATTATTGGGTTGACGACTTCTTTGGTTGGGTCGACAAGTCACGGCGGTGATGGTGGCTCTTCTTCGTCCTCTTCTACGCCTTTGTCTAGCATACAGACATCTCAACAGCATCATCCGAATATTGTAGTCCGCACTGCTACCCCTGTATATACGAATAGCTATAGTGATCGGATGGCGTCGATGAGGGATAGTGTCGTGGAGCAGATGAGGTCGCATGTTCAGAGTCAACAGCAACCTCACCAACAGCAATGGCATCGAGATGATAACAACAATACCTACACCATGCCCAGAGATGACTCCGAGTCCCAGGATCTTGATACTGAGAGCGAGGAAGAGGAGAGGGAGCAGGAAGAGGAGGATGAGGAGCAGGGAGAGGAGGATGAGGAGCAGGGAGAGGAGGACGAGGAGCAGGGAGAGGAGGATGAGGATATGGACTTGGATGAGCATGAGCATGAGCATGAGCATGAGGACGATCGGCACAACTATGGACAATCTCAAGCGCTTGACGTTTATGGCCAGCGACAGTACTATGCCCAGGTCTCGTCTGGTCGATCCTTTTCGTTGAATGACACTCCACCTGTGGCCAGGGGTCAGATCTATGCGTCTCCTCAGGGATCGTCTCCATCCTCTCAGCAACAGCAACAGCAACAACAGCCGAGCCATCGTCACCCACAGCAGCTCCCATCCTCTCGGCGAATTATTCTCCCACCCCAGGAGATGCCACCCCTGCCCTGGTCTCGCCAGCCATCCGTCTCTTCTGGCCACTCCTCTCACCCATCACGGTCTCAAAACCAACGACACCCTCAAGAGATGAATCGACGTGACAGCAGCTACCGCCAGCAACAGCTGGTCATACCAGAGTATCAGTCATTCAACAGTTCTCGACAACAGCAAGGTGGGCGACAGAGTATGTCAGAGGGCACAATGACCGTTGAAACGCCAAGCCAACAGCAGCAGCGACCTGCGTTCTTGAGTCAACCCGTCTATCAGCTGGCCTGCGCTGCCTGTATCCGTCCACTGTGCCTGCGTGCCATGAAGGCTGTGATGTTGAGCGACTATTCCAAGGAGTTGTACTCGACTGATATGCCGCCTGCAGGTCTGCAGCTTGTCAATGATGATCGTCAAGTCCGTCATTGTGCCTGCCGTATTCGTGACAGCGCCTGCCTTGGCTGGTGAGTTCGCCTCTCTTTGCTTTTCCTTTTCGTATGGTTATTTGTTTTTTATATGTGCATGTTTCTAACGATAATCATTCCCTTTTTCCTGAATATGCTTGTGTATGGAATAGTGGTCAAGTGGCGGGATACCATGTCACGCAACCGTGCTCAGACTGCCTCAAGGACCAGAACAATGGTCATTTTTGGATGTTTTACTCCTCTGCCGTCGTCCACTACAAGCGCCTCCGTGTCGGTAAGTTCTCTTCTTTCTTTTTTTCCTCACAGCAGCCTAGTCAATTGAGTTTCTTTGAAACGTTCACTCACCCTTGCCTTTCACTTTTCTTGTTAATTCCCCGAAAAATGTAGATGGACATGTGGGAGATGTGATGCTGTGGGCGAACGTGCCATCGATCAACTTCGACCAAGTCCTGGCCCAACAACTGCGTCGCGAAGTTCCCAACCTTAGTGTCCGAACCACCGCTTCCTCTTCCCAGTCCTCCTTCTCTTCCTTACGCGACCAGTACTCTTCTTCGAATCACAATAACAGTATTGATGGGCGGCCATTGACGGCTTGCGTAGAGATGGAGGAATGGCTCAACTCCCCCAGGGCTGAAGTCGTCTGTCGCTAGAAAACAGGAGGAGCTCCTTTTATTATTTTCACATACATATCTTATCTAGGCTTTTCTTTCATCTAATAATCATTCCTACTTGTATCATACACCTTCACGCGTCTTGCAGCTCTGATGAGAGTGAACACCACGGCTCGGTTATTTTTTCATGTTGTTTGTTGTTGTCAGTTGTTGTCAAGTGCTTGCTGGCGATCCGTTCAACACAAACCCTGAAATGCCTGGTTGTAACTTGTCGGTCTTGTCTGTTTTGTTTTGATTGTTTGTTGATGTGCACCTGTACCCCAGTTTTTTTGCCCCTCAAGGGCGAGAAGGAAAAAAAGCGATCGATCGCTTCCTTCTTTAGTTTGTTGTTGCAGGAGTGCGGAAGAGAGACAGAGGGAAGAAGTAGGATGAAATGAATCGGTGGATGGATATTCGAGTGTGGGGACGACCAATTGAAGCCAATTGGCGCATTCAAAGCGAGCCGAGCGGTTCTTTGATTATCCAAGTGCATAGTAACTGGCTGATGGTTTTGTGTGTGTGCTTTGGAGAGAAGAGATAAAGAAGGTTCGGTCCCTTCCTCTTCCTCCCTCCCGCCGTGTCAGTTTCTGTCGCTTTAGTACTTTTCTCCTACTCTTTTCTTTACTTCTTTGCCACTCTTCTCTCTCCCTCCTTCTCTTCTCCACAACCCTCCCCTTCCTTCTCTGGCACACCCTTCCAACCCAATGGCCCAAACACAACAAGTCAAGGACCTGGCAGCTGCTAGGGCAAAGACCACTTTCCCCGTCATCGACCTCACCCGCTATATTCACGGCTCAGACGACAAGATCGCCCGTCGCAGACAGCTTGCCTCCATCGTCTCCAACGACCCCGTCTTCTCCAACGACACCAGGCACGTTCATTCATTCTCGCTGTATTCTCTTTCGCGCATTCAAGAAAAAAAAAAGAAAAAAAAAAAGGATGAAAGTGAATGCCCTTACTAATTCCCTTTTTCTGTTGTTTGTAACTGAAATGGCAAAATGAATAGGGTGGGACTGAGCCGAGTTCAGGATGTGAAGCAGGGTCTTGCGATGAGTCTCCGACTTTACCAGTTGAAGGAGGAGCATAACCTTACCCAAGAGGAGATGCTTACTTGTAAGTCTTTTTGACCACTCTCATTGATACTCATATGTGCTCCCTGGTATCATACAATGCCAGCCCCTGTCACTTCACCTTCTCACCAACTCTCGTTCTATCGGATCACTTCTTTCGCTTCCCCGTACGCACAGGCATGGACTTTATCGACGAATTGCTTCCTGTAAGTCCACTCGTGGCACGCAGCTACTTGCACCTCCTTATCTACCAACGCCTCTCTCGTCCTTGTTGTTGATCTATTCACTAACCAATGCCTCATTTACAGGTGGGACTGCACGAGACGGCATTCATCCCCATCATCTACGCACAGGGATCAGATGAGCAAGCAAAGTACTGGGGCCCGCTCGCAGAGAAGCACCAGATCATCGGATGCTACGCCCAGACCGAGCTCGGCCACGGATCTAACCTCTCTCAGCTCGAGACTACCGCCACCCTCGACAGAGACACCGACCAGTGGACCATTCACTCGACCACTTTCACGGCCTCCAAGTGGTGGATTGGAGGTTTGGGTGCTATCTGTACCCATGCCTTGATCCAGGCTCGACTTATTATTGATGGCAAGGATTATGGTGCCCATGGATTCATTGTTCCTATTCGTTCGTTGAAGGATCATCGTCCTTTCCCTGGTGTCAAGGTTGGAGATATTGGACCCAAGTCCTATGGTGGTTTCTCCAAGATCGACAACGGCTGTAAGTTTATGACCCCTTTTCTTCAATCATATGTCTATAGTCGTGTTTATCCTTCATTCCTTCATTCATAGTCAACAGAGTACTAACTGTAACGCATTCGTTCTTGACAAACAATAGTTGTGAGGTTTGAGAACTACCCCATTCCTCGTGAGAACATGTTGATGCGTTTCGCCAAGGTGACCCGTGATGGACAGTACATCAAGCCCCCACATAGCAAGGTAACTTGTCGCATGTGATCGAGCAATGGGTCCACATGAGAGCCCGGTTCCAGTAACCCTTCCCTCACTTAAATCCCATGAACAATACTTAACAACGCGTCTTTGTGAAAATAGTTGGCTTATGGTTCGATGGTTCTCCTTCGCTCGCACATGGTTCGCGGTGCTGGAATGACCCTGGCCCGCGCTGCCACGATTGCTACCCGCTATACCACGGTCCGTCGCCAGTTCAATGTCCCCACCAGCCGCAAGGATGCTGCCAACCCCGCCTTGGAGACCCAAGTCATCAACTATCCCATGGTTCAGTCGCGTCTCTTCCCCATAATTGCCCAGTCTTATGCCATGCTTGCTGCTGGAAACAAGATGCGCTCCATGTACGAGAGTATGCTTTCCGAGCTCATGCAGGGCGACATCTCTTCCTTAGCTGAGGTCCATGCCATTTCTTCTGGATTGAAATCAACATGTTCGACTTTTGCTGCGACTGGTGTTGAGGACTGTCGCAAGATCATGGGTGGACATGGTTACTCGTACTTTAGCGGCATCTCTCACCTCTGGTCTACCTACGTCCCCTCCAACACCTACGAGGTACTTTTTTTTTTTTCCCTTGGCGATTTGCCATGGATTTTGCGCGCCGTTCAACAATTGAGGAAACTAACTCACTATTCTCATTTCATATGTGACACAACAGGGAGACAACTTTTTGTTGACGCAGCAGTCGGCGAGGTACTTATTGAAGCAGATCAAGGTAGCAACAACCAACCCCGAGAAGGTGACCCCTTTCTCCAAGTACGTGATCAAGACCATTGACCAGGAAGCCTTCCAGGCTGAGCGCTGTTCGGTCGAAACAGTCAATGACTGGCTCAGACCCGAGGTCCAATTGGCCGCCTTTGAGCACCGCGCTGGCCGTCTTGTCGGCGACCTTGCTATTGCAGCCATGCAGGCGGGTATGGTCTGGAGTGACCTCAACCTGGAGTGCTGGAGACTCTGCCACGCCCACTCGCAGTATGTCCTTGCCCGCTCCGCTGTTGAGGGCGTCGCTGGTGTCCGTGACCAGGGCGTCGCCAAGGAAACCGTCCGTGTCCTCAAGCGTCTCTCGGACCTCTTTGCACTCCACACCATCCAAGCCTCCTTGGGCGATTACTTGGAAGACTATTATGTCTCTCCCGCTCAGTGCCAGTCTCTTCGTCAACAGATCAAGAACCTGCAGGATGCCCTTGCGGATGATGTTGTGGGTCTGATGGACGCGTTTGATTTCCCGGATCACTACTTGAACAGTGCTTTGGGCGCTGCTGATGGTGATGCGTACCAGCATTTGTGGGATGCCGCTCAGAGGGAGCCTATTAATCAGGTCGAGGTTGTTGATGGCTACAAGGAGTATATTGTTCCAATTCTTAACCAGCACGGTGCCGCCAAGTTGTAACCTTGTCTTCTCTAATTAAAATAAAATACCACGACTCATTGTCAACTCTTGTTCTTTATTCTCGTCCTCGCCACTGTAAGACTGAAAATCAAATCAAAACTGAACTTGTACACAATTGAAAGGCCATCAACACTACTTACCAGCAGTTACCTACTCATCGCTACTAAGGTGTATCCGAAAGGCACTGGAGCTGACGAGAGTGCAACGCTTCCCCGCCATTCCTCATGGCTGTCGACTACCTATGCTTCGAACTGGGTTGAGACACAAACGCAACAGGCAAAAGAAAATGAAATCAAACAGCCGTCATGCATACCACCCATCGCACCCTTCAAAAACTAGATAAAAAGAAAGCAGAAGCCCGGGACGTCGCCCCCGGGTAGCTAGCTAGTTCTTCAAAAAAAAAAAAGATGATGCTCATAGAAAGGGCAAAAGATAGCGTCAACAGCAGGATTTGAACCTGCGCGGGAGAACCCATGTGATTTCGAGTCACACGCCTTAACCGCTCGGCCATATTGACTTCTTGATTGATTTTCATTTCTTTAATTAACCTTTGAACACCATGCCTCGCAATTATCGCAGAATCGTGTCACGTGATGAAAAGTAAGAAGGCCCAAAATTGGTGGCGTTTTTGCCCCCAGAGGCGGCTGGAGCCTGTGTGAAATGTGTCGGATCTCCTCCGCGGCATCACCCCCTTGAGCATGTTGACTGAATGGTCCGCGGTCTTCCGGACCCCAATGTCCATCGCCAAGACAGTCCTTCACAAGTTTGTTGGCTACCTGGAGGCGCAGGCCTCGGAGCTGATCTGGAAACCTCGGTGCTCCGCGACGATCTCGTGGGAGCAGACCCAGGGTATCTCTGCCAAGAACAAGACATCCAAATACACAGGCCCCCGAGGTGACTGGAGTCAAGGATACGGTTACATCACGCACGATGGTTTCTGTCCGTGTGGCGCTTCGCTAGCCACACATGATGAAGGAAGGTGCCCTGGAGCGACCAAGGACCCACGCGCTGCTGACGAGCGGTTGTTGGAGAGTTTGTTAGGAAGGAGGAGGTTGTTAATGATGGAGAGGATGGGAAGAATCCCCTTCATTCGTATCTAGTTTTATTTTCTTCCGTTTAAGCTGTGAAGAGCAGCGACAATTGTTGCGCAGAGCCAGGTTCTGGACCGGACTGCAAACCGGTGGGCGGCGTACTGAAGAGTTCAATCTGTAGTCCCCTTTATCTCCAAATGTGGTCTTTGTGTTGTTTCTCAGAAAATGAAATTGTGTACAAGAAAAGAAAAGCAACTCTTTTTTGTGAGAAAGCGGTTGTGGTTGTGGTCTTTGCTAGCACAGGGTTGCTTTGTTGCGACTCATTTAGACCCATTGTATAAGATTAGGTGTCTTTAGATGATCTGGTTATCAGGTAAACTACAAGGAGTTCAAGGTGCGAAGAAAATAAAGTAGTAGGAACGGTGGGATGCAAGAAAGGAACAGAAAAAATTATTGAGTTTGTCGAAGTAAGATTTTCAATTTTTTTTTTTCTTTTTGCAAGACGACCCAAAGAGATAAGGATTGCGTTCATTAATCCATATGTCTACAGCAAGAAGGTAAGAAATAAGAGATCGTTGCTAGTGAAATGAATTCAAAGCTGAACCCGAACCATCCATCCATACATGTGGAGAGGCGTGATCTTGATATCCTGCCTCACCCCCAACTCCATTGGACTCCAGTACCCGCAGTCATTTGCTACCAAATCAAAACCAGTGGTGGACAAATGAACCGTTTATGTGTCCAAGGAAGAGTGCTTGAGAAGATAGAGCGATAACGGCAAAAAGAGAAGAAAAACGACGGTGAGGGTCAAAGCACCTATTTCACTTTGGAAAGTCGGTGCCGTGTGGCTGAACGGTTGATTTTTATTTTCAGGTACGATCAGTCATCCATCACAGTCAATGATCACCTCTCGAACGATAACTCGTTTTTCTTTGCAGCTTCTCTTTATTTTTGTCTATTATAGGTGGCAAGAATATGCTAGAGAGGGTATCAAAAAAGAAAAGAAAAGAAAAACAAAACCAGAAAAGAAAAAATAAATTGCTACACTAGGCAGCAAGAGTACCACGACGGCGGATGAACAAGGAGATCACAAACGCCAACCCCATGATGGGCGCCAACACCGTGAACATGACCTTGAACGCCTTGGCATACGACAGGATCACCTCTCCATACACCCCACCCGTCAACTCGCCAATCGCATTGATGTTCTCCACCACATTCAACTCATCCACAATCCTCCGAGACTCCAAGGGTAGCTTCTCCAACTGGTTGACAAGAGCATTGTTGAGGACCGTTCCACAGATGGCGACACCGACAGAATTGCCGATACTGTTGACAAATGCCACCAGACCTGTGGCGACTGCTCGCTCTTGCGGCTCGGTGCAGTCCTGGCAGGCGAGGATGCAGTTCTGGAAGATGAGACCTTGGCCCAATCCCATCAACAACACAAAAATGAGCTGCTCGGCGAGGGATGTGTCGACGTCAAAGAGGATAAACAGACCAACAGCCAAGGTAAAGATCGCGCAGCCCGTCGAGATAAAGACACGATAGTCCCTGAACCGTTTGAGAAGGACCGAGGAGACGGCGGTACTAAAGACCAGACCAAAGATGCAGGGCATCAGACGCAGACCCGAGCCGGTGGTCGAGACGCGCTTGACAATTTGCAGATAGACGGGGACATAGTATGTGCTACCCATAAAGACAACGCCCATGAGACCAAGGACAGTGGCCAGACAAATAACTTCCCGGTTGAGAAATAGGCTCATAGGCAAAATCGGCTCTGCAGCTCGACGCTCGACAATGACCAGGACAACGACCAACAATGCAGAGACGATGAACAGGGCAATGATGACACCAGAGTCCCAGGCGTATGTGGTTCCGCCCCAGGCCAGAGGGAGCAACAAACACAACACCGCAGCAACGACGATTGTCACACCCGCATAATCAACTCGCCTCAGCTTCTGACCAAGATCCGACCGCTCGAAGGGGACGTCCAGGAACTTGGCGATCAACCCAAACGCAACAATAATCAACGGCAGGTTCAGGTAAAAACACCACCTCCACGTCGAATGCTCCACAAAGACACCACCCAACAACGGACCCACAACGCCTGACACTCCAAACGCCAAACTCACAACTGTCTGGAACCTTGCCCGCTCATCCAACGTCTCAAACAAATCCGATGCAATGATCAACATCAACGAGAACAGGCCTGAGCCACCCATTCCTTGAACCGCACGGAAAAGAATCAACATGGTCATCGACGAGGCGGCGCCACAGCCAACGGAGCCCACGAAGAAAATGATGCATGCAAAGAGGTACATGGTCTTGCGTCCAAAAATATCTGAGAAGCGACCATAGATCGCTTGGAAGGCAGTGTAGGCGAGGAGGTACGCGGTTGCGACCCAGGACATTTGACTCTGAGCGTTGAACTCGGAAGCGATGCGAGGCAGAGCTGTCGCAATGATCGTCAAATCCATCGACGCCAAAAAGCATCCTATGAACAGACTGTTAGGACGGAGAGAAATGTAGAGAAAGGAAAGAAAAAAGTGTTAGATCTTATAATGCGTGGAAAACAATATGAAGGCAGAAAAAAAGTGTGTATAAGAAGGTACGTACCCAATGGATAAGAAGACAAGGCGGATGCCTCGGATAGGAGGAGGCTTGGAAGCAGCAATTGGTTCAGGCTGCTGCTGCTCAAGGTCATTCTTCTCTTGATAGTCGAACCCAGAGTTGACGGTCGTGACAGAAGACGCTTCAAACATACCCTCTGCTTTATGAGAGGAGGGAGAGGGAGGGAGGTTTGGAGCAACAGGTCCTGGTGGGGGTTCAGATTCTTCCATGTCTTTAACGCAGTGGTGGTACAGAAATCAAGTGAGATGCGATCTGTGAGATAAGGTTATTTATGGTTATGAATGTGCTTTTTTCTTGGTATTTATCCTTGTGCGTCCTGGTCCCCGAACGACATTTTCAATGGAGCGATTGGAGTAATAAACACCACTGCGGTCAAACTGGAGAAACATAGATGAGTTGGACGGGTAAAAGAATACTCTCGATGTGCATTGAGGAGCGGGGCTAAGATAGAGCTGGTTTAGATTGAAATTATGATTTTGCGTCAAGACTGCGGGCACTGGAGTTCGATGGAGTTTAGGGTAAAGTATGTAGGACATCAAGGACATACCCCTCCTCAGTATGAGTGAATGGTATAAGGTTGGTTAGAGTTCTTTTCACCAGCGACAATCCTTTCCCCTTACTGTAGACGCATGGGTAACTGAATGTCTTGCCCGGTCTAGCATGCAAAGGAAAAAATATCGACTTCGACAGACACCATTTTTTCAGTCGTTCCTTTCGTAGTACACCTTCATGCACCACTCCACTTCTGTATCTTATTCCTTCCACTCGTCGGATCCCCTGAACTCTCATCGACTAGAGCACCTAAGGATACTCGCTATCAAAAATGGCTTAAAGCATGCTTCGACTACACAGATCAGTGCTAGTCGAGGCTACAATCACATCCATTCTTTGGTTTTTCAAGTACAAGAACAAAGAAAACAAACGCTGCAAATTGGAACTCCTTCTTTTTTCACACGTGATACAGGCCAGGCGATAGGCCTTTGCGCTTGCAGAAGCAATCGAATCCATCAAGCAACATGTCTATGTGGTCGAACGGTTAAGGGGACTTCTTTGGCATGTAGTGGAGCATGGCATGGCATGTCCTTTTGTCTTCCAAGGACAGGTGTGTGCATGGTGCATGGCAGGAGTGCGGACATTTTTTTCTTTTTGTGGTTAGAGTTGGATGGGAATCAATCCGCACGTGATGTATGCAAGGACTGATATGGGCGAATGTTTTTGTTTTGACGTACGTCGCCGTCCCTTTTTTTTTGTTTTGTTATCTCACTCAACTCTTCCAACTCACATACACATACCCAAGGATCCATTTCTTCACCACAAGCACTCACACAATTTACCAGCATATCAGCAACGCACGACCATAGATATGACCTCTGCAACTACCAACACAGCGTCAGGATCCGCACAGTCAAAGATCGCTTCCTTTTCAGCCGATCAGATCGAGCAATTCCGGCACCAGTATCCAGACTACGACGAGCATGAATCCGAGTTCCCCCTCTGGATCGAGGGCGTCGATACAACCTATGCACCATTTATCCCCACTTCCACCCGCCGAGTCTTGGTTGCTCTCGACATGGTCCGTCTGTCAAGCACCGACAAGGTCCTCGACGTCGGATCAGGAGACGGCCGGTTCTGTTTCGCAGCAGTCTCGTTCTTTGGCGCTCAAAAGGCACTGGGCATCGAGTACGAACAGGATCTGGTCGAAAAGTCTACAGAGTTCGCACAGGACCTTGTCAACCAGGGCAAGATCTTGTTCCAGAAGGCCGATCTGACCAACTGGAGGGATTCGCTGACGATGCAGTCCAAGGAGTGGACCGTAATCGTGGTCTTTTTGTCGCCCGAGGGAGGAACTGATATGGAAGAGTGGCTCGTTCAGGAGTTTGAGCGCGGTGTCAGGATCGTTGCCCTGGTGTTTGATCTCAAGCATCTCAGGGGTCTTCGCTGCAGTGTCGAGGACACCGAAGAAGGCATCTGGGTCTATGAAAAGCAGTAACAGTAGTCTACCCTGTTACAATTCTTATATTAGTTTGAGTAAATAGACAAAAACATTGATCTCCTTGTTTCTTTCTTCATGGAGTGGATGGTTCTACAAGAGTTCAGGGTCGACTTCACGGTCAGCGAGGTCAACGTCTGGGAGTTTCTGATCTGTTGGAAAGCAGTGGAATCCGAGGTCGTTAAAAACGGTGTTGTCTTCAAACTTGATGGCGGGTAGCAGTGATATCCGTGCAATTGACATTCCTGGGAGAATAAACGGTGCTTGTTTTGCTACTTGTCTGAACGAGGGGCTAAAAAGACGGCAGAATGTATCCCTGGTCAGCGCTGTATATATATAAACGAACTTTGTGAACATAATAAAGTGGAGATGAAAGAAAGCCGTCAGTGTTCTTACCTTTCGTCATACATTGTGAAGCGGTTGCCGAGGATGGCGAGGTTGTCCAGACATTGCCGCGACCAATTTGTTTCCAGGATGAGAGAATAGAGACCCTTAGGACAATGAGGCATGTAATAAAGCGTCTTGACCTCGACTGGTTGCCTTGACCGACCGTCTCCCGTCAGTACTTCCATCCCGAGATGCTCCATTAATTGACAATCATAACTCGTCATGACGGGGTCAAATATCGACACCGTTCCTGACAGCTAATACATTGTGATATGTCGTCGTTAGTCAAAGCGTCTAACTCGTGCGTTGTGACCTAGCGCAACAAGGTGAAAAGTAGTACCTGCAAGATCTCCTTTAGACAAAGAGCCATGGCAAGTTGAAACTGGGCATTCCGCGACGACTCAATTGATCCGATCCCGTAGCAAATCATGTCGACAACATCACTTCTGGAGATATCCTCATCAGCAGAGGCGCCAGCTGTGGTTGTATCTGGTTGAGTGGGGTCGTCTTCCTGTGGTTGCCTGACCAATGATTCCTTGTCTTGACTGTTCTTTGATTCTAATTGGGGTGCAGTATCCTTGGATGTCAATGGCGATTCTCGCTGGGTATCGTTATGAGTGGATGGTTGCTGTTGCTTCTTGCAAGGCGGACACAACGTCAACTGAACCAGATCTATAGAGCAATTGAGTGATATGGATCCAATGTCAGTCATCAAGTCGAGACAATGTATCCTATGATCACAGGCGAAAAAAGAGAAAGCGTTATTGTACCTTGGAAGGCCGTGTAAAATTTTGATTGTTTGAGGGTCATAACTCTGTCATCCATCAAACGTTGACCCCACTCCAGTGTCCGTTCCCCTTGTTCGACGCCTCTGGAACCCATCATCTTGGCGCGCTGGCTGTTCTTCTTGATCTTCCCTGGTTTCCTGCTGGGCCCCCAACCGGGAAGACTGGTCTCTTTGGGCTCTTCCAATATGGTCCTTGACGAGGGAGAGGCAACTGGTCGGGGTGGAGTTGTGGTTGTTGTGACTGAAGCACCGTTCTGTCGTCTGCCGTTCTTCTTTCGACTGACGAATGTAAACTCTTCTTCTTTTTCCTGTACAACAGGGGTGCCAGCGTTGAGTCCCATGTCTGAATGCAGCTCCTTGTCCATGTTGTCCATGCGTTGCGCGTTGATGTTGATCTTCTTTCCCACCCTCTACGCCCGCTTGCAAATTATTACTTCCCTCGAAAAAAAAAAAAAAAAGAGAAACGGTCAAAAGTGAAAAAGCCACCGAGCTGGAAAGGTATAAAAAGACCATGCGAACCTTTTCCTCTCTTCCATGTTTCCTCTTGACAAACCAAACTAACCAAACCAACCAACTCCCTCTGCATCACTCACATTCGAGTCCTTTTTTCCTCCATCCTCATCCACACATGAAGCGACCCAACCAGGACGACTCTCAGGATGCAACCGCTCGCGGGAAACAGGCAAGGACTCATGGCCAACCCGCCGTTTCCGTGTCAGGGTCGCACACAGTCGTCCAACCCGCGTCCGTCTTGGCCCTCCAACCCCACACAGACGGCGATGATATGAACGTCGACTCAGACTACGAGCTCGACCGCGAGGACGCTACCAGCATGGACGAGGATCTCGATCAAGATAGCGATCTGGAAGGCGAACCTACCACCCAGGTATGTATTGTGTCTTATGCCAAGGAATACTTCATTGCCTTGACAAGCACCTCAATTGACTCGTTTTTTCCTTTCTTACAACCTCGATAGGATTTGCTACGGTCTGTGGAATCTCGCTCGGCGCGTACCCGGACAAGGGTAAGCACGATTTCTTCTGGGACTGTACGCAAGAACCAGTTCATTTACACCCAACGAAAACATCCTGACTATATTCAACCTTTGTCAAACAACCATCTAGGCGCTCAAACTGCTTATCAACCGCCTCGCCGATCTCACCAGCGCAGAGCGGGAATCATTGCTGAAAATCGCGCGGAAAAATCTGTACACTGAGGCCGACAAAGGAGTCAAGGTATGGACAAACGCACGCACATAAAGCAAGGAACTGGATCGCTCAATGCAAGCTGTCGACAAATATACACCCGATTTCATCCTCTCAGCCCATCCTTAACTTTTTGCCGCCAACATAGATCTTGCTCATTCAAATCCTACAAAACGCTCTGGAGGCTACAACAGTTGACGGGAGAGGCGTTGTCGAGGACTTGCTCAACCAGGTTCGTTGATCAATTATTGCCATGGACCATTTCAGACGTGTCGACAACTCTTGAGACTATTGCATATGGCCATCTGTCTGACTGAATGTCTACTCTCCTTCACCATAGCTCCAAGCGGATTCAACAGAAGTTCGAGTTCAGGTGTACGATGCCATTGCCTATATCATCAAGGTATGTTGGATCGCGAATGAACTGCAGTCGCGCTATTTGTTTGCAACCGCAGTCTTGTCCACCAACAATGTGCCTAACCCGGTTTCGTTCTCTAGATTGGCAGGTTACAACGGAACAGCAACTCAGACATCAACACCATTAGGGCGCTTATCACCATCTCTATCGCAGAACTGAGTGACCGTCATCATAGAGTTCGATCCGCATTGCTCCAACTCGTCTCACAACTTGCTCCATTACTAAGGACATCCGATATTCAGACTAATGTGTCTGAAGGCAAACAGGCTGGATATTCTCAACATGACATTCAAGTCATCATCAGCAACTATGTCACCGATCCAGAGCCTCGCGTCAGAAAGGTACGGACATCTCGCCTGCAATTGTGCCGCTTATACGAATGACATGGAACCTTACTTTTGACCCAGCTGCTGACTTTAAGTTCTGTTGCAATCAATAGAATGCACTCAAGGCCTTGCTTGGACTGCATCGGGAGGGATTCAAGATTGGATTGGTCATGTACGACGTTGCCATCTTGGCTATCTTGGATGACTATCAGGAAGTCCGCATGGAGGGTCTCGACCTCATCTTGTAAGTGACATATATGTACTTACTGCGTAGGTACGAGTAACATGCCATATGCGACTAGAAAAACATGCCCTAACTTCATATTCCATCGATGACAATTCCCAATAGCATCTTGAGTCGACTCTATCCTGACCAGATTGTCCAGAATCCAAAGGAAGACATAGAACAGAGAACTCGACTCGCAGATGACGCCTTCGTCCGGATATGTGACATGATGAATGATAGCTCCATGGTAGTCCGCGCAAAGGTAACAATACTTCACGACATTTCAAAGATGAGTGATGTCGATGCACCAAAGTTAATGCAGGGAAACTCACAAATCTTCCGATCTGATATTATTTAGGCATGTACGCTTCTGGGACGATTCAGAAAGGTCAACTACATGTTTTTGTCACAGACATTCAGCAAGCAAATCATGGCCCGCCTCAAAGTTGACCAGTCTGCAAGGAATATCGCATTGGGTCCAGCGCAAAAGCAAGCTCAAGTAAGTTGAAGAATCGCTAGCAGGAATCTCGGACGCTTGAAGGAGGCATGGATCTAGAACAACAACTGATCCTCGACTGTATTCTCGCATATCCCTATTGCCGATAGAGGGCGAAGTTGATTGCGACTCCAGAGGGAGATCAGGATGTCACAGCACAGCAAGTGCGTTTGCTTGATTCTGGCGCCTGCGGTGCTTTTGTCCATGGACTGGAAGACGAATACCAAGATGTCCGAAACGCAGCCATCAGTAAGGCGCACTTTCATCTACTGACGAGAAGTATCGCAGGCGTAGTGCCGAAGTGGATGACAAAGATACTGACTACTTCTGCCTTCGCTACATAATTAGACTCGATTTGTGAGCTCTGTCTCCACAACCCAGGGTTCGCCGTCCTCGCCCTCGACTACCTAGTTGGTATGTACTCTGCCTAAACTGCCCCCTTTGCTTCCATTGGTTGTCCATTCCGAGTTGTCTACGTCGTTCTGATCACAAATACTTTGGTTTCTAGATATGTTCATGGATGAGATCGACTATGTGCGTATGAACGCGTTGACGAGCTTACGCAAGATTGGAAACAGAGGACTCATCACCTTTGACACGGAACAGCTTCAAATCGCCCTTGGAGTTCTGGAGGATGCCGATCGGGACGTCAGAGAGGCTGCGCATAGAATGCTTGAGTACGTGCCTATGTCTAGGCGCCATTGTATTATTCTGGCACTGCAAGCTTCAATTCATTTTCTAACCACGCCCTGGTTCTCTTTGGATTTTCATAGGGTTGTCACAATGTCCACAGAGGATGGAATGACATCTTTCCTGGAAAGTATCGAGACGAATATGAGGCGGTTTCCAGAAGACCAGCTTTCGATCTACCAATGCTTGCGATATGTCGGAAGACATCATGGCGTCTTTCTTGGTATGTTCATTTTACGCGCAAGGAACAAGGACTTGCGTATGTTTCAGGTTATCGAGCTGTCTGTGTAACATCTAACATCTTGATTTTTCGTTAACCAATGTTGCGTCCATTAGAGAACATGCTCGAATCCATGCTCCAACTAGACCGCACCTTCTTGGCCAAAGAGAAGAACGTTGAAGAAATGACATGTAAGTTTCACTTATAACTGGTTTTCGCGGCGTGTATGTTGGCGGCAGTAGATCATAACAAACATCTCACTGTCTTACAATCGTCATAGACTGCGGGCACATGGTTCTCTTGTTCAATGCTGCCACCACGAACCCAACCATCTTGAATATGCTCCCAAAGTACACCTTCAAGCACTATACCTATCTACGCGACGAGTACCTCAACTGCTTCCCTGAGCCAACAGTAAGTCACCAAGATATTTGTATGTTTTCATTGAATACTCGACGCACATATCGGCAAGTATGACTAACGTTGATTCGCTTTGCAAAACTGTAGGAGATCCCATGTCCAGGAACTCAGTCGTTGCGGGATCTCGCGGCGGCTCTTACTATGACAATCACTAATGATGGACCGGATGGCGCAGGAATGAATATGGACTCGATGACTAGCGCTCAGGATGGCGCGACTTCTGCTTATGCCACGACGATTGCAGCAATGCGTATCCAGACGGAGGAGGATGCCGAAGCCTTCTATGAGCAGGCACTTCGAAATCTGGATCGCATTCATGTCCTCCTTCGACAACAGACTTCTTCAAATCAATCACGGGCGCGGCCAGACTTGACCAAACGGCATCGAGAGGTGCTTTTGCGCCAACTCTCAGCCTGTCAGCGTGACCTCGAGTACATTGTGAGCGTGCATACCAAGCAAGGAAGGAACGCCGAGTTTGCAAGTATGTACCTGGAGTGTTGCCAGTTGCTAGTCCAGATCCAAGAGAGCTATGATTCACCGTCGTTTATCATGCTGGCGCCCATTTTGTCGGCACAGCTGTTCCGCCTTTCGTACTATATGGACCATATTTTCTTGGGTCTTGATGCCACCGCCAAGGTCTCGGTGGGATACTTTCGCATTCTGGCAAATTTGGTTTGGTTCTTTGGCATGGTACAAAAGAAGGCTGGTACTTCTGCATCATCTTCCTCATCTTCCTCCTCGGCTGCTGGTCCTCGGGAAGACGGTTTAACGCGTGAGTACTTGCAGTCGATGCTACAGCAGGCTATTAAGAGAGTGACGGATCTTCAGGCCCAGATGGACCGACCAGAGGTTGATCTAGTCCGGATTCAGGGTTATCGTGTCATCCTGGGAGATCTCCGTGTTGCACTCCTTCGCGCCTTTAAGTCGCCCTCCACCCTCGAAGTCGTCCGTCTCCTCGCCAACATCGTGGTAAGTATCTACACTATTAACTTTTTTGTAGTTTGTCGACGGAACCTAGAAAACAATCAGTTATTGACACTCTTTTCATCTCTTTATTGACAATAAAATAGAAATTCAGGCCGATGGAGATTGATTTCAGGAGCCTGGTTTTGCATAGGATTAGTGCAGAGGTGACGCGACCCACCACAAACCGCGACCGGCCAACAGACATCCACCCTTCGTTCCCGTTCTTGGTCCCAGTCGAAGGTGTGATCCGCCATGCCAGGGATACAACAGGCGTTGCGATTCAAGTGACATTTCCCAATGGCAATGTTCGTCATTATTATCCTCCGCCAGATCACTTTATTCCGGTTGAGGATGGCGAGAGCAAAGACAAATCTGATGAAGCAGAGGCCAAGCGGGAATCAGAAGATTCTGGAGCCATGGATGTTGTTCCCTCAACAGCAACAGGAGAGACTCTGTCCACCCCAAGTACATATCGACTCCGGACGTCGATCGAAATCTACCCCGAGGCTAGTTGGGGTACTTCCTCAGCAGAGCTGCGGATCACGCTGTCGAGGTCGTTCCAGCCAGATCTGGTGGGCCATGACGAGTTTATCTGTCGATTCGCTGAAGAGATTGCGACGGAGAAGCGGCAGCAGCAGGCGTTGCAACAGAGAGGGATGTTGACGGATCCTAACGGACAAAGTCAATCATCATCTTCTTCTGCGGCTTGGGGTTCGGCGTCTAATGGTCTGTTGAGCCACCCAAGGGGTCTTTTGGCACTGGGAGGAAGCGGAGGGGGAGGAGGTCAGATGTCGTCGCGTCGTCTGCAGTCTGTGGCGACTCCAGGATCGGAGGCTCATGTCATGCAGAACCAGAGTACGTTGGAGATTTCCAAGAGTATTAATTACTATGTCACACGACGCGCCATGTTCAACTCTTAGGTACCTCATCCGCCCATAAAGGGACCATGCTCATCATTGGAAAAAAATATTGAGAATAAAACCAAGAAAAAAAACCCCCCCAAAGGATGATCTGTCTACTCCGTTTGTGTACAAAGAAAAGCAAGGACTATTTATTACAAGTAAAAGGGAGTGACAAAAAAAACTTCTAATGAGAACGGTTGAACCTACGAATCTTTTTTTTTTAACCGACTTTGACAAGGTCGGTCAGATCGCCCTTGGGCTGCTTGGCATCCTCAGCAAAGAACTCGAGGAGTCGCTCAAACAACATCGTACGGTCGCGGTAGAACCCCTTCATGACCGGATCCTGGTCATCCAAGTCAATATCCAGGTACTCGTCATCGTTGCCGCCGTCGTCACCGTTGTCGTCGCTACGGACCTCATCGATATCTTCGTCCATCGCGGTGCCAGTGTCGCTCGAGTTGTCCTGGTCGCTCCTGTCACCGGCAGAGAGGTCGTCTGAACTGTTGTCTCGTTGATTGTTAGACGATCGGGGCTGGATTTGGTCCCCATTATGGTCCAGCCCCTTGATATCCAGATCCTCACCACCAACAACACCGCCATCAGCAACAGCTGAAGCATTTGTCGCTCCTCCTCTCTGACGAGACGAACGAGGAGTCCGATTAGATTCGAGTGGCGAGTAGGGGCCTTGCATCGCTGAGTCCTCATCCTCACGGTCAGCATCCTGTCCATTCTCATCAATCTTCTGCTGGTCGTCCCTACCAAACGCAGGCATATTCCTGCGGCTACCATCCGGGGACGCAAGGAAGGGTCTTGTTCCAGAGGTAGTGCTGTAATTATGGTCGTGTTGGCCTCTTCCCGATGAAGGATTGTGAGACGAGAGCATCAATCTCGTGCTATTGATCGAGGGTGACGAGATCGGGGAAGGCGCCAACAAGACAGTCGTTCTCAGTGGGTTGCCCATACTTCCTGCAGCATGGTTGGTCCGCGTACCCGTAAAGGCAAATGAGGGCTTTTGGGATTTAGACAGCGACGATGATAGTCCTGCCGAGGGTGAAAAGGCGCCTAGCAAAAGCCCACGGATCAAGGACTTGAATTCTTCGCTCTCGGCCTTGTTGGTTTGGTCAACCACTACACTGAGCTCGTTCCTGAGGAAGCTAAGCGCTCGCTGAGACTGATCGTGGTGCTCTGGTGTTCCGCGCTGGATCAGTCCAGTACTGGAGTGAGTTGATCGATTGCTGTTCTTCCTGCTGGATGAAGACCCATTGGGCTGTGGTGGTGTTGATAGACTGGCGGGTGTGGTGCTCGTGAGTACGGATGTCTCTGGTCGCTGGCATAGCTCCTTGAACAGCTGTGTACGAAGGAGATACTTGGCCTTTCTCACAATCTGATCCGGCGTTGGTCTTATTTTCAAAAGTTAAGAAAAAAAAGGATTTGGCCGAGTCAATGCACTGTGTAACATTTGCATGCATGAATTGAACAACGAAACAAACACAGTTGAGTGGTTACCTGTAGAGTCGAAGTTCCCAAAAGTCGTCGAGACGCTTGCTCATGTTGCCCTGCTCTCCGGGGTTACCGCCGAAGAGATATTGTACCTCATTGATGTCATCATAGACAAGCTGGTGGGCGTAACGAGGCGCTGGTTCGGGTTCGCTGGGCTCGCCCAACTCCGGACTCGAGTTTTGAAAGATCTTTTGCCAAGAACCTTGGTCACTCAGGACATAGGCCAAAGACATGGGCTCAGCGGTATCATCAGGTCGAGCCCTCGTGAGAGACGGCCGACGATGCATACTTGGGATGGAGTTTGCTGATGAAATACCAGGGACTGCCCCTTCCCGTCCATTTGGCGCCACCCGATGGCTAGTCGAGTAGGAGCCCATCAGATCGCCGTTTGCCCTGGCTAGGTGGAAGGAAGGTGGAGATCCTGATCTCGTGCTGCTCGTCCGCTTGTTGCTGCTTCCTGCTCCTGCTGCACTCGAACTCCTTGTTTGAATCGTCCCTGTTGAAGACGCGTCACCACCTGAAAATGCCACGTCGGCTGTTGATGACGACTCGTGTGCTGGCCCGCTGATGCGCCCAGAACTCCTTCGACCGAAATCACGGCGGCCATGACCAACGTCATCTCCGATCTTCCTGCGTGTTGAACTGGACCGTGAAGTACCATCGGCACGGTCAATGTTCTGCTCAGACTGCCCAGACAGCGACCGACCATGGCTCATTATGCTCTCGAGGGACCCTATCGACCCCGATGTCTTCGCATTTGCCAAAGCATACTGCACATCACGGATAGCATCCATTTGGTCCTGCCCAGGCAGCTTGAACACCCAAAAGCTGTTCTTGACGGTCTCTGCTCCAAGCGCCCTGTCCTTGACCAATCCAGACAGAACATAGATCTCTCGCCCCTTTGAAGAAATGGTGGCTCTCTGTGTAAATCCCGCCTCAGGTCCTCCTTGCTTGTTGTAATCCTTGCAGACTTCAATCACCCGATCTGCCGCAATGTCGTAGACGTAAAAGTCCGAGAGGTAGTCCTTGTTCATCTGACCGGCAAAGATAACGAGACTGCGCATGGCCTCGTCGTAGAGCATAGAGTGTCCGATACGTGACCGTAATACAGTCGTGCCATCCTGCTTTGGGGCGGCATGTCCGTCTGCTCGAAGAAGCTTCCAGATACCAGAAGGGATGTGGTAGGAGTACAGACCACTGTAGTGCTGAACATTCTTGTCCAAATGAACCACCCTTCCTCCAAAGACATACAGCATCTGAGAGACTGGGTCAAGGCACATCTGATGGTCGTAAATCAGCTCTGGACCATTCATCACCTATTAATGCACAGCGAATATGGATGCTCCTGTGTTTAGTTACACGCCCATGCCATGCTGTTCTTCAAGCATACTAAAATTTCAGTGTGGATGACTTACTGCAGTGTTGCCACAGATCTTTGTCCAACGACCATGAGGAGGCGACGATGGGTCAATGTCAAATCGCCAAAAATCAGAACACAAGTCAACCTTGCTCCTGTTGTCAGGGTCAACGTACTTTCCTAGAAGGAACAGCGCCTGGTGCTGAGGACTGTAGCAGATCTTGTGGCAAGACCTTGCACTTGGGCCTCCTTGTCTATTTTATAGTAAACACAAGCAACAATCGACATATGTCAGATCTGGTGCTGCCTGAATTGGTATACGGGAACTCATTGCTGATGACTTACAATGATGTGTCGGCTGAGATGAGAATCCAAGTCTGTGAGGGGATATGATATGCCCAAAAGTCGGCCAGATCACGCGCACCATCCCATCCTCCCATCAGGTAGACATAGCCTCCCTTTGTATCAATGCACATCTGGTGTCCTCCACGATGTCGTGGACTATCTTCTAGGTGAGATGACTGGTGGGAGTGGTGGTGATGATGGACGCCCTGGCGATGGCTGTTGGATCGAAGCCTCTTCCAGATGGGCTTGTAGTCGTACGCTTGAATGTACTGGTCAAATAGTCCACGCTCTGCAGCCTCGGCAATGAGTTCCTCTGCCCGTTTAAAGTTGCCACGGAGTACGAGTTCCTGATGCAGTTTCGTCAATAAGGGGTCCTCCAGTCGTGTGTGAGTGCGCTCCTGAAGTGCTTTGAATGCATCGAATAGCTTGCGCTGCCGAAAGTGCTTGAGGCACAATCGAACCGACTCTGTCTCCCTAAACTGTGCCATGTCAAGAATGAGAGTTTAAACAGTAAGAGTGGTTAGACATTCATGCCGGTCTGTCCCTTGCTGAAACACGTCGCCATCGGGTCATTGCTTACGTTGATGTATTGAAAGTAGGTTTCCTGCACCAGTTCTGTGTCAGGAATCCCCTTGACCTCGACATGCCACACACTGAAGTTGAAGTTGGCACCCCAGGCCATCAAAGGCACAATCTTGATGTATTGGCAAGGGAACACCACGGAGTTTGTCTTGTGCTTGAGGAGGAATGTTTCTGGCTCATGGTCGTTCCTTAATCCTAGAAATGAGGGTTCAAACAAACCAACAGGGTCAATCGGAGTTAGGCTTATATTTTTAAAGGCTGCATGGGCTCAGCAGCCCCGTGCACTGCAATTATGTGGTGAGGTGTGGCATGGTGGCACAACATTGAGGTGTGGATGTGAATGAACATTGTTTGTATGTGTTTGTGTGTGTGTTTGTGTGCATGTTTCTTTGGAGTGGGAGGGGAGACGTTCATGTCAGCTCTTGCGCAATCATACCAGCCTCTGTCTCTCTCGTCTTCCCCCTTGCCTCCTGAGATACAATGCCACTCCTGAATACTCCATTGCTTTTTATCCAGTGACGCTCCTGGGAAACTTTCTTTTGCAGAATATCAAACAAGTTTCCATGACGCGCCTCAGTGGTTTTCCCGTTTCTGGGGTCAAGATTCCTTTGTATCAATGGTCGATCCACTGGAGTGTCCTTGTGTGTTTGTATAGGAAGGAGCCCTGAGAGAAAGTTGCATCGAGCGATTGTGTTGGGATGAACAGAATACCACGTTCCAAAATATTCCAGTATTAAATGTTGTCCTTTTTTCCTCTCTCTGCTTCGTCAGCTGGTGTAATAGTTGCATCGTCCAGCTGCAATCTGCGATCTGTCTGTTCAAAAGAGGTGCGAACTGAGGGCTACACCGTACATCCAAGGAGGAATAAACAAATAGGTGAGGCAGATCGTGAGGGGCGATTATAATACAGTGTAAAGAGGACGAGGGTAATAAAAGAAGACGAAAAAGAGGAAGAAGAAGAAGGGGGAGGGAGGGAGGGAAAGAGGGAAAGAGGAGGAGGAGGAGGAGGATGAGGAGGAAGAAAGAGTAGGAGCCAAGGGAGTGAATAGACAGAGAGAGGGAGAGGGAGAGAAAGAGGGCAAGGGACAAAGGGTCTCAATTGCTCATTCGACAACTCACCAGTATGCAAAAGTTCGGTCATATTGGAAGTCGTCAGACCACCAAAGACCTTGAACTCTTTCAGATTACACACATGCACCTTGTGGTATTTTCCAAACGTAATGGTATCTATGAAGACGAGAGTAAGAGAAGAGAAGGGGCGGGAAATGGAGAAAGACAGAAGGACGAGTAGGTTTTAATAAGCAAGACAGGAAGAAACGAGGGTGCGTCAGAGCGATAAGATCGATAGTTCCGGCGCTTTTTTTCATCGATGTAGTTGCTGCTTTGTTGTTGATATTGTCGATGCTATTGTCGATGCTGCTGAGTCTCGTCGATCTGGTTGCGAAGGAGACAGGAGAAGGGGATCGGGCCCATTCGCATGAGCATACGCATGCACACACAAAGGCACTTTGTCTGCAACGCCAGTGCTTCAAGATGGAGTAAGGTAAAAGCAAGCCATAATTACCACACCTCATAGCGCAAGGCGCAACCCACAAAGCACAATCCACCGAAATCACCGAATGTGAAAAACAAAAACAACAAACAAACAAGCAAACAAACAAGCAAACAAACAAGCAAACAAACAAGCAAACAAACAAGCAAACAAACAGGCAAACAAACAAGCAAACAAACAAGCAAACAAACAAACACATAAGCATGTAAAATGCAGCGATTGAAACGTACGGGCGACTGCCATGGATTTGAGCTTGATCATGATGTACTGCATCTGGTTGTTGGATCCAGAGGACCAGCGGGAGGACTGGTCTTGGGGGTTGTTGGTCTTGATGTTCTCTGGCAAGTACGAGGCAGAGTAGGAAGAGCAAGAGTGGACGTCATAGTCGAGGACACAGGGCCGCATGATGGCGAGGGCGGTAAGGTAGTCGCCTTTCTTCCTGTTTGCTGCAGCAATGGAAGCCGGCGTCGCCGTAGTATTGGTACTATTGTTGTTGGTAAGAGTAGAGTCCTTGGTTGTCTGCTTTCCGTCTCTCCTAGCTGTGGTAGAAAGAGAAGGGGTGTAGGCAGCAGCCTGTGAGCCAGGATGGAGCATCATCTTTGGTGTATGTGTCTCTGCGGGTTGGAGTGGTCGGTCCTTGCTGAAGGAGAAAAAGAGGTTGGTGGCAAAGGTGTCAGAGGAGAGTGCGGAAAAGTAGAAGAGAGAGAAGGAAGAGAAGGAAGAGAAGAGAAGACAGGAAGTGGGTGGAAGGAGAAGAGGTGGTGCGAGTATGTTTTCTAATATATTATGCGTGGTAGCATGCGGTGTGGTTGCATCCTTTCCTGCAAGCCACAGCAAACGGCGGAAGCAAGGGAAGCAAGGGAAGGGAGGAAGGGAGGAAGGGAGGAAGGGAAGAAGGAAGGAAGGACGTAGCAAAGAAAGAAAGAAAGAGAGGCGGGCAGAGCGAGAGAGCGAGCAGAAAAGGAATGCGAGAAGGTGAGTGAAAGGGAATGAATGGATGCGACTAGGAAGAGGGTATTAGAGTGGAGAGTGGAGAGTGAAATGGCACAAAGGTGGAGGGGATGGAGAGGGTGTGAGTGTGTGTGTGAATGGGAGAATGGGAGTGTGTGATGAGGAGGAGTGGGATGGAAGTAGAGAGAGGGATAAAAGAAACAATGGGGCAGAGGGAAGGAAAGGAAAAGCAGGTGGCACACATACATCATACATGACATACATTAAGTAAAATTAGTAGGCGTGCTAGGAATGAGACAACCAAAACCTCTTGGTGTGTGGATACATTTGCATGCGCATATACGGCCCGGTGTCATGTTAACCCTCCTCTACAGTAAAAGCGTCTCAATTGAACACATTGCCCCTGCCACCACACCCATACACCATTGCCATCGCTCTCTCTCTCTATCCACTCTACTGACGACATCGTACATCTACAGACACATTTCCGGTGTTGTCTCCCCTCACGACTCACTTTCTACTGCTCCTCAAACCCTTTTTTTTGCTTCTTTCGTACCACGCTGACAGAAATGCCATGCACCATGTCAACACCACATGTCCGTATGTACTTAATTCTCTTCCACTCCCCTTTCTCCTCTCCTCTCCCAACACTGCCATCAACCACACTCGCCCTCGTCCAACTCACCCCTAGAAAATCTATTGCGCTCATTGCTCCAAACTTCAACTCCACACATTACAAACCCCTAGCAGATCTATCGTTATTTTGACATCAGAATCGTACTCGAGTACTAAAAAAAACAAGGGTGACATCTGCGTCTGTCGCCGCTTCCCTCATTTGGACTATTCTCACTTCGCTGAATGTCTAATGTTAGAAGAAACAATCACAACAACCACATTCCTAGAAAAAAAAATGGTAACAGCCAATGGCCTATTTTTCCGTAGACCCAAAGGGTATTTACTCCATGGACCTCAAGAATAAAATGGGGAAGCTGCTGTATGGTATGCTTTCGGAGAAAATAAGCATTCTCGCTTTACTTGAGAGTAGCGTTTGATTGTAAGCCGTCTACACCTCGTTGTTTCAAAGAATGATCGATGAGACGCGTCCATTTTTGCGACGCTTTTTGTCAAAGTTACCCAAAAGAAAATATGTCAAACTTTTCAGACGCACTCAGAACAATTTTTCTACCGAACTATCGGCTTTTCAGCTACATGAAGCTTTTGCCGTTCTTCAATTGGAAGGATGCAAGTTGACGTGGAAAATAAAAACGCGTCGCGCCTTTTCTTTCATTTCTCTTCCCTATCCCATTTTTTTAACAGCACTTGTAAGCACGTGATTGCACGTGCCTATATCAGTTAAGGGTGGCGAGATTGGTGGCGTAAAGCTAGGAGATGAATAAAAAGGTGTTAAGTCAAGCAACATACAAGAAGCAATCAGCGAGTTTGTATGGTGTAGTTGGTTATCACGTCTGTCTAACACACAGACGGTCCTCGGTTCAAGTCCGAGTACAAACACTTTTGTCATTTCTCTCTCTCTCAGAGAGTTTTTTTTTTCTTTTGCTCTTGTTGCCCTCATGGCTCCTAAACCTGGAGGCGCATCATTTTTTTTTGTTCTTGTTAATATTGTCGACCTCCGCCATAGATTTCAATCTAGACCCTCAGCCTTCGCCTGCGGCAGGTTGAAAAGGGGTCTATCAAACTAGAAGGCGCGGTTTAATATCCAAGCAAAACGCTATGACAATGCATGAAAAGCTATTACAGCCGCGCCACCAGACCAGACCAGACCAAACCAGTTCAGTCCAGTCCAGAGATAGTGAGCGAGAAAAAAACTTGCATAAATAACAACGCATCGCGGTGCTCTTCGCGTGCTTTCCTCTTTCTTGCACCAACACTCACACTCTCCCTTCGTTCTCACACTCACTCTCAACGCAAACTCACGACTATGCCTCGACAGGACTACTCCCTCCCCCAGGTCGTGCCTCTCCCCAAGTTGGCTCAGCCCAAGGCTCCCGTCGTCGTCGACAAGTCTACAGCGAAGCAGGAGCAAGAGTCCCACGACAAGGATACCGTCATGGTCGAGCCCAACAACCAAGACAGCGACAACGACAGTGAATACGATATGCTTGATGACGATGAAGAGATTCTCAAGCTGATGGAACCGTTGGAGAACAACCTAAGCGAACTGAACCTCAAGGGCTCGACCCACCCCACCACTGTCAATGCTGCCGACACCACCACCACCACAAGCTCATCAGCCTTTGTCGACATGCTCCTTAACACTACCCAGCCACAGCCGGATCCCAACATGACAACAACTCAGAATGGTGCGCCTACTTTTGCCTCGACCGAGAATGCCTGTCTCGATTTTTTCTTTGAGGTTCTCAAGGGTACCGATGCGGACACCGTAACACGCCTTGCCCGTGCTGCCTGGGCGCAGTCTCCTCTCGATACTCTCCGTCTCATTTTCCAGTTGAGGTCCATCATCCACGGCAAGGGAGACCGCAAAGAGTTTTACTACTGTATGGACTTTTTGCGTCAGGAACACCCTCGGACACTTCTCTTCAACCTGCGGTACATCCCCGACCACGGCTACTGGAAGGACTTGCTGAACTGGCTTGTCTTTGAGGTCCGTCAAGACCGCACCGATTTCGTACTGACCACACGGCCTGCCAAGACCAAGAAGGCACCCCGCCAAACTATCACGCCCAAGCCTCGCCGACACAGGATCCAGAATGCCGACAAGGTCCAAGGAGAGGTCAAGGCGCCGACGACAAAGGTGACCAAGACGGCCGACGACCGCAAGCGCGCTATCGAGGCGGCGGAAGAGAGGAACCGTCAACACTCTTTCAAGGCCAGGGAGGAGCGACTTGCTAAGATTGAAGCCCGCCTTGGTTGCGCCAGAGCCGCCTTCAAGGAGTACGACTTTTACCGAGTCCTGCATCTCGAGGTGGCGCGTTTGTTTGCGAATGCCCTCGTTCGCGACAAGGTTCGCCTGCAGAAAGGTCAGTCGGTCTCGCTCGCTGCCAAGTGGTGCCCAAGTCTCAACCAGTTCCACGACAACCAGACCTTGATTGCCAGCACGATTGCCCAGATCCTGTATCCGACGAAGCTTGCAGGCGAAGACCATGCTACCTATGTCAACCGTGTCCGTCAGCTCTATCGCCAGGAGTACTATGTCCCCTTGCGTAAGGCGACACCAGTGCTGGAGACCTTTATGACTTCCGACCGCTGGAACGAGATTATCTACAACCGTGTGCCAGCCGTCGCGATGAAAAACAACAAGGAGCGGTTCGAGGCCCATGACAAGGAGCGCTTTGCCGAGTACCTTGGGTCGGTGTCCAAGGGGGAGACCACTATTGCTTCCCAGGCTCTGTTGCCACACCAGCTTGTGACCGAGGCGACGAGTCTCTTGAGTGTTGATAGAGAAGAGTTGCGTGTCAAGACTGTCGAGGCCCAGTGGAAGTCGTATGTCGATCGGTTGGCCGAGTCAGGAAAGATGGACTCGACGATTGCTATCTGCGATGTCTCTGGATCAATGTCGGGTGAGCCCATGGAGGTATCTATTGCATTGTCATTGCTGCTGGCCCAGTTGAGCCGTCCTCCGTTCAACCGTGTGGTACTGACCTTCTCGGCCGACCCTGAGATCCATATCATCAAGGAAGGATCGCTAATCGATCAAGTGGAGTCGCTGAGGAGGATGAGGTGGGGAGGCAACACAGATTTGCAGAAGGCGTTTGGGCTGGTCCTTGAGCGGGCGGTGGCGAACAAGTTGCCAAAGGAAGACATGGTGAAGACGATGTTCATCTTTTCAGATATGGAGTTTGACCAGGCTGTGCGGGGGGTGTCGACGTCGACAGAGTTGTTTACGAATTATTCGGTAGTGAAGCGCAATTTTGAGACGGCGGGATATGAGCTGCCACAGATTGTGTTCTGGAACCTTGCGGGGTCAAGCCGGGGAAATAAGCCAGCGAAGGCGAACCAGAAGGGGGTTGCGATGGTGAGTGGGTTCAGCGGGATGTTGATGAAGCTGTTTTTGGATGGGTCCGACCTTGGGGCTGGTATTGACCCTGTGGTGATTATGCGCAAGGCGATCGACGACAAGTCGTTTGCGCGTCTGACTGTCCGGGACTAGGCTAGGATCGGCTAGGTAGTAGGGGTAGCAGAGTAGGAAGAAAAGGAGAAGAAGAAGAAGACGGGGATGAGAGGCATGAACGCGCCTGGAGTGTGTTTTTAATAAAAAACAGAAATGCAAATTAAATGGAACACGGTACCTGTGCTGCGTAGTGGAGGTGCTAGGTTAGACATGACTACTTTTTTTCGCGTTTCAATGATTTTTGCAACTCCACGCCTTTTCTTCCTTCACAAACAAACAACAAACACACACACTCACTCATCCCGCACATCATCTCACCGCAATAACTGCAACCATCAACCACAACTCCACCCACCCTCCTCCCTTCACCTACAAAAACAATACTCGCACTCTCACGCACTAACGCCCACACACACCTACAATACAGACGCAGAGGAGGATAGCCCATCCGTCTTTATCCCCCCTTCTTTCCTCTTGATGTCGCCTGTTTTTTCTTCAACAGAAAAAAATAACAATCAATAATCCCAGGACACCAAAATAACAACAGCAACAACAATAACAACAACGACAACGATTGCATTCAATTCAACATGAACACAACCGCCAACAAAACCACAAGCGACTTCCTCAGGCGGCAAAACGCCCTTCGCATGCTAGATACCATTCTATCGTCCTCCTCAACCCCGTCCTCTCTACCACAACAACAACAACAACCCTCACATCCGTCGTCGTCGTCCCGTCGCCAGAAGCAGCCGTCACCACCCAGCAGTCAAGACACCCTGGCAGCATTTGCCCCTCATATGGCCGACAGGGGATATCAGCCTGACACGGACGACATTGGCAGCAACGACGACAACAACAGCGATAGCCACGACGACCTCTTTTCTGCAAGTGACTTATCCGCACTCATGATCGAGCAGGATCTTCGGCGACAACACGCTGCCAGGAAACTTCAGTCTCACCAGTTGAAGCAACGACAGCTCCTCATGGAGCAACATCAGCGAATCTTTCAGGATAACCAGCAAATGCACTCGAGCTCGACTTCGACCTCAGACAGAACTCTTCAAAGCCCAATAACCTCCTCACACATACCCGGCCAAGGCCACAACAACAACCTCGCAGAGGAGGAAGACCATGAAGATGACGATGAGGACGACGACGACGAAGACGAGGAGGAGGATAGTAGTCAGGTCACACCGCGACACCCTGTCAACACTCCCAAGCGCGAACAGCAGCACCAGTATGATAGTATCCGCCTGGCCAGATATCAAGAGTCGGACGAGGACAACAACGCCAATACTCCAGCTCTTCCCAACAGCGACAAAAAGCCCAAAGCGAGAGGTCGACCCAAAGGAACAACAGTAGACACTACACCGTCTAAAGCAGTCAGTTCTAACAATCGAAGCCCTGACAAACCAAAGCGACAATACAAAAAGACGATCCTTCGTCAGCAAGCTGCCTTGCTTGCTGCTCAAATCAAAGATGAGAACGAGGCGCGCGACACAGAGGCCACCCGACGGGTTCTTGCTAAAACTGGTGTCATCAAGGTACACTCGAATTCTAGTTGATTTTCCCTTTATGCATTTTGTACTAATTGCCACATTACTGACCCCTTCCTTCCTTCTCTCCCCTATTCTTATTTTTCCGGGGCACGTTTTCGATACTGCAGCACCTTCGCACCCTCAAACATCGCCTCGGATTAGCCCAGTACAAGATTGACAAGGGACTTCAGGAGCAGCCTCTACATATGGTGGTGGAATTATTTGAGGACAGTATCGAGGAAGATTATTACAGCGACGACGAATGCACCGACAACCAAGCTGGCGACCACCTACCCGGTAACCCCAATCCCTCAGCGACGCTTCTTTCGACCCCAAAACCTCAGCGCTCTTCCAGACAGAGTCCAACGGTCGGGCGGACGAAATTATCGGCCTCACCCGGATTCGCCCAAAGAGACACTAAGGCAGGCGACATTGTCAGCAACGCAGGACCCTGGAGCGCTCTCGGCGCCGCCGATTCGGACGCGACAGACTCGGAATCAGAATCAGACCAAGGATTTCCCGACACGCCTACCAAGCCTCGTGGTAGATTCGCCATCCCTCGGTCGTCGACCGATCTCAGCACGAGAACGCCGCCACCAAGAGTTCGCCAACTGACTGGGAGCGCTGTGCCAAACCAGCGCTTGACTACGGCCGCAACACCAACACCCATCGCCCAATCAGTCATTGCGCCTCAGAGAGAATTTGGCGCCTCAAGTTCGGACCAGTCAGACTTTGAAGGAACTGACGAATCGGACTCTGCGTTCGAGCAACCTATCACAACTCTACCTACCCCGCCCAGTTCTATGTCCATCACGCTTGAGACGTTGAAGAGACAGCAAGAACTGCAGATGGAAGAGTTCCAGAAGCTGCAGCAGAAGCAGCTTCAGGCATTAATGGAGGAGCAACAGAAGACACTTTTGCAAGCTCAAAGTCAATGGCCACTACAACAAAAGACGCCTTCACGCGTCACCGCATCATCTCTCAACCCAACATCTATGCCAGGACCTAAGGCAACCGTTGCATCTAAGGACAGGAAAGCAACGACACCAAGGGCCAAGGAGAACCGCAACCCCTTCCAGGAGGCAACATCTGACCAGGAGCAGCGACCGCGGCAGGCGCAAATCGCGCCCATCTCCAAACCATCAAACGCCAAACCCCCATTGCCTCTGGGTCTGCAGCAACGCAAGCCTCTCCAGACGTCAACGCGCTCAATGACGCCAGATCATGGTCCGGCAGCTTCGCCACGTCTTACTCCCGCTATCTCTTCGCGGACTGTTGCGCGGGTGACACAGGATACTTTCGTAACTCCTCAACGCCGTCCAACCAAGAGCCCATCACCAGCATTGCAGCGTCAGAGAACTGTAGACCTCGCGAGCGATACCGAATCGTTCCATCGGGCCAAGTCGGCTTCTCCTTTCACACCAAGACAGCTGGAGGAGCGGGAGCGACAAAAGGAGCGGATTCGAGAGAACCAGCTGAGAGAACGGGAACTCATTCGCAAGCAACGCGAACTGGAACACCAACAACGTCAACAGACGCGACGGAAACAACTTCTCCTTCAGCTTCAGTATCAGCACTTGCAGGAACAGGTTCGCCTTCAGTCTTCAGAGTCTGGGAATCAAAAGAATCGACCAGAGCCTTCTAAGCCTGCTGAGCAGCCCAGGACCGCCGAGGGACCATCACGCCTGCTCTTCCCGCCCGCCGCCAACTCGATGGTGACGCCCAAGAAGAAGAAGCCATTGAACCCAGTCCAGAAGGCACCCAGCACAGAGAATATTTTGGCTTCGGTTCGTTCTCAGCAGGGAATCCGATCGACTATCATCGCCGCTTCCTCCGCGTTGACCTCGGCCAAAACTGTTCTTCTGGGCAACAAGCGTGTTTTGTCGACAACTGAGGACAAGGAAAATTCCGCATCCTCTCCCTTCTCTCCTGCAGCTCGTGGTCAGTCGATGGGTGGAAGTCAGGGTCTGGTGGCGAATCGACAGCTCCAGGAGAAGACCTACAAGCGCCAAAGACCAGCAGCCTCCTCATCACCATCCCCCGTTCCACACCCTCGACATGCGCCTGCAAGTTCAGTCCAATGGACTAGTTCGCCTCAGCCAAAGGCTACGATGCCCTTGCAGCCAGTTTCTACCCCTACTCACAAGCCGCTCAAGGAAAGATCTGTTGATCCACTGACTCCAGCAACACCGGTCAGACTATCCCCAAGTTCTTTGCAGACGCCAGTTTCGATTAGAGCCCCAAGCGGAGCGATGAACCAGACGAGCAAGGAGTTCTTGAATTGTTTCGACCAGTGGATGTCGGATCTTGGGGGCGAGGATGTCCAGGGACAGGGGCTGCCGTTGAATGATACGCCAGTGACGCTGACGGATTCCACTTTGGACTCTGTCGTGTCACCCTTTATCATGGATCAGAGTCAACACCAAGGATCTTTGGGCGACGTGTTTTCGAGTCAAGGAGGGTTCCTTGGACAGGACGATGGGACCGGAACCGAGCCAGACGAGTCGGAAATTGATCAGTTACTGTATTCGGATTTCGGCGATGACTATGGAGTGTATGGTGGCAGTGGTGTTGGTGTTGGTGTTGGTGGTGGTGGACAGGGGAATATTGGGACGCCAGTTTCCGAGACTGGCCAGGTGGATCTGACGGCCGATTTTATGAAGGCCGACTTTTACGACTGGTTCCCAGATTCTTTCCGCGAACAGGCTTCGTCGACCGGACCTTTGTGCGCTGCGACTCCTCCTACACCGAGCGAGCAGCGTCTTTCGTTGCTGTCTACGGATCCGATTCTGTCGTCCTCGCCGGCGGAGCTCTCTCAGGGCCTTGAACTGGATCTGGACTTTGATACGGCAGCGGCTCTTTCCTGGTCGCAACAATCATCACGAGCTCTTCAATCGCCACAACAGAATTTTTCACAACAGTTGCTGCAGCAGTCGCCACTTCGTGATCGGTCGACTCTGTCAAGAGCAGGAACACCGCAATTGGATTCTTCTGGGTCGCTGTTGTCATCTGCCTTCACCGAGATCTTGCCTCCTGTGGTGGACGTAGTGGCGGCGCCGCCAGCAAACCATTATGTGCCGATGGGGCTGGGAGGAGGTCAAGGGATCATAGCAACGAGCGCCGCGGAGGACGAAGAGGATGGTGTCCATTTGGGTAAAGAGCATGATGTCCTTACAGCTCACCAGCCCGTCGACCTTGCTTTCTTTTTGCAGTAAAAGCTCTCTTTCTTTTTCTTGACAGATATTCGTACAGCATATTATAGCATATCGCGTCAACAACAACAAGAACAACAAACAAACAAACAAACAACCAAGAATATCGTGAAAAAGGATGTCATCCTTTATTTATGTAGTCATTTTTTCTTGAGGAAAGGATTGAAAGAAAGGAAACTCGTAAAAAGGTTCAGTACAAAAAAGTGTCTTTACTTCTTCTTGAGGGAGGAGATCTTGCGCACGCGACCCTTGTCAAAGGCAGTCGAGTCCTTGAGGTCACGGCCCAAGATATCCAAGTCCTTGACCTTGTAGATACGGACAAGCCAGTTCTCCGTCGTGTAGGCCTCCTCGAGGACACTCAGGGTGGGGCCCTCGGCAGGCATGCGGGCGTTACGGACATGGTCGACCGCGTTACCGCTACCGTAGAGCTCGGCGAAGCGGTAGTACGACATCTTGTACATCAGCGACTCGCGCATGGTCTTTGTCGCATCATGATCAACCTTGTACTCGCCGCGGGGCGTGAAGAAGTTGGTCTCCTTGACGTCGTTGGGATAGACTCCCTCGGCGATACGGATCATCCACAAGAACTTGTTGATGTCGTCGCCAGAGTATCCAATCACTCCGCCAAAGAGAATGAGGACATAGTCCACATCGTGCTGGCGGAGGACCTTGTAAGAGACCTCTTCAGAGGTCGACATGGCCTTGCCAACGGTTGCAATGTGGGTGTTGTTCCAGGTGTTGTTATCGACCAAGGTCGTGACGTTGGCCATACCGGCCATCTGGTAGCCGTAATCCCACCACGACATGACCTTGGCGTCCTCCTTGGTGTTCTTGCGAAGCCAGTAGTACGCCTCACGGAAATCGTCAATGATCATCTGGGATCCATCTTGCTGGCGGGACGCAAGAACAATCGAGGGGGAAGAGTACGATCCAGAGGTGACGTAGGTGCAGTGCCAGGCAAACATGAACAGGAACCAGGTCAACTGGAGGATAACCAGCAGGCGAGAGTCCAAGTTGAAGATGGGGAAACGCTTCTTCTCGCTAGAGGCGGCAGACTTGGCGTGGGTCTTGGCTTCAGCATCGGCCGACTTGGCAGCGGCGGCAGCGGCAGCAGCAGCCTTGGCGGCGGTTTTCTTACCGGTGGCCTTGGAATCGGAGGTGGTAGCCTCAATGACGACAGGGGCGGAGGTAGCAGCAGCAGCAATGGCAGGCTTGGTGGAAGCCAAGACGTGCTCCGAGGTCTCGAGGTAGGTGTCCAACAGAGTTGAGTAAGCAATGGCAGCAGAGACACAGACGACAGGAGTAAGGGTCAACATCAAACGGACCATGACACCGGCAAAGTAAGAAGCAAAGACAGAGTAGAGAATGATAAAGACGTGCTCGTCCTTGAGCTCCTTGAAGCAGAGGTACACTCCAGCAGGGAACAAGAAGATGAGCATCTGAAGATCAAAGAAGAAGGAGGTCCAGGCGGTAGGCTGATGTTCCGAGACCGAGGCAATGATAGGGATGTGGATCTTGGCGTAGCCAGTATCGTAGAGCGAGTAGAAACGGCCGGTGAAGGGAGCAATGACACCCGAGAAGCTGAGGATGGTCAAGCCAATGGAGGCAATGACGGCGACAGCAACAATACCACCCTTGAGCAAAGCCCTGAACTGCTTGGGGGGGATATAACCACGGACGAGCTCGGCAAAGGCATAGAGCTGGAGAAGTCCAAAGACACCCAAGGCGGCCATATGCTCACTAGTGCGGGTAGGCTGGAATCCGACAAAGGGAATCTGCATGGACAGCAATGTGCCGACGGCACAGAAGGTCGAGTATGAGACGTAGAGGCGGTTCGAGTAACGACCCATCAGCAGCAGAGTGAACGCGTGCAAAGGAAGCAAGTTGGTAATGAACACGTATCCTCCTATTAGGCGAGGTAAATAATAGAAGGGAGATATCGCGTTAGTTAATACATTCGGGGGGGGGGTTCCTTTTCATTTTTTTCCCTTTCAAGCTGTCATCCCTCCAATCCTTTGATTCGTCGCAAGCAAGCGAAACGTACCCCAGGCAGAGACCATGTAGAAGTAGAAGAGGGCGGTCAAGAGTCCAAAGAAGGCGCTTCCAGTCTTGACAGCCTTGATCCACAAGTAGAAGGTGAAAACCAACAAGAAAATGGCGATTCCCTCGTTATCATACGATCCAGCAACAGAACGCGAGATATAACCGGGTGCAACGCCCAAGAACGCAGCAGCCAGCAAACCAGCCGAGGAGTCCTTCAATTCCTTGGTAAGAAGATAAGCCGAGAAGGCGGTCAGGCCGGAAAACATGGGGGCGAGGAAGACACAGACGTTGCGAATGTCGACGGGAAAGTTGAAGAAGTGGAGGACGTTGTGGATGAGGGCAGAGGTGACCATGATGCCGGGGTAAACTGTGCCACCGACGACGCGTCCCAGGGGGTACCATGACTTTTCGTCGAACCAGTTCCAGAAATCGTAGAATCCGTTCTTCACGAGGTCTATTATGTTGGAAGGTCAATTATGTGAATATAGGCCTATAGCTAACGTGCAAGCAAGGCAAGTAAGTAACAACACCAAAAACAAACAAAGAGAGCATAGCGTACGTTGGGTGGTGCGGTAGTTGAACCAGGGGTCGAACTCGTGGATGACCGACTCGAAACGGATGATGGAGAAGAGACGACTGGAGATGGCGACGATGGCAATCAGGATCAGGATGGTGGGCTTGAGCACCCTTGCGACGGTGCTTGAGCTTTCGGTCGACATGATGGCTTTCTGCTATGAAGAGTTATTTCACTTCTATGCGGAGGCAAGGTTGTTTCAACAAGAAAGGAGTGTGGTGTCCAGGTCAGTCGGATGGAATCTCTTTTTTCGAAAAGGGAGGGGAGGGTTGGTTGGGTGCACTAGCATTAGGCGACCATGGTTCCTGGTTTGGATGTAGACGCGTGTGATCCTGTCCTGTGGGTTGTGTCCTGTGTCGTGGTGTCGGTTGTTTTTTCGTCTCGCGCCTGTCGTGTTTGCGGTGTCAGGGATAGGTATGTAGTTGGTTGCCAACGAGTACTCACAGGGTGCAACAGCGACAGGTAGAGAGAGAAAGAGAAAGAGAGAGAGAGAGAGGGAGAAGAGTTGATCGCGAAAGAGGAGGTTGTGGATGGGATAAGAGATGCAAAAGGTCGTCATGATGGAGAATAATATAAAAGGGAGCGAGCGACTGCAGCCAACCAAACGGCGCCAAAGAGCATCAATCAGGTGGGGAGCAGTCTTTTGTGTTAAACGGTTTCTCTAATTGACCGCTCCATCATCTCATCATGTGCAATAAGAGAGGGTTCAGCACATCCTTCTTCCACTCCATTCTAGCGCGATAAAAGTAATAATGCTTTAGTAGAAATGGTAGATATAACAACGACACTATTAGCGTCGCTATTGCGGCTGGTACAGGTGTTGCTGTTGCTGTTGTTGCTGCGACATGTTGCTCGTGCCTGACCAGCCCAGGACAGACACCCACCCATCATCACCTCCCACTCCAAACACATACTCGTGTGGGTGGAATCCTAAGCTGGTCACCTTGGCCTGTCTCTGTCCAAACAATCCCGAGTAAGATCGCACCGTCGACAGTCCATCCCCATTCACATTCCACACCTTGATATACTGCGACGGTGTTCCACTACGAGGTTATGGTGTGAACAAGATATATAATGTTAATTACCGCATGATTGATTACCTATTAGGTCAGATGCATCTGATATAGAACAGAAAGAATAAAATAAAGACAACGTACCAGGCAACAACGGGGGCGTGGTGGTGGAGGTCGAGGGCAGAGACGGTATCTCGGACAGGAATAGTCCTCAAAGCTTCCTGCTGTCGCACATCCCATACCTTGATCGTTCCATCAACACTGCCTGAGATCAATTCCCGGAACCCTCCTCGTTGCATCCGCACGTTCTGGATCCACGACTTGTGCTTCTTCCATGTCATCACCATCGCGTCGTGCTGAGGCTGTCGTCGATCATACACTCTCACTGCCCCATCGCCGAATCCAACTACAAAAATATTGCCCGACACCTGGTCACTCGTAATACTTGTCACTGGTGCACCCGATCTCGTTGGAATGTCCTATTTTCATTAATATTCATTAGTATGGCAGAGTTAGCTTGTTACATGAAAATTTGGTACAAGAACGACAAGGACCAATATCCAAACATGTATACATGATACAACTACTTGATACAAAAAAAAAAACATAGATCAAGAAGGGATGTTCAAAACAAGTAACCTACGCTTATGCAGAACTCGCGGGCGGCATCCCAAACGCGGATCACACGAGCATCACCACCCACCAACAGCGCGCCTCGTCCCTGTTGCCAGTCCGTGATAGTACCAGTGCCCTTGCTGCTCGGAAGCATGTCTGTCAACACGCGCCACGAGGTCACAATGTCAGTCTGGTTCTGCTCGTCGTATTTGCGATACAACCTCACCACACCCTCTCCTATATTGTCATAGCAAATATGAAATGTTCGTTAGAATGGTCCATGCAGCGTATCACAAAAACACAATGGTGAGCGACAGAGACATACCAGATGCGACAAGAAGCATGGCGACATCTTCTTCGTTGATGAACTTGACGCTGGTGATCGATGTGCCCCTTGGGTTCGAGTTGGAGAATCGGTTCAGTAATTGACCCTCCTTCCAGTTCCAGACACTATTCACCAAAAATAACACAGTGTAAGTATTAGATGAATTCATATCCACGTGGTACACCGACTTTTCGCGTCATATTTAAAGGCATACCTGAGATTCCGCTTGTCGTCGGCAATGACCATGTGTGGCTCGTAAGAGTGCATGACCAAATGCATCGCCGCCGACTCGTTATTCATCGACTGCACATTCGTATCCCATTTGCTGGAGCCTAAGTGCGTAGAGGGGTAATATTGGCGGTGGTTAGTTTTCAGCCCTTATATTATTATGTGCGGGTAAATGGACAGAGAACCACAAAGAATTCTTACCAGCTTGCTCTCGTTGAGGATGGCACTCGTATATGATCTTTTCGTTCCGCACACGGCGCCAGAGTCGTTCATTATAGTTTACACTTCCGGGTTCATCGCCCTCAACGCCCTAGAGAAATGAAATGAATATTAATATTGTGTGTTGTGGTGAGTGAGAGGATACAGTGATACGGTGTTATAAACACAAAGTCAAGAAAATATAATGCGAATGGTGTTACCTTCATTTGCGGCTCCAAAAAGTACTCGCAGCACCAGTCGTAAAAGACCGAATCCAGCTGAGGTCGAGCTTCCGGATGGTTAGGGTCGGTGGATCCGTTCGTAGTTATTCCATATCCGGTCGCGGCACCATTGGTGGGTGGCAGCGGAGCAAAGGAGGGAGACGACTGAATGTAGCCAATATCACCATGGACAGAGCGAGGCCGTGGAGCACCGCTTCCTGCAGATCGCGTCGATCCGCCGACTCCGCCACTGGGTTGCCTGGAATCTGTCGCGGCACCGTATCCTGACTCCTGAGCGGACCTTGCAGTTGATGCGGAGGAACCGGCCGATCCCTGCTTTGAGCTTTCCGGGTTGGGGCTGCTCGAGTAGCCAGGGATATAGTTCTTCAGCGTGACGGCAAGAGATGCTGATCGCTTCAATGTGTTGGCCATCTTGGTCGCTGTCCGGTGGCTCAGAGTTGTGCTGGAGTAGGAGCGATCTGGATTAGACTGAGGCAGGTTCGACTGCTGGAGAGAGCCCATAGACGACGATGTGAGCGACTGAGTCTTCAGCGCATGTTGCTGCAGTGCCGACGTCAGAGTTTGGGCAATGGGTCCGGAGAGAAGCTGGAAGTTGACATAGTCGACCAACTTGGATGCAGCTGCGGCAACGCCTCGGTTCGAGTCAACAGAGAGGCAAAGGAGCGCCTTCCAGATGACCGCATAAACCGCCTGTTGTCCTGTCTTGTCCTGTCGATCGTCCACAACCTTGAACTTTTGTTCCCGCTTGCCTCCAGATCCAGCCAACTGATGCTCCGATGACAACAACTCCGACGCGACCGTGATAAAAACGTTTAGGTGGTCAAACACCAGCGATGACAAAAAGATGACGAGCTCTTTGCGAACGATCGGAGAGGCATCGGTGGTGGCGACAAGAGCACTCATCGCCAGACTGTTCTGCAACTGGATCACCTGCTCGTTGTGATCCAAGTTGCTGACAAAGGTGCCCAAAGACCACATTGCTGCCGCCCGGACCTCTGGGATAGGGTCAGAGAGGATCATCGTCAACCTCTCATGGGCAAGAAGCTGAAGACCGACACCCTTGGCCTCATTGTAGTTCCTCCAGAGCTGACCGATGCACAAGCACGCCCATTGTCTCAAGAGGTGGTCGCCATCTGCCACATGGGTGAGACAGTACTGGATGACTTGCTGTTTCAAACAGGCCTGCTGTCCTTGTGGGAAATCGCGGCAGAACGTGGCGAGAATGAATGCGCACATGGCACGGTGCTCAGACACATTTCGGAGAGGCATGCCCGCATTGACGCCTAAAATGCCGACAAAGTAAACAAATCCACTGTCCTTGAGCAAGTCGTTCTGGAAGGACCGGTCGACAGCCAAAAGTCGCGCCCAAATAAAGACCAAGACCGGCTTGAGATCGGCGGCTGGACTCTGGAGGAGCTTGAGGACGTAAGGAGAGATACCGACTGCCAGTGCATGGTTGACAGCCCAGGGTCCGAGGTCCAAGAACTGACTCAGGAGGAGAAGGGCACGAAGACGATGAACTTGACTCAGCAACACTTGGAGCACAATCGCCAGCTGCTCCGGTGCCTCATGTGAGGGACTGCCATGGCCCAGCCAGACTTCAAACGCCATTAGTTGCTCGGTAAAGAACATGCTCGGCTGGTATTCTACTGGCGACGCGCTTCCTTCCGACTGGAGCAACGCCGGCAACTGGGCAAGGCACATGTCAAGGGCAAGGTCCCAAGAGTCCCACATGGGGTGCTGGTGTGTTGGAGGTAATGCTGGGGAAGACATGGGCGTGCACTTCTGAGATCGCATGATGCGGTCGGCCAGCAGGTAGTTGCGGAATAACGCGGCCACCATGAGATCCTGCCTGAACAATGTCTTGAATAAATCGCGAGAGAGGACGTTCCATGCGATCGTATCCGTGATGGATGTAAAGATCCAGTTGAGCTCTCCAAGTGGGGTCCTGCGATCGTTCAGCTTTCCTGGAATTCGGGTGACCATGTCGACAGTGACGTTGTGGAGGAGAGGGTGTTGGAGGACAAACCAACGAAGGGCAATCTCGATGGGTGTGGTCAGACAGGCTGTAAAGATATCGGCGGGAAGGTCAGGGTTCATAGGCAGCCATTCGTCGGGTCCACAGGCGGCTAGTTGGATGCAGTCTCGAAGAGGGGGTGCGGGGACAGTTCCTGGAGGTTGGGGTGATGCCTGCTTGGCGGCATCCAAATCGCGTTTTTCGGCAAAGCGATTGAAGGAGAGGAGGATGTTCCCTGCAGCGGAGCAGTCGTAGACGTAGATGCAGGGCGATCCAAGCCAGCTCTGGAGATCCAACAAGGACACGGGTATATATTGGGTATAGTTTTTGTTGAAGACCCAAATCTCGCCGCTGGACGTTGGTTTGGGGACTCCGTGTCCGTTATAGTGAAAGAGGATACGCTCCTCCTTGGCGTTGCGTCTCAACACGCAGCACAGCTTCTTGGTGTCCTCCATTGAGGGATCCAGCGCAGCCTTGTAACGGGCGCGGGGTTGCCACACCTCATACTGGGCCTGAAGCGCCTTTCCAATGTTTTCCAGTGATTTTGGGACAGGGAGGAGAAAGGGGTCGATCCAGGCCTCGAGTTTGGCGCAAGGGTTGGTCTTTACGACATCTGGGGGGTCGATACCGATGTTGAGGCAGAGGACCAGGGCGACCGAAATGGTCTTGAGCTTTTCTCGCATGCGCCAGTCCTGGAGCGGGTCCCATTCCCTGAGGGTGATCTCTGCGTCGTGTCCTGTAGTGACCTCGTGTCGCTTGTCGGTGTAGAACATGTAGTAGACGTGCTCTGGAGGGAGGCCGTTCTCGTCAAAGTCGAGTTCGAAGCCGTGGCGGAAGAGGTAGGACTCGTCCTCGTCGCCGTCGAGGACTTCGCCCTGTCTCCTGAAGCCGTCTCGGACATCTTGGATGATCACCTCGGTGTCGTCTTCCTGTTCGTTAGCAGAGTTCATGCCGGCATTTACAAGCGTGCTGTTGGTGCTTCGTGCGTCGTCGTTGTTGTCGTTATCGTTCTGTCTTGGCCGCATCCTTTGTGTGGTCGGTCTCCAGAACTATTAACTATCGGATTATCCGTCACACGCCGAGTCCCTTATCCTGAACTGTGAGCTTCCGTTGGCTATATGATATGAAGGAGAAGCGTAACGGGTCAGCTTGTCAAGTCGTTACTTGCAATAAGACGGAGCTGTTGTGTTGTGACATTATGGACACGCGCAGTCTATTTGCAGTGATACGGCGAAGCAGCGGGACTTTTTTTTTCTTCTTTTCTGTGCATTACCTCAGAGGATGCGTTTTTTATTTTTTTTTGAGTGAAGGTATGTGTTATTCGTAAAACGCCCAGATTGGTAGTGTTGGCGGTATGCTTTCGTTATATATATATATTATTATTTTTTGGTGTTTTTATGAATGAGACGTTGGATGGAGAAAGTGGAGGAGGAGTAGGAGAGGGGAGTGAGTGATGGGAGAGTGTGAGAGCATAGCGACGGACATGCTGGCAAGCGGGCGAGACAACTCGTGAAAAAGAACGACACTGTTAATTAACAGTCCAAATCTACATTCAGGCTAGTTAACGACACGGTATACTATCTTGTCGCATATACTGTGCATAGATCGCCATTGTCCTCTGTTTGGGGCAAGCGAACAAGAAGACAAACACTCCACTCAGTTGACGACAAGAAAATAACGCACCCAACCGAAAAGACTCCGGGGGTGAGTGCTACAAGGTCGAGCCGCTTAGTTTTTTTGTGCATATGTGAATGCCTTCTATCTCGCTGTTTGTTGTTGAAGAACACATGTATATATCTGGGCAATTGACTCAACATGAAAGGCAGGAAGGACAAGGCAACTCAAGCAGGTTAGAGTAGCGTAGAGGGCCATCGGGGGGAAAAAAAGAAGAAAGAGGCCACAACGGCGGCCCGTCAGTCATTGCATTGATACCCAGGAAGACAGAAAGCTATAGATACGATGTATGGCCTGATGTTGGCTGAAATGAAAAAAAAGTAGAGCATCAGACAGCACAAAGGATACCCATGGGGAATGTTGACCGGAGCTGAGGGGATTGTAAATGGCAGTGAGACTGCGATCAACGGACAAGACCAGCCCCAGTGGGCACAGTTCATTATCTTTGCTTGGTCACTTTTCATTGCCCACTCTCACCTCACCTCATTTTTCACTTTTACAAAGAAAAAACGAAAAGAAAAAAAAAAAGTGAGCTGAGCTGGAGAGGAACAGAAAGAGAGTTGACTCGACCGAGGAAAGGAGGGGGAGCCAAGACAGACTCATAGACAGACTCATCGACAGAGAGGCAGACAGACAAGACAGACTCATAGACAGACTCATCGAGACAGACTGCCCCAAAAAAGACGATGCACATAGCCCTGAATGACCTTTCTACGTTTTCTTGCTCTTTTATTTGCTTACACGCTCCACTACCCTGTCATTCAGCCACGGAGGCAGCCAAAAGAAAAAAGTGTCGATCGAATCCTTTTTCGCCGCTCGGACAGACAGGCGTCAAGCGGAAATAGAACTTGACTATGGCGCGATACGAAAAAAATAAATAAATGATGGTGTGAGTCCTCAATAATGAAAGGCGGCTTGGTGGGGGTAAAGGAAGAGGAGTCAGGGGCCAATTGGGTGTTCCAACCAAGGACGGGTGCCGTATCGTTATTGTTTTTTCGTATCGGCCAAATTTTTTTTTGTTGGTTCCCCAAAAAATGGACAGGGGCAAAGGAGTTTGTTGAATTGGAAGGAGAGGGAAATGAGAACCCACCCACCACTTTCTTTTTTGCAGAGAAGGAAGGAACCAATCGACAGCTGTGTCCATGTGCATCCAACTCTGAAGAGTGAGGTCTTTTCAGTGAACAAACAGCATATCGAATAAGTGACCAAGGAACAGCACTTGTTTATCAAGTAAAAAGGGTTGGGTCGTTTAGTCAGTCAGTCGGGGAGTAAGGTTGGTTGGTTGGTTGGCTGAATTTATTTTTGTTGAGAGACAAGTGCCGTAGTAACTCCTGTTCATATCAAATCATATCATATCGACATAGCTGTTCGCTGTTAGCTGTTTGTTCAATTGCTCATAATTCCAGCGACTCAACGACCCACCCAATTCCACCCAACCCAACCCAACCCAACCCAACCCACGGAGCAAAAAAGTAAAAAAAATAACCGTTCACTCCACCCATGGGTCATCGTATGTGTATGTGTGTATGTGTGTATGTGTGTATGAGTATTGCGAGTCCCTTATGTTATCCTCTCCGTCCGTTCCCTCCCTTGATCCATCACTCCCCAACCATCGTTTGTTATCAGTGCGCACAACCAACCAACAATCACCAACCATCAGCAAGCCAAATAATCACCACATAAAACCCCCTTTTGCTCTTTTTCATTTTTCTTCTTCTTCTTCATTACTCTCTTCTCCCCTTCCTTCTCTGTTCTCTTAACTCCCTCTTTCCCTCCCTCCCCTACTCTAATAACTATTCTAAAATGACTGTTGCTGTTGCTTCCACAACTATCCCTGGCCCTGCCACCACCAAGAAAAAGGTCAACTTTGCCAACCTCGGCGTCGGTGCTGCCATGAACATGTTCGAGGTCACTACCCTTGGCCAGCCCTTCGAGGTCATCAAGACCCAACTCGCCGCCAACCGTCAGGACAACATGGCCACCGCCTTCAAGAGAATCTACCAGCGTGGTGGAATCGCCGGCTTCTATCAAGGGTACGTCTCTCTTCTACTTTTTTTTCTTCTTTTTATTTCAGGACTCGGCACAACCTAACCAGAAACAAACAAGAACACACACACATACACGCAACAACAACAACTGCAACGCAAGACTGATGAGAAAAGAATACACAGAGAGTCATAAAGGGGAATGAGTCTAAAAGGGAATGGACGAATGGATGGATGGACAACGACGAGTGAGTGTGGCCTGTTGCGCTGGGTGAGTGGGCGGAGCTTGTTGGGTTGCGGACTGCTCTTGATTAAGAGTAGCAGAGAGACCCTTTTGTATGTAAAGATAAACCCAGACGGGGTTTGGATGGGGCAGACAGGGTGGTGCCACCATCTTCCGGGCACTCCGTATCTCCTCTCTCTCTCACCCTATGCGCGTTCTCTCTCTGTCGCTGTGACCGGGGTTGGGACTTGGAAAGGGTATCTCATCCTTCAACTTGGCTTGATTGGACTTGACTGACGACTACTACAACTACCCAAGACAGCGACAACATCGGCAACAGCGGATGGACATGGACACTTGGACAATGAACACTGGACGCAGCAACGATAAAGCCTTGAGCCACGTCCAGGACTCTTATCCGCCCTTCCGGACTTGCCTCGGGAAACGTAGTCAGGATGGATCTTTTCCTTTTTCTCTCTCAGCCTTTACTTTTATCAAACGATACTCAGCCGAAAGCAACCGACACATACGATAATCAGAGCAGAATCAGTCAAGACGATCCGATACAATCGACAATTGACAACAGACATCGAGGATCCAAAGGGCATTGCCGATGACCCATACATTATATCCCGAAAAGATGAGATCCGGAAATGCGACAAAAGGAAACAGCAGAGCAGTAAGGGGAGAGTGACCGTTGTTGTTGTGCGTGGGATCTGTGGGTGCAATTTCACTTTTACTGTTTGTGTGTGTGGATGTCTGTGTGCATGTTTCTGGTTTATTACCCTGGCGGCCTTTTCTTTCATTTTCATATGACATGAAAAAAGCAACTCCCTCTCCCTGCTGTACCATCTCTGTGTGACTAATCACATCTCGTCCCTTTTATTTGTTTACATCATGCAAATAGAATGATCCCTTGGGCGTGGATTGAGGCTAGCACAAAGGGCGCCGTGTTGATCTTTGCCGCCGGAGAGATCGAGTACGTCGCTTTGGGCTCTGGCATCTCGCCCTTTGCCGCCGGTCTCGTCGGAGGCATGGGAGGCGGTCTCGCCCAGGCATACACCACCATGGGATTCTGCACATTCATGAAGACCGTCGAGATCACCCGTCACAAGGCCACCGGCCCCAGCGTCTCGACCTTTGCCGTCGCCTCAGAGATCTTCAAGCGCGAGGGTATCCGTGGTATCAACAAGGGTGTCAACGCCGTTGCCGTCCGTCAGTGCACCAACTGGGGATCCCGTCTCGGTCTCTCCCGTCTCGCCGAAGAGACCATCCGCAAGCTCCGTGGCCCAGAGACCTCACACTTGCCCCTCACCGGCTGGGAAAAGATTGCCGCCTCGGCCATCGGTGGAGGTCTCTCGATCTGGAATCAGCCCATCGAGGTTATCCGCGTCGAGATGCAGTCCCAGCTCAAGACCACAGGACGCCCAGAAAAGATGACCATCGCTAACTGTGCTCGCTGGATCTGGCAGACCAACGGCTTGAAGGGCTTCTACCGTGGCTCCGTCCCCCGTTTCGGACTCGGCATGTGGCAGACAATCTGCATGGTCGCTGGAGGAGATGCCCTCAAAAAGTTTGTCAACGAAAAGTACGCCAAGCACTAAGTACCGACACACCTTTTCTCTTCTCTAGATACCCCTTCCTTTCCCTTCTCTTTCAACTTTTGACGTCTTTTTGCTTTTATTCCATTGCGTCGTCTTTTTTTCTTCTTTTTTTGTTTGTTTGCTCCCCTCCAACCTCCTTCCTCTCTCATTCACCTGTATATCTATCCTTTTCTTCCTTCGACCCCACATCCACATTCCTTCAATTGCCTCTCTTGGAAGGAGGAGAATGCTCATGTCCCTCCACGTAATAAAAAAAGTGGCCTATCCTTGGTTCACCATTCTTCAAACAGACACAAACAAGCGCGACCACAAACACAAACAAACAAACAAACAAACAAACAAAACACCAACAGAAAGTGTGTATGCATAGACATGTGTCTGTTCGTGTCCCTGTCCCTGTAACATCTTTGCTCTCTTTATTCGACGAATGACGATCAGCGCCAGCAGCACTGCAGACATTTTGAACATCATTGGTCATAAGCCGTCAACAGCCAACAGTCGTTAGACTACCATGCAAGTTGGAGATGCTTGTGCTCGCACTCGGATTCTTAGCAATAGCACCCACGTGAAAGAAAATAGACCACAATAGGATGCAAAAAGACAGAAGGTTATTAATGCAAAAGGTGTGTGGTTGTGTTATATTATGATGATGTTCAGATTCAATGCTAATGGGGCCCGCGTTCCATGCGTCAAAAAGCGAAAGCCCGTGTTTTTTTCATTTTTTTTTTCTTTTAAAACTACTGTTCTCAAAATCTCTTTCAAGAAAGGAACTTTTAAACGTCCTCGCCACTCTCCTCCTCCTCGTAATCACTCTCGGCAATGTCGTCCATATCAATGTCAGCACCATCCATCTCCTCCTCAGACTCGGGCTCGTCATCATTAGGCATGGCAACGACCTTCTCCTTCTCTGCCTTGGAGCTGGCAACAATGACCGAACGGCCCTCAAAGGCTCTCCTCACACCACCGTTGGTGGCAATGTCCCAGATGTTGACCTTGCCTCCTGATCCTGCCATGGCCAAGTTGAAGGGTGCGTCAGGGCAGAAGGTGACCGAAAAGACCTGGCCGATATCAGACTTGACCTGACGACTCGTCACCATCGAGGGACGGTTATCCTTCACATCCCAGACCTTGACGGAACCATCAGTCGATCCTGTCACAATGCATCCGCGAACAGTCGTGTTGACATCCATGGCCGACACGGCCTTGTCGTGGGCGTGCAGTCTGAAGACGGGCTGGCCTCCTCCTGTGCGACCATCAAAGTACTGAACCATGCCATCATCCGTCGAGACGTAGAAGCAGTTGGCATCATGGGGGTCCCACCGCAAGCACTCGACATCTGCCTGGAGCTTCCATGTGGCACGGGCATCGGGTGCGCGAGAGTCGAAAACGACCACTGTCTTGTCGTACGATCCAGTCGCAAGAGCAGTCGATTCAATGGGGTTCCATGCCAATGCCTGGACCTTGTCTGTGTGGTGGTTGAAAGAGTGGGCGCACTGCTGTGTCGTCAAATCCCACAGCTTGACAGTGGTGTCTGCGGAGGCCGAGGCCAAAATATTGCGATGCTGCTTGTTCCATGCAAGCGCCATCACCGCATCCGTGTGATATTCATTGTTCGCCTTCTGTTTGTTTGAAATATTAATTAAAGAAAAAACATATTAGACATTCCATGTTAGTTGTCATTGTGTAGGATACAAAAGCGGCTTAATGGCAGTTGAAAAAGTACCATAGAATCTAATAGGAAACTCCTATTGATCAAGGTTGACGATGAACAATGTTTAACGATGACAAAGGGTGAAAGGATATGAAAAGAAGAGTTACCTTGGACTTTTTGGCACCCTTCTTCTTTTTGGTCTTGTCTTGTGCTCCCAAGACGGCATCGGGGTACATGTTATCGACGGTATCCAGATCCCAAATCTCAATCTCAGGGTCAAAGGTACCCACGGCAACATAGTTTCCTGGTCCCTCAACAGCACTCTTGCGACCCACACGGAAATCGAGCCATTCCAAGCAAAGAGGGAAGGCGGGGAGCATGATGTCGTGGTGGACATACATGTTGCCCTCGTTCTCCTCGGACTCGTCGTAAAGGTAGATCTCCAAGTGCGAAATGTCGTCCTCTGTCTTTGCTGCGAGCAACAAGTTGTCGGTTGCCTGGATCACGAGATCTTCCTGGTCCTCGTCTTCCTCGTCGCGCAAGGTGATGTATGGATCCTCGCGGTTAGAGGTATAGTATGACAATCCCTTCAAGTTACTGAAAATGTTGGACTCTATCAAGTCATTGAGGGTGGGGTGTAAGATAGAGGGAAGACGTCAGGAATACCATCAACAATGGCGGATGAGCTGGGACAGGACAGAGTAACAAAAAAAAAACAGGATAGTACCTTGTGCCTGGGGCTTCTCCTCGTCATAGTCGTCCAAGTTGTACTCTGAAAGTTCTGGGTTGGCTTCGCTGATAGTCTCAACAGCCATTCCATTGGCCCTAATTGACAGTGAAAACAATGACTATTAGATGACTGATCCTGGTTGGGTCCTGCTTTCTTTCTGCCATTGTCCCTTTGAGGGGGCATTCATGGTTCCAGTATGGAAAATTTCAAAACGTACTCGTTCTCGGCCCTTTGAGCGGCGGCGAGCTCCTCCTTGGCGTCGGCGAGATGCTGGGCGGCAAAATCGTTGATGCGCTTGAACTCTTTCTCGTCGAGGTCGTATTTGTCAGGCCTGGCCTGGGCGGCACCTCTGCGGACCCATTGCAACGCGGAAATCATGATGGTCTATGTGTATCTGTTTGTCCACAATGGGAAGTCAGGGCACAGTTGTGAGTGATTTTGAAGAACTTTTGTCGGTGTGAAAGGTTGAGAGGTGAGACTGTCAAAGACAGGCACTTACAAGAAGGGGGAGTGTGAAGGAGGGAATAAGGAAGAGTTGTCGAAGGGTTGAATGCGACAAAAAGGATGGAGTGCGAGTGGTGATGAAAGGGGTATGCGAGAAGGAGAGGAGAGAGAGAAGAAAAAAAAAGGCGATGCGGACCACCAAAAAGAAACAAAAAAACGTTGAGCAGAGACTTGACCAGGTTCACAAAGGTGCATCGATGGGGCACTGAGATATCGTGCACCCAGAAAAAAAAAAAAAAAAAAAAAAGATAAAAACACGCTAAGCCACAGTTTGTGACAACTTTATTTTTTTTCTCTTGCTTCAATCAATGTATGAATGAAATGGCTGTGGCACACACACATCACACAATAGATTAGTTCCAGGGGACGCGCTGGCCGGTGGAGGAGCTCTTGATCGCAAGCTGGATACCGCGGATCACCCACGCTGCCTGCTCAGCAGTGACTGCAAGGGGCGAGTTTCCACGAATCGCATCAAGCACATTGACATAGTAATCTCCATACGTGCCCTGCTCACTGTCAACCTTGCCCTTCACATGTAACTTGACGCCCTCAATATCCATCAGCGTGTCAATCTCACCCCATCTATCTTCGTTCTCAATTCCATACGCAGCGTCCAGGGGGGTCAATCCAGCCTTCAACTGGTCCTCCTGAACATCCAGACCGTGCTTGACATACGATCCGTTCATGCCCGTGACACGGAATCGAGGCGTGGGAATCTTGGCCAACATGCTTGCGCCCAGCGTGCAGCGGAGACCGTCCTTGTAGTCGAGGTGGACCAGGAACTGGTCATCGACAGGCGACAACTCGAGCTTACGCTGGTTCGAGACATGTGCAGTGACAAACTCCGGCTCACCAAAGAGAACCAAAGCCTGGTCCAACAAATGCGAGCAAAGATCATATAACACTCCACTACCCTCCTCGATACTACCAGTCTCTCTCCAGCTGCCCTTGCTAAAGTTACGGAACCGGTCGAAACGCGATTCAAAGCTGACGATCCTGCCGAGGGTAGACTTCTGGGACTGGACAAGCTTCTGAACGGTACGGAAATCAGCATCCCAGCGTCTGTTGTGGTAGACAGAGAGGACGAGCGACTTTTGTTTGGCGAGCTTGGCGAGTTCAATGCCCTGTTCAAAGGTGACGGTGAAGGGCTTCTCGACGACGACATGTTTGCCAGCCTCGAGGGCTTCGCGGGCGAGGTCGTAGTGGATGATGTTGGGGGTAGTGATGACGATAAGGTCGATCGAGGGGTCCTTGAAGAGGTCATTGTGGGACTGGTAGACGGCGGCCTTGGGGTATTTTGACGACATCTCCAGGTTGGGACCCGACCGGCTCACAAACGCGGCCATATTAAGTCCCTTTGTTGTCGAGATCAATGGCGCATGGAACACTATTAGATATGTTGGGGTACGTGGAATCGTAAGAATTGGTTGGAATCGTAAGAATTGCTGTCTCTCGTGCTTCTCGTTGTTGTTATTGAACTCTGTTTAAACAGCAGGGTTACCTTTTGCGCTCAGGCCAAAGCCAATGACACCGACGTTGATGGGGGTTGAATCCGACATTGTAATGAGAGTGCTGTTGTTGGTATGAGAGAAGAGTAAGAAGAGAGTAGATGTGAAAAGGAACGTGTGCTTGTGTAGGTGAAGGTGCGCGTGAGAAAAAGAAAAGGAAAAAAAAAAAAAAACGAGAGGAGAGGTCTCCCCTATAAAGCCTGAAGGGATTGACAGGTCGATGACGACTTGACTTGACCTCTGCCCGTGGACGCATTGGCGAATTGATTCGCCGTATGATTGTATGGGGTTTTTTTTTGCAGAACCAAGTAGTTCAGTAGTGTTAGTTTCAATTTGAGTTGGAGCTGGCTATCGCGATAAGAGGAATGAGTGTCCTGGAAAGCATGGATGTTCACATAGCTGACAAATGGCCACTCTTCTTATCGGATAAATAGGCGCTTGTGTGAACGCTGAACTCCAATTCGAACGACAGACTCATCATGACTATAGAAGAACCGCGCAGCAGCAGGTTCATTGAGCAGCCCTAAGGTGCGCGATAGTACTTTAATCGCTATAGAGTGATTGTCCTAGGCCAGGTGATAGTTATCAAGGATGAATAAGGACGCGTCGACTAGACAAGGAAGGAGATATCAATGGGTATACTCTGCATCCGGAAAGACAAGATGGTGGTTGCCATCGGAAGAAGTGGAAGAGATTTTATCCGGCCCGGGCGGTGATCCTCTGGTAACTTGTTTTGAGGTTTGATGGTTGCTGTCAAGGTGCAATTGGGTACGAAGAAGAAGGTGAGAGTGAGGTAATGGACAGTTGGGATACCATGGGCGGGATGATATCGACAGACGATCGTCCATCCAAGGGTGCATGAGGGAGAGTAGCAGGCTGTTTGTTGACGTTTATCCGTCGTTTTGCCCCTCGACAATCGAAATAGGCCTGACAGCGGAAGATCAAATCAAATAATAAAACCGGATTTTGATGGATGTCCCAGCGCATGTAAAATTGATGACGACCATCGCTCCCCTTGGGCTGCGCTTGAACACCGTCTCCTCGTTCCGGGCCCAGCCTTGTTTTTCACCTTTTCTTTTGACGCTATTTCTACTCTTTTCTCATTCTTTCTTTCCCTACCCCCTCTCACTCCCCCACTCTTCTCATCCTCTCATCACCCTTGTCCGTCAAGCGAGCAAGCAGGAATCAGACACCAGCAAATGGCATCACGTACCCGGGAACAACAATCACATGGACAGGAACACGAACGCGAGATGACACCAACAACAAGAACAACAACAACAGGAAAAAGATCCCGCGTCATGAAGACACTCGGGGCAATCACCCTCACAATCGCACTTATTGCATGCTGCGCATCACTCGCTTTCGCTTCATCCGGAGACCGCCAGCAGGAATACATCTCCTGCGTTAACAACTGCGACTCGGAATCCTGTTCAAAGGAGGAGCAACGCGAACCACTGGACCTGTCGCTGCGACTTACCAAGTGGACATGCATCGACAACTGCAGATACCTCTGCATGCACTCCATCACTGATAATGCCATCGAACAGAACCTGCTCGTCCACCAGTACCACGGCAAGTGGCCCTTCCACCGCTTCCTCGGCATGCAGGAACCCGCCTCGGTCCTCTTCTCCCTCCTCAACGGGTACATGCACGTCCTCGCCTGGCCCCGCCTTAAACGCGCCATCCCAGAAAACTACTACATGCGACCCTTCTACCTCGGATACGCCATCATCGGCACCAACACCTGGCTCTGGTCTGCCGTCTACCACTCGCGCGACTGGCCCAGTACAGAGAAGCTCGACTACTTTTCCGCAGGAACCGCCGTCATGTACGGACTCTTTTACACCGTCATCCGCGTTACTCGCATGGTCAACACCCGGTCTCAATTCGCCTGGGGTTTGATCTGTCTGGTCCCGCTTTTGCTCCACATTGGATACTTGACCTTTGTCCACTTTGACTATGGATACAACATGGCTGCGACGGCGACAATTGGTGGCATTCACAACCTGTGGTGGATCTGTTGGAGCATCTTTAACTGGCGGGAGAGACCCTATGCCTGGGAACCCACTGTCTCCGGTCTTTTGCTTACCTCAGCCATGTGTCTCGAGATTCTGGACTTTGCGCCTCTTTGGGGTATTCTGGATGCTCATTCCCTGTGGCACGCTGCTACGATCCCCCTGATTCCTCTGTGGTACCGCTTCCTCCTCAAGGACACCGAATGGGAAGTCCGCAACATGAAAGGCGTCCTCCGCACCTCCCACCGCGATTAGGTCCTTGCTTTTCGATCAGTAGGAGCAGAAGACTCTCAGGATTATTCTTTCTCTTTACAACAACACTAATAAAAACAATGGAAAATATATCATCATGTGTTATTTTCAAGGGATTGCTAGCCTTTTGTCTTTTTGTAATAAAAGCAAGATCAATGGAGAACAAGCAGGATTGAAGGAATAGAAGAAGAAAAAGAAGAACAAAAAAAAAGAAGACGGACAAGAAGTAAATGAACCATTTTTTGATCCATCTGACTTGCCATCTGTGTACGGTTTACTTCCACTCTGCGCATAAAAATCCCAGCATGCAGGGCAAAACCTTTGTTGTCTCAAAGACTCCATGCTCTTTACATCGCACCTGAAAAAGGTCAATTGAAAGAGCCAAAAAGTACGACAATGGTGTGCACGAGGACTAGGTAGACAAGGCACCGGCATCATTGGCGTTATCGTCAATGTTCCTTCTCTAGCGTCCACAAGAGTCCTAGTGTAGTCAATGAATGGCTGATTGACTAGCACTCTAACGAAGAAGCTGAGCAAGCAAAAGGTAGCACCGATTTGACATGACATGACGACATTTGACCTGAGACTATGACGCCCTGAGCAAAGAATATGGCCGGGAGCCCGCTCTTTTTTTTTTTTTTTTTTTTTTTTTTTTGCTTTCAGCCATGAAAGGATCGCTTCTTTCTGTTTTCGTTGGGGTGGGAGAAAAGGACGAGATTTCCTTTTTTACTTTTTTGCTGATGAGTAAGAGACACAAACACACACGCATGGGCGCACATTGGGAGCATGTATGCCACTCCTTTTTATTATTGTTATTATTTTCTCTTCCTCTCCCTTGTCCACGGACACGCAACGAATTGCATTGTGGAAAACTGTCCCTGTCCCTGTCTCTGTTCCTTGTGTGTACTGTTGGGAATAATATCCGTTGCAATTGGGGCCCACAGACACATGCCTTGTCCTTGCAAACAACAACAGCAACAACAACAACAACAACAGCAACAACAACAACAACAACAACAACAGACAACACTTCCATTAGGAGAAAGGATTGCGCCTGGACCACGATGGGGAAGGGATAGATGGAGAGAGTCGCAGTCTTTATTTTCTCAGGAATACCGTTTCGTCTGGGTGGATGTCTATTTTTTCATTCACCGACTGGAGGGTAGGTAGGTGGTTGGTCCATTTGGTTCGTTCGTTCGTTCGTTCGTTTGATGTCTGTCTGATGGACACCGATCCTTTGCTCTCCCTTCCCTTGCCCGCAGCATGGCCCCTCCCCTCCTCCCCCCTTCCCAAGCTGAGGCACTAGAGTGAGTAATAAGATGGGTGTCTGAATGAATCTTTTGATTTGATCCATGAAAATAAAAGAAAGCGCTTCCTTGTATGGTGTGGATCGCATTCCCTCAGTCTCTCTTTTACCTCTTTTATCTCTTTTTTTTAATTTTCTTTTGTTCACCTTTCTCTTTCTCTTTCTCTTTCCTCTTTCCTCTTTCCTCTTCTCTCCCTTGTTCCCCCCTCCATCCTTCCTCCCTTCCTTCCAAGTTCCCCTTGAACTCTTTTATATCATATATCTCTCCACTCCCCCCCTCTTCCTTCCTTCTCTTGTACTACTCCTCGCCTTGCCTCCCGCAACGGCTTCTCTCTCTCTTCTCACATAAAATACTCATCACTCCCAACCAAAAGACTGATCCCTGCAAATGTCATCGACACCAAAGTCAATCAACAGACTCGCCCCAGAGAGAAGACCTTCCCAGGACCTCATCTCCTCATCGCCCCATCGTGAAGCTACAAACCGTCTCCTCTCCTCCTCTCCTTCCATCCCCCCATTCTTTGCCAGACCCGCTTCACGCCAGAGCAACAACACCGGAGACAACCAAGGCTTGGGAGCTCAGACCCCAACCTCCTCCTGGAGATCCCCTTCTACCCTCCAAAACTACCGTTCTGACGACGTTGCTGGTGATACTTCCAACAACTACTATATAAACAACAACAGGTCAGGACTCGACAGCAGCAGCAACAGCATCCACGGCAGCTACGCCGGAAGCAACTCTGGCTACCTCGACGCCATGAACGCCGTTGTCGATATCCCCGCCGATGAAGCCTCCAAGGTTGTCAAGAAGCACCTCGTCCTCAACTCGGCCTCCCGCGACAGTCTCGACTCTGACCGCAACGACAACGGTGGCGGACCCTCCTCTAGTTCGAATGGACACAACAACAACAACAATCACAACAACGATGGTGCCGGATCAGTAGATATCGTCGACTACACCACCGCCTTTAAACTCCCTGGAGGCGCCATCACTCGTGATGTCTACAAGTGGCAGGCCGATCAGGAGAATGAGCAAAACCGACGAGGTAATTCATCCGCACCTTTGTCTCTTTTCCTCTTTTTGTTTTCTCTTCGTTCTCTATCTTGTTCAACGGGAGGGGCATGTCAATACTCTGCCGGACATTTGGAACCACAGGAGCTATTAGAACTGTATGGACTTTTGGGTATTGGAACCATTTCAGCTATTGGAACTAGTAAAATTTTGGAACAGGAGACGGTATTGGTCATATCAGAAGTAGTGGCCATACCAGGAGGGTACAACCGACAAAGGGTTACCCTGATCTGTTAATGAGAAATACGATGCAACGGACAAGGAACGAGTCTACGATCGGTCAACAAGACATCAAGATACTATAGACAGCGAATATCAGTGGATCGAAATGGTTGACTAACGAAATATGCTGCGAAAATGAATAGGACGATCGCGCTCGTTCCATCTCCCAAGACCAATGGAGCCATCGATGTCGACCTTGAAGCAGCCCGGTGGAATGCGTAGATACCACATGATTATGAAGGCAGAGGCACATGGACGCCAGGCAAACGTCTTTACAAAGAGCTTTATCGACTTCTTGGCCATGTACGGTCATTTCGCCGGAGAGGATCTCGATGACGAGGAAGGTGGCGATTTTGAGCCAGCTGTCTACGACGAGGAGGAAGGCGAGGGTGAGGGCGAGGAATCAGGATCATCCAGGACCGAAGCGACTCCCTTGATCCCAAAGGCTCAGCAAACCCCACAGGGCGATGCCACACCCGCCAAGGCTGTCTTCTTGCTCCTCAAGTCCTTTGTTGGAACGGGAATCATGTTCTTGCCCAAGGCGTAAGTTGTTCTTTCTGCCTTCCTTGATCTAGATGTACATGTTGACCTTGTGGCTGGATCTTTATATTTTCTTTGCAGCGATTGGGTTGATGTCATCTCCCTTCATCTTTTCATCTCTATTATATATCTATTAACATCTTTCTATTGCTTGAAACGATTAGGTTCAACAACGGTGGTATCTTGTTCTCATCAGTGTTCTTGGTAGCGATTGCCGCCATCTCCCTCTTCTCTTTCCTGCTCTTGGTCGAGTCCCGTCAGGTGGTGCCTGCTTCCTTTGGTGACATTGGAGGACATCTCTATGGACCAGCCATGCGTCTCTCTGTCCTCTTTGCCATTGCCATCTCCCAGGTCGGTTTCGTGTGTGCCTACATGAGCTTCGTCGCCACCAACCTCGAGGCCCTCGCCCGCAACGTGCTCGATGCCTCTGAGATGTACCCCTCCTACTTCTTTGTCATCATCCAGCTCATCGTCTTTATTCCTCTCGCTCTGGTAATACGACCCTCCTTGTCTGTCTGTCTTTTTTTTAATTTTTTTTTTGGTGCAAGATCCATTCACCGGATAGCTAATTCTCTCTCCCTCTCTCTCTCTCTTTGTCTTGTTAGATCCGCAACATTGCCCGTCTTTCCTTCACGGCTGTCGTTGCTGATGTCTTCATCTGTTTCGGCCTCATTTACATGTACTACTTTGATGTAAGTCTTTCTCACTCTTTCTAGACTTCCGAAAGAAAGCCAATTGACGACGTTTGCTTTGGTTTGATCATCACCTAACGCCATCAATTATTTACTATCTTAGATCTCTACCTTGATTATCGATGGCCTCAGCGATGTTGTCCTCTTCAACCCCAAGGACTTTGCTCTATTTATCGGAACTGCTGGTACGCCATCAGAATCATTTGCGGGATCAGTTCTCGACTGAACAATGTTCTCTCTATTCTTCGTGTTGCTAACCTAGTCTACCCTCCTTATGCTCATAGTGTTCACGTTTGAGGGCATTGGATTGATTATCCCTATTACAGAGTCGATGAAGGAGCCCGAAAAGTTCCCCAAGGTGTTGACAGGAGTTATGATCGGTATCACTGTCCTTTTCACCTCCGTCGGTGCTCTGTCGTATGCCACCTTTGGATCCAAGACCCAGACGGTCATTCTCTTGAACTTGCCTCAGCAGAGTCATATGGTCCAGTCTGTCCAGGCATTGTACTCGATTGCTATCATGCTCTCGATCCCCCTTCAACTCTTCCCTGCCGTCCGTATCATGGAGAACGGCCTGTTTACTCGCTCGGGCAAGTACAACATGCTTGTCAAGTGGCAAAAGAACTTTTTCCGAATCCTCTCCCTCTTTGCCTGCGCAGCCATTGCCATCTGGGCTGGAGAGGACCTCGACAAGTTTGTCTCCATCGTCGGTTCCGTGGCCTGTAAGTGTCGTTTTTGTCTCTTTATCTTGTCTTGTCGTTAGAGTTTTGGTTCTTTCGTCTCTAACTGTACTACGAATGTGTTGTTGTTCTGAACGTTGTGTAGGTATCCCGTTGGCATACATCTTCCCAGCCATGTTCCATTACAAGACACACCCTAACCCCAAGACGCGTGTCTTTGATGTGCTCCTGTGCGCCTTTGGAGTCATTACTATGGTCTACACCACTGGTAACACTATCTACGAGTGGATGGTGCCTGATGAGAAGCCTTAAGCAGATATGAATAGACAGGCACCCCTCCTGCATCTAGATTAGCCGCTTCTTGTTTCCCCTCCTTACAGCTTCAACCTTCTCTACTATACATTCGTTTGTTTTCGTGAGTACTTTGCTCACATGTACACATCCTTTTTGTTTTCCTTTGTCGAATCATATAAACAAAACCAACAAAAAAAGACAAAGCTGTTTATTTCCTTTTTCGATCGAGGAGGGTAAAGGGCACCGTCGGGACCTCCCTTGTGCCACCTTTCTCATTATTATTGACGTCTTCTCTTTTCTTGGCAAAAGTTGTTTTGATGGATTAATAGTAATAATAAACGATTGGACAACAACAACTTGTCCATAGACTCCAAAGAACAAAAAAACATAAATAGCGGCCTATCCGTCCTTTTTTTTTTTTTTTTTCTTTCCTCACGGCAATTCGTTTTCCCCTCCACTCCCATTAATTAATTATTGCCTTCACTCTCCCCTCACCTCTGACACAGACCACCAAAAGCAATATTCGTTTCTTCAGGTTGCTTACCCATCATCATCATTCTCTCCACCATACCTCATTCCTCACTTGCATCACCGATCAACCCTATACCCCTTCACCCTTCACTCCACTCTTTTCCACCCTACTCCTCTCCACTCTTTTCCTGTTTCAAAAATGAATTATATGCAAAAGTTGTTTCTCACAGCAAAACGCGTGGCGATTGGCGGCGCAGAGGTCGATGTCGATGCACCGCCCTTTGTGGGTCTCTCCGACTGCAGCGCATGTCCGAACCCCTGTGACGACTTTGACCACCCACACTACCCTTCCTACCTCAAGATCAACCAGACCATGCCACTCCTCCATTCAGTCAAGCCCTACGAACGACACGTCCTCATCTCGACCGGCAAGGAGGATTGGGAGGGCCACATCGACAGCGACAAGTCCTCTCTGGCCTTCTATCTCCAGAACGCCATTGACAAGGGCCAGCAGCGTCTCCGGGATTCTGACAATGGTCAATCGGTTTACAGGATCGTCTTGACCAATTCTTCAAGGATGGCGGATACTTGGGATGGACCCGGTTGGCAGGTGGTTGTGCTGCCCGATCAGATTGTCGTCAACAATGTTACCCCCGAGCAATGCGACGACTTTTTCGAGGCCTTTCTAGAGCCGCCATTCGAGGGGGCATGGGGCCAGAGCGCCACTGGAGATGTCTTATCACAGGGTCAGGAAATCACAACCGCATCACAAGATGGCACCGGCAACAACACCAACATTTCTCCGAGTGCTTCGACAGGTGTTGACCATAGCAACCTTCCTCTAAGCAGAGAGGTCAAGGCGGGCAAGACGACCTTCACAGCCCACCGGTGGCAAGCCAAGGCAGCCATCATGATCTGCTCGCACAAGAAGCGCGACAAGCGCTGTGGCGTCACGGCGGCGATCCTGAAAAAGGAGTTTAAGCGCATCCTGCGCTCCAAGGACCTGTTGGGTAATGCCGAGGGCGATGTCGAGATCTGGCTGGTGAGCCATATTGGAGGCCACAAGTTTGCTGGCAACGTGATTGTGCACCGAGGAGGAGTCTCTGTCTGGTACGGTCGAGTGGAGCCATGTCACTCGCAGGCAATTGTTGACACGACGATTGAGCGCGGCGAGATCATTCGCGAACTCTACCGTGGCGGTGCTAATGGCCACCTCAACGCCTATGGCCAAGTCTCCTGGTAGCTTCGTCTTTGTTATATTTTTTTAATGTAAAAAATAATAATAGTTTTTGACGAGTCTTTTACTTGACAGGCCAAATGCACAACAATGCGATCAATGAAAAAGAGAAAAGGACATTGCGCCCAAGCAAACAAGCAAATCAGAAAAATCAAATGGGACCTTGAGGCCTTTTGCTAGATCGGACGTTCTGATGTTCATATATCACTTTCCACTCTTTCGCTCCGTTTATTTCTCTCCTTCTCTTTCCCCCTCGGGAAAGAAAGGCAGAAAAAAAGACATGAGAGAAGAAGCGAAGATAAAGAGCCAGAGAGAGAGAGAGAGAGAGAGAGAGAGAGAGAGAGAGAGAGAGAATAGAGAGAAGGGAAGGAGATAAAAAAGACAGAGCGAAGAAAGAGAATCGAGCATAGAAGCAACTCAGTCTTGGGCTCAGACTGTTGCATTTTCCTCATTATCGTATTTCTGTTTATTCTCTCCGTTTCTCATCTTCCTCTTGCAGGAATGAACTTATTGGTCACTTCTTTGTTCCCTCTTCTCTCTTCTTTTTCTTCAGGTTCAAACAACAACATTGGCTTCTGGAAGACGCATATAAGTCTTATCGAGAAATTTTTGAGGATGATAGTGTTTTTTATATAGCAAAGTAAGGGGCTATCGGCGAAGAGACCTTGTAACTTATCCGTCAGAGATTAAAATGTGAAAGAAATGAGGTTTTGTCACTTTATCCGCGACACTTCCGGGATTCTTTCACCCGAGGAACCTTCTGGGATGGAAAAGAGGATGAGGAAGAGTGGTCCATCGGATGTTTTCTTGGTGTGGGTGGTGGTTACTTCATGGGCGAAGGCATGGATCTGTTCTTCTTGGGAGTATAAAAGGTCCGAACTTTCAAGAATGTGGACATGGGTGTGGCATCCTCTGATCCATAGTTCAATCTTTGAAGAGCGAGTTCACGTCCAATCTGAAGTACGAATGACAAGTAGGAAGGCATCCAACAAAATGGTGATGATTTTTCCAAAATAAAGCATAAATTGGCAATCAGAACCATTTAACAGCAGTAACAACATTATAAAAAATAACACATACCCGCATGGAGAGCAACGCAGCCAAGGTCCGACTGTCATAAAGTATTCTAGTTCCAGGGCGTTCGTGGGGTGAGAAAATCGTGATCTAGGGCGTTCACACAGACGTGAACACCATCGTGCGCTTGAAGCGACATCAGACTTGCAGAATAGGCTGTAGTGAGCAGGATTCTTTTTGTTAGACCAGCTCCACATTTCTAAAGTTCTCCAAATACTTAAAAATGTTGGACTGAAGGAACTGTTCTATGCATATTCAAGAAATACATCTTGGGTAATCCAATTCGGTTGATGATCCAGTGAATGTGACGAATATTCTTTCGCACCATCACCTCCACCTCATCTGCAGTCGAATGCAGGGCCTTCATCTCACTGTTTGAGATCGTAATAAACTCATACCTTTGACAGACACAACAAATTTGCAGTCATCTTGCCCTTGTCAACTGCTTGATTGGCCTCATTCTGAGACCGTGCCTCGGCTGAACCTTCGTTTTTCCACTAAAAAACATAAAGAATTATATAATAACATAGGGTTGGTGGCCAGAAGAAAAGTTAAGACAAACGCCAAAGTGCACTATCTCCTTTAACTTACAAGACAGCATTAACGACTGTTTTCGCAAATAGGGTATCGAAGACCTGTTCCCAGACGCCCTGCGACTTCCGTTTCGTATCCATGGGACGATGGATTGGATCCACAACACACAGAGGCACGCTATCAAGTCAATCGTTATTTTTTTTTGTGATTAGCTCCATCATTCTAAAACTCCATGCGCTTATGCCTTCTTTTCGTTCATATGCTGTAACTTACACAATCTGCAAGATATCGATAGCCAGTTTGATTGTCACATCGATCTTCTGACCTTGACATGGCTTGGTTGCCAAAGAGCCTTTCCCGATATCGATTAGATCCACAAGTTGCCCGAAATCAACGATTCCTTGATCATCTTGGGCCTGTTCTTTCAAAGTCATCGAGAAGGTCGAGAGCACGGTCGAGGGTATGGCCATCTCCGGTTTCTTTATCTTTCGAGGAGGTTGGGCATATCATGGAGCTCGAAGATGGTCCCGGCACCAGTGCAATGAAGGTAAACGACAGAGGGGACAGCTACACTGGAGGAGAGAGAAAAGAAATGATATCGCAATATTAAAAAATCGATAAAACCACCAATTTGTTTTTGCATTGCAAGTCCAACGGCAAAGAGGACATATGCATGTATAAGGCCTTACTACAAATCCTTTTGGTTGACTCTGGACAAATGGTAATCTGCCAGATGGTCCTTGGCATGTTGGAAAAAGAGTCACCTTCAGCGTGCTCTCCAACTTGGGTATTTTTGGGATCCTGAATGTCTGGTTGCTCGTCTATGAGAAAAAAAAATAGCATGGCAAAAAAGAAAAGAGCCACCTATGCATATATTCAAATATAAAATTTCCATAACTCGAGCTCATGGCACTTACGACGCGGTTGAAGGCTTCGAGGAGTCCATGAAAGTCGTCATCATAAGTACTCTCTTCAGCCTCTTGATCGTGATCAGGTTCACCATCGTGATTGACCGCTGCAAAATCGCTTTCTTGTTCTCAGACTTCCTTGTTGTTTTCAGCCTTCCTAGTCTCCCTCCCTCACATCATCAACCACTCATTCGCTTGCCTCCACTAAGCGTACTTACAGTCCCGTGAAGAGATGTGTGGGTGGTTGGAGAGATGAGGTGAGGCGTGAGGGGCACTTTTTCGTCCCTTATTTAATCGCCTGGCTTGTGTCGAAGATAATTTAATCGCATGTGCTATACACTATGGCTATATTCAGATCAAATACGTCCATCCTTGGCCATGTTCCTCAAGACTGTCACGGTATTCAACAGAGATCCGGTTGACATCTACGATGCCAGTGTGGAGGAGGGCAAGGAGAGTTTGTTTGTTTTTAGCTGGTGAACTAAAAAGGCTATCAGAAACCTGGGACAGTGGAGGAAAATCGTCCCATCAATTTTTTTTTTGGCTTTTTTTTTTACCTTGGTGTGGTTCGCCACGATCTCATCCCACTGCGGGGTTCCCTTCGTGACGCCCTGGGGCACCTTCCATTCGAAGGCATAGGTCAAAAAGAGGTCCTTATCTGATCCAGAGTTGTCGGGCGACATTCCCACGCTGACGATGTTCTGGACCTTGGAGCCATCCTCCAAGATGAACTCGACTCGGCTGGGCTCGTATTCAGTGCATACCTCTCGGATCGGGGACTTGCCGTTTTCGAAGGTGATGACCCGGGTGACAACATTGGCTTCCTCGGAGACGACCTCACAAGTGAGGATCATGGGTACAAACTCGTTTGCGTGGCGAACCTTGCGCTGGAGCCCAGCCCACACCTGGGGACGCGTGAGAACAGGCTCTGCGCCTGGGGGGTTGATAGGGGTGGTGAATGAGAGGTTGGTGGAGGACATTTTGATTGTGTGGTAGTAGGCTAGATTGAGGTAGGTAGCAGAGAAGGAACAAAGTGGGCAGGAAGGATGAAGAAGAAGACGTGGGAGAAAAAAAACAAGGTAGACATGGAATTACAGCTGTGGCTGAAAATCAGTGCGCTTGATTGGAAGATCGGTTCTGGGCTCTCGAAGACTGCGCAGACAGGTTTACAGAAGGATTGACTCATTGCGGTGGAGAGAGACACGTTGGCCTCGGAACGAAGTCAAGAAACGCGAGCCGCGTGTCGGCGATGTTTACTGCGCTGTTTCATTTTTTATCCCAGTAGACTCTGCGGCAAAACAAAGACCCTCGGGCCTTCTCGACGCGACTGAAGTAATCACTCGCATTCATTAATCCATCCATCCATCCCGTCCACAGACAGACACATACCGCCATAACCATCCACTCGAAAAAGAATAACCGCCCAAAGTAGATAGAGCCCTTCCTCATCGACGACGAGGACAATTACAACAATGACGACAATGACCTCAATGCAGACCAGACACACACTCACACCCATTCTCGATACGCGACCGCCTGCAAGGACATCCGTGTCCAAAGTGATTGCCATTGAGAGCGACAGCGAAAGTGGTGACAAGGTCAACCAGTTCCTTAGCCTTCTCGCCCCAAGTCCTGCTTCTTGCCCCCAAAGTTACCGGGACAATATTTTCAAATATTTTGGAATGGTCAGACAGGAAGGAATATCTCCGCTCATGTCCGCGGGAAGGTTCAGTCATGAAGAGATGATCACTGTTCGTTGGTCCCTCATTGGGTACTTTATTGGCCGGATCCCGGTTGCGTTTTGATCTTTGAAGCTTCCAGGTTGTTTCCGATGGGTTGTTGCTGGAGTCTGCTCCAAAGGCGGAGGCGGTACTTGAGAAGGAGGAAAGGCTTTGAAAAAGAGGCGATCGCGCCTGATGGGGACTCTATGAAGAGAATGACGAAGGAGGGGGTATACGACGGATCCAACGTTACAGATACTGCTGCCGCCCAATGAATGACATATTTTTAGTAAACAGGGGTGTAGAGGTTTGATTTAACGGAGACCCTTTTCTTACTCAAGAGTTAATTAGTTGTGATATCGATCGATGTGGAGAACAGTATTTTACTGCCACGTTTAGCCCCAGGTTGCCAGGTTTAAGCGAGAATTGGTTTTATCCTTGCTCTATTGAAGGCGTCTTGCATTTCGATCCGTCACGTAACCTCCGCCACCAATCCAGTAGGACTGAGTTCCACGTCGTGGAACTTGTTTAGCTGGAGTCATCGTGCTCAGATATGCCTCCTCCACTCACCTATACATCAACGGGTTAATAAAATAGAGTTAATCCTTGCAAACAAAAGTAATGTTTCAACAAAGGAAAGAGACAGGAGGTATCCTATGACCAGCGCGACTCGTCACAGCATTTCAACCCTAAACGGGCGATATTTCTCGCGCCCAGCCAGAAGTATTCCTTGCCTTTCTTCCTTTCTGCCACCATTCCCACCATTCCCACACTTCCAACGCCCTTACCTTTCCACCACCTTCTGCGCTTTCTTTACCGCCTTTACCATCACTCGATTCCTTTCCTCACTCTTCCCTCATCTCGTTGCTGGGCCACCTTCCCCGTGCGTTTTTATCGTCTCTTCCCCACCTTTTTCCTCTGTTCGACTTTACTGTCAGTTTGTTTCTCACCGCCCTTATTTCTATTTCCACATCTATCGCATTTGCCACCGTTCTTACGCCCTTTCATCCCTTCTTACTTTTCCTTTTCACCTCACACCTTCTTCTATCTCTCTTTTTTTTTTTTTTTTTTTTTTTTTTTTTCCCATTCACCCCTCGCCCTCACTACACCCGCACCTTCTCCACATCCCTCACTCCGTTTACAACCCTCATCTTTCCCCTTCCACTTACTTTCCTTTCACTCTTCACAACACCATGTCCAACAACCTTCTGAACCTGTTCTGTCTTGTCGACGGAGAGGCCTCCACCAACGCGTTCCCTGTCGAGATCGAGTCAACCAAGACCATCGGCGACCTCAAGAAGTTCATCTGGAACGAGAAGCCCAACGAGTTTCGCGATGTCGATGCAGACAAGCTCACCCTTTGGCGCGTCTCGATCCCAATCACAAAAGACAACGAGGACACTCCCATCCTGCTCGAAGATGTCCCCAGCAGCGACAAGAACAAGCTCGGTCCAACACACGATGTTCCCGAGTGGTTTCAACAAGTACCACTCAAGAAAACGATCCACGTCATAGTCCAGCGACCCCCACCAGGTACAGTACCCTTGCTTTCTCTAACCACGCTTTATCATGTAACATAACGCTATGATATTTGTAATGCCCTTTCGCAATATTTACCTATGCTTTCTTTTTTACTTCCTATAGTTGCGAAAAGAGATCGTGAGGAAGATGCAGGTGAATAGCTTGTCTTTGACTGCGTTTATTACTATTTTCAAACGGCCACATTGCTTTCAGTCACTCGTGGACATGTAGAAGTTGCTAATATTCTTGGTCGATTCCTTTACTTGCATGTTGTTTCTCCTATTAGGACCCTCTTCCACGAGAAAGCGTCATCGTCCGCACACGCTGATGGATGCGATTGAGGATGCAGGTCTCGCGGAGATTGCTATGGTGGATGACGAATTTGACCTCTCTCTTCTAAACAACAAACAGAGAGTCGTGCTGCTTGATTCCATTGGTCAAAAGGTCAACAGGTCGGAAACCTTCTATTCGTTGTCTACCACTGCCCAGAAATTGCGACGTGCCATCATCGAGGACAAGGGCAAGTTATTGGTTCCTCCTGACACCAAACCTCCTGTCGTCGGCACAAACGAGAAGGACAGTTACGACCTATTGTCTACAGGAGCCAGCAAGTCGAAAGCCGAAATCGAGACTGAGGGCGTGCTATCAGCTCCTTCCGGCACCCAACTTCCCATCGTCAACACAAAGGAACTCTATGTCAGAAAGGCCTACAAAGATCTTTACAAAAAAATCATCGACACGTTCAATAATGATCGAAACGAGGCTCAGAAGCATGTCATTGTTACGGGTACATCTGGGATCGGCAAATCAGCCTTCCTAGTGTACTTAGCCATCCGACTTCTTGCCGAGAGCGACGACGACAATCCTCCGATTATCATTTTCCACACCAAACGGAGCGCGAAATGTTACGTCTTTGGAGGGCGCTCCACTGTCCGACGCGGCGATATCGAGGCCTTTGAGCCCTTTCTCAGTCTACCCGACACATGGTATTTTGTCGACAGCTCTCCTGACCCAATACTCAGTCAAGCCAAGACCGTCATTTCAGCATCGCCCAAGACCCTATTTTCCGAGGCTCAACAATATCAGGACGTCGACAAAAGGGTAGAGTGGCGATACTACATGGCCCCATGGACTCTGGAGGAGTTGACGGCGTGCAGAGCCAGTGTTGTAAAGTTCCAAGTGGTTCCTTTGGAAGCGGTGGAAGACCTCTACTTAAAGATTGGTGGTGTGCCGAGATATGTCCTAGAAATGCCGATGACGGTAAGTTATGGGCGCAACCCTCAATGCTTTTCTTCAAGAATAACTTTTACTTTGGTGATGTCATTATGCAGGTAGCCTGTCTTCCATTTCATTAATGACTGTTCTATTACGTCTTGACCGAATTCGTCGCTAGGCATTGAACCGCCGTCCCAATGACCTTCAGCGTGCCAAGGCCAAGGCATTGGAGCGTCTTGTAAAAGCTCTCCACAAAGTCAGTGATCCGGTGACGTTGATGCAGTTCTTCTCGCAAGGGAGAGACACGCTAGAATTTAGCAGCCGTCTGATTCACCGTTGGCCCACGGATGATCATGAGAACTTTCGATTGGAGTGGGCTTCAACATATGTCGCAGGAGAGGTAGCCAAATTGCTGACTCAGGACTCTTGCACCCAGATGTTGAAGACGCTCATCAAGGATCCCAACGGAAGCGCTAGCGGTATAATGTTTGAATAATAAGTCCTCCGTACCTTCCGAGAGGGCGGTCACACCTTTGAACCCAAGGATCTCGAGACTGGGGAGTCTGCTCGTTTGGAAATCCCGAGGAATCCAAAGATAGTGCATTTCGATAAGATTACCCAGACCCTGCCGAGTACATTATTCATCCCAAAGGTTTGCAACTATGCCTGTGTCGACCTCCTTCTCACTCTAAGAGACCTGTTCCAAATCACAGTATCCGAGAACCACCCCATCAAAGGACCACCGCTCAAAAATCTTATCACCAACCTCAGGGAGGCAAGCTGGATTCCCCCTGATGATCTTCGGCGTATCTTCGTCGTACCAAGCCGTGTCTATGCCGATTTCAAGGAGCAAAGGTACTTGGCCTCAGGTGGGAGAGTTTACGTCGATTTCCCTCAGGAGTTTGAGCACGTGAAGCAGTATGCGCTGAAGATCGACATGGAGTCAGCAGTTGCTGGCGGATCACCTGGATTGCAGACTCCATTGCAATAAAACGGTGGCGTGATGAGATGGATACTACAGATACACTTTGAAGTCCTCTCTCCAACCACGCCTTTGCACAGCGGCTCCACTTCGTCTTAGCCTGTTAGACGAAGTCGCCCTCCATATTTCATTGCCACTGAGAATAAAAATCATTGACTAGCCATCGCTCACACGCCTTTCGTCATAGCCTTCGCCGCGATCTCTAATCAGTTTCTCTTTCTCTTCCATCACAACTCCACTTTGCTACGGTTATTAGTGAAATGATGCGGTTTGGAAATTGTAACTCATTGCTTTCCGTCACCAGTATTTCGCCTTCAATACCCCAGAAGGTCCTGCAGCATTCGGCACTTCACTTGCTGCATTTTCGAGCTCGCCAGTTGCTGCCTGTACGGGCTCTCCACTTGTATGTTTGCCAGAAAGTCAGCCAGACCTGCCGTGTCCACGAGCCCCCAATAAGGACGGATATTCTTCGTATAGTTCCCATACGTCAGCACAGCCTCCACTACGGGGAACAGAGGTTGTGTTGCACGTTGTACAGCGCCCTCCCAAAAAGAATTGCCGGAAAATTTTTGAGCTCTTTTTTTTTTTCTTTCTTGTTCTTTCTCTTTTTTTCTCCCACCCTTTCCTCGTCACCCACCCCTCTATTGTCCCATGGCCCTTTCCGCTGGCATGCGAGGCCAAATTGTGGGAATGAGCAAGGCCGGCTCCAAGTCTCCTGCTATCGCTGCTGAACTCAACGTTAGCGAAAGGACTGTCCGATCGGTTCTTCAGCAGTTCAAGAATCGAGGGGATGTCGAGATCAGAAAGTCGCCTGGTCGTCCACGCAAGCTTTTCGAACGAGATGTCCGTTCTGTCGTCACCTATCTCCACAAGAACCACCGTGCCACCTTGGCCGACATCACCAACTCTCTTCCAACCAAGGTCTCCCAGTCTACTGTTAGAAGAACCCTTCATAGCCTTCGCATCATTTCCTGCGCAGCAGTTATCAAACCGTTTCTCACCCCCAAACATAGCGCAGCGAGATTGGCGTTCGCGAAAAAGTACAAAGATTGGACCGCAGAGGATTGGAAAAAGGTTGTGTGGACGGATGAGTTGTCGTTTGAGGTGGGGAAGAATTGTCGTAAAGTCCGAGTTTGGAGGACAGAGGATGAGAAGTACGAGTCGTCGTGTGTTGTTCCATCGTTTAAGAGTGGACGATCATCGATAATGGTGTGGGGTGCGTTTGTGGGGAGCAGTATGTCGAATCTGGTTGTCATTCCTGCCGGTGAGCGCAAAGCAGTCAACTTTATCGAGATTGTCTATGAGGGAGAACTCCTAGGGTTTCTTGCAGAGACATCCAACGCTTTTCTCATGGAGGATGGAGCACCCATTCACCGGGCCAAGGTATCCAAGGAATGGAGGGAGAAGAATGGAATCCAATCGATAAACTGGCCAGCCCAATCCCCCGATCTCAATCCCATAGAGAACGTGTGGTTCCTCATGAAGAGCGCAGTTCACAACAATGATATCCGCCCCAGAACTGTCAAGGACATGCTGATCGCCCTCAATGAGGAATGGCAAGCAATATCCAAGGACTACCTCAAAAAGCTCATTGATAGCATGCCTGAGAGAACCAAGCCTAATTCTCCTTTCTCCCCATCGTTTCAAGATCACCAAATGGAGGTACAAAAGGCAAAGGGAGAGAGGGACAGAGGTTTATTTGCTTACTGGCAGTACTGTCAATGACGATTGATGGCATTCAGAGAGGCCAGGATTGACTTGTCAGACGTGATGTGATGCTCTCTTTGTAGAGTCGTAGAGTCGTAGACACTATCAGATTTGGGATTACCAAGGAAAATGTTTGGCGCGAAAGCAAGGAAGAGAAGCTGCTGCTAGGCTAAGTAGGAAAAGAAATGAAATAGAGTACTAACACAGGACCCCCGAAATCCGGTGATGTTGCTGGAGCCTGGCCTCAGGTGGTTGACGAGTGGTCAGGTGCGTCCACTGGGCCAAAGTAGACATTCCAGCTGGATTATCTCCTTCTTCAGCGCATGCTTATCATAGGTACGCCTTGACAACGAAAAGTCAATGAATCGGACTTGGAATCCACCATCACAGCGGCGAACAAGGATATTGTGGGGCCGAATGTCGTTATGGACGATCCCATGCTGGTGAATCAGCGACAAATGGTCGACGATCTTCAAGCGCTCCTCATGGTTCAGCGTGTCTACCTCCATGGGAGATCCCACAATCTCCATCGCGACGACAAATATGCCTCCATCATACTCTGCAGTCTTGATATGGGGAATGCAGACACCTTGAAGGACTTTAAGTGCCTCGTACACGGCCACCTCCGTGAGCATCTCGTCTTCATACTCCGGATTTTTGTACAAATCGCATGTCTTCAACGCCACTTGTTCGTCCCCCCACATTACGCGAAAAACACGTCCATTTCGACCCTCTCCAAGAACCTCTTGGATCTCATATTCATGCAGGTATAGCTTCCCAACTGTCACGGTCAGTCCATTTGGAAGCTGCCGGACTATGCTCTGTCCTCGGAAGATCTGCTGAATCTTGCTCTTGCTCTTGCTCCATGTAATGATACTGGAGTGCTGCTGATCTTGCTTTCCGGCATGCTGCTTTCGTCCCTGGTACCCACCGTCGTTCGAGTCACCGCCACCGCCATTGTCACCGTCGTCGTCATCATCAGGGTCTGGCGGGGGGGACGGTGGAGCAGGCGGAGTGGTATGATCTTGGTCGGCAAACTCAATGAGATACATGTAGCACTGTAGCAATGTTGGGGTGATGTTGTCGTGATAAATCGTGGGCGATATCCATATTCTCCCCGCATCTCTCCTCATAAACCAGGTCTGGTGGTAGGTAGTGAGGACGCCATACCGCAGGTTGTTGTGAGAATGATAGCCGAATATCTGGTGGACCTGGCGCCACGTGGGGTTTGCTGGTGTTTCATTCCTGGCGACAAGATCCATGTCTTCCCTGTACTTTGCTACGAGATCGTCACAGGCCAAGGCCCTATTCGTATTGATCTCAATGAGTACTCGTGCATCTCTTGGAGGTTGATAGTAAACGCGGTCCGGCCTTCCTACCACCTCGGCCTCGGGATGCATTCCAATCCGACCAACGGACAGTAGACGGTTCAGGACTCCATAGACATTGGCATCCAAGGCGGAGCTGACAGACTCTTTATTCGAGAGGAGAAGGTGAGGGTTAAAACGGACGTCATCAGGCCTGAATCTCCGACTGGCAGGATGATTAAGAGAAGTTGCCTGCGTTAGAAATTGCGTCCATTCTAAAGCTTCAGTTGGTGTTCGGCTAAATGTAGAGTGCGTAGTAGTCGTCGACTCTGACATGTACGGAGAGTACCGCAGGGCAGGCAGCATCCGATTCAACACATCGGACATGCTAAGTACTGTGAAAGGAATAAATATGGCTAAATGTGAGAATGGTGAACGTTCATGTCTGTGTTTCGGTGGATGGTAGATGATAGTGAATATTTCGCGAGAGTTACAGCGATTGGATGGGCTGAAGGAACGAGCTGGTTGTCCTCGACACTGGTCCTGTTCGGGCTAGGCATGCATTGCAGAGCGCTCCTTGTATTACTGGGGCAGAAGTACTATTTGTCATTACTGTCCTGGTTATTGTAATGGGCTATGAGCGGAGGTCTTACATGGTGCAGCTGCGCTAGTAGGTGAAGTATCGCACCTCCCTTTCTGCCACACTCAAGGTAGGGCACACTCTCCTTCCAGACCTCTTGCTACACAACATCTTGCCAATGCATTGCCTTCTCGACGTGGGTGATTTACGAGTCATGTTGGGTCACCTGTGCAGCTGGGATGCGGCCTGATGGTCAGCCGTTGTCTGGCCCAGCCAAGCGCATGCGCCCTGGGAATTTCGATGACTGATTAATCCGTTAAAAAATGAAAACGCCATTGAATTTGTGTTAGAAGAGGACATTGATTTACCCGTACTGAAACTGACATCCTTTTCCTTTTCATCTTTCTGTGTATCGCTGATTTTTGCAATGGTGGCCATATTGAGCATTATTAGAGATGGCTGCGCGGGATCACCTCACTTGGGCCGAAGGCACTGAAGGCGTTTCTATGCGAAAGTTCGCCGATAAATTCAATTACACGGAAAGAAAGTCTGCTGAGGAAGCATACCTGCTGCTACTCATCAGCTCCACAGAAATTGCGAAGTCTCGTTGAGATGATCTCAGAGATTTCAACACTTTCAATTACAATGCAGCAGAGGAATTTTGGGTGAAGCGATCCACCGCTGTTCAAACCCGGACCATCACCTCGAAAGCGGCTGTCGACTCAATGCAAGCGGGATACCAGGAAGCCAAACATGAATATCAGCGCCACTTTGCCAGTACAGAATACCAATCATCTGGCTTTCCGGAAGATGGGAAGGTCATGGCAGGTGAGTTGCACTGTTGTAATTCAAGGCGTCCGTGTTTGATGTATGTGTAGTAGATGATAGTGTATGTTGTGCCAGCGATCATATTCACGACAAATTGGTGTAACGCGAAATGTTATTGAATTTGGATTACTTTAACAATCAGTACCACGAGCCCTAACACCACCGTCGCCACGGGCTCAACCGACACGACCACGAGTATCACGAACGCCAGATCCATCAATACAATATTGGGATCCACAGTTGCCAGTGCCCAATCCAGTGGTTCGTTAATGCTATATGGCGCTCTACTCTCTTTCATGCCATGATGGATCTCGAAGATAGATGCTTATATTGTGAACCCATAATTAACCTATTGATAATTAGGACAATATCCACTCAGCCAAACTAATCTCCCAAGCCATGACCCAGACGAGATACTAGGCAACATCGGGCTCATCACAGATGAGGGTATGTATTAAAGGCACGCTCGCGATTGGCTTAGTGTTGTATATCAACTTGGACATTCACATTTGTCTCCCTTTTACTTCATTGGAAGGATGCCCATGTATGTTTTATTTAATATATCTGCATGTCATGGCGTTTTATTTTCTTTGCCGCTGACCCCGCAATAATGTTACTATTGTATTAGCCATAAGGAAGCAAACCCTCGACGACCCACAAATATATCATGAAGAGGACAAGGTCCAGAACAGGAAAAGGCCCAATACAAAGGTAATACAAGTGTGATGATTGTGGTTCATTATTGATGATTACTCTGTGACGGATAGTTTTCTGACAGTGCACTGAAGAGAGCGGGAGTTACCGATATAATAGGAGATCCTAGGCATGCAAATGAAGATCGTCCCGTCCAGAAACGCGCCCATTCTCTCTGCGCAAAGTCTGCGAACCCGATGCCCAATCCTTTTTTGTCTGAGGAGAACGCCTGGAAGGATTTCGCCTTCTTTTCTGCTTTTGGACAGGACACACAGTGGTGCTCGGCTAGAGGCATCGACTATCTCGCCGATTTCAAAGATTACCAGCGCGAAACAGAGGAGTTCCTTGCTATGGACATGATTGCTGATGCGCCAGTGGGGAGGAATGAGTCAGGGTCGTTTTCGAAATGGTTGAAGGACCGACATGGAACAGATGGGTTGAAAGAAGCCCGCTTTAAGCCCCAGGCATCCAAGACCATCGAGGACATGTGGCCATCGTGGATGGAGGTGACGAATCGAGTTTTCGCCAATGACGTTAAGACGTATCGCGATGTCTGCAAGAGAGCTACAGCAGAGCCCAATCAGGAAGAAGCGATTGTGGTCTATGTGAACTGCGTCCTGCATTCGTAGTAAGTCCTTTTCGTGTATAAATACGCTTTCATCAACGATATATCTATTATCGCTTTATCTCACATCTGAGGGTGCTCTTTTCCCCCCCTTGATCTTTGTGTTTGATAGCATGCATCACTTCGCATTCGGTGATGCCATTAGCGACAAAGTTAACGAGCGCGAGGCCTTTATCGATACGACATGGAGCTTTGTGCGAACTGCTTTGACGATCGCAGGAATTCCCACACGCATGATGGAGATCCAAATCGACGGCAACAGAGACCGCAAATCCGAGGCTAAGCAGAAGGGTGGGCGTCAAAGCACGGCTCGAAAAGCGGATGGTGTCGGTCTTTATCAAGATAAACAAATATATATAGCCGAGGCAGCACAGTTGTACAAAGCGACTCTGGACAAGAAGGATGATGATGCTTGGAAGGTCAAGAGAGCCATGCGCGACGGATGGGTCTCACAGCTGCGACGGACATGTGAAACTCACCGACCAAACAAGCTTGTTGTATTTGGCTCGACGTCTCATCGTGATGCAACTAAGTTCTATTCCATGGACTTTGTGGGGTGTTTCCGTGTGTCGTTGATCTTATCAATGGTTGTTCCTCTGGCGAGCGGTGTCGGCTTTGCTGAAAAAATGAAATCTTGCATGAGGACATGTTTGGAGTTTGCCTTGATATTGTCGACGGAGAGGGAGAAAAGGAACGGTGCGGTGTTCATTGACCGCTTGGAGGACCGGGAGGAGCTCATTGATCTGGCTGCGAGCATCCCAGCGACGAGCCTGACGCCTGTGAAAGTCAAAGACTAGTTCTGCGCTCATACGTTCATTATGACACGGAACATGCGTCTGGATCTCCCTAATGATATTTTTCTTTTATTAACGTTTGCAAATGGAGTTCATAAAAGGAGTGAGGATGAAAACAATCGTAAAAGCAATGGAATAAGGCTAGAAAGAGTAGCAGAAGTCAAAATCGTAAATGCAACAAGAGGGGTATATTGGATAGCGTAGCCGAATGAAATGACGGCTAAAGCTTATTATCCGACAACGCCGGGAACTCAAGATGTCCCACCCATCCCATCCTTCCTTGCAAGTAGAGAGAGAGCAAGATCACCTTGAGTCCACCATTTGTTATCTAGTTAGTTTGTTTACTGTGAAGGTAAAGTGCTCCAAAAAAGTGATTCATCTTTTTGCGATTTCGACTTTTTTTTGAAATGCTCATTCACCAACGTTCCGACCGGCCCCCAGATTCTTGTCATTCATTCTCTTGATTCGTAGCTTCATTCATTACCACTTGCTTCGTAGCCTCATTCATTACCACTTGCTTCTTTTTGTATGGACCGACATCGGATTATCGTCGGAACCGAAATGACTGAATCGAATGAATCAGTTACATAATTGGATTAATGCATCCCGAGTTTCTTTTTCAACTTGCGGGGTCTTTTTAGTTTCTAACTACAGCAGTCGCTATGGATATCGTCGAGATCTACAGAGATGTAACAAACACCATATGATAATTTGGACGTGAAAGGCCTCCTTTAATGAGGATGTATGACATGAGAATATATAATCACACTATTTCTTATTTTCGCAGACGTCGTTTCATTAAGAAAAGCGAACGTCCTCCTCCACTCTCTTAAACTCCTCGTCTATCCTCCTCTCCGCGCCCCTCCTGGCCATCTAAGGCTTCTCCGCCGGATAGAGCGTCTCGCGCTGATACCAAGTCCTCTGTCTCGCAGCCGCAATCCAAGTCATAGTCGATTTTCCACTCCCGATAAGCACATCCGCCTGTGCTAAGATCACAGCGTCGACCATCGCAGGTGCAAAGGCTCCCAAAGTCTCGGTAGTCTTGTACTTTTCATGATCGAGTCGATGCCAACCTAGCTCCCTAATCTGTCGGAAATCGTCCTCAGATTCGGAATCCGTGGTCACGATCACGGGCACGCGCGAAGTCACACCGGTGGTCGCAACTATGACCCGAGCACGGTCCACAGCTTGGGCGTACCGCTCAAAGGGGATGAGGCAGGTAGCCATGTCTCTTTCTGGGCATTTATTGCCAATGTCTCCTCGTCTCAGGTGCACGGCAATATAGGGGATCCTGCTCATGCGCGCCTTGATATTTGTGCTATCGATGACCCCTCCGTCCTCTTGGGTTTGCTCCTCGAATGCTGCAGAAGTTGCGTTAATATAGTTATCGTGGGTCTCGACATCCTCCGATTCACCGCTGAGCATCGTCTACATACCTTTATCGCCCATCATCTCCTCCTTGACGCGCCTGGTCGCATATTCCATCAGCTGTGGCACAAAATAAAGGTTCCTCCCAATCTCGCGCCAGAACCGGTCGCCATGCCCTGGATCCTTGATCCCAAACGTATGGCTCAGAAACAAAAGCTTCAGCTTCTCATCGGGGCCCTGTCCGTGTCCCGCAGCCTCGTCATCATAGTTTAGATATCTTGCGACCAGGTCGTCCATGATCACCAGATCATCCTCATAGCCTTTATCCACTGCAACCTTAGTCCTGCCATACACAGGCGTCTTTGCCTTACAAGGCGGTGGGTGCACAAACGTTACTCGGAACAAGAAATGCCAAGCGAAATTCTTGGCCGAGACATTGATGCCCACATTTGGGTCGCCGTATCCTCGAACGATCTGACAGGTCACATTCTCGGCTATGCTCCTCCATTGGTCCGTCTCAGCGCCTTTGCCTCGAGTGAGGCCCAGAAGGGCTTGATCTTTGCCGACCTGGAGCTGCAGATAGTTCAGCGGCCGGACCGTGTCCCATTCGAGGACGGGGACGCCCGTTATCTCTGTAAACCGGGGCAGGTCCAAGAAGTGGGACCAGCGCTGGTGGGTGTTGTCGTGGTCATGGGAGTTGGAGATGATCGGGGGGATGATGATGGTTCGATTGAGCAGCACTGCGGCCTCGAGGGCGGCCTCGAGGGCGATAAACTGGTTGGTGAGGCCAGCATAGGGCAGATAGGAGAGGTATTTTGTGTTGGGGTCAAGCAAATAGGTGGCGGGTTCGAGGACAGCTTCAAGTGCTGGTGGTGAGGATGATGACTGTCGCAGTTTTGACTTTGTCGTGTCATGGCTTGTACGATGTTCATTCTTGGTATTCTTGGGAGGGGTACTGGAATCAATTTGGAATCGGACGCGGATGGTTACAAGGAAGGTCCAGACTGAGATGAGGATAGTGATGCCGAGTATAAGCAGGGTTCTGCGCTGGGAACCCCTTCTAGGACCTTTGGTACCGAGACCTGACAAGCTCTCCATGATGGATAGGTCTTGTTGATTTGTTTTTTTTTGGGTTAGAAGCTGGGCGAAAAGTAACTGAAGAGGTGTTGATAAGTGTGACAGACCGTGAGAGCAAGACGCGAAACGAAAGACAGATAGAGAGAGGGAGAGGGACCAGACATGAAGAGAAAGAAAAAGACAGAGAAAGAAGAAGCACAAGTTAAAACAGAGAAAAGTGATGGAGATCCGATTGATAAGTCTATATGTTCGAGCGGTCAATGGGAAGAAAGAGAGGATCTTTTAGACCCTTGAACAAGCCATGTGACGTCATTAAAAAAAAGGGGTAAATTAAAAATAAACCCGGCACACGATGCATTATTACTGCATAAGGTTAGAAGGTCGTTGCTTATCCCAAATCGCCCCTTGTTCGCTACAATTGGCCACCAACGGCCGAACGACGAAATATGACATCAGACTTCTTAATATAGCCGTCACTAGAGGTCGCGTCTCTCGCTCTCTCGCTCTCTCTCTCGGGGGTCGAGTGGCGTGGCGAGAGAGCGAGAGAGAGCGGAAGAGTAAAAATAGGAAATGGTTGAGGAGAATATAAAAGTTGTGGTCTCATTTTTATTCAAATTACGGTTCGCAGCACGGGCGACTGAGCAGTATACAGTGTACAAAGCTAATTTTTTTGTTTCACAGTAGCAAGGAGGATGGGCACACGTCACAACATTTCTATTTCGGGCACATTTTTCAATTGGCGCACAAACAAAACACCCAAATCAATTGTTATTTCTTTTTTGTCAATCGTGAGCCCACTCCTTCTCTCGTTCGGATATTCCTCCTTCGCAGTTGGCCTTTGATCCCTGTTATGATCGATACACGAGGAGACAGTGGTGTGTAAGGTGAGAAGGGAAGGAGAAGAAGACTTGTTTATTCTTCGACGTCAGATATGGCACAGTCTTAGCCGTAACAATCCGCTTTCCTTCTTTTTTTTTTGTTACCTGTCTCTCCTCTCCTTTTTCCAGTTCAGCCTGGTGGTAGTGTGCGTTGTTGCATCATGCATAGAATCGATTGCATGAAATAACCAAATTAAAGGAGCGTGTTGCCGACTTATTTCATTTCTTTTGTAGCTCTTCTCCATCATTCCTCATATCGCCGTCGATTCAGTCGATTCAAATCCTCAATTTCCGTGTCCGCAGCATTGTCTGCTAGCAGCCTTTGCCTCCCCCCTTGTCACGGGCATGCAATGGAAACATGAAAAGTATCAATGTTCTACGAAAAAAGAACATCCAGTCTCTTTGGCTCTGTCACCTGAATGTCATTGTCAATGGGCAAGTGGAAGCCAAGGGCCTCTTAAGAATGCCATGGCAAGTAAGAAAAAGAGAAAGATGTTGTTCTTACGAACAAGTCTATAGAACAATGGGCTTAATCTCAGCAGATCGTACTCTACTGCTTACAATACCCCGTTCAATTAAAGTCGTCTGCAATGGATTTACCTCGTGCTATATTTGAAATTAACATTAGCAGGAATCTCACAAAGCCTTTCCGCTCTGCAAGATAATCCCACGTTCGTAAGATTCAGGACCGTCGGCCTATTCGTATTCAACTAAAAATGGCACAAGGCGGTAATCGTCGCGTTCTAGCACGGGTTCTGACTTAGAGGCGTTCAGCCATAACCCAACGGATGATAGCTTCGGGCCATTGCCTGCTCAGGCAGGCCCAAATACCAATTATCCGAATGAACGGTTCCTCCCGTACTAAGTTCAGTTACTATTGCAACAACGTTCCATCAGTAGGGTAAAACTAACCTGTCTCACGACGGTCTAGACCCAGCTCACGTTCTATTAATGGGTGGACAATCCAACGCTTACTGAATTCTGCTTCAGTATGATAGGAAGAGCCGACATCGAAGAATCAATCAACGTCGCTATAAACGTTTGGCTGCCTCAAGCTAGCTATCCTTGTGATTGGTGATCGAGCTATGTGATCTAAACGGTCTTTTCCACTTTCACAGAAACCTTGGAGCAAGCAGTGGCGCAACGCGTGGTCAAAGAGAGTCTAGGACAGTTCAACTGAGTCGAGGCGCCTTAAAAAATACAGTTTTGTATGCCAGATCATCCCTCGGAAAGGGGTCAGCGCATTTATTAAATATGGTGTGCGGGGCTGTGTCTCGTTGGCTGTTGGGCTGTCGGCTATTTACTATGGTCTTCTCTCCTTTCCTTGGAGAAGAAGATGAGAGGGTACACTACACGAGCAAGGAAGATGGCTATAGATAGACCATCAATTTCTTCGTCTTCATCTCTTTTCTCTTTTCCAGTTTCTAAATTTTCGCAAATCACCCACACGACCCCACACGACCTTTATTCATTCTTTTTTTGGTGTCCACACGCGCACACAATACCCCATCCTCTCTCGCCTGTCCAACAGCACACATTCCACATTATACACTCCAACTCAACAACTCCAGACAACGACAGCCCCCTCCCAAACTACACACACAACAACTTCGCAATGAGCTCACCTGCCCCTTCACCCACCATCGCCACCTCCACGATGAGTGTGCCCGCACCTCAAACCACCGGCCCCACCGGCCCCTCCAGCAACGTCACCTGGGTCTGCCAGGAGACCTTCCACGTCGATAACGCCACCTCGTGCTTGCGTTACCCCAAGGTCAAACGCTGTATCACCGAAGGCCAAGCCAGCAACCAGACGTTCCTCTGTGTCGACCACGACTCGATCTCGGTGGCTGGATCCGGCCCTGTGCCACTGCCCGCGGGTATTACACCCTTCATGTGCACCATGACCTTGTGTCCACAGGAAGCGCCCGCCAAGGAAAAGCCAACCCCGAGCAACAACGGCAACAATGGCAATAACGGCAGCGGCAGCGGCAACGGCAAGAGCGGCGCTATGAGACTGAAGAGTACAGAGACCGTTAAGTGGGCGGGCATCCTAGTGCTGGCAATGATGGTGGCGCCCATGGTGTTGGGTATGTAAAAGGAGGAGTACAGTGATGGAGCTAAAAAAATATAAATAATAAAATAGTACTGTACTTGTACTACATGGACTAACAAAACTTATTTCCAAAGACTTGACGCCCTTCTGGGGAGATTCATCCTCTCTCATTCTCCCTCACTTCGTATAGGGATGCTGCGACGCATCACATCGACTTGCCGTTCGGTTAGGCAGGGATCAGATGTAATTCCGCTGAAGGTGGCCGTTGCGCCCATCGCCGTAAACACCATTTTGGCGGTGTGCCTGTCTTCGGTTGAGTGTCTTGTCTTGGTCATGCCTTATCATTGTCTCTGATTTCCAGGGCTCACCAGTTGACCGCGGAGAGTATGGTACCAGGAACAAAGCTTTGCCAGGCAAAGATACGTAGCTTTTGACTTCATTCGGTGGTCTGGCGAAGGACTGAGGCGGCATGCTGGATATGGGGTCACCCTTTCGCTCCCATTTTGCCCAAAATAGGGAAGCGCTCCAAAGGCCCCTTGCCCACGTGATCCTGAGTGGGGTGCACAGCTTTACTCTGATATCCCTTCAACCGTTTTAGAATCGAAATTGGTTCCAATTTTTCTTTTTCAATTTATCAGGGTTTCTAATAAAACGGGTTGGGAAGGGTCTCGTGTCGTCTAATGAAAACAACGAGGGTTGTCGTTTCCCAGCTCGCCTCATTACCACCTTCGCTGTCAAATTCGACCTCTCATCATCTCCAAAGCCTCCGTTACTGTCTCCCTCACAAAGAAAACTTCGCCCAACCTGCTCATGGACCCAAGCTTCGAGTTCCTACGTTCCTTTGACGTTTCTAACGGTCAAGGTACTAGCACACTCACTTCCGAGGAGACAGAGGAGTTGTCGTTTTCGGTCATTTGCCGAACTCGAGAGATTGCCGGTGAGGATGATTCCGATGATGAAGAGCGACCACCAGAAAGAGAGCAACCGGCGGGAGAGGAGGTGTCCCCTGCACCCTTAGCTCTCGCGAAAGCGAAGAGGGCTGTCAAGAAAGCGAAGAGGGCTGTCAAGAAAGTCACCCGCGAACCCACAGAACTCCCAGCCGTCCCTGACTTCAAGGACGTCTTCAAACACCAAAAAACAGTATGCTCAGCACAAACCAACCTTCCCCTTGCACTTCAACTCGACAGCGAACTATCACCATTGACAATTTTCACACTCTTCTTCTCCGACCCGGTATTGACGGATTTGGCAGACAACACTAACGCATATGCAGCATCAAAAGGAGCCGGCACAGGAGAGGGATCGCGCCAATGGGTAAAGACCACACCTGACGAACTGCGCACATTCCTCGGCATCATTGTCTACATGGGCGTGTTCAGGCAGAACTCTGTCTCTGAGTATTGGTCAACCTTCCCTGAATGTCCTCAACACAACATCACTAACTTCATGTCCCTCGTCCGCTTCGAACAACCGAAGCGTTTTTTTCGTGTCTCCAACCCCAACGAGCCTGAGCAACATTGGTTCTCAAAAGTAGAACCTCTTTCGACCAAACTCGCTACCGACTTCGCTCGTTACTACGTTCTCTCCACCAATGTGTCCATCGACGAGATGATTGTTCGCTTTTCAGGAAGGAGTGCTCACACCGTACGCATGAAGGGTAAGCCTACCCCCGGAAGGCTACAAGATTCTCGCTCTTTGTCAATCAGGATACACCTATTCCTTCCTCTACACCTCTCGCATCAAATCCATCATTGGCATAGACAGGATAAACGGGCTTACTCCAACCTCTTCCGCTGTTGTTCGTCTCGCCAAATCACTCCCCTACAAGACTCGTCCATTAAACATCTACATGGACAACTATTTTTCCAACATCCCGCTTTTCAAGCACCTACGTGGACTCAGCATCGGCGCTTGTGGTACCACCCGCATCAACTCAGCCTGCTTCCCTGACACTTTGAAAGTGGGTAAGAGTGAGAAACTACAATGGAATACCCTGACAGGAGTTGTTATCGACAAACAGGTTCTTGCCGTCGTTTGGATGGATAATGCATCCGTCACCATGCTGAGTACCATCCACAAAATCAACACGGATGATGACTTCATTGAGCGTATTCGACGCTGCCCTCGCAACACTAGCACTAACACAGCCAATGCTCGGGCAATATTCAATGGCAAGCCCAGAGCGGCACTCAGAATCCCCAAGTTGATTGATGACTACAACCACAACATGAATGGCGTCGATGTCAGTAACCAGTTCAGGGCATATTACAGCACCCAATTAACCGTGTTCAGGACATGGATGCCTATCTTTTTTTGAATTCTCGACACCACCATCATCAACGCCTATCGAATCTATGTCGTCCAAAAAGGATCCCTTTCCCACAAAACTTCTGTCTCAAGTTGGCATGGGATTTGATCAGGAAGGGAGCAGAAAGCAAACAGCACATGTACTACAGCAAAAAACGGACACGAGTTCACAGAGCCACCAAACCAAAACCAACCAAGAAGATATATGTTACCAAAAATTGCTCTGATCTGCCCACCATCCGTTTCACCCCAAGACCCCACTCACCCATAATTCTCGACCAAAAATCCAACTGCTTTTCTGTCGCTTCAGAGCCACTGTCTTCGACGACAAAAACCACGATAGGAAAACTCAAACGGTCATAACCTGTGAGATCTGCAATGTTGCCTTGTGTATGTCAAAGGCCCGCAATTGCTTCAGAGAATTCCATAAATCGTAGTTGTAGTTGACACCATAACCAGTAATGAGAAGCACAAAAAATAAAGGCCCCTAATGCCTAAACACCCCTTTTTAGATTGTTAACATATGGCGGTGCATGTGACTAGCACGAATTTTTTGAATGTGTGAACGGTTAAAAAAATAAAAAAAGGACCGCCTGTCGCGTCGCGTCGCTGGGGAGCAAATAAAATGTCCTTGGGCTGCCTTTTCCCACTCCAACACCTTTGCCAAGTTCGCTCATGGAATCCTAAGTGGACATCGTTGATCAGGACAGAGATCCAAACCAGAGCTACACCTAGTCTTCTGTAAGTGCATCGCTCTCCGTCTATTGGCGTCAGCTTGGATGACCAATCAATACCAGGACCTCGCTAACCCCATGGCCGACTTTACCTCATTCTGTCAACAAATCAACTGCTCACGCGCCAGAAACCTTGCCACAGTAAGCTGACTTTTTGTGATTGGCAGCCAACTTCCCACCCTTTAAACCATAAGGAATGTACTGACGTCATTGTCAACAAACAAAAAAACCAATTAGACTCAATCGACCAACTTCTGACATCCAATCACTGCGACCTCCACCCCACCCCTCCACACACACACACACACACACACACACGCACACGCACACATCCGCACGGCTCACGCCCCTGCTTCATTAAGGTATTATCACGTTTCAAATCCGCCGACATTGTCCGCCCAATGTGGTGTTTGTTTCCATCTTCTGATGAGCTTTTCTTCATTCTTTCCTTTACAGTCAGTCATGGGCGTCAACGGACTCCCAGGAGAGATAAAGAACGCGACGGGCATTGCGCCGGCGAAAATGAACGGCAAGGAATTTCACGTCGACATGAACGGTACCTACTACGGGTTGATGAAGGCGCGAGCCTACTCTGTCGTACAAAAGTACACGACCACGCTGACGCGCAACACCGAGCCCGCCAACCTGCACATGCCACAGATGGAGGATGCGCCAGAGCGACCCGAGTCGACAGACTCTGCCTCTCCAGACCCGAACGATGCCCAGGCGGACCTTCTGAGACGTGCGAACATGCTCTTTGGTCTCAAAGATAAGCTTGCTATGGTGACGAGTGGACCCAACAGCCCCGACTCTGTCGTCGTTGACAAAGATGGGATGTTACAGGATGGCACGGACCAACAGAGAGTTATGGTAATGAATCTTCTTGAGGACTGAATGCGGGATTTAGCATGGGTCCACTGGTGATTATTTACTTGATTAGTTAATTATCATTTGCTATGTCGTCGTTTGCTTGAAATAGTTCTTCGGTCACATTGCAGATGAACTGTACAGGAAGCTTTCTCAGTTCTGTACTCCCGAAGACGAATCTGTCACCCTTCACTTCGATGGAGAGCCATCCATTCAGAAACAGGCGGAGCACCGAGCTCGCGACGACAAGCTGCGTAAGGGCACCGACGCACTTCACCAAGCAATCGAACAAGCACGTGTAGTGGGTGGATCTCGTCGAAAGGCTGCTTACAAACGGTGCAGGAATCTCTACAAGCCAACAACCGTAATTCAAGGAGAAGTTATAGCGGAGTTGATCAAAAAGTACGACTGCCATGTATGCCTTTGCCGCTTTCAGTCGGATACTTGCATTGCCAAGCTTTGTGCCCAGTCTCTGAATCCCCAGGACATCATTGTTGTCTCCGGTGATTCGGACTTGATTTGTTTCGGGGCTGTGCCGAGAGTGTTGTATCCGATCGGCAAGTCAAGAGAGCTCACTCTTTTCGAAAAGGATGCGATTTTGGAGGTCCTCGATTTGCCTTCGGAGCGGCATTTACTACTCGCGGCTGTTGTGACGGGCAACGACTACACCCGGGGAGTGCCATATTTCGGGATCAAGAAGATCTGCGAGATTATTCGGGAAATGGAGCTACCCGGCTCTGACGTCGAATCGTTTCATTGGTACGTCCACGAGTTTCTCGTTCGAGTGCGACACCAGCTTCTTTCCGAGAGAGTCCCTCGGAAGAAACGAAAACGAATCGACTCGCAGCTATCGGTTACGGTTGACGACTTCGAGCATGCTTTATCTGCCTTTGTGGGCGTCCAGGAAGATGCCGTATCCTCCGTTGATCAGAACCCACACCCTCAGCCTTTTACCAGTCAACAGCACACATCGATTGAGCAGGGAGGGCAGCGAGACTGTAATGCGCACGAGATTGTCATGAGGGCACTGCTCGATCTTGAGTACCAGAAGGTTGCAGAGGCTCAGGAACGTGCGGCAATGGGATTCACACCACCGATGGAGGACAAGAAGCCGGCTCCCAAAACGAATGTAAATCGGACCAGGACAGCGAAAACGCAGCGAGCTCGCCGGGAGGCAGCGAAAAGGAACAGGAAACGTAAAAAATGGAGGAAATCCAGGTAAGACAATATCACATTGACGTCTCCGGGTTTGCACAAGTTATGGAAATGTTTCTAAGTCTCTCTAATTATTATTTTTTGTGGTTAATTAGGTTCAAGTCTCGCACTGACAATCAGGTTCGGTACTCTCCCCACAGAGTCAGTGATCCGTCGACAGCCACCCCTGTTTCTGATAATCAACTGTCGACAATGTCCCCGTCACAACCAAAAAAGCGACCCGTCGACAAGCAGCCCAAGGCTGTTGAAGATTCGCCTTCAGCATCCTCGTCATCGTCGACAGACCGCTCGTCGAAGAACAAAAGACGGAAGGCGTCATCCAAGAAAAAACTCGCGAGACCACGCGACATCGATGCAACCCCAACAGCACCAAAACTTAAGGACGCTTTCAAGTTTGCTTTTCCGACGATAACCCAGACAGTTGGTTCCTTGAAAGGATGCCTGCGCCGTAGCCTTCGACCCCTCGGGATCTCTGATGACCAAGTCGACACCATTGCGAGCCGCCTGGAGAAGGCTACGAGCCTGATCAATGAAGCTCGTCCCCACGTGTTCAGGATGATACAGCTGTTTTTACTGGAAGAAGTCACAACAGTGTTTAGCCCGCAAGGAGCCTCAGGGGAGACGAATGTCGATCTGCTAGACCTGGTGATGAACAAGGCTTCCGGTCAGATGTTCATCCGTGGATTAATGTCGTTGGCCTTGAATGGAAAGATTGTTGAGAAAAAGTGCAAGAAGTCCGAGTCCATCCGTGCTCGAGAGCTCGCACAGAGGCCGATACAAGACGATCATTCCCCACTTTTCGCCCATTAACACTACCGACATCCCCCTGGGCGACATACAGATGGAGTTTGGACTTGCCACGATGGTATGTCTCCACACACACTTCAGAAAGCTACCGTCTACTGTCACTAGAAAGGTATTTATTTCTTTCTTGTTCGAGTTATGTTTGATGCAATGTCAAAATGGTTTTCGTACTCTAACAATGTCTTACCCGCGCTTTTGTGTAGATGGTAAAACTGGGATGGAGCAAAGACATCATACCTCTCGTTGACGGAGACGTGCCTCCTGAAGCCCAACGACAGCAGGACGACGACGCTCTAGACGAATCCCCAACGACTGAGCCCCTGGGATCAGACGAATATGCGGCCGACGACGACGGATGCTACAAGTTCAAGGCGGGCTTTCTCAGGGATTGGTGGGACCACTTACTCTCGCTACCTGCAGAGAAGCGACCTGTGTTCTGTCCTCAGCCGAAGCTTCGGGATGCGTTTGTGATGATACCGGAGCGAGCAGTGTGGAGAATTCTATGGGGAGGAACTGCGAGGAACAATCCAGCCAAGACGATCGTGGAGACGATTTTGAGTCGCGCGGAGGCGTCGGATTGTGTTGATTCGGACTATGGAAAAGTGCTTGAGACGCTTTTCTATGGGCGAAGAAGACCCGTTGGCCACGACAACGACGGAGGACCAGACCTGAGACGGACACCCTACGCAAAACGGACGACAAGAATGGCAGAACTTGCGGAAGGTGATCCTTCTAGGTTTGGTTATCGGTCATTGCAGGACTACTGTAACAGGAAGCTGGCCTACCTTCGAGCTGCTGCGAACTGTCGGGATGAAGGAGTACCATGTACGCAATCACCGCCAGAGTTTCCCGCCAACCCCAGTACAAAATCACGCTATGCTTTGAACAATATGATTCGAAGTAACGGCTTGGAGCTGCAGGTCCTCGCCTACGACACCAAACACGAGCCACATGGAGCCCTGGATCCAGTCATGCGTATCGAAAAAGTCTTGCCTGATGAGGACGCTTTCGCCAGGATATTCCAGGGAAAAATACCACAATGTCGCGGGTGGGACCCTGGGGAGTTGGTGACGGCGGCTTTATGTCTGATCGAGCACGAACGTGAGTGGAATGGAGCACCAGACCCTGGGGATCCACCTGTGACCAACCTAATGATACGTCGAGCAGCTTTATACTCTCCCACCACTGCAGCGCGATCCGAAAGAGAGAGAGTCAAAAACAGGAAGCTTCAAGTGGTGCCGGGCGAGAGTATCGATGGAGGAATTTGGGCGAGGGGTGTCGATCCAAAGGGAGCCAGGACAGACGTACAGTCCATCCAGGAGATCGAAAGTAGTTTGCCCCCAAAAGGCCAAGTAACAGTGGAGGATTTCGAGGATGCTGTTCGTGTCAGAGTGTCTACGGAGCCCTTGCTTCGGGAGTTTGAAGGCTCACTACGCATGAAAAAAGCCGCCTGGGAGGAGAAGAAAGCCGTTCGTGCCGAACTGGATATGGCTGTGGCTGCAATCCTGCGCTTTTGTGGACCGGAGCCGTGTCTTATTGCTATTGGCAACGGCAAGTTTCGAACGGGGATAAACTTGGCTTCCAAGCATGAGACATTACAGAGTCATTTTGCCAAGAAGGTACCGTCATTATGCCGCGACAAACAATTATTTACTTGCTCAATTGTCAACGTTATGCTATGGGACCATTCAATAACCGTCAATCTTCTATCTAACGTAGGCGCGAGCACATGGCCACATTGTCGTTTTGGTTGATGAATATCTGTCCTCGACCGTTTGCCCAGCTTGCACTGCCCGAGGAGAGACCTCCAGGATGGCAAAGCCGACTTCAAGATCTTGTGTCTGCCTCGCCTGTGGTCGATGGATCAACAGGGACTCGGTTGGAGCTCACAACATTGTACTGATCGCTGAGCAATGGCTTTTCGATCAGTCTCGACCGATCTCTCTCCTTCGGCCCAGCGTTTAACCTTCACAATTGTAAAGACCCCGAACAGGTCTTACCAAGTTATCCTTGTGACTGGCAACGGTCGAAGGGATAAAAGATTGCACAACCCCTCTACCATTCGCTCTTCTTCATCTCCCTTTGCAGCCCTCCTCCCACATCCGCTCCTCTGCATTGCTGAGAAAAACGACAGCATGTTAGGCAACAAAAGACAAGCCAGATAAAGACACGCATCTCAAGTGCGCACTCGTTTTTTGAGGATGCGCGTGCTCCTGCATTCAAAACATCCGATGTTCAGTCATCTCATCGTTCTCGCATTCTCTTCCTTCATGACTTCTGTTGTAGTGACAATCCGCCTAGTGAAGAGACCCAGTGCACACCTCGCAAGCGCCCTTCTAAAACTCCCAACACTCCTGGAACTCCCCGCAGGACTAGTAAGGTAAGGCACATGTCGATACAGGAGTTAGGAGTTAGTTGTCGTCGCGCTTGCTGACATTCTGATCCTCAACATCGTATAGCTCAATGACATACCCGCAGGGCTGTTCTCCTTTAACACCAACATGTCCGTCGCGTCGTCCCCAGGAAGGAGCAATCCAGTGAGTGCATACTGATGATTGGCGTGACAGCAATCATTCTGCTTTCCAAGCACATTCCTAACGAACCTCTCGACCTTTTGTATTTTTCTCTGCTTAGGGTACTCCGCAAAGAGCTACTGAAGCCCCGCCCGTCTTGACTGGAGCGCATTCCACACCAGCGGTGTCAATATCCTCGCAGCTCGCCATGGACTTCACCGCTCTAGAAGAATCCTTGGCAAACCCTTTTTGAGTGCCTGGGCAAGAATGTCAGTCAGGACAAGATGCACACCTTTCGCTGCATTCCTGTTTCACGAGACTACAGGATATCGACTCACCTGGACATTTTCGTGGACCCACAACACCACTTGCATATGAAACTGTACCGTCGCCGCTTGCGCGAGCAGTGACATCGCCTGTGCACTTTTCTTCGCCACTTCAGCGGATAGTGTCGTTGCCAGCTCAGTTTTACTCCTCAGATTCGGACGCGTCTTCGGATGATTATGATTCCACGCCGAAAAAGCCCGTCTCCACGCCCACCAAGCGAATGTCAACACCGAGGAGGGCTGATTGCACCCCAACGCTATGTGTTTCGACGCCAGCATCGCCAGACCATGGCCTCAGTCAGATTGAGTCAACAGCGTATGGATGAGGCCAAGGCTGCTTTGGCGCAGGGATTGGCATTGTGGTTGGGATGGGTCGTTTGTCTCCAAGTCGCCCTTGCCGTTTCTATCGTCGCCATCACAAGTTGTGCACCAGATACATATACCATCAGTTCAAGAGAACGACGACGACATTAACGACAACGCTGTAAGTTTAATATAACGAACGACTTGGTTGTCATTTGTATAGTAGCATTTTTAATCATCCTTCGCATGTTGTTTAGGCACGCTATATCTATTTATTTTATTATTATTATTATTATTATTACTGTTATTATTTTCTTAGGCCTCCCTACTTATTTTGCGGTCAAACGCCGTCTACACTTGCAGACAAGTTTTCCGCTGCATACCAAAGGAGGAGCAACTGGAGGTTTTGTATAACATTGAAGCAAAGAGCGATTGTGTCTTAATCGCTCCCTGCGGCTGGGGCAAGACCTTAGCGTTTTTTCTGCCAATGGCGCTCTGGCCTCGCTCCGTGACCGTCGTCATCTGGCCACTAATATCTTTGATGGAGGATCAACAGCAGGTAGCTTTCAAGCAATTTTGTTTGTACATACTTCAATAAAAATGTCCTTGTTACACGACTGACCTCTGTCTTTGTATCTTGCCCTACAACTTTACAGAAGCTGGCCACAGCCAGCATACCCTACATCGTTCTAACTGGCGCCAATTCGGATACCATTAACAAGGGTACGATTCAACGCGTACTAAATGGCGAGTACAGGGCTGTGTACTTCACCCCCGAGATCATTTTCAGCGGCGGCAAAGCGGATTTGCTTCAAGACCTTTGGCGGAACGAGCAGTGGCGAATATTGTTGGTCGCAATAGTGATCGACGAAGTGCACTGCGTCGATAAATGGGGCAAGTTTCGCGAGGACTATACACGCCTGGGTGATCTGCGTGTCTGGGCACCTGGAGTACCATTTGTAGGGCTAATAGCGACTCTCTCAGCGGACGCGATCCTACAAACTAAGGCGAAGCTTTTTTTGTCCAAGGCGACGATGATACGCGTGAACGAGGTTCGCACGAACGTGCGTCTCGAGGTGCACACTCAGCCCAAGGATGCCATGAAAGGCCTCCAGAGTCTTTTGCACAAAGAGAAGACCGTCGTTTACTTTGAGACGATCGCTGTTCTCATCCGTGTTTTCAAGTGTCTGCAGAGGATAAGGCCCGACCTGCGAGGAAGACTCGGCTTGTACTTCTCAACACTAGATGAACAGTACAAGAGGACAACCATGAAAAAATTCGTGGATGGGGATATCTTGATCCTGCTGGCTACCGAGGCTGCAGGCATGGGTGTCGACATACAGGATGTTGTTCAAGTAATTCAGTACGGGTAAGTTCATGGAAATTGGGCAATCAGAAGGATACGTGTAACCTTCTCTAAAATATCTTGATATGCACCTATTTATCATGTAGTTTTCCAAGGGACATGACGAGCTTGGTACAGCGGTTTGGCCGTGCAGCACGACGCAAGGATATCGACGGCCGTGCGATTCTCTACGCCCCGCCATTCTCACACAAGACTGTCTCAAATGCACAAGTCCGCCAGTACCTCATGGGCCACCACAGTAAAAAATGTCTTTGGAGGTTTATCGATGACTTGTTTGGCAACGAGACTCGTGTCTGCAACAACAACTGTTCAGCATGCCATACTGTTAATCGTCTCCGTCCACACCCTAGTCGCATTGTCGCCAAACCGGTCATCAGAGGAAGATGGCCGAAGCGCTCGAAGGAGGAAAAGGCTCTGGCTTTACGGGAGCTGCTGTCATGGAGGGAGGTCGCCTTCAAGAAGTGGCAGGCAACACAACGTTACGCCAACGGCGCAGAAACCGGGATCCTGCCGAATACGATCGCAAAGAAGCTCTCGCAACAATTCTCCCGGGTCAGAAGTGCTGAAGCAGTCGCAACCTTTGCATCTTCTTCCAACTGGTTTCCTCGTGGAAACCCTCGGGGTTGGTTCGTCGAGATCGCGGAACTGCTGGCTAATTTTAACAAGGAAATCGATGATGGTCTTGTACCGAGTAGCCAACTGATAGCGGCGTTGGCTCCAGACCTATCAAACGACGGCTCTGAGGACGATGACGATGGAAGCGACGATGAGGAGGATAAATAATTATGTCCGTGTGGTGTTATCAAGTGCCTCTTCTCTTTTCGCCATTTCCTCATCCTTTCCTCCTCCCTTCGTTTTTACTTCCGCTATTCCTTACACTCTTCTATCCTTTGTTTCTTCAGGCATTCTTTTTATTAATATTATTTTCATTCAGTTATTCAGAGCAGTACAACAGCAACAACAAAATCATGTTCAAACTAGTCTCGAATCCATCCCTTCACTCTACGTGTCTTCACCATGTCTTGCTTGATATCTCGCTAGCGAATGATCACTGCAGCCTTTGCCCTTCTTCCATCTTATTCTCTAACCCTCTTTATCTGCTTCTCTCTCTTTGTCCCCCCTTCTCTCTTTCTCTGTCTCTGTGTGTCTATCTGTAACTCCCTCCTTAGCCGCAGAAAAGCAAATGCTTGGACAATGCTTGGACAATGCTTGGACAATGCTTGGACAATACTTGGACAATGCTTGGATAATGCTTGAACAATGCAAAAAAAAAGCACTGATGGCAATGCACTTGTTTGGGCACTAATGTCCCACATCATGGATAATGTGTATCCAATACAAGCGCAAAATCACAGTGGGGTGACCCACGCATAATGCCACAAAAAAAAAGACAGCAAACGCAGTGTGAAGCACATAAATATGGGGTAAGAGGAACTTCCTCATTCTCACAGTTCTCCTCATCCAATTTCAATTTTTCACAGCACAGAATGACCACCAAAAGCACCGAATTCGTCACTACTGTGGGAGAGAGTATTATAGTGACCTTCTCTCCCCCATATCAATGCATCTGTGGATCCAAACAGTCGTCAAAGGCAAATTTACACCGCCATATTCACAGCAAGGCGAATAGACGCCCATGTGCAAAGATCGAGACGATGTTGAGAGATAAGCTCCAAACCACAGATACAATTGAAGACGAACACTTCTCTGCCAGGATGGTACCTGCTTCAGTCTCGGTACAATATGATGTCTATGAAGAATCATGAGTCTTGGCTTGCCAGTGATGCTGAAAATCCTGTAGACATCTAACCTTCTCTATACTTTTTATTCGCATTTTAGTCTCCCGCTATCACAGGCTCTGAAGGTGCTTCTTCAGCTCCCTCGGGTCCCTCTACTTCCCTTATTCTCAGCAGCACCACCACTCAGGAGCATCAGTCCATCACTTCTCGTTTGGATAATTTAGTCACGCGGGATCAGCATTATCAGTCCCTCGACCTTATAATGAATCGTCTTGCACATTTGGAGACTATGGTTACGGGAATGCAGGACGGCGTGTCGAGGAATCCAGAATGGACAGAGAGGATTAGCGTTCGTGAACGACGGAAGTATGGAACAGTGTCCCCCTACTCACGCAATACGGCGTCCCCCTCGCCCCAGAGGTTGCTCCGCCGTTCGTCCAGTCCCGCCAGTTCTTCTGATCACTGCAGTTGTTTAAGCTTTTTTGACGTACAGACAAGCACGCCAAGAATTGGCCCAAGAGGAGAACGAGCTCTGACGGAAGAGACAGAAGGATGGCTAGGATGTCGATATCCTGATGCTTTGCATAGGAGACCATTCAGATCCAAAATATAGCGTAACATTTCTCTCATCTCTGTCCGTCGCGGTAAGATCAACCATGACCATCAGACAAGAGTATTTGTATAACGGCAATCACGTACGCTAACCATTGTAATATTCCGGGCGTAATAATCCTACCAATCACCGCCAACTTTTCCAAACAGAAATGTACCATAGTTTTTTGCATAGATCTCTCCTGAATGTACATGTTCATCACCAGACCGCATCCTTCGCATCGAAATTAAGGGCATTAGTTCTTGTCGATGATACTCCAAAACTTGTTCTGACTATGTTGCATCTTTGCCATGAAATGCAAATAAGAGACTAGTTTTTAAAAAATCGCATCTTGCTTGGTGCCTATTTATATTGTATCTCTCTTGCAAATTCGGATTGTATACGTCAACTCGAATGGTACACATGTCGTTGACAGAGAGTTGGATGTTTTAAAAAACCATTTCCGTGTGACGTGTACGTGAAAAATCGCCATAATAAGACTGACTCTATACCATTTCTGTTCTACTACCATAGCTCTACAACGACGGTGTGCTCACTTGATTCTAGGCGAGAGGGCGAAGGTGAGAAAGAAGCAGCTAGAACGACTAGAAATGAGGCATTCAATGCTTCTCATTTTTTATTATTTTTCTTCGACAGAACTGTAATATGAACAGCTGGGGAGAGGAAGAAGGTGAGAAAGAAGCTGGGGATATATATAATACTACTACCCTTAATAGAGAATGAGGAGTGAGTGGACAGGCACTGAAATGCAACGAGAACTATGGTGGATATCTAGGTGTGGTTATGAACTGCTGCTACCTTAGTATGACCTTTATCACAATTACTATTGCCTCTCCCTATAGTTAATAATGCAGGTCTGCGGCTGTATGCAACACCTCCGACAACAACAACTCAATGGCCTATAGAGTGCTGATATGCGTTCGCTATTCAGGTAGATAATAAACACAATTCAGAACGAACACGCTACTCTACTAATGTTCTCATCGATGATAGAGGTTCTTACAGCCCTGTGCAGACATCCAAAAGAAGGGATGGATCCGAGACTAGTTTATATCTTGATCGATAACATTTTCAAGACCCTCTGCTTCCTCTATGTCCACAGCATTCCCCCACAGGGACGTATGATTTTCAAAAAATCTTCCTATAGCGCCTCCGACCATCTTCTCCTCGGCGACACACTGAAGATCAACTACCGGTGGTCCTTGCTCGCACTCGCCGGACGTCCATAAAATGCCACAGCCCTTGAAGTTCTGGATTCTCGAAATATCCAATGCAGTCGACGGCTTCTTGTGTCTAGTGCTGTTGGAACGAACGCCGACATCTCGCTCGAACATCCGCGAAATGGCCTGAAAGGTTTTGATGTTGGCGGAAATGGCATCCTGGAGGTATTCCCAACTCATATTCGAGCCTTTAGCTGAAAAGATGGCTTTGATGAGATAGTTATGGTTTTCCTGCATCATGTCCGTCGCCATCCATCCACCAGCAACGCCTTTCGGATTCACCAGCATACTCGACAGAACCCTTCTCGCCCATTCATCTGTCCACAGATGGCGAATGCCATAGAGGAGGCGTAAAAGCTCGAGGGCATAATTGGTGTTACCACCCCCATGCATCATTAAAGCGAGGAGCGGCAGCACTTGCTTGATGCGGCCAACATCGCCAGCTATGATGGCCGCGCCAAGCTCAATGTAGACGGCCACATCGCGCAGGAAAAGAAGAGCGTTGGTGTTGGCGGTAGTACACGGAAGGCCAAGCAGCGATGGCGAAGGTTAGGAGCAACATGACTTGGTGATAATTTCTGTGACGTTCTGAACAGCCAGCTCGTCCGATACAGCATGATCCCGCAGAGACTGATAGAGCAGCTGCACCTTCGCATCAAAACTTATCCGCAAGAGCTCATCGACGGCGTGAAACACGAGCTTGTCCTTGCTTAAATGCTTGCGGTTCAGCAGACATGCAATCGATGCCAAGGTCCCAGGGGACTCTTTGGAGCCAAGGTGTGTCCTCCAAATGGTACCGCACAAATTCATCTCCAAATGAAAAAGTTGGAGAACAGGATGTACCTGTCAAGGTTGAGGGATAAGTTTAGTTGTCGAAGAGATATATTTTTAAAGGGGCCATGCCCTGAGTAGCAAAAAGCAACTTCTTTCCGCTTCATACCACATTTCATTCACTTTGACTTTCACTTACCCACGACAGGCTGTGGTAAGGATCGGTGGACCTTGAGCGTCAGCAGCCTTGACACTGTCATCTGATCCCCAGCGACAATTGTGTTCTTGGGGTCGGCAAACCAAATTTTCGGCAAATTGAGATTGACCTCCGTAATTCTCTGCATCACTGACAAGTTTCCTGCAATGGTGGACTCGTCCAGTTTCATAACTGGAAGTGGGAAGACAATACTCTTGACGAGGTCTAGTTGCTCGACAGGAACAACAGGAATGGCGGACGTTGTTGATCCTTCGGTAACGAGCGCACAATGGAGTCCGAAACATGTGATTGGCAAGTATTGAAAAAAGCCTCAAGGTCGCCGTCGTTAGGGAAAAAAAGGTTGGCATCTGCATCCGGTCTCTCCTCCACTGGACGAAAGAGAGTAGGTGCGGACTTGTTCATGTCCGAGGGTGAAAGGATGACGGTGGCAGCAGTGCCGTTGTCGAAAGTATCCCGTTTGTAGGCCCACTGGTGATGATGCTTGGTGGCAATATTGATATTATCGTAAACGACATAAAAGTCGTTGTCCTGGACTGCCTGTATGACACGCCTGCACGCATCCTTGGTCAGCGACATGAGGCAGTTGCGAACTTGACTGTACGAGATCGAAAGCCCAAGGCCAGAGAGGACCTCAAGGACTCTCCTCGGACACCTGGTGCAATGCAGAAAGATGCCAAGGATTGTCTGGAAAGCGTTGGCTTTTTGAGACGACATAAAGAGCAGCATCGCTGAAATGCAGCCGCGGACTGGTGATGGCTTCCGAGCACAGCGACGCCTCAGCGCCCTCCTTGTGAGGTTTTGGACAGGCACATCCTCCTTGAGTATGCCCTTCAAGAAACGTATCAAGTACTTTGCGCCACTATTATTGCCACTAGTGTTGAGCCCTCCATCCGCATGCGCCTTGCCATCCGCCATTCCATCGTTCTTGTCGTCTGCCGTCCCAGCGGCGTAGCGATGGAGGAAACCAAAGTCGTCGAGCAAGTAGCCGGCAACCTTCTCCTCTGTGACATTGGTGTGTGGAAGCCGCCATTCTTTTTTGACATCATTGTCATCCAGATGCCTGAGAGTACGGTCGACAATAACATCGACGGCGCTATTTACAAACGATTCGTCCCACCGCTCGTGCTTTTTGTCGTCTCGGAGCCGCTCGTCCCAGACCTGTATAAGTCGCCGTGGACCATGTACCTCGTAGAACGGATTGGTGTAGTCTGTAGCTGTCCTGTCATCAGACTTGAACAACTCCACAAGGAATTTAGGCAGGGACAAGTCCTCTGCTTTAATGCATTCCAGAACCTTACGAAGTTTGTCTGACATATAGGCCTAGAAATTGTACATCCAGCTGTTAGAAGCCAAGGCAATGAATACTGTAGCTCATTTCATTTTCATCAAAGTCAATGCATTTTAAATGTCGAGACGGCTGCTTACACGTTTTTTGCCGCCGGAAGGTGACATCAGCGCAGTTGGCTCAGATCCTTGGCTCTCTGTCGAAGAGGAATTGGGTACCTAAGTGGCAATCAGATGTACAACGACATGGAGATGAATGATGAGTTCTTGACTACATCGGGTTCTCGCCAGAGAGCATAAACATGTAACACACTATGTCTCTTACCTCCTTCATCGAGGCGAGTCGTTGTCGCTCCATCGCGGTTGCCCTAGCAATGCCTAACTGTTTTGAGTAATACATGTTAGCAAAGTGCACAATTCATGAATAGGTCTGATCTTTGTCAACAGGTAGCGCTTGACAACCTACATGTTTGGCTGGCGAAGCAGGTACACTTTCGATGAACGCGCGAATACTTATGCCTTGCTCCAAGGGTGGTCTGGCCATATTGACTGCCAAGGATTCTTCTAGAGCGGTGAAGTCCATGGCGAGCTGCGAGGATATTGACACCGCTGGTGTGGAATGCGCTCCAGTCAAGACGGGCGGGGCTTCAGTAGCTCTTTGCGGAGTACCCTAAGCAGAGAAAAATACAAAAGGTCGAGAGGTTCGTTAGGAATGTGCTTGGAAAGCAGAATGATTGCTGTCACGCCAATCATCAGTATGCACTCACTGGATTGCTCCTTCCTGGGGACGACGCGACGGACATGTTGGTGTTAAAGGAGAACAGCCCTGCGGGTATGTCATTGAGCTATACGATGTTGAGGATCAGAATGTCAGCAAGCGCGACGACAACTAACTCCTAACTCCTGTATCGACATGTGCCTTACCTTACTAGTCCTGCGGGGAGTTCCAGGAGTGTTGGGAGTTTTAGAAGGGCGCTTGCGAGGTGTGCACTGGGTCTCTTCACTAGGCGGATTGTCACTACAACAGAAGTCATGAAGGAAGAGAATGCGAGAACGATGAGATGACTGAACATCGGATGTTTTGAATGCAGGAGCACGCGCATCCTCAAAAAACGAGTGCGCACTTGAGATGCGTGTCTTTATCTGGCTTGTCTTTTGTTGCCTAACATGCTGTCGTTTTTCTCAGCAATGCAGAGGAGCGGATGTGGGAGGAGGGCTGCAAAGGGAGATGAAGAAGAGCGAATGGTAGAGGGGTTGTGCAATCTTTTATCCCTTCGACCGTTGCCAGTCACAAGGATAACTTGGTAAGACCTGTTCGGGGTCTTTACAATTGTGAAGGTTAAACGCTGGGCCGAAGGAGAGAGATCGGTCGAGACTGATCGAAAAGCCATTGCTCAGCGATCAGTGCAATGTTGTGAGCTCCAACCGAGTCCCTGTTGATCCATCGACCACAGGCGAGGCAGACACAAGATCTTGAAGTCGGCTTTGCCATCCTGGAGGTCTCTCCTCGGGCAGTGCAAGCTGGGCAAACGGTCGAGGACAGATATTCATCAACCAAAACGACAATGTGGCCATGTGCTCGCGCCTACGTTAGATAGAAGATTGACGGTTATTGAATGGTCCCATAGCATAACGTTGACAATTGAGCAAGTAAATAATTGTTTGTCGCGGCATAATGACGGTACCTTCTTGGCAAAATGACTCTGTAATGTCTCATGCTTGGAAGCCAAGTTTATCCCCGTTCGAAACTTGCCGTTGCCAATAGCAATAAGACACGGCTCCGGTCCACAAAAGCGCAGGATTGCAGCCACAGCCATATCCAGTTCGGCACGAACGGCTTTCTTCTCCTCCCAGGCGGCTTTTTTCATGCGTAGTGAGCCTTCAAACTCCCGAAGCAAGGGCTCCGTAGACACTCTGACACGAACAGCATCCTCGAAATCCTCCACTGTTACTTGGCCTTTTGGGGGCAAACTACTTTCGATCTCCTGGATGGACTGTACGTCTGTCCTGGCTCCCTTTGGATCGACACCCCTCGCCCAAATTCCTCCATCGATACTCTCGCCCGGCACCACTTGAAGCTTCCTGTTTTTGACTCTCTCTCTTTCGGATCGCGCTGCAGTGGTGGGAGAGTATAAAGCTGCTCGACGTATCATTAGGTTGGTCACAGGTGGATCCCCAGGGTCTGGTGCTCCATTCCACTCACGTTCGTGCTCGATCAGACATAAAGCCGCCGTCACCAACTCCCCAGGGTCCCACCCGCGACATTGTGGTATTTTTCCCTGGAATATCCTGGCGAAAGCGTCCTCATCAGGCAAGACTTTTTCGATACGCATGACTGGATCCAGGGCTCCATGTGGCTCGTGTTTGGTGTCGTAGGCGAGGACCTGCAGCTCCAAGCCGTTACTTCGAATCATATTGTTCAAAGCATAGCGTGATTTTGTACTGGGGTTGGCGGGAAACTCTGGCGGTGATTGCGTACATGGTACTCCTTCATCCCGACAGTTCGCAGCAGCTCGAAGGTAGGCCAGCTTCCTGTTACAGTAGTCCTGCAATGACCGATAACCAAACCTAGAAGGATCACCTTCCGCAAGTTCTGCCATTCTTGTCCTCCGTTTTGCGTAGGGTGTCCGTCTCAGGTCTGGTCCTCCGTCGTTGTCGTGGCCAACGGGTCTTCTTCGCCCATAGAAAAGCGTCTCAAGCACTTTTCCATAGTCCGAATCAACACAATCCGACGCCTCCGCGCGACTCAAAATCGTCTCCACGATCGTCTTGGCTGGATTGTTCCTCGCAGTTCCTCCCCATAGAATTCTCCACACTGCTCGCTCCGGTATCATCACAAACGCATCCCGAAGCTTCGGCTGAGGACAGAACACAGGTCGCTTCTCTGCAGGTAGCGAGAGTAAGTGGTCCCACCAATCCCTGAGAAAGCCCGCCTTGAACTTGTAGCATCCGTCGTCGTCGGCCGCATATTCGTCTGATCCCAGGGGCTCAGTCGTTGGGGATTCGTCTAGAGCGTCGTCGTCCTGCTGTCGTTGGGCTTCAGGAGGCACGTCTCCGTCAACGAGAGGTATGATGTCTTTGCTCCATCCCAGTTTTACCATCTACACAAAAGCGCGGGTAAGACATTGTTAGAGTACGAAAAACATTTTGACATTGCATCAAACATAACTCGAACAAGAAAGAAATAAATACCTTTCTAGTGACAGTAGACGGTAGCTTTCTGAAGTGTGTGTGGAGACATACCATCGTGGCAAGTCCAAACTCCATCTGTATGTCGCCCAGGGGGATGTCGGTAGTGTTAATGGGCGAAAAGTGGGGAATGATCGTCTTGTATCGGGCATAGACCCTCTGTGCGAGCTCTCGAGCACGGATGGACTCGGACTTCTTGCACTTTTTCTCAACAATCTTTCCATTCAAGGCCAACGACATTAATCCACGGATGAACATCTGACCGGAAGCCTTGTTCATCACCAGGTCTAGCAGATCGACATTCGTCTCCCCTGAGGCTCCTTGCGGGCTAAACACTGTTGTGACTTCTTCCAGTAAAAACAGCTGTATCATCCTGAACACGTGGGGACGAGCTTCATTGATCAGGCTCGTAGCCTTCTCCAGGCGGCTCGCAATGGTGTCGACTTGGTCATCAGAGATCCCGAGGGGTCGAAGGCTACGGCGCAGGCATCCTTTCAAGGAACCGACTGTCTGGGTTATCGTCGGAAAAGCAAACTTGAAAGCGTCCTTAAGTTTTGGTGCTGTTGGGGTTGCATCGATGTCGCGTGGTCTCGCGAGTTTTTTCTTGGATGACGCCTTCCGTCTTTTGTTCTTCGACGAGCGGTCTGTCGACGATGACGAGGATGCTGAAGGCGAATCTTCAACAGCCTTGGGCTGCTTGTCGACGGGTCGCTTTTTTGGTTGTGACGGGGACATTGTCGACAGTTGATTATCAGAAACAGGGGTGGCTGTCGACGGATCACTGACTCTGTGGGGAGAGTACCGAACCTGATTGTCAGTGCGAGACTTGAACCTAATTAACCACAAAAAATAATAATTAGAGAGACTTAGAAACATTTCCATAACTTGTGCAAACCCGGAGACGTCAATGTGATATTGTCTTACCTGGATTTCCTCCATTTTTTACGTTTCCTGTTCCTTTTCGCTGCCTCCCGGCGAGCTCGCTGCGTTTTCGCTGTCCTGGTCCGATTTACATTCGTTTTGGGAGCCGGCTTCTTGTCCTCCATCGGTGGTGTGAATCCCATTGCCGCACGTGCCTGAGCCTCTGCAACCTTCTGGTACTCAAGATCGAGCAGTGCCCTCATGACAATCTCGTGCGCATTACAGTCTCGCTGCCCTCCCTGCTCAATCGATGTGTGCTGTTGACTGGTAAAAGGCTGAGGGTGTGGGTTCTGATCAACGGAGGATACGGCATCTTCCTGGACGCCCACAAAGGCAGATAAAGCATGCTCGAAGTCGTCAACCGTAACCGATAGCTGCGAGTCGATTCGTTTTCGTTTCTTCCGAGGGACTCTCTCGGAAAGAAGCTGGTGTCGCACTCGAACGAGAAACTCGTGGACGTACCAATGAAACGATTCGACGTCAGAGCCGGGTAGCTCCATTTCCCGAATAATCTCGCAGATCTTCTTGATCCCGAAATATGGCACTCCCCGGGTGTAGTCGTTGCCCGTCACAACAGCCGCGAGTAGTAAATGCCGCTCCGAAGGCAAATCGAGGACCTCCAAAATCGCATCCTTTTCGAAAAGAGTGAGCTCTCTTGACTTGCCGATCGGATACAACACTCTCGGCACAGCCCCGAAACAAATCAAGTCCGAATCACCGGAGACAACAATGATGTCCTGGGGATTCAGAGACTGGGCACAAAGCTTGGCAATGCAAGTATCCGACTGAAAGCGGCAAAGGCATACATGGCAGTCGTACTTTTTGATCAACTCCGCTATAACTTCTCCTTGAATTACGGTTGTTGGCTTGTAGAGATTCCTGCACCGTTTGTAAGCAGCCTTTCGACGAGATCCACCCACTACACGTGCTTGTTCGATTGCTTGGTGAAGTGCGTCGGTGCCCTTACGCAGCTTGTCGTCGCGAGCTCGGTGCTCCGCCTGTTTCTGAATGGATGGCTCTCCATCGAAGTGAAGGGTGACAGATTCGTCTTCGGGAGTACAGAACTGAGAAAGCTTCCTGTACAGTTCATCTGCAATGTGACCGAAGAACTATTTCAAGCAAACGACGACATAGCAAATGATAATTAACTAATCAAGTAAATAATCACCAGTGGACCCATGCTAAATCCCGCATTCAGTCCTCAAGAAGATTCATTACCATAACTCTCTGTTGGTCCGTGCCATCCTGTAACATCCCATCTTTGTCAACGACGACAGAGTCGGGGCTGTTGGGTCCACTCGTCACCATAGCAAGCTTATCTTTGAGACCAAAGAGCATGTTCGCACGTCTCAGAAGGTCCGCCTGGGCATCGTTCGGGTCTGGAGAGGCAGAGTCTGTCGACTCGGGTCGCTCTGGCGCATCCTCCATCTGTGGCATGTGCAGGTTGGCGGGCTCGGTGTTGCGCGTCAGCGTGGTCGTGTACTTTTGTACGACAGAGTAGGCTCGCGCCTTCATCAACCCGTAGTAGGTACCGTTCATGTCGACGTGAAATTCCTTGCCGTTCATTTTCGCCGGCGCAATGCCCGTCGCGTTCTTTATCTCTCCTGGGAGTCCGTTGACGCCCATGACTGACTGTAAAGGAAAGAATGAAGAAAAGCTCATCAGAAGATGGAAACAAACACCACATTGGGCGGACAATGTCGGCGGATTTGAAACGTGATAATACCTTAATGAAGCAGGGGCGTGAGCCGTGCGGATGTGTGCGTGTGCGTGTGTGTGTGTGTGTGTGTGTGTGTGGAGGGGTGGGGTGGAGGTCGCAGTGATTGGATGTCAGAAGTTGGTCGATTGAGTCTAATTGGTTTTTTTGTTTGTTGACAATGACGTCAGTACATTCCTTATGGTTTAAAGGGTGGGAAGTTGGCTGCCAATCACAAAAAGTCAGCTTACTGTGGCAAGGTTTCTGGCGCGTGAGCAGTTGATTTGTTGACAGAATGAGGTAAAGTCGGCCATGGGGTTAGCGAGGTCCTGGTATTGATTGGTCATCCAAGCTGACGCCAATAGACGGAGAGCGATGCACTTACAGAAGACTAGGTGTAGCTCTGGTTTGGATCTCTGTCCTGATCAACGATGTCCACTTAGGATTCCATGAGCGAACTTGGCAAAGGTGTTGGAGTGGGAAAAGGCAGCCCAAGGACATTTTATTTGCTCCCCAGCGACGCGACGCGACAGGCGGTCCTTTTTTTATTTTTTTAACCGTTCACACATTCAAAAAATTCGTGCTAGTCACATGCACCGCCATATGTTAACAATCTAAAAAGGGGTGTTTAGGCATTAGGGGCCTTTATTTTTTGTGCTTCTCATTACTGGTTATGGTGTCAACTACAACTACGATTTATGGAATTCTCTGAAGCAATTGCGGGCCTTTGACATACACAAGGCAACATTGCAGATCTCACAGGTTATGACCGTTTGAGTTTTCCTATCGTGGTTTTTGTCGTCGAAGACAGTGGCTCTGAAGCGACAGAAAAGCAGTTGGATTTTTGGTCGAGAATTATGGGTGAGTGGGGTCTTGGGGTGAAACGGATGGTGGGCAGATCAGAGCAATTTTTGGTAACATATATCTTCTTGGTTGGTTTTGGTTTGGTGGCTCTGTGAACTCGTGTCCGTTTTTTGCTGTAGTACATGTGCTGTTTGCTTTCTGCTCCCTTCCTGATCAAATCCCATGCCAACTTGAGACAGAAGTTTTGTGGGAAAGGGATCCTTTTTGGACGACATAGATTCGATAGGCGTTGATGATGGTGGTGTCGAGAATTCAAAAAAAGATAGGCATCCATGTCCTGAACACGGTTAATTGGGTGCTGTAATATGCCCTGAACTGGTTACTGACATCGACGCCATTCATGTTGTGGTTGTAGTCATCAATCAACTTGGGGATTCTGAGTGCCGCTCTGGGCTTGCCATTGAATATTGCCCGAGCATTGGCTGTGTTAGTGCTAGTGTTGCGAGGGCAGCGTCGAATACGCTCAATGAAGTCATCATCCGTGTTGATTTTGTGGATGGTACTCAGCATGGTGACGGATGCATTATCCATCCAAACGACGGCAAGAACCTGTTTGTCGATAACAACTCCTGTCAGGGTATTCCATTGTAGTTTCTCACTCTTACCCACTTTCAAAGTGTCAGGGAAGCAGGCTGAGTTGATGCGGGTGGTACCACAAGCGCCGATGCTGAGTCCACGTAGGTGCTTGAAAAGCGGGATGTTGGAAAAATAGTTGTCCATGTAGATGTTTAATGGACGAGTCTTGTAGGGGAGTGATTTGGCGAGACGAACAACAGCGGAAGAGGTTGGAGTAAGCCCGTTTATCCTGTCTATGCCAATGATGGATTTGATGCGAGAGGTGTAGAGGAAGGAATAGGTGTATCCTGATTGACAAAGAGCGAGAATCTTGTAGCCTTCCGGGGGTAGGCTTACCCTTCATGCGTACGGTGTGAGCACTCCTTCCTGAAAAGCGAACAATCATCTCGTCGATGGACACATTGGTGGAGAGAACGTAGTAACGAGCGAAGTCGGTAGCGAGTTTGGTCGAAAGAGGTTCTACTTTTGAGAACCAATGTTGCTCAGGCTCGTTGGGGTTGGAGACACGAAAAAAACGCTTCGGTTGTTCGAAGCGGACGAGGGACATGAAGTTAGTGATGTTGTGTTGAGGACATTCAGGGAAGGTTGACCAATACTCAGAGACAGAGTTCTGCCTGAACACGCCCATGTAGACAATGATGCCGAGGAATGTGCGCAGTTCGTCAGGTGTGGTCTTTACCCATTGGCGCGATCCCTCTCCTGTGCCGGCTCCTTTCGATGCTGCATATGCGTTAGTGTTGTCTGCCAAATCCGTCAATACCGGGTCGGAGAAGAAGAGTGTGAAAATTGTCAATGGTGATAGTTCGCTGTCGAGTTGAAGTGCAAGGGGAAGGTTGGTTTGTGCTGAGCATACTGTTTTTTGGTGTTTGAAGACGTCCTTGAAGTCAGGGACGGCTGGGAGTTCTGTGGGTTCGCGGGTGACTTTCTTGACAGCCCTCTTCGCTTTCTTGACAGCCCTCTTCGCTTTCGCGAGAGCTAAGGGTGCAGGGGACACCTCCTCTCCCGCCGGTTGCTCTCTTTCTGGTGGTCGCTCTTCATCATCGGAATCATCCTCACCGGCAATCTCTCGAGTTCGGCAAATGACCGAAAACGACAACTCCTCTGTCTCCTCGGAAGTGAGTGTGCTAGTACCTTGACCGTTAGAAACGTCAAAGGAACGTAGGAACTCGAAGCTTGGGTCCATGAGCAGGTTGGGCGAAGTTTTCTTTGTGAGGGAGACAGTAACGGAGGCTTTGGAGATGATGAGAGGTCGAATTTGACAGCGAAGGTGGTAATGAGGCGAGCTGGGAAACGACAACCCTCGTTGTTTTCATTAGACGACACGAGACCCTTCCCAACCCGTTTTATTAGAAACCCTGATAAATTGAAAAAGAAAAATTGGAACCAATTTCGATTCTAAAACGGTTGAAGGGATATCAGAGTAAAGCTGTGCACCCCACTCAGGATCACGTGGGCAAGGGGCCTTTGGAGCGCTTCCCTATTTTGGGCAAAATGGGAGCGAAAGGGTGACCCCATAAGAAACTGAAAGATTTTGTCCCAGCCCCTCAGTAGTAAAAAATTGAGCGGAGGAGGGGATGGGTTCGTCGCCCTTGCCAGCTCCCTGTACCTACCACCCTCCGCGCCTCTTCCTTTCTCTGTCTCTCTCTCACGCGCACTCTTCCCACATCTCTTTGCTGTGCCACCTTTCCCACTCTTTTCTTCTCGCCTTCATTGCCTTTCCCACCGCTCCCACGCTCTCTCTTCCCACATCTCTACTTTTTTTTCTCACCACCATTGCTTTGCCATCGCTCCCACGCTCTCTTTTCGACTTTGCTTTCCGTTTATTTCTCACCTCCGCCTTTCTTTTGCCAGCATTTCCACACCTTCATCGTCTTTGTCACCACTCCCACGCACCTTTCCCCTTTTTACCCTCCCTTTTAAACATCTTTCATCTTTTTCTCTTTTTCTTTCTTTCATCCTTCGCTACTCTGCCTCTGCACACATCACCTTCTCTACAACCCTCATTTTAATGCTTCGCAACACTATGACCGACAATCTGCTGACCTTGTTCTGTCTTGTTAATGGAGACTCTGTGGCATTCTCTGTCGACATCGATGCATCAAAAACTGTCGATCACCTCAAAGACGCAATCAAGACCAAGATTCCTGACACGTTCAAGGGAGTTGATGCCAAGGACCTCACGCTCTGGCGCGTCTCCATCCCTCTCGTTCCAAAGAAGGACCGTAAAAACATTTCGCTAAGCGACGTTCCCTTAAAGGAAGAACTCGATGAAACAGACGATCTCTCTGACGTGTTCCCGGACATGCTGCCCAAAAAAAACGATCCACGTCATCGTCCAGCGACCCCCCCCCAAGAAAACAATCCACATCATCGTCCAGCGACCTCCTCAAGGTAATGCACACGCGTGCTATACTGTCACCTTATTCGTGAGCTTGCCTATTACACATGTACTAACTTGATACACTCATCCAATTGCACCAACATAGTCCATGCACCAGTCCCTGCCCGTCCCTCCACTCCACAGCTCAAGTCTATTCCGAAGGATCTCCTCGAGCAGGAACTGGAAGCCATTCTCGATGAAATCCAGCTTCGCCCTACCACCCCCTCTGTTGATCCAATGGAAGTTGAGGCTTTTCAGAATGAAGAACTAGGACCCTTTTTCAAGAGGACTCTTCCGCATGGTGAGACAGCAAGAGACATCAAGCTGGTGATGCTGGGACTTGAGCTGGGCAAGCTGGCAAGGACGAGCGACGGCGAAACCTTGCATTCTATTGTGGAGGATGACATCGGCAAATACAGTGACCGTCGCGTAGTAGCTATGGTTGCTCCATCTGGATCAGGAAAGACTGCGACCGTAGTTGACCTCGCGAGCAAGCACTTTGTGATCTATTGTGTTTGTTGCATCCCGAGCCCCACCATCTCTCCCGTCTTCAAGGACCCGAACTTTATCACGCTTGCAGAAGACATTGAGAGCATGTACCGGGCCGTTATTCACAGGAATCAAGGGCATTCGCAGGACGCAAAGGACATCGATTCCGAAGTCAAGGCCCTAGCAGGAGAACGCGTCAAGCTCGAATTCCTTGCACGGCTGCTCTTCCTTCAGCATCTCCTCGACAACAACCCTACTCTAGAACCCCTGCAGTTCTTCCGTGAACAGACCACCAAAGGTGCCTTAACTATCGGCGACCTGGTCTACAAGCTGAAGGAGTACGACCACAACACAATCCAAGCCATGCTCAGCAAAGTCCAAGCCAAGCTTCAGTCTATCCTTGTTTCCAAACGACTTGGACTGGTGATTGCCCTGGACGAGGCTCAAGTTGCGGTTACTGGGATCTTGTCCGAAAAGCTCATCTCACCATCCGCTTTGATCAATAGAGATGCCCTCTTCGACAGCAAAGAACCAAATCCAATCCAAGTTCCGTCGTGGTTTCCTCACACCCTTATCCGCAACGCTGAGCAACATGCGGGCAACACTGGTGATTATTGGCACCGCACTCTCATTGCAAGATGCCGATTATGTGTACTCGGCCATCGCCAAACCCACCAATTTCTCGAGGATTACTGAATTTCCCCGATTCGATGAAAAAGACGTTATCAAGATCCACTCGAAGCTAGTCGACATGTCAGACTGTGAAATCCCGCCCGCCAAACGCCGCAAGCTAACCGGACGAGCTCGATTTTCCATTGACGTCGTCGAACGCCTTGCCACGCGCTGCTCTTCTCAGGACTCGAAACAAGCTATTCTCGACGACGCTGTTGACAAGTCGATTGAGCATACAATGAATGGGCTTCGGATCGGAGTACGCACTATTCTCGAGAACGACAAAACAAACGAGGCAGCTCGACCTCTTAGTCGAATGGTCTTGGCCTATCATCTCCAAGATGCCAAAATTTCGTTCTCGAGCCAACTGCAGTCCGACTTTGTGGACAAGGCGCTGTGCAGACTGCAACAACACCCTGATGGCGTTCACTTGATCATGGACGAGCCCTTGGTGGTTGAGGCGATGGAGGAGGAACTGAAGTCTTCGGGCAAGGATCCTACGTTCATCGAGTACATGGATCAACTGAACCGGCTCATTTGAAAACCTTGGTGCGAAGTCAGTCACAAAGGGGGAAGCTCTGGAGATGCTTGTTCGTCGATCGCTTCAGCGATTCAATGGTGTCCCAGTGGTGGATCTTCCTTTCTTGAGTGGCCTCCTCTTGCCTGCATGGTGCAGCAAATTCCAGTTCCAGATCGACGAGATCAACACAGCTAGTGGATTTGGATACAAGGGCAGTGGCGTGACTGCCGATCTTGCCTTCCTTACTGCTTGTCCGCCGTGCAAGATGCTTGTTGCGCGATCTGGTACACGTCCGGATGGAGTCTGGTTTTTCCCTGATAAACGGTACGCCGGCTCTCTCGCGATCAAGTTTTACAGCAACGAAACGAGACCTCCAGCGATATCCGAGCGTGCTTCTTGATGACGGACGGTGACAAGTTGAACTCAACCTTGGCAGCCACTCGACATTCCTATGAGAATGCAGGCATCCCCTCCAATGTTAAGGGAATTTTGCGCATTCACTTGGAGTTTCCGCGCGTCAAGGGAGTGAAGCCGGTCACTCACGTCAGGAAGGATCCGACGACTCGTGCTAAAGATGTGATGGTGTACATCAACTGTGAGAACATGGACAGCTTTTTCGACGAGAGTATCAAAGCATACAGGAAAGATATGATCAAGCTGAAGAAGCTGATCAAGTATGTCTGCGTCTCATAAGGATCGTTCTGCAAATAAACGCACAACGCTCTCCACATGCCTCACTTTGTTTTCTTTGTTTTCTCCACGTTCTTCGTTCTCGATTATATCGTCATGTCAGTCCTTCCCATCTTGCCCTGTTTCTCCTCATCCATCCATCATTTCTCACCAAAAAAAAAAAATCTGTCCCACTCAGTCCCTTCGAATGGAGACTCGGTCTCAAGATGTGACTGTGAAATGAATATACTGAGGAGGCATATGTGCTACATTATCCAGCTAGGGCGGACGAGCCATGTCTGTGTAATCAATCTTCATTGGTTGCACTCGAGAAACTAAACTAAGGAAAATAAAAATAAAAATGAGTCTGCTCGATCTCTGGACACCATCTTTCTTCTTCTCGCACTCAGGAACACATCCATTCGAGTAAAGCAAATGATCAATGATAACCCCTCTCATCAACCCCCTACAGATAATGGCAACCCCATTCACCAGTCTTCGAGTGACAACCTCACTCACCAGCAGCCTTCGAGCGACAACTTCGCCCAATTCATCCGCATGCTCGGCTCTCTTTCCCCTGCAGATCGCCAAACTCTTGCATCAGCCCTCTCCCCTTCTTCCTCTTCCACTGACGCCGACCCTGACCCCTATCTGTCAACGAAACCCGCGGTTCAGACCTTGGAGCCTTACAACCGTCTGGAAGAATGGCTTACCAGTTTCAAGCAGCGCAGCGAATTCTTCAACTTCACCAAGACACGCGAACTGGAAGACTATGCCGACGTCAAACAGTTCCACCAAGTCCAGCACCTCGACTATGCAGCTCCCTCTCTCACCAGTTACAAGGATGTTAACTTACACAAAAACGTCTTCAAGCGTAACCAGAACATAACAACAATTCAAGCACGTCTCGCCCACCTCACTCGACCAATCGACGCAACAGTACACGCAATCCTTGCATCCAACCCCATGGACATTGAGGACCCTATCCTTAGCGGCCCCTTCATGTGCAGAGGATATAAAAAGGCATATAAAAAATATCCAAAGTCCAAGGAACGGAGTGTTGACTTCCATAACTGGCATATCTCTTCATAGTGGGCAACAGAACACAGAATAAAATAGCAATAGACAGCACAAGAATTTTTAAAATGTAATCTCTCCCCTGTATTTCGCCCCAAAGATACAGTTGAGAGTACAAGTGCTTTAGATGATGACATACAAGAACTACTCTGGCGAATCTTGCAGTGAGGGTTACAGGTTAATAGTAGATGGACATATTCAAGAGTGTGGTGTGCGAAAAATAAGAAGACTTTGTTGTTTGGAGAATAGGTTGGTGTTTAGTAGGATAGTTGAACAAAAAATGTTACAATGGTTGTCTTATATGCTTGGTATCATATATACATTCTCATCCCATAGTCGCTATGGATATTGTCGAGATCTACAGAGATGTAACAAACACCATATGATAACTTGGACGTGAAAGGCCTCCTTATCAACATCATCGAGACATTCGACATCCTTCGGTACAATCTTGCTTTTATCGCCACCGAAATCACTCACTTGCGCAAGGATGCTCTGTATCGAGACAAGAAAATCATCCCTCCTGCTGACCCCAACGACAAAACGCTGCTCGTCACCCATCAACAATTTATTGACCAGGAGAAGTTCACCCACTCCCTTCGAAAAGCTTCAGGCCAAATCGGACATGGCCGTGGACGTGGCCGTGGCCGCGGAGGATTCAACAACATGGACAATCGACAATTCTCTCGAAAATTCTGGAAACAAGAACAATAGTAACAATGGATCACATGGTTCAAACTCCAACACCTCCACCAGTAGCAACAACAATAACAACTCTGGCAACAATGGCAACCATTTTCAACAGTCCTCGACCACGAGGGGACGGGGCCGAGGACGCGGAGACCGGCAGTAGGAGGTCGACTACAACTCTTCCAGAAGGCTTGGCGACGTCTGACAGACGAAAACTGGGTTCGCCAAACTATCGAGCATGGATTCAAAATCCCATTCGACACTCTACCTCCATGCAGTTCCCATCCCAGCAAACACCAACCACGATCAACAAAGGAAACGGAAACGATCGAGAGAGAGACCCTCGACCTATTGAAAGAACGCGCCATCGAGGAGGCTACAGAGGATGGATTCACCAGCCGACTCTTTACAGTACCAAAACGAACCGGCGACCTTCGCCCATGCCTCAACCTCCGTCCTCTCAATCAGTTCGTACCGCACCAACACTTCAAGATGGAGACGGTGAAAGTTGTCTGCAACCTGATCAACAAAGGCGACTATATGATGAGCATCGACCTACAAGACGCCTTTCTCCACATTCTAATCCACTCCTCTTCACGCAAATACCTACAGTTCCATTGGAAGGGGAAACAGTATCAGTTCCGCGTTCTACCATTTGGTCTCTCCTTAGCTCCCTTCGTATTCACCAAGATCCTAAAACCAGTTCTGCGATGGGCGCGCCGACGAGGGATACGGATATCGGCCTACCTGGACGACCTACTGATCATGGCCAAGTCATTCCAGCAGGCAGAGAAAGCAACTCAGGCAGTAGTGGACAAGTTGAGCAGCCTCGGTTTCCTAATCAAGCCATCCAAGTCACAACTGACGCCGACCCAGACGATCACACACCTAGGATTCACCATCAACATCAAGTCAATGACACTCTCAGTACCGAAGGACAAGGTCAGGGATATCCGACGGGAAGCGACAAAGATACTTCGCAAGGGCATCCTAACAGTTCGAGCTCTCTCGTCATTCATCGGAAAGGCACTAGCAATGACAGCAGCAGTCCTTCCAGCAAGACTACGAACACAGCACCTTGTCCAGTTGAAGAACGAAGCCCTTCGCCAATACAATTCATGGACGACATCCGTTTCCTTGACGGACCAAGCGAAGGAGGACCTGACATGGTGGATAGACGGACTGAAGTCATGGAACGGTCAGAGTTGGATACGACAACTACCAGAGGAGGAAGTTTTCACCGACGCATCGGACACCGGTTGGGGCATAGTCAGCGATCGATACGCCAAGAACGGAGCCTGGACAGAACCTCTTCTATCGAAACACATCAACTACAAGGAACTCTTGGTCGTCTGGAAGGTGGTAACTCAGCCGAGGTTTCAAGGGAAACGACTTCTCATATATTGCGACAATACGACAACACTAGCGTACGTGAACAAGTTTGGAGGAACACGGTCACCCGAGTTCATGGAGCTAGCCAACCAGATATGGACACATTGCTTAGCGACAGGAACGACACTTACAACAGCCTACATTCCATTGGGATTGAATCCAGCAGATCCCCCGAGTCGACAGCTTCAGGAGCAATTGGAATGGAGTATCAGTCAAGAGACATTCAATGCGATCAACGACAACTGGGGTCCACACAGTATAGACCTATTCGCCTCCAGCACAAACACCAAACTACCGCGATACATGTCATGGCAACACAATCCACAGGCCGAAGCCCAAGACGCTCTCCTTCAACCCTGGACACACCTAGGCCGCCCATACATCTGTCCGCCATGGAACTCGATCCCCAGAGTACTCCAGAAGATGAAACAGGAGAAGGTCCAAGCCACCATCATAGTACCCAACTGGTCAGGAGCAATCTGGGCACCCACCATCCGGTCCATGGCAACGGCTCCTCCAATCCACCTTCCACGCTCAGCGGTCCTAGATCCAAAGGGAAAAGAGTTCGGTCTCCTATCGAAGAACCCGACCTGGTCGCTAACGGCTTGGAGCTTAAGCGGCGCCGACTAGCAGCTGAAGGATACGACACGGCAGTTATCAACATCATGACTCGTTCGGAGACAGAGCTACGCAAACAATCACGTTACAACTACATTCAAGAGATGTACCGCAAGTGGTGCCACGACAGCGAGCTGGATCCTTACATTGCCAGTCCCTCCAACGTTCTCAATTTCCTCGCATGGGGCCATTCAACAAAACGCTGGCGTTCCTCCACCATTGCAGCTTACCATGCACAGATCCTGGCCCTCTTCGACGATAAGACTCCTTTCGAGAGCAACGATACGTTTAGCCAGTTCTTCAAGATCCTTCGCGCCAACGAACCCGACGCTTCACCGAGGTTGACCTCGACCTTTCGCCCATTATTACGTATCTCCGCTCATTCACCAGTAACGAGGACATGTCACCAGAGGAGCTCACCCAGAAACTTTGTTGGCTTCTTGGAATGTGCGCCTTCCTTCGCCCAAGTGACATCGAGCGAATCGACTTGGACAACTGTCGCATGGATGATGAATTTATTTCTCTCCACATTGTCAGACCAAAGGAAACGTCGGCCGGCATCCACAAGACCAAGTCTGTCATCTTACGAGCGCACTCCTTGGACAGACAGCTATGCCCAGTCCAGACTTTCAAGGACTACGTCCGTCGCCTAGCCCATAACAAGATCTCAGTTCCCCATCCTACCATGTCTTCTCTCCGGTACAACCCGCTCATTCGCCAGATCAAGTCACCTGAGCATCACGTTGGAGCCCAAAGAATTAGCAAGCACATCGCCGCCATCATGTCCCGCGTAAACGTCCCACCAGGTCATCGATTACCAAAAGCCCGCGCCGCCGGTTCCTGCAACAGGCGAAGACTGGGACAGAGAAGTATAGAACGGGGACGAGAGTTGAAGCAGTGATGATTGATGTTATTACTATGGTACAACTAAATATATATACAAAGTCGCCAACTAGGTTTCTAGGTGTGGTGTCATAGTAAGTCAGAGATGATAGAGAGTGACAAGGAATGACTAACTAGAGAGCAATGATAAACCTAATATGTTGCAAATGGATTGGAACTGGATAGAGATGAATGCGTCTGATTGAATTATTGATTGGGCATTCATGTCAATATTTATATGTTTTCAAACAGCCAATATTTGTTTAAAAATAGGACGTACTAACATATATTACATTTTACGGATCTATCACGAGGCATGGCGTAAAGCAAAATAAATGTCGCACATCTTTATCATACTTCGACTACGTATGTTGGACTTGTGGGCAGCCAAGTACCGTGTCTTTTCATTCGCCATTCATGCATTTTCCTTCTTTTTCATGTCGTGCTTACCCACTCTCCATCAATATCTTTTCTTCTCATTTGTGTTTCAGAGTGTCCACCTATCTACCTTCAAATTTGGCCATTCCACATCAACCCATGACGAATAGCTTTCTGATCCTTTGAGGTCAGCCTTGTCACTATAATGTGGTGACATACGAAGGTCGTGTACTTTCCTTTTTGCACTGATTGGTAGCCAGCCGCTTCCTTGCTCTATTGTCCTTTGAAAAAGCAAACAAGTTCAAAAGAGAAATAAAAGGTCAGTGATCCGAGAGAGTCATAACAATCATTACACCAACATCCATTGAGGCAATACCACATCGCCTTCTTCAATCACCCTAACAACAACTAGTCAGCCCAAGAGGAAACCAGTCCACTATCTGGCGCATCCCGATCTCAGGAGGTCATGAAGGCATTCACAACGGGAAATATCAAGGAGCCCCTGGGACCAAAGACAATAGCTAGCGTAAAAGGCGGCTGCTGTAAGGTCGTCTTACACCAAATACGGAGCGTGCCTTACGAGCCAGGGTTTGGGGTACTCAATGATAGAACGGGCACTAATAGACAACAACGACCCTGCAGACATAGTGGACACCACAAGGACATCCAAAAGGCTGCAGAATTACTCTAGAGACGTTAACCAAAACATGTCCCGAGTCCCTTCCTGAACTGACCAGCCATTGTTGAAGATATGAAAAGAGCAATATGATAACGAGAATATCAATGCGAACGATAGCCGCGTACTTTCCTGTCGGTGTGCGTACTTTCGCTGCTTTGAGAGCCTTTCGAGGGTGAAATTAATGTGTTTGTGTCAATCTAAAAGAGGCATGCAAAATTAAACTGTAAAGTAATGGAGGAACGAAAATGAGTGGATGAAAGACAAAAACGCAAAAGCAACAGATGAGAGGAACGATAGGAACTGGTTAGGTTGTCAAAAAGGTAAAGTGTCCAAAACGTGAATAGACCAAAGAATGAATATATTGGAAGAGATACAAATTGAACTACGTACAATAAAAGAGGAATATCAATTTGATTGCAAGACGGCATGTTGGCTATATGGATTGTAATGTACGAAGCCACCTGCAAACAATCCTAATCAACGGACCGCAGCTCCACTCCCTCACGGGCATGGGAGGGATTAGGCTAACCTCAGCTATTGTTTGATTGCAAAGATGACACATCCCAGCATCAACCCCAATCACTAAACTCCTCGGGAATCGAGAAGGGATGGGGGAAGATGTTGTTGGATGTAAAGATAGAACTGTGATACAGTGAAAGAGAAAGACTTGCCTTGTTCAGATCTGATCTTCGTCAGAGCTGTGTGATGCGGAGAAGAGCGTGGGAATGGGGCAACGGTGAGTGATGACTGAGAAGTGATGATAAACAGCCGTGAGAATGGTGATGAAAAAGGCATGGAGGTGCTAGCAACGTAAATGATGAATGAAGGCGTGGGAGGTGGTAAAGGTGAAAGACGATGAAAGAGTGTGCGGGTTGTGGCAGAGGTGATCGAGAATCATAGGGGTGTTTGATGATGACAGAGGCGTTGAGGAAGTATCTCGAGAATGACGTGGGTGTGGTGGCAAAAGAGGTGTGATGAAAAGGGGCGTATGACGTTGAAGAGGCATTACAGCAACGACGGCGTAGCTGCCGCAGCAGCTGTGTATCAAAACAAGGGCGTGGGAGTGGTGGCAACGGAGGATGGTTGAAATGGTGAAGGAGTGGACAATGGCGAAGATGCTTGCAATAGGTTCCAGGACAATGGGCGCCATAATTACGTCACCGAAATGACGAAAATTGCACGCCCTTTTCCAAGAACTCAAACTCAGACCTATGGCAACTGATGTTTCAGACAATGCTGGTCCGTGAGCCTTCACATGCAAAAGAGGTATCACGCAGGCAACAGAACTCCAGGCAGCCCGCAAAGGTCTGGAATCGAGGTCTATCACATTGCCTCGCATGAACATGACGGAGTGGCCGAGGCCAAATGATGGGAAGGACGGGCGTTTTTATTATGAATGGCTGTGACGAAGTCTTCTGAGTAGGTCTGATTGTGTTGGACCCATCGATATCCTCACCCATAACATCGGATATAGCTGTATTTGAGGGCGTCACCATTGGACGTGACTGGCTGGGCTATGTCGGGGATTGGCTTGGTCTCGGACAGGTCATGCAGTCCTGAGACCATGTGTTCGATTTGCTCTTTTCTATAGGGGTTGGGATACATCCCAACGATGCATTGTGGAGGAGATTACGTTCATATGACCATGTTTCTTCGAAGCTCATGATCGGCTTCATATTTATAGAAAGCTTCCTTGTGCTTGTTGCACTCATTATCACCTTTTCCTTCTCTTCTTTTTTTTCCACTTCTCTCAAAAAACCATTTTCCATTCAAAAGATATTTCACCATGAGCGAATTCAAGACTGACCTGAAGACCTACGAGTTTAACCACACTATGATCCGTGTCAAGGATCCAAAGGTCTCGCTCGAGTTCTACCAGCACATCCTCGGTATGAAGCTTATATACAGTGAGGATTATGAGACAGACAAGTTCACGCACTATTTCCTAGCATTTGTGAATGCTCAAGATCTGGCCACTTTGGACACAAAGTCGAAGGACGAGCGCCGTTCTTACACCTTCAGACGTCCTGGTGTTCTCGAGCTGACTCACAACTGGGGCACTGAGAACGATGCTGATTTCAGCTACGCCAACGGCAACAAGGAGCCTGGACGTGGATTTGGACATATCTCCATCCATGTCGACAACGTCGACGAGGCCTGCAAGCGGCTCGAGAGCTTTGGCGACAAGATCCAGTGGATCAAGCGACTCGGACAGTGCAACATGAAGGACGTCGCCATTATCGCCGATCCAGATGGTTACTGGATCGGGGTCTGTGACTACTAAAAATAAAAGAACTCTCAAATTCGTAGATGTCTATCCATATAAGGAAATAGCCTTATTTCCACAATCTATTGTTTATTCCACAAAAAAATTGAGCCAATGAGTGAATTATGGCAATTGTCCTGGACCCGCAAGTAACTGGCTTGTGGCAGCCAAGCGTTCATAGCGACGTTGCTTTTTGATCCTTCGATGTCGGCTCTTTCTCTCCTACTTCTGCCGAATTCGGCGTAAGCGTTGTTGATGCTTTGTTCTCTACCATTATTCTTCCTTGCCAGGGACTCTATCTGTGTGTATCTTTCTTTTATTATTAGCCGTGACTTCCGAAAAAAAAAAAAAAAAAAAATGAAAATGAAAATGAAAAATGAAAACAAAATAAAGGGGACTCTAGGTGATCTGTTGATCTCTATCTTTCTTTTTCACGGCCGGAACACTCTCCCCGAATCTCGGAACGATCCTCCCCCATGTCCCATGCACCCAATCCTACGGCCCCCGATGTCGATATCGACATTTACACGACCCTTCGCCTTATGCAGGAGCAAATGCAGCAACAGCAACTCCTTTTACAACAGCAACAAGCCAGGATTCAACAACTGGAAGCCGAATCAGTCGAACAGGACGGCAAAGTGGTCTGCAAGCCCCGAGCAACCACTCTCAAGCTCTACGAGGAACTCCTCAACATCTATCCAGCCATCGGGGAACCCAAGTTCTTCGATTCCGAGCTTCCCAAGAACCATGACGTTTTCGATTGGAACGACTACCATTACACCGAGGGTATGGATTACAAGCCTTCCCCAGTTTTGCAACACTCCGAAGTGTCCCTCACGGATGCAGCCAAGCGACACGAACGTGATTTGGCAACAATCCAAGTATATTTGGCACACACAACCCGGTTCTACGACACTCTCGCCCATGAGATCATCAAAAATAAGGAATCCGACTCGGCTCACGGCAAACGTACGCTCGGTTTCCTCAACACCGTACGTATCTCAGCATCCCACGACGCTTCCAGGATCAGTCGGATGCGAGAGAACCTTTACCTCGACGAACTCGGTATTAAGCATGGAAACGACAAGGAGGAATCCCTTTTCACTTTGGAATCACTGGCAGCCAAAAAAGCAGCCGCTGATCTGGTTCGAAAGACATACAAGAAATACGAACCTCCAAAGGACAAGACCAAGAAGCCTGACAACAAGTCTACCAAGGACAAGTCAGCAACAGACGACAAACCCAAGGACCAGCAGTCGGGAAAGTCGCAACCCAAGGACAAGTCAGGATATAGGTCCGACAACGGCAAGTCGGGTTACAAGTCGGACGGAGGCAAGTATGGTAGCAAGCCTCGGTACAAGTCTGGTGGCAGTCAAGGCAGGAAGCAACCAGACCAGGGAAACGACGGGGAGGAGTCGGATTAGTAGGAGGACGACTTCTCCAGTTCCAGGAGGCATGGAGAGAGATGACGGATTCGACCTGGGTCAACAACATCATCAGGTCGGGCTACAGCATCATTTTCGACCGACCTCCACCACTGCGCCTACCACTGCGCCTACCACCGCTACACGATCCGTTCAATTCACCGGAGGAACGGACGGCTATCGACGAAGAGGTCCGTACTTTATTACGGAAAAAGGCTATCGAAGGTTGCAGCGGGAAGGGATTTTACAGTCGTATCTTCACTATCCCCAAGAAAACGGGAGACCTACGCCCAGTGTTGAACCTACGTCCACTCAACCAATTCTTGACAGCACCCAAGTTCAAGATGGAAACCCTTACCAACATTTGCAGGATGCTCAAACCAGGCGACTGGCTTACGAGTATCGACCTCAGCGATGCGTTCCTACATGTGGCAGTCCATCCAGCATCCCGCAAGTACCTCCGATTCAGATGGGGAGCGGCATTATACGAGTTCCGAACTCTGCCTTTCGGACTTTCACTTTCCCCCTTCGTATTCACAAAAATCGTCCGTCCGATTCTCAAGTGGGCGAGGGAGAAGGGGATCAGGATCTCGGCATATCTCGACGACATCCTCATTGCAGCCAGGACCAAGGAGGAGGCCAAGGAGCATACTCGTCTAGTTCGGGAACAGCTGGAAAAGCTTGGATTCCTTATCAAAAACACCAAGTCAACACTAGATCCTACCCAATGTATCGACCATCTTGGGTTCAGGATCAACACCGGCAACATGTCACTGTCGGTTCCAAGGCCAAAAGTCCGCGACCTGCGCAGGGAAGCGGAGAAGCTGATCAGAGCAGGAACGGTTCAACTTCGGCGGCTGGCGGCATTTATCGGGAAGGCGATCGCGATGACGGTGGCGGTCTTTCCGGCTCGACTGAGGACGAGGAATCTGATTCAGGTTCAGAATGCAGCTCTGGCCAAGAAATGCAAGTGGACGGACCCGGTCACATTGGATACGGCGGCACTGGAGAATCTCAGCTGGTGGCGATCTCATCTTTCGGAGTGGAACGGTCAAGGATTCTTGCCTCAGAGGACGGAAGTCGACGCATACACCGATGCCTCGGAGGATGCATGGGGGATTGTGATCGAGGACAAGGAGAGGTCCAGGACATGGAGCGCATCGGAACAACCTCACCACATCAATTGGAAGGAGCTGCGGGTCATCTGGCACTTGGTCCACCTTCCAGAAACGATCGGGAAGACCATTCATGTTATTTGCGACAACATGACAACCATTGCTCAGATCAACAAATTCGGCGGGACGAGGTCTCGACCACTACTCGACCTGACGACCAGGATATGGAACCACTGTATGGCGACTGGCACACGACTCAAGACGACATACGTTCCCTCACAGTTCAATCCAGCAGATGCACCGTCCAGGAGGATGACGACGCAGCTGGAGTGGTCGATCGACAAGTCATTCTTCCAAACCCTCGAGTCGACATGGGGTCACCACCACATCGACCTATTTGCAACAGCAACGAACGCCAAAGTTCCTCGATACATCTCATGGAAGCGGGAGGAATCCGCCTGGGGCCAGGACGCGTTCAACAGCAACTGGTCCAACATGAACAGAGTTTATGCGTGTCCACCGTGGTCGCTAATCACCAAGGTCCTCCAGAAGATCAAGCAGGACAAGGTCAAGGCAACGGTCATCACTCCATTCTGGACGAGCGCGCTCTGGTATCCTATGATCACAGCCATATCGGTCGACAAGCCTCTACGGATCCCGAGGAACCAAGTCTTACCAGCTCCGGGGAACAGTCCACACATCCTCGAGAGGAATACAATGTGGTCGCTCTCGGCCTGGAACGTCGACGGCAACAAGCAGTAGAGAAGGGAGCACCCGGATGTTTGAGCACTACCACCACGCTAAAGAAGGAGATCCCGCCGGACGACGTTGACACACACGGCCGTCGGTCATCCCCAGCCATTGTTGAAGTGTGCTACAGGATCTTGCGATCTCTAACAAGCAACTTCGCCGCAGCCATATTTCCTCAACTCTGAACCCACAGATAGAGTCCCTGGCAAGGAAGAATAATGGATAGCGTTGCCGAATGTAATGACGGCTAAAGCCTATTATTCGACAACGCCAGGGACTCTAGATGTCCCACCCGACCCGCCCTTTTCTAGCAAGTAGATAGAGATCAACAGATCACCTAGAGTCCCCTTTATTTTGTTTTCATTTTTCATTTTCATTTTCATTTTCATTTTCATTTTCATTTTCATTTTCATTTTTTTTTTTTTTTCGGAAGTCACGGCTAATAATAAAAGAAAGATACACACACATCTAGAGTCCCTGGCGTTGTCGAATAATAGGCTTTAGCCGTCATTACATTCGGCAACGCTATCCAATTTACACTTGCCTCACACCTCCGCGAGCGAAGCCGCGGGTACCATTCTAGTCTAATAATACAAAGCGACTGCAGCGATCACCTGATTTAGCGTTTCGTAAATCATGTGATGTTCTTTTGTCCAAGAGTGTGGTGTGTGCATGGTGTGTATGGTGCGTGTGTGTGAGTGTGTGAGTGTGTGAGTGTGTGAGTGTGTGTGTGTATGTATGGCGAGTGTATGTGTGTGATAATTGCTTCTTTTTTTTTTTTTTTGTTTAGAGTTAATTAGAAAATCGATTCAAGTCATTAATTCTGAGCGATGCAATGCGATGGATACGATAAGAGTAAGATGAATATGCATATGGATATGAAAAACGACAAAAATCAAAATGCTCATGGATCAGAAAGGTAAAGTAGAGCCTCTTTTTCTTTTTCTTTTACAAACATATTTGCTTTTCCTTTCTTCTTTTTTCTTTCTTTATTCTTTATCTTCCTCTTCTACGTCTTTCGTCTTCTACATTATCACACCTGTCACTAAGCATGCCTTCCACTCGCTCTCGCCGTATCTCTCCTACTTCCTCCTCCACTTCCAATGTCTCTCCTTCGACCTTTACAGGATACAGGCGGACCAAGGGTGCCAGCTCAACAAGGTCGCGACCGGCCAAGTCGATCACATTCTCTCCCCTTTCTGCCAAGCACACCGCTGCCACCAACTCCACTGCTACCGCTCCCTCCGCTCCCTACTCGCTTCCCACCAAATACACCTCCAAACACGCCACCAAGCGCACCACCAAATCCAAGCCCATCACTCCTTCTCTTTTTCCTCCATCAGCAGGTGTTCCAGGTGTCGTGGATCCGATCACCAAAGATCGACGAGTCGACGCTGCCCATATTTTAAAGGAAAGCAAGCGACAAGTGCAAGGATCGACAATATTCAAAAGCACGATTCCCACAACGTCGACTACTATGACGCCATCTTTAACACCATTCCAGACGATGATGTCCTCGCTGCACTTGCTGAGGTTGAGGTCGAGGTCGCTCAGGATCAGGATCAGGATCAGGATCCAAACACAACAAGTCAGTCTACAATTGTGGCGGATGAGGATAGCGAGGATGAGCCGCTCATAAGGCGGCCCTCAGGTTGGAAAAGTGTTTCCAGCTCAGACAACGATGTCCTCGCTGCACTTGCTGAGGTCGATCAGGATCCAGACATGACAA